CAGCTAGTTACTTGAATAGGAAGGTAGTGGTAGTGGAAAGAGAAGCACAAGTTGATACGTATTTGCTTTTATAGTCTGGCAGGGGTGAGAAAATACATTCCATCAATGTTTCATCATCATATCAAGTGATAGCAATGAGGACTGGGAAAAGTACACTGCTGAATGCACTGCTTGATCAGAGGTGATAGCAATGAGGACTGGGAAAAGTACACTGCTGAATGCACTGCTTGATCAAAGTGACAGCAATGAGGACTGGGAAAAGTACACTGCTGAATGCACTGCTTGATCAAAAGTGATAGCAATGAGGACTGGGAAAAGTACACTGCTGAATGCACTGCTTGATCAAAAGTGATAGCAATGAGGACTGGGAAAAGTACACTGCTGAATGCACTGTTGATCAAGTCTGCAGTCCGAGTTTTGGCTTTGGCGCGATGTGGCTGTGCCAGGTTCCCACGCTACACTCCAATGAAGAAAAAAATGAAAATGAAGAGGCGGGTCTCAGCATTATAAATCTTCAAGAATTTCCTTAAAAGGTGAAAAACTGCGCCCTCTATAGGCAGTACAAGACAGAATTGCCCAGTATGGTAGAAAACTCTGCCAGCAGGAATTGCCAAGTATGGTAGAAAAGCGCAGGAGTTACTCAAAGAGGAAATAAAAAGCAGGCAAAAAAAGCGCCTCTGAGGAAATCTCGGAGGGGGGAAAGAATACGGAAATTAGTTCCCACGCTACATGGAAAACTTGAAAAATTGAAAATGAAGAGCGGAGAGAGGCGAGTCTGATGATGTAACTGCGACCTTATGCGGCGGAATCCTCACGGTGCTATAAACAAAACAAAACAACAAGTCGGATGTGAATTATGCATCAACCAGTGCTCCGATTTGAATGATACTGGTGGGTGACCCTAGGTTATTTTGTAGTGCGAGTTCAATGGTGACATTTGCGTGACCAGAATCGGAGTATATTCTCCACTAATGTAAAGATGTCTCTCAATGTACATAGTGTTGAGCTTGCTATACACAGTGATGTATAGCACAGCAATGGGAAAGGAGCTTTCCATGGCCCACTGTGTAGAGCAGCGTGTTGAGCTCCCTGTGTACAGTGCTGAGCTCCCTGTGTACAGTGTTCAGCTATCTGTATACAGTGTTGAGCTCCCTGTGTACAGTGCTGAGCACTTGAGTTGATGTGGAAAGCTATGTCAGAAGGCTATAAAAGTGCGCTTTTTTGGACCCCCGTGGGAAAAACTTGGTCAAGAATCGAACAAGCCAAAAATTTTACGTATGGAATTTTCAAAATTCTGTACGTAAAATCTCAGAGACGTTTACGTATAGAATCACTTTCAATTCTATACGTAAAATGGACATCTGGGCTGACAGTGGACAGTATTGAGCTCACTGTCTATGACGACGTCGAGCTCACTGTCTACGACGATGATGATGAGCTCACTGTCTATGACAACGTCGAGCTCACTGTCTATGACGATGACAATGAGCTCACTGTCTACGACGACATCAAGCTCACTGTGTACAACAGCAATGACAAGCTCACTGTATCTGACAACGTTGAGCTCACAGTCTACGACGATGACAACAAGCTCACTGTCTATGACAACATCGAGCTCACTGTCTACGACAATGATGACGAGCTCACTGTCTATGACAACATCGAGCTCACTGTCTACGACAATGACGACAAGCTCACTGTCTATGACAACATCGAGCTCACTGTCTATGACGACGTCAAGCTCACTGTGTCTGACAACGTTGAGCTCACTGTCTACAATGATGACAACAAACTCACTGTCTATGACAACATCGAGCTCACTGTCTACAACAGCAACAACAAGCTCACTGTGTCTGACAATGTTGAGTTCACTGTGGGAGATGATGACCAGCTCATTGCATACAGTGTTGAGCTCACTGTGGAGGACAATGACTAGCTCACTGTCCAAGACAATGACCAGCTCATTGTATACAGTGCTGAGCTCACTGTGTAGGACAGCATAGAGCTTGTTGTGGACAGCATTGAGGTCACTGTCTGAGACAACATTGAGGACACTGTATACAGTGTTGAGCTCACTGTGTATGGCAATGAGCAGCAGCATTGAGCACAGTGTGGAGGTCACTGTGGGCAACAGTGGTGGTGAGCTCACTGTGTAGAGTATTCTACTCACTCTGTAGAGTGTTCTGCTCACTGTGTAGAGTATTCTACTCACTGTGTAGAGTGTTGTCCTCACTGTGTAGAGTGTTCTACTCACTACGTAGGCCAGTATAGGTGCAAAGGAACTAGACCGGTAATAGAGGTGTAATATAGATAGGCCAGTCAATAATTGACTTGTGTATCAGCACTCGGATAATTTTCGGGGCTTTCGACTTTGCTGTTGATCGAATGCACATGCATGTATAGTCAGTGGTGTAGGTGGGTCATATCCAATGTGTACAAGCACTCGGATTGATTTACGGAGTATTGGATAGGGAAATAGCTGCGCATACAGAGTTGGAGTCAATTTAATCAATTACCATAAGATCTAGGCATCTAACAATGCTATAATTGCAATATAAACAATATCCGCCCATGGCATGCACCTCAGGCCCATATGCACAAGTATATAAAGTGGTCATAATGTTGAGAAATGCAACGTAATAACATTATCTTCTTCATTGTCAGGAGCAGATCAAGGCTGTGGTAGGCCACATGTCCAATGCATATAACACATCATTGTCAATAATTGACTTGTGTATCAGCACTCGGATGAAGTTCGGGGCTTTTGACTTTGCCATTGATCCAATGCACGTGCATGTATAGTCAGTGATGCAAATGGATTATATCGATGTAGTCCACATATGAAATGCATGCAACCCATCATTGTCAACAATCAACCAGTATACAAGTACTCGAATCAATTTCCGAGCTGTTGATAGGAAAGACACTGCACATCACAGCGCATACAGACTTGGAGTCAATTTGATTAATTATCATAAGATATATCCTTTGAACAAAGCTACAATTGCAATATAGACAATATTTACCCATGGCATGCACCTCAGTCCCCTGTGCACAACTATACAGAGTGGTCATGGTATTGAGAACTGTAAAATAATCACATTCCCCAATGTTAAGCAATGATCTCTTCATTGTCAGGAGTAACTCAATGCTGTGGCGGTCTACATCTCCAATGCATACAACTTGTATATCAGCACTTGAATAAATTTCGGAGTTTTTGACTTTACCACGGATTTAATGCATGTGCAACAATGGTCAGTGATACAATTAAGTTGTGTCGATGTAGGGCACATCTCCAATGCATACAATACATCATTGTCAACAATCGACTTGTGCATTGGCACTCGAACGTATTTCGGGGCTTCGACTTTGCCGTTGATCCAATGCATGTGCATGTATAGTCAGTGGTGCAGGTGGGTCATATCAATGTAGGCCATATATCCAATGCGTACAACACAATCAACCAGAGTACAAGCACTCGCATCAATTTCCGATTTTGTAATAAGCAGTTGTTTAACATGTCACAGGCCTTGAGAATGGTTCTGGATTGGATATGAAGTTGAGTCAGAATGCATATCAAAATCAACAATGAGGGCTTTCAAGGCAACATGCAGTCGGAAAGGGAGGTCATTGAGAATTTAGAATAGACTGGACCACCGGAAAGGGAGGTAAATGGGAATTTTGAACATGACCTGCCTTTCCAGTGATATTGTGGTTCAAATCCTCAAAAGCTTGCCAAAATTGAGTTGAATTAACAAAATAAGGAGGATTGGATATGAAATTGAGTTACAATGCATATCAAAATGGAGAATGAGGGCTTTCAAGGCAATATACAGTCGGAAAGGGAGGTCAATGAGAATTTAGAACAGAGGATACAGCCGGAAAGGGAGGTAAAAGGGAATTTTGAACATGACCTGCCTTTCCAGTGATATTGTGGTTCAAATCCTCAAAAGCCTGCCAAAATTGACATAAATTAACAAAATAAGGAGGATTGGATATGAAATTGAGTTACAATGCATATCAAAATGGAGAATGAGGGCTTTCAAGGCAATATACAGCCGGAAAGGGAGGTAAATGAGAATTTAGAACATGACCTGCCTTTCCACCAGAACTGCCTTTCCATAGATCCAAAGGTGTGAAAAGAGGTTTTTGCTATGGATGGGAGCTCAAAATGATATCAATATTGACCAAACCAGTGAAAACGAGACATAAACAGAGGTTTTGGAGTGATTTAGGAAGACTGGGTTTCCGGCTGGTTTGCCTTTCCATGAGAAAAAGGGCATGAAAGGCCCAAAACGCTAAGGGAAAGGGCATGCCCTTTCCGGGTGTAATATAGTTAGGATTACTGCTATGAGATAGCTCTACCTGGGTATATAACTTTTATAGCAACTAATTTTCACCAAATTAGTGTCAACGCTGCTCAGAAGAGAGTAATCCCACACCAATGCTGTGGACCATCGTCTGTATCTATCGTGACCATGTGAACAAGCCCTGATGAGCCATATAAAAGGCGAAACGGGTTGGTACTGATAAGTTATCGGTACCCGTTGGCTTGTCTCGCCTCCTCTACCATCTTACAGCACCAGAGCCTCTTACGTCAGTCTTCAATGTCAATGCTCGCTTCGCTCGCTCGACGTTTCGACCACCCACCCCTATAGTTAGGATTGTCTGTTAATTGGACAAATTCAGGGCAAAATTCCTGAATCCAGGGAATTTTGGGGGCAGATTTGTTGCTTCTGGTGCTCATTGGATGGTTTTTTGGCAGGGACTCAGGCCTGGATCTGGGAAATAAATAGTTAGGCCTGGATCTGGGAAATAAATAGTTAGGCCTGGATCTGGGAAATAAATAGTTAGGGGTCGACCCCCTACCGCCGTTTTCAAAACTTGTATATAACCCTAAGCAGAGCAAGGATTGTACGAGTGGCGGTTGGCGAGGGCATCGGTGGTGTGAGTTTCACCACATCTTGAGATTTCTTCGTAAACTCAAAGCTCTGATTTAGATGGGCTACGGAAGTCGTGCGATCAACTGCCTCAATGCGTACTTCAGCGGGGAGTACTTCAACTTGGACGAACCTAAAACTAAGAACAGTCCAGAGACTCATGCCCGCGACGATGCGCGCGAGGCGGGTGACGCTGTGAATGACGTCCTTTAATAACTTCACCTTGTGTGTTAACATATTTCATATCAGAAAAAAGCAACACTCCACACGGAAAAAATCACTGTCCGAGCACCAAACGCTATGCCTCCACTCCTACAGCGTCTATCCGAACGACGTCCAGAGCAATTGGACTATCTCGGCGTTTCGTATGGTTTGACGGGATCTTTACTAAGGTGTGTAGTTTGGCCTCGTGTCCAGTACATGCGTGTATAATCTTCTTCATCTAGATTCTGGAAACGTCTCTCCTTTGTCCCTCTGTACATCCGCCACATTCCGAGTGATCTCACAGGTGAACACACATGTGTTATGGTTCGTGGAATCAACAGCACGACGGATGTTGAGATGGAGTGGTTAGGCGAATTCGGTGCAGGTAAGTGTCTCGATCTTCTTCGCATCGACCTTCATTAATTCCATTCTTATCGTAGATTTCCGTACTCGACTTCTCACCCTCTTATCTTTCCCAAAATTTCGTGACTTCGGAAGTGTGTTGGGACTCAGTGTGCTCGAAGCGATAAATAACAATACAAGTATCAAGGCTGTCGATACCCGGGAGTTGCAGGGAGGGGTGAAGGGTGTGTGCTGTCTTTTATATACACCTGTTATACACCTTTTTCAAACCTTTTCCTCTTACCACAGCTTTAACACCAGCCCTTCTACCATCTTTGCTTACGCCATTCGACCTCAAACGGCTGGAGTCATACGGTAACAATCAATTAGACTATCATGTTATTTTGGACCTCCTACCTCTCGTTGCGACTCTCTTCTTCCAACGTAGACTGAATCGACCAAAATCCAGTGAAGCATCCGGCGAGGTGAATAACCTAAGTAGATACATTGCGTCGTACACATGCCTAGGCCGCATCAGAATAGGTGCCGGTCTTCTTCGTAGACAACTAGGAAGACCAAGGATGAAGGAGTCTATTGCGTCATTTACCATGGACTAGGATACGTTGATATTAGAGAAAGTGGCTGTCGAAAGGACAAGCACTACACACCTGCACACAGCGCGGTGGCAAATGACACAACACAACTGACACATCGCCCTCACCTCTAACTGCTTCCTCTTCCACTGGCGCCTCTGGTCTCTCCTCCTCAACGTCCACCGCCGGTCCTGGAACCTCTGCACATACCCCAGGTGATGATACGTCGCGCACAGACCCCTGCTCTGTCTATCCTTGCACCATCCACCACAATGGCCGAATGGGTGGGGAGTTAAATCGCATACATATGCCAAATCTGCTTCCGCTCGATCAGAATGGAAGGAAAAACTCGAAGAAGCTATTGGGTTGAGAAAGGTTGTGCAGGAAAGCAATAAAGTGTTCAATATTGAAACTTTGAGCTCTGACACGCCTTTGGTACCGAGCATGGGCTTGGGTGCTGACCGCGGAGAGCGTGGCGCGGCTGCAGGAGGTTTAGGACCTAGTTATGAGAATGCATTTACAGGCAAAGTTACTTGTTCGGTACCGCTCAATACCCCGGACGGAATAGGGCTAGGCAGCGAGGGCAAGAATGATAACATCTGGGGAAAACGTGGACGCCATGGTCGAAGCAGACAAGGTCAAAGGGAGCACTGGTGAGGAAGCATTAGGATTGGCGTCAGCCATGGAAGGTAGAGCGGAGAGAAATAGAAACGGACCAGGCGCGTGCGACAGTGTGTTGCTTCGAGATGGATCAGAATGCGAATGTGTGCTTGGCGGTGAATTCCTGTTCTCACCCTCGAACTTCTCATCCGTTCTTCAAGCGGCCTCCAGGACATCCTTCACATCTACAGGCGTAAGCAGTGCCTGACACCCCCGAATTCGCAGAGGATTTTCACCGCGATTGCGAATTATGAGCCGGCAACGCCTCACCCTCAACCTGGCCTCAATAGCCTTACACCTCACCATCATTACAGCCATCGGATCCCGCGGGAAGACCCGATGTATCTAACACCTTGAGTTCAACGACCCAGGTGAAGAAGTTGGGAACAGAGTTGGGAGAGACCCGGACGCAGGAGACTTGGAAGGGAGAGCCCGGATCCAGAGCGGCACTGGAGAAAGAAAAAATGGACGTGTGGATGAAACCGTCTCCCCAATTTTCCTCGTTGCTGGAATCTTCTTCCTGCTCGTACTCAACGCCTTTGTCCTCTAAGATAGACCCAGCTCTTCTGCCTCCATCCTGCCCTTGTTATCCTCTCTAGCACGCGTTCGAGATAGAAGATGTCGAATTCGAGGTACCAGGTGGATGAAGAAACCAGGGAACTAAGATTAGCATTCGGGTAGAATACAATGATGATTAAGCTAAGAATCGACGCGTCAAAGAAGTCATAAGAGTTCCGTCCGCGTGTCTGGCCTGTGGAGGGGCTTGACAACGTGAACTTCCCCTTCAAGAATGAGGTTGACGTGGCGAAAAGCGAAGAACATTGCAGGAAATCTTAGGTAAATAGAAAAACAAGAAATAATAACTCGTACCTCTTGCTACCGACATGCACCTATTACTCATCGATATTAAATGTGAGTGCTGCGTCGTTCAAGCTGCTTCCCATTATTTGAACCAGCACTACCTAAAGCAAAGTGAGCTACGATTTTGGCAACGAAGTTGGGCAATCCGATGGTGAGGGAAATAATCCAATATGCTGGGAGTTTTTCCGGGATTACCCGGACCGAATCCTGTCCTTCTCATCCAGGTCACCTCATCTCATGTCTAAAACCATTTACCCGTTAATCCACGCCGTATAATTACGCTAAAACCTATGGTTGGAACTCCGTCGCGGCGATATACTCCTCCTGGCCTTTCACTTTGAATAAAGGAACGAACGAAGAAGGGTTCTTGTTACAATGACGCTGTTTTGTACGAGTATGTCTGTTGACTGAGTTCTCACAATTAGTATTCATGATGTCTTCAGTTCGTATCGTCGGATTCATACTCGCCAGTGTATAGCGTCTGCGCAGGTATTGACAGCGCCGGGGGCAACCAGGACCTTTTCATCCCAGCTGAAGTTGGTTTCTCTGTTGGTTTCTTCGGGCTTTATATGCTACATATAGTCTTATAATGGACAGGTTCATTCTTGTCGCATTTTGGTTTATTATAGCCTTTCCAATACCCGATTTGGTTAGATTTGTGCGACGACAACAAAGAATCCATTCAGGTTCCTGTTATTGACAACTTCTGACGACTTATCTATCCTATCCTATCTTCGCAACCGTCGTCTTTTTCGTTTGGCTTTGATTGTCTCCATGGCCCTAGGTATCGCAGGCATCAACTTGGCAAGTAGCCACTCAACGAGCAGCACTAGCACATCTCTACGAAAAGCTAGCGCCATTATGTTTCTTGTCTTTACTGCCTTTCAACAAACCATAGTTCTCATAGAAGCGGAACATGTACGTCTTGTGAAATGACATAGGTCACTACTACTACAACTCACCTATGTAATGCGACCTTTTAGGCAAATATTCTCTGAAATACACCTCCATCTCTTTCGACACCAAACGCATCTCCCTTATCTTCGGAATTATCACATTCCTGCTACTCTCGGGAGATATTCACCGCCGCCACTTTAAACAACATCGCAAAGTCTAATAACGAGTATCTTGGTATCCTCTCGTCGCGCTTACACAGATCCTGCGTGTATTCTTGTACACCATTCTTGGACTTATCCCTTCGAGTCGAAACGGAACTACCGTCGATTTACCTCAGCATAATAATAATTCGGAACTCTAGATAAACGGCTGTCTTTCTGTCAAAGGAATCTACATGTTGTCCATCTCTCATCTCTGACGGAAAATATAGCCTGGTCAGAGTATCGAAGTAACTATTGCTTCCGCAGTTTCAAGCCCAGATTATTACAGCCATTCTGCCATCCATGCTCGAGAGTAAGATTTTCTTTGTCTACCAGTCGTGCTTGGAAAGAAGATTGTTCGTTTCTGGTATGAGTTCCAAAATCAAGATACTTCAGCCAGTTAACAGGATCTTCCTGCAGACAATTTGAACTACGAGCTACTGTAGCTTGACCGCCCCGTAAATTACCGCCCTCCTGTACGTCAAGACGCCTCGTGTTCTTTCTTCCAACACCAACGTCACAGATCTTACTACGGTCCGGGGAAGGAAACGACAGATACAGCAGTACTGTTGGGTGAGTGTTTTCAGTTTCTACTGTATATTTTCCATCTTCTAACGCTCCTTGCAGTTTCAGCCATTTAATATTCTTGTTCATTTTACGATCTTCTCCTTGTTCTGCTTTTAAACCCACAAAATTCTTCTCTGCTCACTGCGCTACACAAGATATGAGGGCCATCGCAGAAACTTCGGCGTTATTCACAGCATGAGTATTTAAGAAAGAATTTCCGCCCTCATGTTTTGTTTCTTCTTTCCACCTCACGTTTCGACTCAGATTCAAGTCCGTGAATTCTTCGTTCACTTTGAGCCTCGATACTAGCCCACTGGTCGATTTATTTACTCCGTGAACAAACCTGGAAACCTCAAATGGAACGGTAGGAGAGGGGTTGAACGGGTATCCGGGCACACCTCGGGAATAGGACATTCCCATAATCCTTTAATATGGTACGTGTCTTCGTGTCATCTAATAAACAGTGTCTCGGAGCAGTCTTTGTACTGGCGTACTCATGATCGGTTTTTACTCTCGTCTATAGAAACACCTACTGCGCCTACATAAGAGTTCAACGAGTTATCTACTCAAATCACGGAATTGGAAACGCAGAACATATTCTACGCATCTCATCTTCCCAACTAAGTCAAGAGATCCGGCCAATGCTGATACTTCTCCTAGTATAAATGAGCATCGAACCGGTGACCAAATTTGAATTATCTGTCGACTTGCGGGCCCCCGAAGTTGTCAGCTCCGTGTCAGCCACAGCTTTATCTGAAGTTTTGGGCTAGATGCCTGACTATAGGTCGAGAATCTCATAATAATGAAGGACGGATACGGGCGGCCTTTTCCCTAAATTTCCCCAAAGTACGTGTTTATCCGTGAGCTTTCTATGTATAGTCCGGGTCCGAGCGTTACAAAAGCCCAGCTCAATTGACACTCCCACCTTTTACTTGCTCTTCTCCCCCCTAGTCCCAATACTGTTCCTCTTTTGTCTGCCTTAATCGCCTTTTCTTTCTGACATATTCTTCCAGTACCATGAACACAGGCTCTCCGCCTCACGAAAGTCAATCGAGATGTAGTCCGTATTCGTCTCGGCAGGTTATAGACCCAACACGAAGCATGCCTAAGGACTATTGACGACGAAAACAAGTGCAAAAGTTTGATCCTTTGTATCCTTCTATCAATAGGTATCAAATCTGTGGTTCGTGCTGGCCATTCCTTTGACTGTACTCCCCGCAACTTCTAATCCTCACCTATAAGATCGGCTCGCCCTCGAAGACGTTAGTAACGGCAATTCCGCTTAGCCAGATACACAACTTTATTGTTGAGAATCGCGCACGGACTCTTGATATTATGGGAAGAAGAAAGGAACAACATATTAGTTCTCGCTTCCGAGGTCCTCTGATCCAAGTTCTGCGTGACACGAAAGGTATGGGTCAGGATTAGTTTACTTTTCTCATGATATCGATACGTCTACGGCCCAGGTCTTCGATAAGTTGAACTCTTCTGGTCCTCAGATACGACCATCTAGTGCAGACTAGTGCATCAAACATACAGGTATTGAATGTGTTATTCCGACTGAAGGAATGCAAAATACGGTATGACTCTCGTAGCGGGAAAAGACACAGACGGGGTTGAAGAACGTTGAGGAACGGACGTGGGTCGGATCTGGTCGGATTCGTGTACGTGTTCGTTTTGATTTTCAGCTTCCAGTCCTAACTGATGAAAACTTAGTCCCGGCATTATTTCCGTCTTTGACTCGTGGATTCCTCTCATTTAGCCCTTCATTTTCTCTTGCCCTCCTTCTCGCACTTCAACTGGCAACAACTTGTCGACGGTGTCGATTATTTGAACGTTGTTGTCACCGTTCTCAAGCTTTTCTCGACTTGCCCTCCTACGGTGATTAATATTCGTCAGTTAAAGCGTCGCTGGTATTGTACACGTCCGCCCACTTGGAACGATCAACTTCCCAGACAAGAACCTAGACGATGTCGGTCACAATATGGGCATGGACCGGAAAGCTGCTTGCAAAAGGCCAGGTTGCGGGGTAAATATTAAATATACGATCAGACCTCGGTGGAGGGTGGTAATCGAAACTTCCCGCTTCGCAACAGAATTACTTGCACTATCTGATTTCGAACGTTTCCCCCTGCGCTTTTCGCAATCATCTCTTTTTCGTGATATACCTTCGTTCAGCAGTGAACATGGTTTCTTTAACTGAACAGCTTTCAGCTGTACAACATCCTTATCCAATAACACGGAATCTCCGGAGATATTCGAGATGGGTAACATCGAAGGCGAACAGAGGAGGATGAAGAAAGCGTAAATCTTCAAACACTAATGGTACGTGTGCGTGAAATGATGTTATTGGACATGAAGTACTAAGCCGATTCCTCAGATCTTTGAATATCATTACAAGTTGGCTGATGGGAATATTCGTCAAATCGCAGAGTCATGCTCTTAACTTTCTGAATGGCCGTATAAAATCGCTGTTTCCATTGAGGGAAACGGCGTGAAGTTAGATACGTGAGGAAGAGTGAGTGACAGAACGGGTCTCGTGCTGTTCGTGCTAGTCCCAAAGTATGTCTTCCCCCTTGAGTGCTTCCATTTCGGGTCCCTCAAAAGCCCACTCCAACGTTGCATCTGCTTCCTCTTAGTTCCCTTCATGTCGTTCCCTCTTTGCTTCCACTTTCCCAAATGCCCCTCACAAACAGCCTTCAACCTTGCGGAACCCGTCACACATTCAGTTCAAAGCCTGGCGTAGTTTTCTACTAGCGTACACGCCAACGTCTAACCGTGTAAAGAGCAACGGGGTTTGAAATCACACATCGGCAAGGAGGGCAGCTGGGAAAGAAAGGAGGCCAAAATGAGAGCGCGGGAGCGAAGCGCAACACAAAGTAAGCAGCTACCTAAAACTGGCATCGCACAAAGTGACTTACTCCTTCGTGCTAGGTTTTGGTATTATTGCTACTACTGGTATTCACTCGACTTTTGAGCAACAAGTTGGCAATTTGTCGTACATGTTTCGGGAGAAGCTGAATGTTTGAGACATGAAATCACAGGCGGAAAGAGGGCCACGGCGATGCGTTCCGGGTTTGGGATCGTCAGTTCGCATGTTGCATGGGATTATTGTGCCTTTATTGTGAGCTGTACTTACAATGTTGAACCTTCATTCATTGATTTTTTATGTGAACATCGTTCGTTGATAGATCACCTCCTATATAAGCCATTTCACGGTACACACACGACGGGAAGCTATGCTTTTCCATGCTTCTTCCCGCTCCCGGTTCTTCGACTCTCTTTTGTCCCAGCCAATGGAAAGTGGCAGGAAGATTAGCATTCAAGATCAATTGTATACATGTGCTTCTTTCATTATTGTGCCTCTCTCTACGTTCTCTTCGGTGATGTCGTTGGCGGCTTGTATCACCGTGTCCTCGCATATCCACGGTATGGGGTGCGCTTGTATGGTGTAAATGTGGGTGGAACTCATCATCTATGAACCATTTTTCCAAGAGAATTCTAATCGTTTTCTCCTTTTGCAGTGAGCGGGCGATTTCTGCAGTTGTCGGTAGGTTTAATTACCGAGTACCGGGCAGAACACTAGAACAAGACAGGGAGCAATAAACGTGTCTCAGGTTCCATTAGTGTCCGGCCACATCCCTCAACTGTTTCCGTCGGATGCCTGGATACTTCCGTTCACCCCTACGCCTTGATTTTGGTGCTTGGTGTCGACCGCTGGGGAATTACTAATTTATTCTACTGTTGCTTTCTTGGGGGTGGGGTAGCAGATACTCTTCTTTCCGCAATCTCCTCAGGTACCAGGTACGCTAATATCAAGATTCATCGATTACTCATTCTGTATGTGGTCCTTTGTAGAATTTTAACTGGTCAGTTTTGGACGCAAGATTGATATCCGGCTAATTCAGACGAACCAAAGTTGGGTTACGTATGGTGGATGTTGAGGGGACGCTATGGACAGATGGGATGGGCATAGACAGTGAAGGCCGTAGCAGAAGGTAAGCTCAATCTCCCTTACTATGATCTGCCTATGATCTGCTTCCTCAAAATGGGTCTTAGGCTGTTCCGTACATCCCAGACGACCCCAGACTCGCTTAACAAGTACCCCGGAATATTGATCGCGACTCCCCGCACTCCAGGTCCAGACTCTGAACAGACCTGAACCGACTCTCCGCTACATTCGGTGGCCGAACATGAATCTTCTTCATCAAGTTTTGTTTCGTGCTGAAACAAACAACAACGCCGAAAACCTTGAACTCGTACAGCCTGTAGCTGTGATCTATACTGAACAATTTTCGCCGTTCACTCAGTTCAATCTGAATTCAAGAGCAGTTTTGCGTCCATATGGTCAATTACAGGGCCGCCGCTAGCCCCCGTAAACTAATCGCCGACGAGCTGTCATATAATGTATGGTCCGCCCGCCTGGTGATCCGATCCATTCATGTGACTTTAGATTTCGGTTCCCTATAAATTTGGCCTCGGCTTTGTCCTTTCCCCTTCGTGCTTGCATCTTCCCTTCTCAGCTCAGCTCAATCCAAGTTCACTTCAGAGCTAATTACGATGCCTGGCGGCGGTGTTGCTCTCCATGCTACGACCGATGTCAACCGTATTGAAGCACCGGTTACGCTCAAAGCCTACCTTATGTGCGCCTTCGCTGCGTAAGTTTTCCAGCCCATCGTCTCCCAACGTTTCGTTTATCATTGTTTTCCACATTCAGCTTTGGTGGTATCTTTTTCGGTTTCGACTCTGGATATATCAATGGTGTTACTGGCTCTGCGGTTTTCATCCACTCCATTGAAGGAGATGGCGTATCCGCGTTAACCTCATCCCACAACTCGCTGATTGTCTCCATCCTGTCAGCCGGTACATTCTTCGGCGCATTGATCGCAGGAGATCTTGCTGAATGGTACGGTCGTCGCCCAGTTATTATTGCCGGCTGCTTCATCTATATGATCGGTGTCATCCTTCAAGCTGCCCACTCTTCAGGCCTTGGACTGATCGTCTCAGGTCGGCTCATCGCAGGGTTTGGTGTTGGTTTCGTTTCGGCCATCATCATTCTGTATAGTACGTTAAATTTCCGTTATCTACTCTATCGTATCTAACTGCTTCCCTATTTTGTCCAGTGTCCGAAATCTCTCCCCGCAAAGTCCGTGGGGCCCTCGTTTCTGGTTATCAATTTTGCATTACGATTGGTCTTCTCCTTGCCTCTTGTGTGGACTATGCTACCGAAAACCGTAACGACACAGGCTCGTATCGTATCCCCATTTGCATTCAGTTTGCGTGGGGTATCATTCTCGCTACAGGCCTTTTCCTCCTTCCCGAATCTCCACGTTACTTGGTCAAAAAGGGCAACGTTGACCGTGCGAGACACGTCCTTTCTCGTCTTCGTGGTCAACCTCCGAGCTCCGAGTTCATCGAAACCGAGCTCACTGAAATTATCGCTAACCACGAATTCGAAAAGAACCTCATTCCCGACTCTGGTTACTGGGGATCCTGGTACCAGTGTTTCAGTGGTGGTCTTTGGACTTCAAACTCCAATCTCCGCAAGACCATTCTCGGTACCTCTCTTCAAATGATGCAACAGTGGACTGGTGTCAATTTTATCTTTTACTTCTCGACTCCTTTCCTTAAGTCCACAGGTGCCATCTCCAACTCTTTCCTGACATCCATTATCTTCACGATTGTCAATGTCGTATCGACTCCTATCTCGTTCTGGACCATGGAACATGTCGGTCGTCGTCCCGTCCTCATCTGGGGTGCTGCCGGTATGTTCTTTTGCCAGATAATCGTCGGCGCTATCGGCGATACCATTGGTTTCAATAGTACGTTTTCATCTGTCTGTCTTTCGTACCCTTTCTGACTATATTTCAAAGAAACCCATCTCGACGCTTCTGGCAACACAATCGCCAATAACATTGCTGCTGTCAATGCTCAAGTCGCCTTCATCGCGATCTACATTTTCTTCTTTGCATCTACTTGGGGTCCCGCCGCTTGGGTTTGCATTGGTGAAATTTTCCCTATCCAAATCCGTTCTCGTGGTGTCGCCCTCTCCACTGCCTCTAACTGGCTCTGGAATACCATCATAGCCGTAATCACCCCCTACATGGTCGACTCCGACAAGGGTAATCTTCGCTCGAATGTCTTCTGGGTTTGGGGTGGTCTTTGTGGCTGTTGCTGGCTGTACGCTTATCTTCTCGTCCCTGAGACCATGGGACTTTCGCTTGAGCAGGTTGACCAGATGATGGCTGAGACTACGCCCCGGACATCCGCCAAATGGAGGCCGACGAAAACCTTTGCATCAGAGATGGGTATGGCTGGCGATCACAAGTTGGTCCATGACGACGAACACAAAGAGTTGGCGTAATGTAGTTGTGTATTAGCTTCGTTTTCTTTGCTCATGCTTAACGGGTTTTATTTTCGCGATCTTGTACTACTACTAATCATGCAGCGTTAGATTAGCCTCTACGTAGTATTGTAACGGCTTCTAACTCGGAATTAATGATACAAAATGAATCAAATTATCATCCATAGGCTTGAATTATTCGAAAGTTTTTTGGCTTTTGGTTTAACTGGTGGGTTTCGTATTCCACGCGTCCGGATTCGTTTGTGAGGATCAAACGTAGACAATCATTTCCTTCACTCAAATTTACCAAGCCCCCGCCAGCGCATCCATATGAAAACGGCAAGTGCACACGGTACATGGATTACTTGAGGAATGAACGGACATATCACTAGACCCGTGGCGAAAATAGATCTTTGGGGTGGCTTTAAGCAAGGCGAAATCAAGCGAAATCATAGGATACTAAATCAAAGCATCAGCTGAAGAAAACAATTTGCTCATTCCGCAAGGAGGGTGGAGCTTAGCCAACGGCAGGGATTGTTGGGGACGTTTGGAAGGCTTGGAGATTGAATTTGCGACAAGAAGTGAGAGGTTGAACAGGTTGCAACTATGTTTAGTCGTCATTCAAAATTAAATTGCATGTGCTCATTCCCTGACACTCTTAGTTCCCATCTTTTACCATTGAGACGTGTCTGATCTCCAACAGGTCTTCAATCAGAAATCCTACAATTTTAACTCCCACAATCCCTGTTTCGTGGCCACGGAGAGAGGTGTGGGGCAGACTCGCGTTAGAATTGTGATAGTCCGTGAGCGTAGAATCTGCGTATGTATATGCTTCAGACATTTTGCGATGGCATAGTTGCTGATAACATATCATTCAAATTGGAGGAACACCATACGCGTCGGATTTCGTTGCATGTGGATCCCATAGGGGTACTACATCTTCTTCAGAAATCTAGTGTCCATTAACGAAAAAATGCCATCAACCTCATCCTTGGTCTCGTCTTTACGATTATAATTTTATCCTCCCGTCAGAGTAAATCTGTTTTTTGAAAATCTACGGCTGTAATCTTCAAGTTTCTAATTGTACTCATAGCGTAATCCACTGGCAGAAAGTCCATAGCTTTAACTTTATCCAGCTCCACACAGGGTATATATACCGCTACAGTGACTCAGCACTTGTACCGTATCGGCAAGGCAGAATCATCAGCATGCCCATGCTGCCGCAGCACCGGAAACATTGGGGCTTATGAAGGCTTATGACCATGCTTGAGAACTGGAATTATACTATTCCTCAGCTCCACCAAGCGCAGGACATGTGGGGGTGTGATAATTCTTCTTCGCAATGCCCGCAGCTCGTGCATTGGACATCGAAAAATCAACCATGCTTTTCAATTACCGAGTCCAATTCAGCATTTCTGGAAGCATACCTCGAGCAATTCAGCAGAGATTCGTTGGTAAGATCCACCACCGCCCTTACAGATAGTCGGTCGACGTTTTGGGTGATGAACTGATGGCTTTTGGTCGTAGGAACCAGCTTTAGGAAACTTTGTCTGATGAGTCCAGCAGCAAGTGCGCGGTGGGCAGCGTTAGGAGATGCCCCCAACGCTCTATAACACTAAACGATGAGGGATTATCGGACCAACTAAAGAGGTGAAAGCCGGAATCTTCTGTGGTGATGGAACTACCAGACAACTTGAAGAGAGGGATGGGAATGAAAAGATGAAAAGTTGGGAGCCCTGAAATTCATGATAGCTCGAAGTTTATACTATGAAAGATAACTTCGGCAGCGTTCACTGGCATGGCCGCACCGGAAGCGACAAACGATCCTGAACTGGCCACCACAATGATGTTCTCAGAACGTTTAAAGACATCTCGAGAATCAATCACAGACGTGCTGAACGCAATGGTATGCGCTATAGGTCTCGTTAAAAATCTAGGCATAAGTTTCTGTTTGTCAATTTTGCGCTGTGTGTGATTTAGATAACAGGGACTCCTTCACCGGAGCTAGTTTTTCGATCTGCCACTGTAAGCTGAGAAGTATGTATCTTCCGTTATCACGCCGTAAGAAAGAATGGTTTGTCAAATTCATTCTGTTCCTCAGGCTTGTGCTATGGGTGTAGTACTTGTTGAAAGTGCATAGTTTTGGCAAGTCAGGCAATCCAGGCAAGGTCAGTACCTCGGTACGCGTACGAGGGCCTTTCCTAGTTCTGAATCTCGAAATCGTTATCACATTTTGTATCACACCTGCCACCTGGCATATCGCCAGTCACATGATATATCAGTTTATTTTCAATAATTCCGTGGAGCAGAATTTTGGCTCTTCTTTGTCTCCCATCCGACATATAATCATATATCAGTCATCGACGTCCAGGGGTCTCAGATTTTGTTACTAGCCATTGTCAGAGATTACATCTTGAGCTAACATGCTCACAACAGGGGAGATCACTGTGGATCAGGCTTCGAACACTGTGCTTTCATTTATCGACAGCGGTTCTCCCTCGGAGTCGTATGAAACAATAATCCTGGTCCATGGGAACTCGTTCAGTAATGGTGTGTACCTCCCATATGTTTCGCCTTCTAGTATTGACATGGTTTTGATGAAAGCCGTGTTCAAACGTCTAGTATCTCGCAGTAAAGAATACAACATCCGCATCATGGCTCTCAATCGTCGAGGATATGCTGGTTCGACACCCTACAATCCGTATGAAAAGTCCGTAATTACAAATGAACAAGTACATTCAGATGAAGACAAACGCCAATTCTTTGAACAAAGAGGGATAGAGATACTACATTTTATTGATCAAGTTATACAACGGTTTGACCTTCCGCCAATTAGCAATTTTGAAGGCCGTCGAGTAGGTGGCACCGCGCTTCTTGGGTGGTCATTAGGGATCGCATTCACGCTCGCTGCTATCGCAAACGTCGATTCGGATTCAATTTCAGATGAGACACGGAAGAGGCTAAATGCACACCTGCGTGCACATATTCTCTTAGGTACTGCTATATTTTCTTTGAGGTCAGGCATATCACCAACTCCTCAGACATCAGAACCAGCAGTCATCACCATCGGCCTCAATCTACCTAAAGATTTCTGGGCCCCAACTCACGATCCTTTAATTCCAGCTTCAGCTCGTGCTTCTCTTTTTATCCACCTTATTACTTGCTACTACGACTATGACAAAGAAACCATCTCCGCGCGCGATCAGGCTGGTATTCTATCTACAGTCGCTCCGTCTCCATCACGCATACCGTCCATGTACACGTTAACTGATGAAGAACGAACGGAAATCGTCACTCCTCTGCCTCAAGACATGCATTTCTCGCATGTATTACAAGAACCGCTCAGGGAGTGGTATCTCAAAGCCTGTTTCGATGAGAAGCTCAGGTCAAGTCTGGCATTGAAGAATATGACAGTATGGCATGTGTCTGGAGACAGGTCCTATCCGTTCATTTGGCCGGCGTATTGGTTAGTACAAGAAGACGATCGAAAGGCTGGACAGGGAGAAAGTGGAAGATTTGTGCGATTCAAGCTTATGGAAGGCTGTAATCATTTTGTGAGTTATTTTACAGTACATATTACAAGGCAAAAATTTCTGATGTTGGTGTTAGATGCATTGGGATGAGCCGGATAAGACGATGTCAACCTTCAAGGATATTTTTAACTCAAGTTATACGTAGTACCAAACACTATCTAGTCCAAGACTCGGGGAATGAGATTCAGATCGAAGACGCGATCTACTGAAAGTCTTTTGGAGGAACCCCGGGGGGACTCCCCGGTATAGGGGTGGAAGCAGTTCTTCAGAATCAGATACAGCCCTATCTTCCAGTATTTACGGGCAATAAACGAAGGATGAAGATTACATAGTAGAATTGAGGGAGATGCAAGGAAGGCATTTACGATTGGCGACCTCGGCGCAGGAATCTTGAAACTAAGAACATTGTTAACTCATGTCGGAGTGTATACATTACCCGCTGGTACGACAACAGCTTTCGCAGTTAAAGTCATATTCCTCTAATTGAATTTAGCTAGTAGACTCGGCAGAGATTCCTACCCAGTGGTCTCGTCAATTCCCAAGATCAAAGTTCCTTTTCAGTCTCTAGAACGCTCATCACATCTGCCTACCTTCTCAACTCTATCACGATTCGTCCCCTGGTCACCTCATCAAGCCATCTTCGTTTTGTTGCGATGTTTCAGATCTCGGGATCCTGCCTCCGCCACTGTCTTTGTCGAGCAAATTACACAGGCTCTTGATGTCTGTCAGCTAGTTCGAGTCGCAGGATGTAGCTCCGCTGCGACTCATGGAGTTTACTTACAAAACGCGGGTCATGCCAGGACCGAAAAATGCGTCAGTCTCATTGCCGAATCGCTCGAGTTGCAGCTCTATTCGTTGGATGGAAGCCTGTAGTGTTCGCGGTGAATAGGTACGTGTACTTCCACAAAATGTTCCATCTATATAGCTCATTTTATCCTCCTAGATAGCTTTCATGAATCCAGATTTCAACGTCATCTCGCATCTCCACTATTGACACCTTCATTGTGGCTCTACACAGCTCTCCTTGAACAAACTTCCTCAAGCCATCTGCGCCTACATTCGAAATCTTCTGCTCATCATTCATTCGACCGACTTCATGACCTATAATCTCGAAAATTACAGACTACCGGGCGATATTACATGGCCTTCGGTCATCCTCACTCGAGATATGCCATTGCAGACCTACTCCCGAAAGGAGGCCTATCTCAATGTGGTGGTCGTCATCAACCCTGGTGGTAGCCGGCGGTTGGACTGACGTTTCAACTGTATCGACGTACTGGGCTTCTTAAAATTGTTGAAACGAGATGTGTTAGTGCCAAGTGGAGAGTGTCTGAGATCCTCGCGGTGAAGAAAGTTCCTTGCAACCTTTTGCGGTCGAATCCCGAATCGTCAAGAGTTATTGAATCCATGCTCGGAGAATCTCTCCAGCTTCTTCTTGTCTCAATTCTCCTTTCATCTCGATGAGCATTGGCATATATCAATCTGACAACAGTGCGTCATCGACATCATCGACTCCTGCGATTTGCTGTCATATCCGGATTTCTCCAGCGACACAGCTGAATCCATAGGAAGCGGAGGAGGGTTCAGAAACATGCAGTCAGAAAAATCGTTTCGAAGCGACGTACAACATTCGTTTCATCCATTCGTCTCCCTTCTCGAAACGCAAGTACTTTACTTCTCCTACTACCCCATCTTGAACAATGGACCACAGCTTTTATCCCTCGTTCAATTTTCGATCCCAAACGCTTCATCGACCGGTTTTCGTCAGCCACGGACTTACTCGAACGCCCCTGGTTTAACTCGCGGGCAGATGTTGGAAACGATTCCTCAGACTCTTCTTCCTTTTGGAACGGAATCAAGTAAAGCGAAGGTGTAGGATATTGTTTAGTAAATGTTCAATGCCGTGAAGAGGATATCGTACATAGGGATCGAATTGTGCTTCCTTAACGTTTGTTTTAACAGATCATCGACTGCTTACATCCTTGCAGTACCGATAAATATTCCAATGCAGCCTCATGTTTTGCAATATGAATAAGTTCGATGAACCTGGCTAATTGCCCATAGGCTAAGGCTAAGAACTAAGGAATCTTCAGTGAGTTTCACGACTGATGCAGGTCTCATTGAGCTACGGCGGAACCATTCAGCTCAAACAGTCGTTTTTCAACGACGGTCCGCGATATCATCACCTTGTTCGCTCGAATGAAACGGCAGGTAGACGAGGCATTCTGACCATTGTTTCTGATCCGATCTGTGCTTCGTGACTAGCACAACACTATAATCTATTATCTTGACTGATTTGTATTATCCTATTCTACCCAGTCCAATCATAAGAAAACTGTTTCAAGACCTAGCGGCCATTCAGTTACGCCCATATTGTGCCAGCTCATCTGCGGCGCTTTTACCTCCCATGCTATGAGTACATAGTTCAAGTACAGATTTGACTTAAGACGACAAAACCTACTTACCTGCCGGACCACAAACAGTAACGATCCCAAGTGGATTCTCGTCCGAAAATATGGTCCCTTCCTTGTCCTGCGGAGACTTCTCGAGGTATTCAAAAGGAATCACTGCCTTCATGTATCCAGGCGTCTGATAGAAAAGGATAGGGGCCTTCATTTGGTAGATATTGAGAAGGAGTGGGATGTAGGATGCACGGGCATGCTGCTTTAAAACAAACAACTGTGCAAGCAGATGGATAGATGGTGACTGAGTGCTGTTGTTGGGGGGAAAGCAGAAACGTGCTTACTTTGGATACCTTCCTCAATGGCTCTTTGCGAACAAGCACCACACACTGCAATAGATAATTGAACGAATGAACAAAATTGACTGGAATTTGTGAACCTTATCAAAGTCACTTCGAAAAAGTGATATTTAGCACAAGTGAAGTTTTTAGAGATGAGATATCAGCGCACTTTGTAGGGGACATCAACATTATAGGTTCTAAATATGCGCCTTGCCCAAGCGGATAAACAGTGGGGCTCACGACCGGAATGGTCGTAAGGGTTCTCTTCTTGTTATATTCATCTGCATTTCTCTGGCAAAGGATGGCAAAGGATGTACGTAAGTATTCTGCTTTGAAACATTTGTCGGGTCCGACTGTAAAGACTTACTTGCTTGACATATGTCATGTAGCCCAGTATAACGGTGTCCTTGTCGAGTGTTAGTTTTGGTTTGACAACCAGTTGAAGGTGTTGAACGTAAGCAGTTAATGCAGTTGTGGTATGACTGGCATCGCGACGAAGGATACCAGCTTGTGTATCGTTTGAGTCAAGGGTGGTAAGATTACGTCCATAGATTCGGGTGTTATCGACTGGTATGGCACTCGCATTGGCAATGAGTGACAAGATCGTTGAAAAGAGAATGAAAGACGAAAGGGTGATAGTCGCCAACATTAAGACTCAAGAGTGCAATTTTTAAGGAGAAATCGAGCAAGAAAAGGAAACCGGAGACCAGCTCTGGACACTGAGATTTAGAAGGGAGAGTAAGGAAGAACCTGGCCCTTGGAAATTGTAGTTATAATTTATAAGAGTGCAGAGCCGACGGAACTGCATCAAAGACACATTACTCTCGATTTGTCATACTTCTAAAAGGATAAAATGCTGGACGATTTTATCTAACAAGAACATATGATGAGATATGATGCTCTGCATAGCATCAGACTCTCTCCAACCCCACGGCGGTAACAGGATTATGTAGAGCGAGAAACAGTTACGGCTGGAAGAGGAGGAAGCACGGAGCTGCAAAGGGATGCTTAGACACTTAGGGGTGACAGTCTCCAACGAGTCAAAGCTGTACTTAGCGAAGTCATTGCCTTTATTTATAGTTGAAGATTTCCTGTCACGCTTTTGTGTTTCGACTCCTCGTGTTTTACTCCACTGACCCTACATAATAACGAGGTTAACTGGGCTCTGCCAAAGGGTCGAAGCATTGCGTTCTCACTGCTCAGTCAGATCTGGGTACACTCTTTCTGATAGCAGCTGATAGCTCCCGGAACGTTACTTAGATGTCTTTATTCCCTTCCGCGATAGGTCGCACTTTGCAAGCTCCATCGTAGTGGCCTGCAATCGATGATATCAGTCTATTTCTTGAGAACGTTTCCAAAGAGGCCGAAATTTTATACAAAAATACTCCTCACAAAATCTTACTGAGGTCTTTCAGGAATCTCTACGGCAAAATGGGATACAGATTTTTCGATCTGTGTAGAGGCCCTTTCATCTGCAAATTGCAGCACTTGTAACCACTCATTTTCTCTCAGGGATCAAGCTTTTCACGCCGTCCAAATACACAGACTAGTCAAGTTCGAAATCCTCTTCGCTGGCTCCTTCGCCAAAGAGTGAGCCGGAACTAACTCTCTCCGTGTTCTACTCCCCCGCAATCGGCTCATGGTTTTGGGATTCTGACCCCGGCTGGATCCAGAAGCCAGCCTGCGCGGTAATCTATAAAATGTGGCGTCAACGATACGGATGGGGCAGTTTTCACCTTCGCCACGACCGAGTCGTTCGTCCTTTTTCTATATCATCACAATTAACCTTACTATTTCGGCCGCTGATCATTGTCTGTTTTTACTCAGCAATAATTCACAAAAGAATAGTTGGTGGAATTGCGTACTCTGTTGGATTAGCTTCCCTCGTCACTTCCTCAGATATTTGAAGCGGTCTACTTTGCCATCCGGTCAATGTTTTAGACATGCTCTTTGTGACTTCTTTGTGGGATCCCGCCCTGCAGAAGGCTTACAATCATCTCTCTACGTCTGACTCTTTTCAATATCTTCCATGTCTTTACACTTTTTTTACTCTCTCGCCGCAAAGGGCATTCGATCCGGGAAGAGCAATATAGATAGTGCTTCGGCTTTGTCCTCTGAGAAAGGACAGTGTGGGGCGGATAGTGAACTCTGCATGGTTCGGTCAACCTCAGCACGATCAATGTTCAATGCGACGGGAATGGGGATGTTTTGCGATCTGAGCCACCACTTGTACCCCGATCAGGTTATGCACGCTGCCGACGCACCCACCTATATTGCCTCCGTCGGAAACATCAGCCAGAAAACAAGAACTTGAAGAAGGATTAAATAAACAGGATTAAACTCGCTTGACTGTGTATAAAAGGAAATGCCCTCAGGACTGTTCCTCTTTTCCCTCAACTCATCAGAAGCAGCTGGTCTGTTGTCCTTCCCATTTCTTCGTCTTCCTCTGAAACTCTGCTTTGGACATTTTCCATCATGCGTTTCCTCGCCGTCCTCACCTCTCTGAGCGCTGCCATTTTACTCATGGCTGGTAAAGCGAGTGCTGTTGCGAACTCTGCGCGTGAGTTGTGGTCTCTGTTCAACATTGCCAACACTCATACACTCGAATCATCTTTCAGTCAATGCGTGCAATTGCCCAAATAACTGTGGTTACAAAGTGGATTCTTCGTGCAAATATCACGACAGTATTGGTATTGAGGATGTAACAATCTCCGGAAGTAAGCTGGACCGACCTTGATAACAATCGGCTGGATTAATGATAATTCTCTCTAGCATGCCAGATAAATGCATACCAAAAACTGGTGTGCAAGGGGGGATCGGCGACGAAGAGGAAGAGAATGGTGCGAATTCGCCGTCGGGAGAGAATAAACTATGTATGAATCTATGATCGTTGGGTTTGTAGTACACTGCGCCTAGTAAGGGATGCTAACAGATCTAACACGTTGAAATTCTTTCGAAAATGTTGATACCGGATTTGGACCTCGGATTTCTGAATACCACCAAATACTGTGCTTGCCTTTCATTATGTAGCTGATGGAAATTCGAGTCTATCTTGATGTATATGATATCCCATGAGCAGTCCATGAACATTATTGAAGTCAAACGAGTGAATTGATTGAACAGACCTGGGCGTCAATAAGGCGTCAAATATCTTCTCTTCTCACCATCGTCTTGCCACTCATCGATCATAATCCAAGGAGGAATGGAAGGCGCGCGCCAATGCGTAGTTGTTTTATCTTGTATTATCACTCAGAAATAATCATTTCAAATACCCGCTTGCATCAAAATCTCCGCACTCCTTCGACCTATCATGCTGTCTTGCAGCCCAGGGACCTGAACGCTTTGCGGATGCGACACCGATATCTTTCAGCTGTTTGATTTCTAACTTCCTCTCTCTTCCAAAGACTGATATTAGTAATTTGTTTGAATAATTCCAGCTTATGTACCTCAAGCGGTATCAACTAGTAATAGACCCGTTATGTCTATGCCTGTCCATACTGTAGCCAAATAACGCGCGGCCACTCAGCGCAACAACCTGTTTATTCCGGTAACAGACTCGCCAACTTTCCTGCAGAGCCGCAAATTCCTGTTCCTCCAAAAGGTCGTGCGCAAACCCCATATCGCCCTACCATTCCACCTCCAGATGACGATGAAGAAGACGAACCCCCTCCGCCAGTCGTAGTACCTTCTGTTGTTCCGTACATCTACCCTCCGTTTTATAGCATCGACAACGACGCTCTGAACCTCTATATCATCAAATTATACCTCCTCCGCCTCCCGTAGACTCTACCCGTCAATCTGCTTTTGACCGTCCATTATGGTCTTCTTCCGGGAACCCGCTCCCCGAACCCCCTCGTGGCCCATTCAATTCAGAAGCATACAACAGCCTGGACAAAGTGTTCCTCTCGAGCTCGCGGCAGGAAGCAAACGTTGTCTGAAATCCAGCCTCAGGACGTCGCCAGAGACCGTGTACGTCTGGGCGACGTTAGGCTAGTCCCGTTTTCTGTCCTTGTTGAACGAGTCAATGGTGAGATACCGTCTACGCAGGCTGCCTCCAGATATGTTCCTCAGAGGATAGACACCTGCCTGCAATGCTTCGTTGTGCAGAAGTAAATGAGATAGCTATGGATGGGGTCATTCCCCCTCCACCGGTACTCGAAGAGCAAACAGGAGGTAATCCGCTGTTCTTGGTAATGCTTGGACCAAGTGCTGCCCCGCTGTTGGTCCATCACAGATCAACGCCCCCTTCCCGGTGATTACGGTTCCTCGTGCACCTTCCGCAGACCAACAACCCATTTTCCCTCCGGAATCGCCTGAACGGTATGTATATCTTCACCCAATACTCGCCAACCTATCAAGGTTTCTTTCCCATTACCCACACCGAGTATTGCACAACAACTTCTACCAACCGCCGCCCATCTACACGAAGCCCTCAAATATCTTCCCAACCATCGCCGCCCGAATCCGCCTATGCGTTAACCTGAACCACGTCTATCCCCTCTCCGCAGCCAACACGGCCTACGTCCGTCCAGATTGGGGAGCGATCTTCCTCGATGAGATGGAGACAGTACTCGAGCTCAAGTTCCGCCAACAATCCCAGGTTTGGACAACGTATCTACGGTGGCAATTCATTTGGAGGTTTAGAGATCTATGGAGGCACTTGTACTGCCAAGGTGGTTATTGGTGCTGATTCGGGCGACGCTCCGAAGCAGAAGCCATAATTCGGCCAGAAAGATTATTTTTCCAGCCACCCTCAAGAAAGAGGTTCGTCTTTGAGTTTGCTTTGCCTTCACTTGACTTATCTTCTAATCTTTAGTGACCAAAGGTACGAACCTGTTTCGTCGTGAAGTTTCAAGCGCAAGATAGATTCCGCGTTCGTCGGTTGGACGGGACAGAGCCACTTGTGGGTGTTGGTTGAGAGCTGCAATCAAATGCTCAAGAATTGAAGACGGATGGGGCTTATTCTTTTTCGTTTCAGTTTTATACTCTACCCTCCCTTGCTCCTGTATCCTCATATACTATATCTTCTCTAAATCTATATTCACGGACTCCTCTCCAGTTTTGGCAGGGATGACAAAGCCCGGTTATTCTGCGTCTTGCTTCCCGACCCGAAATTGAATGCGCCAAATTACCAGCACTACCTGCGTTGGCCTCTCGAGGATACTAGGCGCGTCATCAAGCAGGTCAATATTTACGACGAAGTATGTCCTAGACAGCGGAATTTGGGCATTAACGACAAAGAGCATGTTTCATCCCAAGCTATCAAAGGACGCAGCGTCAGTTGCTTATTTGTAATATCAACCGGTTTCACTCTGACAATTGGAAAATCCCGTTTTCTCAAGTTAGTCCCAAGAGTTACTCAAACTTTATATGCTTCTAGGGGGGTTGGTGACGTGCCATGCTAGTTGAACTTCCATTAAGGTATGTCTCTATTCACTGAGTAAGCCATGTAGAAAAAGATGTACTTCCCGCTTTTTTTTGCGGTCCCCTTTCCGACTTGAAATTCGTATCTTACCGTCGGGTTATGATCGATCGTCGATTGCCTTGACGTTGCTATTAAAATAGGCTAGAGAGGACCCAAGGATATTTATTGACTGCTGGCAGTCCCCCACCACTTCAGACGGATTTCGACATTCTCTACTCAACCCTTCGATTTATTCGCATCACCAAAATATGCACTTCAGTTTTGTTTTCGCTACGTTTGCGCTCGCTTCGATTGCGCATGCTGCGCCTCTGCCAAATGTGAGCGACCGCATCACGTATTCAGAGAAAGTCGTTAATTGTATATCTAGGTTGACCATAGTACCAGCTTGGATATGAGCCTCGAGCCCTATGTGACCCGGGCTTTAGAATTCAGTGCCCGAGCGGATGCCAATCCGCAAATCCTCAAGGTCGGGATCAGATTCAGAGATGCGAGGGACGAGGTAGCACCTACGTATCGCAATGGCGCTCTAACCGCCCAACGGAATTCGGATCCTCTGCAATACCGGTTCAATGTTCCAAACCGAATCGTGCAACGTGCGTCAATGCTCATAGACAGCTTCGCACAGGCCAAAGGTCTTGGGCCGGCCAATGTATTCCCAAAGAATGATTTTCCTTACGACAGCGCGGATACGGACTTTTCTTTCACATTCACGATGGGAGAGTGTATTAGTGAACACAGCGGCTACTGTTGGGCAAAAATCAAAAAGGACGGATCAGGTCATATCAATCTGGGCGGACCAGATGGGCGTCAAATTTACGAATATCCTGCCCCACAGACTGAAGGAGGAGGCAGAGGAGGAAATAGGCAATGATGGTGTGGTCTTCCGCCTATCTGTGTATTAAAGTCGACGGCAAGGCGAGTTAGTTTAATATTCTCAGTGGGATGACTTTGTCGAGGTTCTTGCCTCAGAAGTTGATGTGATTCAAGTTGTCGAGTAGAAACACATGAACTGCTTTGTAGCCAAGGTACTACTCAGTCGAGACTCAAATTGGTATATGGTATCGATCTACTTCCTTGGGGTGTCATTCTACTTTACCTCCTTAGTAAGCTATCCAACACCTACTTCTTGGGACCGCATACGAACAAGACGAGTTCACTTCCATGAACCACGGAATCCGTGGGGTCCTATCCGACCACCCAGTTAACAACAATTCAAACGTTCAGGTCGTATCTGGCGCACAGTTGTGAAAATTTGAACAGTGATCAGGCTCTTGGGCAAGTAATTTGAGGTTATCATAGATACACTGGTATGCTGTACACGTGTGTTCAAAGTGAGTTTACCGTAATCTTTCCCTCCTACCTTTCTTCAAGTATTCCTCACTTTTTTCCACTCTCGTACCCCCCCTCGCTCTTGCAAAACTAGGAAATATAGAGCGAGATATTGAGGTTGGGGGTTCGGAATATCTAACAGGCCAGATTATCTTTCTCTTTTGAGATTTAAGTCAATGTCAGGGTGTCATACCGTCGACGTAGGGCGTTTCATACTATTACTAGTAGTCTGGTTTTGAGCGTCGATTTGGTCGAAGTCAATCGATGATCAAATCCTCCTAGGGCCGTCATTTTCTTCCTCTGCTGCTCTCCTAATCATCCACTTTATACGGTTCCTCATTGTTCTCTTATGTGGCCTCCACCACCACCATCTGTTCTCCCCCTTCACCCTTCTATCCCTCATGAATTCGTTTCTCCAGTGCGTACCCTCACGACTCTCACATTCATGCCTTTTCCCGTTTGCATTTCCGTTTCACCTGGTATGCAGGGGGTTTCAGGATTACCTATTCTCCTGGCTGCGCTCTTACTAAGTTTGTCTTACAAAGTCTGTTGTACCATTGGCTAAAGTTCGTCAGCGGGAATGGGTACGTACCAAATATATCTTTCGCGTCATATGATGTGCGTCATGGATCCGTTCACGTTCCGTCGTCCCTGCTCGTTTGGCCAGGGCCCCCCAAGTCGGACTATGAACCAGTAGCAAAGCCCTGGCAAAGCCTGAAAGCAACTCTCTCCAGCTCTGTCCAATTGGCCTAGCCCATGTACAGTATCACCCTATATATTCTAGGTTGTTGATTTGTTGCGTAGAGGCTTTAATATGATTCGTCAACGCCAACCTCATGGTTCCTCGAATTTCGGTACTGACCTTCGAATTCTTTGAAATATTTGAATCCCTTCGTCAAATCTCTAGCCACAACCTCCTTTCTGGCACATATTTTCAGACCGTCTTGGACAATCCTCTAAGGCTACACAATCCCTCAGGAGCCCCCAGGCCCAAGGCCATTACATATCAATGTTGTATTGTACCCGAAATTGGTGGAGCGGTTCCGAATTTGGATAATCCTGCTTTCTCCACACTTCCTTCCGTCGGCTATGGCGCATAATACCGCACCAGCTATCCCAGCCTGTTCCCTCCTGTTCCTCCCTTCATAGAACCTCATGACCAGCAATGATTGAAATTTCAATCCAGGCGCCACGATATGCAGTCAGACGGTACGCCCTTGCTAGGCCCCTGCTAGAAAAAGACCCATCTAAAATGGATAATCAGCGCATCTCAAAACGGCTTATCTGGACCGGCGTGAATTCTCGTGAATTCCAAAACTTTGAAACGCGTCGGTATAGGTTGTTCCCATCAGATGGATATAATCATGATTTCGGTATTCAAATACGTCCCAGATCTATCGCGTTCAAGTGCGTTTTTCCGCATTTAAGCGATTCATTAGCCCCTTCAATAATACCCTTTCACACCTCATAACACCTCATAACGCCTCCATCTTTCTTTTCAACTTCTCCCATCGCAAATCGTCAACCTCAGTATGCAAGGACATTCGCGTCAACCAGATACCGTTTTCGCGCTTGAAGAAAGCCAGCTCGAATATATTGAGCACGTTTATGCACCAAGGCGCTACTCATCTTCATCCACCTCGTCCTCTGATTATTGGGGCTATAGTGTGTATCTATCATAGTATTGTGATATAGAATTGTTACTGACGAGTTGTGTCAATAGCTTCTGCCTCCGAGTCCTCTTCCTACTCATCTCCTCCCGATACTTCTCTGGACCATATCCCACCAGACTATGTCTCACGACAGAGGTACCCGTCTTCGCGCACTTGGTCAAACAACTCTGTTGATCATATGGAGTTCTCGTCCCTCCCTCGTACTATTGATTCGTACAATACATCTTTACGAAGTACGGAATCTACGGATCTTCGACATCAACCTACTTTCAAAGTCGAAGTAAATATGTGGTCCACTCCTCAAATTTCACCGTATTGGCCAGAGACACGCCTTCCCAGATCATCTATTCCATCGGGGAACGGCGTGGCCATGCCCAGCATCGATCCTTCTGAAACTAAACCCAATATATATCTAAACCACCACTATACGCTACACGGATCCTGTTCACCCCTATCTACTGTATCGACGATATCCTCATCCTCGCCATCTCCTTCTCCCGTCATTGACGGTGCTCCCAAACTAGGTCGGAGGCCCAACTCCAAAGCGTCTTCTAAAATTTGCTACCATTGTCACGCCACCTCGACGCCCTTGTGGAGGCGTGAGCCCTCGACCCTCCGAACCCTCTGCAATGCGTGCGGTCTCTATCTACAGCAGCGGAACAAACTTCGGCCGCAGGAGCTCATTGATGCTGATGCTGAACCTGAAGATGACAAGTCGGACATGTCCGACCAGGATTCTGAGCACCCGGGACCTCAGTGCACCCACTGTCGTACTCGGCATACTTCGGTTTGGCGAAGGAGTAAGGCGGGTGCTCAGCTCTGTAACGCATGTGGCGTTTATGCCAGGCTTCGAGGCAAGGATCGACCTTTGTCATTAAAGCGGAAGAAAATTAAACCTCGCACCAAACATGCTAAACCTGTGGCAGGGAAGAATTGAACGTCCTATTTTCTTTGACGGGGTTCTCCGGAATTATTTTTCTTTCGGTCACATATGTTTAGGAATCAAGTATTTATTTTAAATCGCAGCGGGTTGCACATTAGTATCGCAAAAAAGTACATTTCATTATCCAATCCAGATCCAATCTACATATGTATATTCAGACCGACAAGAAATGTCTGCGTGCGAGAGTAGGGAGAGGTTCGTAGAGTGTTCAGCATGAGCAATCAGATTATATCTTCTCAAAGATTTGCGTGTCAAATGGGGAAATGCACAATTGGAGATGGCGAGATTTCAATACAGGCTATAACCAATCATTATCAGCATTATAGTATATATGTACAGGCTGTTGCTGCACACCTCTAAGGAATGGTTAGGAAACTTTGCACCGCTCATAAGTATACAGTATTATCTTCTTGAAGCGGACATTAGTAATTAGCAACAACTGGGCAGGATTTGCAAAGCCTAGACTTGGGGAGCTGATGTATTTTGCACAGTTTGATTCACCCGTCGCTGAAATAAAGGCTCTGTCAGAAACAAAATACTTTTAATTCAACCAGACTTGCATGCAACTTATACGTGGCGTTGAAGCTTCATCTAATCTCATTCCGGTCATAAAACAGCTGAATATTGCTACCTGGTTGCCGCTTCTCAATCCTGCCGGGAAGTGTTATGGTCAATAAGTACACTATTCTGGATTCAATCAATGAAGTATGCGCGCGCGCAAATGAGGTTCAACACGCCTCGCCAACCGTGGAAAGTACAACCGCAAATCCGACCACCAAAGCCTTCAGTGAACAAGGAGCGCAGCTTTAGGAGGGTGTTATCAACGGTGGCGGGTATCGGGTATTATTCGTTCTTGATGAAATCAAGTCGGAAAAGATAATGAAGGTGTGTAGTTTGATGCATCTTTGACGCTGGAATAAGACCATGCTCAGGAATCGCTGAACGGGCTCTTCCGATGACTCAGGTATGCGTTCTTCGACTGGGACAAGGGGAATGCCCCCAGCCTTGTAAGATGATGCTCGCGGTCAATTTGAAAACATTGCGAGAAAAAACGGACCGGACCGGCAACCCACGACTTACTACATAGCTTTAACCACAACCAACACCGCTCAATTGAGGTTTGAAATCCACTGTTATGCCGTTTCAGCCAAACTGAATTCTACATCGAACAACTAAATTTCAGGTCGAAATCAATCAGCCATCATGAACCTGTCCATCCAATATCTTAGCGCTTAGGTCTAGCACGCTTTCGAGAAATCGACGGAAGATGGGCTAAAATCAGCGAATGCCAAATGAAGAGGCAAAATTTTACCGCATAGCTGAAAGCTGTATGAATGCATGGCGGAGGAAACAGCTTTTCACAGTATGTTTAGCAATCTTATGATACATTAGTCTTTCAATTGTCAATGATTCTCACTCAGTCACTAGCTCCCAAACGTCCTCCCCACTCTGAATTCCTCTCAATCCACGGAATCTGTACCTTCCTTGGAGAAACTCGATCCTTTGTCTTCCTTCCCAAGCATCCAATCCATCCCCGTTTCGCTCGTGCCGTTGGCTTCTCCTTCTTTCCACCCTTTTGTTCAAATCCGTGCAAATCGTATGCAGTACATCCAATACCGTGACATGTTCTGATACCGAGCGATGCACGGTGATAAACCATGGCAACAACGGATGCGTGATGGTCATTGATGGAAGAGGTGGCTGCGTAGCTGGATCAAATATCCCCGCCATCGCTGCTATCATCAAAGTTGAGTGTATAGCGTCCGGCGACGACGACAAATCAAGATCAAGAACGGTCGTCGAAACTGCGGTAGAGGTTGAGGCGCTGCTGTAGGTATGAGATGGGTTTGAGGATGTGCTTACTGGATGTCTGTAATAGTGGATGCAGAGAAAAAGGCTCACCAACGCTGCTTTGGGAGGGAAGAGGTATAGGAGCGTATGGCGAGATCGAGTAGTGCAGCGCAGGCGGCGCGAACGGTGGTGGTGTTCCAGTGTATGTCCGAAATGGTATAAACGGCGGTGCAGTGGTGATGACGTGTCCTGACGCACGATGGACATACGGTGATGAGGGCAAAGATGGTGTGAAGGACTCTGGTCTGTTCAAACGTACAGACGGCAGACTCTGGTATCTCCTTGTCAGATTCGTGTTCCGCCCAAGGCTGGGTAGAACTTACCAACTCCGAATCACTCAAAGTATATCGCCTAACGAGTGGGCGATGGCGTTGATGGTACGGCGAAGAGTAATCACGGATAGTGTTCAAATGCATCATGCAGAAGACTTGATTTGAGAATCTGCTAATCGAGTGGGTTTTTGTCTATGAGCAATTGTCCATCGAGTCCTTACCTGTATCTTAGCAGTGTATACAACTGCACAACGAACCAAAGCAACGTCACAGATTGAGACCAAGCGATGGTCGATTTCACGGGCGCGAGTAGTGGGGGTAGTCTGTATAGAAAAAGGCAAGCGCAATTGCTCTCGATTCCTCTTCCTTTTAAACTCATCACACGCTACATTCACTTCTTTTGGTAGACCGGATATGTCATATACGTTATGTTGTATTTCAACGCAGTCACTTTGCATATCATATCCTGTTCATTGCATAAGGCACTCAAGCAATTAGAAGACAAGTCGACTGAGGCTCGGAGATGTTTTCCATATGGGGTTTCCCGGTGTATTCTATGTAATACGAAGTCGGCTTATCATATCACAGGCCGCGGCCAATGCAAGGATGACTTCCCTCTGTGCCGCAGTTCCCCAATCGCGATTTACACTCCTGATATACCTGATCTCAGTTCCGAAGGGCTATCTCTGTAGTCATGACCAAGCCTGCTTGTCCCTCTCCTCTCGTTCCCTTAGCTTTCTCGAGTTTCAAAACACAATTGCACATCTTGGTTTCATTAACTTGAAGATCTTTCATCCATCTGATCGGGGAAGTGAATGCCTGGTTTTCTTCCCCTTTCTGTGCTCCATGTGCCCCAAGGCACCTTGTACTTGCTTCCAGTCATCACCTTTTTTCTTTTCCGGTTACCTGTTTGTTCCTCAGTAAGTCTTATTCCAAACGGACTCTTACCTATTCCTCTCCACTACTTGGGTGAGAAAGAACAATTGGGAACTTTACCTCTAGATATTATCTTCGGAAACAACAACAACTAAAACTAGTTGACCTGGTTTCCAAATTCCCGGGAGCCCCTCCAAAATCTAACATGTCCGAATGTCCGTCTTTGGCGTGTCCCAAATCTATATCTCCGGTCGTCACGCAACTCCTACGTATCTGCATCCTCGTTGTACTGGGACAGTGGCTTGTGATTTCAAATTCCTAGACGTCTGCTTCCTCAACTGTTTCTGGCATACAAAGCGAAGAGAACATCATCGTTTAATGAAACTGATGAAAGGAAGGAGTGGCTTGTGCTAGAATGTCTAATCTTGGATGCTAAATTATTCGTTATTGCAATTTGTTTCAAGTTGGCGTCAATCACGAGAGGAAGATGTTCTTCACAATATACCTGGACTACACCGTGCTTCCATTCTCATCTAATTCTCTCTCCCCAACAACATCATGGTAAAACGCGCGAGTCCACGTTGTCGAATGCCCACAATGACCGCCACAATCTCACTGTAGTATTCTGATATCGCTGATGACAGCGCTACCTGTCGTGGTCGGGTAAGCATTCGCACAAGTTGCACAGCAGTGACTGATTGTGACACAAGCTGTAAAATCATCTTCAGATATTTCGTTGCAAGTAGTCTGAGCCCTTCAGGTCCCAGGCTCTGGTCAGCCGTAGGCGAATGATCTGATTAGTGTCGAATGTTATTTGGTACATTATATTACTTGAAAAGGCGGCGGGTAGTGAGCTATATTCGCTTCCTTCCCCCTTCAACCATGTACTTAAGTCTTACCCCCCAATCTGATCCAATTGTAGACATGACGGCTGTTTTCAAGAATGACCTATTCAAAGGAAAGGTGTTGTTTTTCACCGGTGGGGCTGGGGCATTGACAGAGCGGCAATCATCCAGGCTGTAAATTTTTTTTTGGTTCTTGTGCTGCTGATATTAAATTGACAGTATCTTCGTGGATACAGATGTGGCATGGAGGAAAAGCAGTCATTGTCGGTCGAAAGTAGTATCACTGAATCACTCCAAAATGAGAAGTTTTTTTTTTTGTTTTCTATTTTATTTCCGCAGTGGCGACCGTCTCCAACAAGCTGCGAATGAAGTCTGTCAAGCTACGGGAAGTAGCTGCATCCCCGCGCAGGCCAACGTAGGAACAGCTGAAGGGCGCAGTTGAGCGAGCCGTTGAAACGTTTGGACGAATTGATTTTGTGATCTGGTGCGCATAATTTTTAGTTGCTCCAGCTACACCTACTAAAGCTTGTCCGGAGCCTCGTTTTGCTATGTTGATGGGTGCCGCAGCTAACTCCTTATCCACGATATCTGATCTCTCAGAGAACGCGTTGAAAACCGTGATGGAAATCGATACGGTGAGCATTTTATTGGATCCTCGACTGACCATTTTAACCAACGGTGATTCAACAATATTCAAGCCACACTTCCTGACATGCGAATTTCCAGGGTCGTACGTCCACATCACTATGACTCTTCACCACAGAGGTCAAGGTCTGTACTGTACACTTTAAAAAAATTCTAGACTCCGCTGCAGCGTTCTTACCCCCCGATCCCTACATCTCTATCGATTGTGTCTGCTCAGAATGCTCAGAGTTGCTCACACTCATATTGTGAAAGAAGTGCACCATCGCCTACCATCCTTCTATAAGATGGCACCACAGGAAGCTCGATTCCTGATATTACTTTAATATTTGTAGAAAAAGTTGTGAAACCAAACGGCAACAAACTAAGAAGTGGATGACTGACATTAAGTATACAGTTGTATATCCCAAAGAGACATGGAACGGATACTCCGATTTTCATGTTGTAGAAACCTACCTTATGAATAGCTTGGACTAGAAGCTCCAGGATCAACAACGCAGAAGCGGGTAGTATACAATGAGAAATCAGTGCTCACTGGTTGCCATGGGCCAAGATAGGAACACAGGGTTCTTGTCCGTGTATACTCATATTCACCATTCACGCCCAAAGCACTGAGCGTCGACTCCAACCCAGTCATAATACCTTGTACTCTTCACTATATCTTAAATTCTGGTGGGTCGGTGGTAAACGGATAGACCATCATACCAAGGAATGACCTGATAAGCCCTATACAAGAGAAACATCTTCGTTAACCAAGAAAGGTCCCACTCAATGCCATGAATTCAAGGGGCAATATACTCTACGACAGCACCGTGTAATCTATGTATGATCAAATCGAAGAATCCCAAACCTCCGAAAGAAAAGGTCAACTCATCGTCAGACAGGGATGACACTAATACAACTCCACTCTGCGAAAGACATTCTTGAACGAAGTTGGACAAGCATCTATTGTCCGTCCGCTTCTTCGTTGCAACACGCTCAAGAAGAGAGAACCACCCCCGATAGTCTGGGGAGCCTTGACGCATGATATATATATATAGATTTTGGTCTGTTGAAAGTGAGAGTGGGAAGGGCAAATAGTGCTTCACCCCAGTGCCCTGCAACGAGTCGAAGAAAACATGGCAAGAAGTACAGGGATTGGTAACATGGTTCAGATCGAAGCCACTGGATATTTCGATAAGACTTAGGTCCAAAATGTAAGCAGAACACGTACAATTGTTTGCTTGTTTCAGTTGTCTTCGCGTCTATCTTCGACCACCGCCACTTACACCTCCAACAAGCACCTCAAAGAACATCGGGTCCACAAGTAAAATTTCAATGCACAAGCCAGATGAAGACCATTTCAGCAAAGAAAAAAAGTTATTTAGGAAGCACAAGTAGTACGACGCCATACACAAAAAAAAGTGTACCCAGAGCTGATTAGCCACCCAGTCAGTAGGCGTAAAACGACAAGACGACATGCCCAGCTCCGGCCTATTTCCTCTACTCGTCCAGCAGCAAAACTTTTGAGAAAAAGAACCAAAGTTTGACCATAACAACTATGGAAAATGTTGGACGAGATGACTGTAGGGAAAGAAAAAAAAGGGCTCGGCTCTTTATTATACCGGTGCCATCGGCGATGTTTGGGCCGGAACTAAGCGGATGACACTTTTGGGCGACGAATGGCCGGCACTGGGCTTGTGCTATTCCTACAAGCCAGTAGTGGCCACGATCAATGTAACCACTAAGAGGACCAGGAAAGTGCCATGCCATCCTTAGTCGAAGACATGACTTAGTGAAATCTAGCCATCCTTCAAACACAATTCAACTTGTCGATTTAAACACCCTTGTCACTCTAAATACCTATGTATCATCTCTATGGTGAAGCCATAGAGCCCATCTCAATATCCTCTGGCTGAGCACCAATCTTGAGAGATTGATCTTCTACTATACCTACTGCGTCCTTCCCCGCCCTCTCCCTCAGTGCCTCCTTCGCTTCCTTCTTCAACTGTTCCTCATCTCCCCTCAAAAGCTCCTTATGTCCAATCAGAACAACGCTAGCCACAAACGCGAGAGTGGTTAACGCAGCATTGAGGATGAAGATATTTTTGAAACCCTTGTTGTATCCTTCAACGAGGATATAATCAGCTTGGGAGGTCGAGATTCCGAATTGCGCGAGATAGGAGGATTGCTTGAGTAAGGACGGGTTGTTTATTATGGACGATATAGTATCGGAAGAGAGGGAAAAGGGCTCCATAGATGCACGCATTGCGTTATTCCTGTATATCGATGAGGTTTACTTACGTGGAGATATGACTCGAGAAAGGTATTCACAGTAGAGCAGCGGAGGAAGGCAGAGCGAGTGCACCACCAAGCATCCTTAGGAACTGATAGATAGAAAGGAACAATAATTAGCATTGACTGAGGGCCTCTGAGAATGGCATAAAAAACACGATACATGCATTCCTAACTGCAGAAACCACAGCCATGTCCTTCCTCTCAACACTAGCTTGAGCAGCAACAGTTGTTGTTTGCATTGTCTGATATTTATATGAGTCGAAGTTAGCGCAAACAAAATTCAGTAATGGGTATGCGTACCGCCCCTACACCAAGACCTGCAATAACCATGAGAACAACCATGACAACTCGACTCGTCTGGGCAGTAAACATGGTTATACAACCACACGCAATAGCAAATGTTCCGAAGCCAAGGTAAATCATGAACTAATAAGACACATTGATGAGCTTCTTTGACGAGGGTTCGAAATGAACGCACTCGATATTTTCCTGTACGGCTGACCCATAATCCCTGAACCATTTGGTATGATGATGAGAAGCTACTTTCAGAGGTGACAGTGTTTGAATTTACTTACCGCGCCTATTCCGGAGAAAATTCCCGGTACGAGGAATGGGATGATGAATGTACCTGGACAATTAAAGAGCAAATGGAGGTAAAGGCTGGCAAGGACAATACTAAAACATACCAGAACGAGTGGGTGAATAACCTAAGATGACTTGAAAAAATTGGGGGAGGTAGAATAGCATAGAAAAGTATACAAATCCGCTATGTCAAAAGAACACCTAAGTTATAAAGATGTTGGAGCAGCGAAGAAGTAAACGTACTTGACAAACATGCAGATATATACGCCGACGACTGTCATGTGCCTGAAGATATACACTGAACAAAGAACAATGAGAACCCATAATCCATTCACCAAAGGATTAAGATATACTCGGAACGAGCGGGAGCCTCGCTGCTTTGGATTCCCATAAACAAAACATGCCAACTGCGACTATCCCGGCAATTAAAGGCCCTAGGACAACAGCTGAATTCCAAGGGAAGGTAACACCGCCCTGAGGACAGTAATGAGCATAGTCATTGGGATTGATTGAAGGAAAGTCTCCTTACCCAGACCAATGGAAGCATGATCATCGTACAGGCCGCAAGAGTTAAGAATACGCCTACGTAGTCAATCATGAGTAATTTGCTAAAGGAAAAATTGCAAAGGTCAATTCATCTAAGAAATATGACGACAACTTATGTACATACCTGCGCATGTCTCCTTGTACGGGCTTCAGAGGCAATAGAAATAATATAGCTATGCTTGCGAACAACGCCACTGGAAGAGTGATCCAGAAAGCCCACTATAACAAGAAAACATTGAGCCATACATGTAGCCTAAGGCAAAGATCTCTACTTACACGCCAACTGACGTGCTGAGCGAGAGCACCACCTATGATGGGGCCAACTGTATACCCAGCAGCAGTCACAGCTCCGGCATATCCTATGAACTTTCCTCTAGAGTGAAATCCGGTGAGCAAACAATCTTGACCAGCAAGGATTTCACATACCGATCCCGCAATGAGACGATATCGGAGACCACTATCTGAACCATACTAGTTGCACCTCCATCTCCTGCACCCGCGATCGCGCGGAAGACTATTATCTGGATCATAGACTTCGAAAATCCTGCGATTAAATTGCCAAATATATATATCCCCATTGCCAAGATAATAGCAGCCTTTCGACCAAAAATATCAGAAAGACGGCCGTACAAAGGTTGGAAGGCTGTCGAAGTCATCAAATACGCAGCGGGGATCCAGGCTGAAACCGAGCCAGCGTTGAATGCCGATGCGACGGTGGAAAGAGAGGCGGAGATGATAACTTGGTCCAAAGTTGTGACAAGGTTACATAGGGAGAGAGCGAAGAGGACGATAATAATTTGACGTGGAGGAAGTAATCTGGTCTGGTCCGTTAGTTGAGGTTCTTTTGGTTGTGAAACAACATTGGCATTAGGCACTTCAACGAATTCTGTCGGTTGTATCGAAGTCGTTATTGAATTCTGAGACATGATTGCAATGGAAGATAGGAAGGAAGGTATACAATGTGGAAATCGGAAAGTAACCGAACGCTGATGACTCGAGATGAAATGACTCCTACTTACAACCAGCACGGTATTCAGACGGTATTGGTAATATTACAGTGAATTTATGATAGAAAAGTATAAATTCGCCTTTGGTCAGGTTGTGTTGATTCTAAAGACTGTGTCTTGACTGTGTCGATGTTTATTAATATTGTTGAGAGGGAGATCGGAAATTCGACCGCCTGCTTTGACCCGTGGTATACCGGAGCCGTTCTATTACATCCTATTACATCTCTTTTGAATGATTACAGCGATGTCTATCTCTGAGGACCGTTCGTCTATCTCTGAACACCACCACCACCATCACGACGTCGCTCATGGGCGAAGTCATGACTACGCGGAGGCCAACAAAGCCTATTTCAACTCTTCAGATCTTGCCACTGAGCTTGCTGATCACCCGGTTTTTGTCGAGTTTGCGAACACGTAGGTATTCGCGCCTCGCTTCTAGGCAGGTTCACTTATTCATATCTTGTTCTAATGATAGCGTCGGGGCAGCCTTGCGCGACACGTATCCGTTTGACCCAAACAGTAGTACCGCTCTTGACTTTGCCTGTGGGACTGGTAAGTTGAAATTGAGCTTGATAGATACCGATCGGCAGTGATTGTGTACAGGTCTCAGCACTCGTTCCTACGCCCCGTATGTAAAATCCGTGCTCGGGGTCGACATTAGTCAGAAGATGCTGGATCAATACATCAGGCAAGCTCATGCCAAAGGTCTCGCTGATAAGATGTCTTGTGTCTGCACCGAGCTGAAAGGCGTGGAAGGCGAGTTAGACGGCGCCAAATTCGACGTTGTCACTGTAAGTGTGATTAATCCTTGAGTTTTACCACAATCGTAATCTGGGTCCCTTATTAGTGTGTCATGGCATATCATCACTTTGGATCTGTTACAGAAATCACCTCGATACTCGTACGCTTCCTCAAACCTAATGGAATGCTGGTCGTAGTGGATATTGAAGCTCCAAGTATTCCTGGCAAAGCTCCTACAGATGTCAATAGTTTAGTTGTCGAGGGATTGCAAGATCTTGGCCACGTCGCCCACAAACGTGGATTCAAGGTTACGGAAATGAAGGAGTTGTTCGAAGGGGCGGGATTGGTTTCCTTCGATATGAAACACCTTACGCATGTGAAAGTGGAGGGCAAGTTTGAAGTTGACACGTTTTTGGCCGTAGGGTTTAGGCCGGTTGAAAAGTAAGGATCACCATCGTCTGTCTTCTCTTCATGGGCTTGTGTGTAAACTGGCCACGGAGATCTGTACTTGTCACTTCAATCTTACTATGTGCTCGAAGGACGTCGACTTTCTCAATGTCGTTTTCAAGATAAGAAGGCTCTGAAGGGCCCTCAACTTCCGAGTCTGCGATCTCGAAGAATAAACGTTAAACCTCGTTAAACACTGTGCTTGCTGGTCGTAGAACGGCCTAGGTGCGTGAAGTTTGAACGCGCGGTTTGGACATAGACCGGCTCTCACAGATGCTTCTTCAATGGATAGCTAGAGAACGTTCGAACTTGAATGAATGTATCTTTCACATAATTACTACCCGAGTTATCACCTAGAAAAGCCAGTAACTGAGCCGTGCTATTCTCGACGCTTTCCTTGCAACTTACAATACACGCAGCTGACAACGTCTAAATAAGGCACGTGTTAAATCATCGTGAGAAAAGATAGAGAATACATCGTCACGCATTGAGTCGAGCACGCGTCGATCCTCAGGCTTCCATCCAAATATTCATCATTGTATACTTCATCTCAAGAAGAACAGCGACGGACGAAAGTAAGCATTCATTAGTTGCCCGTGATATCGAATCCATGTGCTCACTGCTCAGAATGCTACCGGCCTCATAAAGGCAGTTCCCATCTATCGGAATGCCTTTGGTTATCCAGGAATTATTGTCTCTGGGTTTCTTGGACTTCGTTCGCGGCACACTAGACACGATGACGGGCTCTGTGCTTTACTATCTGACTGCCATGCTGGCATCGACTTCTGTTCTTCGAAGTAATGTTGGGGTGCAAGGTGTAGCCGGCCAGTATCTTCTCGGACTAGGTGAGCAGCAATCGACTATACCTGAGCCATTTTCACTCTCATTTTGATAGGAATCGGAGACATCACTGGGTAATTTCTCTCTTGGTTGTAGGGCACTCAAGCGCTCGCTGACGCTTATCGTAGGCCCGTAGTTGAGACTAACATGATGGTCAGAACAAATTTTCGCATGACCCTCGGGCTAGAGCTCAAAATCTTCTCTAGGGATACGCCAGTTTAGCCCAGACTGATACAGGCTTGCACATGCGCCAGCGCAGTCGCGTCTTCATTGTCGCTGAAGAGGACAACCCCTCAAACACAATAGTATTCATTAACTCTGGTAAGTGGTGCGGGTATGGTACTCAAGAGGAGATGGACAAATTTGGAAATGATTTTTCGAATCGTCAACTTCTATGAGCCAGTACCCGGTCATTTGTTAGAACCTCTACTTTCAAATTACCGTTATTGGCCTGCTACATCCAAATATTGATCGACATCGCAGATATTGCAATGGGTGACACCGGCGTTCGGCGCTCAATCGTCAGCAACCTCACTGCTATGTATCCTGGCGTGTATACCAACGAGAATATCGCGTTCGTGGGGACTCACCAGCACTCCGGAGTCGGCGGCTACCTGGAGAACCTTCTTCCACAAATCACCTCTCTGGGATACGTTGCGGCTACAGCTAACGCCATTGTCCAAGGCACTGTTCTCGCCGTACAAAGAGCCCACAATAGTCTCGCGCCTGGAAGTTTGAGCTTGGGGAACACCACTGTTCTGAACGCGAACATTAATCGCTCGCCGTCAGCCTACCTTGCAAATCCTGCTGAGGAGCGAGCTCAGTACGAGTTCGATCAGGACAAGGAATTAACATTGTTAAGGTTCGATGACGCGAGCGGAAACGCCCGAGGCTTCCTCAGCTTCTTCGCCGTTCATGGCACCAGTCTTTATGAGGTATGTCAAACATTCGATTTATGTTGTACGGCATGATGAATGTCTTGCGGGTGCAGAATAACACTCTCGTCAGCGGTGATAACAAGGGAATGGCAGCATACCTCTACGAGGGTGAGTTCCCAGCTTCTACTCCTGTCGTCGCGAACTCAAGTTATTGTAACAGCGATGATTGAACCTGATGCTATGCCGGGGAATGCCACGTTCGTGGCTGGCTTTACTCAAGGTAAGTATTGACCCTGCTACGTTGACCCATATACCTTTTTTATGATTTTAGCCAACGTTGGTGATACCAGTCCTAATACGTGAGTGAATCTTATGTTGGGACGATTCAACTACTGACTTCATCTCGTTCAGTCTTGGGGCATTCTGCGAGAGCCCCGGTGAATCGTACGACGGGATGGCTTGCGACTTTAACCACTCTACTTGTGGTGGTACTGTCGAAGATTGTCACGGACGGTACGACTACTCCTATTGATCTTGAGATTATTGTCTGAATACCTATCATTTAGTGGGCCCGGTTTCCGCATCTCGGACTTTGCTTCGAATGAAATCATTGCCCAATATCAGGTGGATGGTGCTCAAACCGTCATGGAAGCCTCTAATCGTAGTGCCGTCACTGGATCGGTGCGGAGCGTACATATATACCTAGATATGTAAGTTTATTGAACTGTCTATCTTGACATATGCCTAAACCGCTTTGAACCATTTTCGGTTAGGGCCAACCACACATTCACTTTACCGAACGGGACCAGTGTGCAGACATGTCCCCCTGCTATGGGTGAGGGCACCGCTTGAATCTCCAGGGTAGATTTTCGATGAACACCTTTTACAGGATTTGCTTTCGCGGGTGGAACTACGTTGGCAATGCCCTTTCTGTTCTTGTTGAGAATTCTCAACCTTTTTCCAGCGATGGTCCAGGCGCATTCGACTTCATCCAGGGGGACAACTCTTCTCAACCCCAGTAGGCGTTCCCTTGTAAATTACGTTGTTAGATCTAATTGTTTGACAGAAACCCTTTTTGGGAAATAGTCAAAGGTCCGAATACCTGTTTCCTGGTGAGATCGTCCTCATGATGACAATGGTTCAATAAGACTTCGTTACTCCGGCACCGTCTGCGGCACAGATAGCTTGTCAAAATCCCAAGCCCATTCTTCTCAATACTGTTCGTTTTAGCGCTCTTGTCGTGTTCTTATCCTGCCTTCGTCTCACACAGTATGTTAGGGATATGCGGATCTTCCCTACCAATGGTCACCCAGCACAGTGGACATTCAGATGCTTCGTGTAGGCCAATTAGGTCAGTAGCGTTGAATACAGTCTCTTGCAATCTCGAACTTAATTCTGTTATCCAGTCATGCTTGTTATGCCAGGTGCGTTCTCATCATGTTCACTTTGAAGATGTAATCGACCACGTTGGTATAATGATCAGGTGAACTCACAACAATGTCCGGAAGAAGAATTAGGTTTGTTCCGTTAATTTTAATTTTGAGACGGGAAATCGTCGGGCTCACGCGGTCTTCCGGTTATCTTTCATTCGGCAGACAAGCTGTACGCTCTAAACTGATATCCTCGGGCGTTCTCGAAAACGATGCTTACGTCGTAATTGCTGGTCCTGCCAACACTTACGCCCATTACGTGGCTACTCTGGAAGAGTACAGTGTACAGAGATACGAAGGAGCGTCAACCATATTTGGACAATGTATGTATTGTTTTGGGATCATTAAGTCGCTACTAATATCGTTCGAGAAATAGACACCCTCGATGCATACATCGACAAATATACCAGTCTTGTTCCTTTCATTGCGGATACGGTTACGGGTACTCCTGCGTCTGATGCTCCTCCTGCAGAACAAACTTCCAAGGCTATTTCACTCCAGGTATCCTTGCTCTCCATCATCGACTGTCCGGGTACTGACCATCGTCATATTGCAGTTACCTGTTGTGTTCGACTCGGCTCCTTTTGGTTCTAGTTTCGGCCAAATTCAGACGGACGTTGGGACTACTCCTTATCAGGCAGGACAAACTGTCTTTGCCACCTTTGTTGGAGCGAATCCCCGGGTCAGCGCTTTCTTCTCCCAATTCTGTTGTTCAGCTGATATCATTCTAGAACAACCTTCGACTGGAAGAAACATTTTTTAGTATTGACCGACTTGTCTCAGGAGCATGGCAGATGTTTAGGTCGGACTCTCATCCATCTACCACCTACTCTTGGGTTCAGACAAGCACGGTAAGTCTTTTGTGGACTCTTTGCCCTCGAGTATCCTTAAAAACTCATACCTTTACAGATACTAGGTACCAGCCAAGTCAACATCACTTGGTAAACAACTCGTCTCTTAAACAACTGTCTGTCAACTAATCACCTTATTCACATCTAGGTCAATCGAAAACGGGACTCCTGGTAAGTTTGCCGTTGAACTCAATCGCTGGCACTGACTACTCCCATGTCGTAGCTGGTACATATCGCATACGTTACTTTGGCGACTCGAAGCCTCTCATTGGGTCTATTTCTTCATTCGTTGGACAATCTGGCAATTTTACGATTTCGTGAACAGAGTGGCGGGATAGGGCGGGATGTGTTTTGCCAATCTATGTATCATGACAATGTTCCACTGTCATCATTTCATGAATAAGTATCCTCGTAATGACACTTGTACGCTTTCTGGTTCTCCCGCCCGGCAATGACAAGTTGTGTCAGTGACTACTTGCGGTCCGCCCACCGATCTGCCTTGAGGTCTACATGTGTAAAATTTTAAGAAACAAACACGTTCCTTTAGCCTACTTCATTCTCTCTTCGCACTACTAGTGTACTTCAACATGTTTCGAAGTTTGGCACAATTGGGTGCTAAGGGCAACTCCACAGAAAAGAAATCCATTTCGCCGACTTTAAGGTCCGACATCTACACTACAATAGACCAGTATAAGGCCTGGCTGGCTGGGACCCGTGGTCAGGCAGGCGACGGTGTATCATATGCCCCTATGCTGCACACAATCCAGAAGCATTTTCCAAATGTGGCGATCGGTCTAGAGGCGCTCGGACAGATCGAAGCAGAAGTTGGAGTGATTGTTGGCGGAATTACAAACATGGTTCTCGAAATGAGCAAGTGGGAAGCTCTCGGAGGGGGGATGGCCATGCGTACATGGGTAGACACGATTGTGAACGTGTACGCTATGATTCCTCATGGTTCCAAGAAGGAAATAATCGCCCGAGGGATTGTACGAGGGATCAACCAACACACAGATTATTCTTTGATGACGAAGGAATTTGCAGCAAGGATCCAAATTATATCCTGTCTAAAAAGCCGTAAGCATTCTAATTATTTACTTCGGCATCGTGTTTAATTGTTCTCTTATACTAGTCTGCCTAAAAATATATGGTCCCGGGAGCGAAGAGAGTAGGCAGGCCGAAGCTATGTTGAGCTCGAAGTTGATTTAGGATCTCCGTGCTCCATGATATAGTAAGTATTCTTGCGACAGGCGTTCTCAGTTCATCCTCTACAGTCGATTCACTAAGCTCAAATGTGACATCGAGGCAAAATCGTTGTAAAATACTAGTTCAAATGCATTTTGAGATTTGAGGTTAGAATAGTGGTAAAGTCCGGACTGGTATACGTATTAATCATACAAAGACGACAAGAGCGTCCTGAACTCGAGGAGTCTTGGACTACAGCAAGAAACAGGGCGTTTTGTTCTCATACAGAACGTACAATAAATATGAGTATAACTTAGAATGACACTTGTAAGTCACTTTGTATATTTCCTGGATTATATCTGGTGCAAGGGATACTGAAAGAGGACCAGTAAGGACCGGTACACGTGCTGATAAAAGTTACTCACAAACTGCGAATGTTGGGGGAAGCTCGATGTAGTTGGGGAGGATGAACTCGAGCAACTCCCATCAATGCTGGAAGCATTGTATTCATCCCAACAATCGGGGGTTGTCGGAAGTGAGGTATATCCTCTCTGTCCGCCAGAAAGGTCATTGAAACAATCCCATTTGGAGTCGTAGCTCGATGACATTTCTGAAACACTTCCGGTGCTGTAACCAGGGCCGTTGTACTCTCGATAACTCGAGATATCCATTTCTTGGAACGTGCCGATACTAGAATCTACCGCAGAGAATGGAGAGATTTGCGGAGGAGATACTTTCTCTGGCACGTAACGGAACTTGTACGTCGCAGAGAACAACGTCGTTGGTTCAGAGAAAGATGAGTATGGTTCTCGAATGACGCGATGCTGGATAGTGAAGCTAGTAGGGTCTAGAAAGAGTATTAGAACATGAGTTGTCATCGAATGTGAGATCGCCCTACCTGGACTGTTGCAGATCATGTTCCAGTATCTGGGGACCAAGTCGCATGTGTACAAAGTAGCGCCTCCAGGGGCGGCTTGGTTGACCATGGCGGTCAACACAGACTGATCTTCATAACAGACGTCAGCATAGTATATGGTGAACATTGATTGCGCGGCTACGGAGGCGTCGAAACTCGAAGTGAACGCTAGGGATGGTTTGATACTTCTGATGGGTCGAGGACCATGCGCCGAAGATACGATTGCATCCCGGGAGCTGGTGATATCGATGTGGGAAGATCCTTTCCGTCCCACAGAAGAAGGACCATCTTCAGGTACAATGTCGATATACATCACATTCGAGGACAGTGAGAATTCTAGCTCTTGGGATATGGGTGAGGTGGGAACTGACGATGATCCAGCAGTGTGCACAGACGAGCGAGAACCAGAACGTCGAAGTGAATAATGCGACCGATTGGAGATAGGGGCTCCAGAATTCAGAACCGGTGAAAGCAATTTTTGTACTAATTATATCCGGTCAGCCTCGACCAAAATTATGTATATCGTCCATACATTTTCTGCCCCCACCGCAGGTATCTCTCAGTTGTTGTAAACGGCTACCGACTTGCTTTGCGGTTCGTGACTCGCCGGTTGTTTTGAGAATGTGCTCGGAGATGAACCTATTGCGCATGGGGAACCTAAAGGATATAAGATTAGCCTTTTGAAGAAATCATCTTCACCACTACGAACCGACCGAGTAATAGCGTCTCTCTCGAGTTATCAGGCTGATAAAGAGATAGTCCTGATGTATTTCTATGAGCATCATAGTAACCATTGTTCGCAGAGGACTAACCTTCAAGCAAAGCGGCCTCGAGATGTAATGGCCATACTACTTTCCCTCCTTTCAGTGTCTTCCAACTTTTTCGACATTTGACAACGGCCCGGAAGACATCATCCGTTCCAGATGCTGCCGTTGAAAAGGCGGGATCTAATGAGCAGCTTTCAAGGCTAGGAGAGGGCGATGAAGTGCTCGAAGCGTCACTGTCAACCACATAGTGTGAGTTTGACATACTGGGAGAATAGTGTGCCATAGCAGTGAAGTTGGCAGAGGATTGACAAACAGGGGGTTGGAAAGGGAGATCTCTTTATAAATAAGAGACCGAAGGCTTTGATGTTGAATGGAAAGATATTCGCCTAAGCCTTCCTCGGCTGTAGATAAATGAAAATATCCACGGGTTGACCGTTGAGATTTGAATCTTCTCGTAATTAACAAAGCTGCACAGGGATGACTGGTTTAAGATGTTAGAACCTTGTTCAAACGCCAAACTCGTGGATCGATTCGGAACTTCTATCGGAAGTTCATGATAAGTTCAAATACAATAACGACCGAAAAAGGCTCACGATTTCTTCCCAGGTTGTTCGTTCTTCGAAAAACTATGGATTTCATGCGATGAGTTCGAACAATGTGCAAATCGACATGTCCAGACGCGCATCTCAAAATACAATTTTCAGCGCTTCTAGGTGCTTCTTCTGCTGAACAGAAGGGTAAAGACTCCTCGCTCGAACTTGCATATAATGCTCCGTTCTCATGCCATAACACAGCCACACGTCGGCGTATGTTTTGACCGAGTGAAAGGTGGGCGGAAGTAAGCTACAACGTTGAGGTTCCCTATGGTAAGTTTGAACGGAAGGAGTCTATACCGGTACAGTCTTTGAAGCACAGGCTGAGTTCCAAGTAAGTCCCCAGTAAAACTCCTGTTTGCTTTTTGCTTTTGACTAAGGCATTTAGCGATACGAGCGAGTCAGACTTGAGGTGACACGAATTAAACGGAGCGTACCGTAATTAACGCGTTTGGTTCAGTTATAATTTAAATAATGGCGAGATGCACGCTTGACGACTCATGACGAGCGCTGGTCTATTAGGTTGAGGGTAGAAAGAAATAAGGTTCAGAGATGGATCGAAATATCCCAATGTGGAAGGACATCAGAGAGAACCTATCATCAGACTGTATGATACCAGAGGAGTGGATCAACATAAACGCTCAGACGGGAAACACCTTGTAAACTGATTGAAGATCCTACTAAGCACTGCAGAGCTTATCGTATTTCGAGCAATGATTGGCAGGCCAGTTTCGAACGTACATTGGGCACACACACATTCTGGATAAGCTACACAGGTAGACAGGTTATCCATTATTTTGGATACTAATGGACGACTCGGAGGAGACGATGAGCCATGTGCCGACAGTTAGGATGTGTATTTGGGGGTGGAGTCGCGGCAAGTTACTTATCGATCCCATCGGAGTAATCAAGAAGCAGCTTGGTTAGATGGTGTAACAAATCGCCATGTCATACGCCTCTTATCGGACTTGGGGAAGTGACTCAATCGAACAAGGGAACCCCCATCTGCAATGGAGGGGAGCAGAGACAACACCGACCGGCACGTGATCGAGGAGGCGGATCAGTTGCGTCGTCCGGACTTTTTTCCGTTCACAATTTCCAAGTGTCTTCCGGGTGTCTTCAGTAAATTCAACTAAAGATCAGGCTTAATCAGACTAACTCACAAAGAGTCAGAATATTGTCAGATCAAGTACTCACCGTACCCTTAGAGCTATTCCATGCTTACTACAATGATCAGATGGGTCGGGAAGTTTGGAGCGAATCATCCAGATTTATATTTTGTGGCAGTTGATGTTCGAGTTACTTCCCTCTGTTGTTTATTCCAATGACTGCTGGATCGCTGATATTGATGACAACTTCACAAAATTCTTATGGATTATGGTTCTAGTCAGAGCACTGGCAGTGTATGATATGTTTTCCAGCTAGTAGAAAATCAAGGACTTCTTGCGATTCGCTGGCGGTCTTAACACTGGTTCCTGGCTCATGGTCGAATGAATTACGGTCTCCCGCTTTCTGTGACCTACTGAGTGTTGGGCATCTTTAAAGGCAAGTACGTGCCAACTGGTGCCTGCTGAATACATGCAAGTAAACAAACAGCCATACGTCGCGGGATACGTCGGCGCCTTAAACTCGAATTTTCCGAAAATATACATTTGCAGGCCATACTAAATAGATCCTCGACTGATTCGAATGATATAGTATGTGGTCGGACGGAACGAGAGGAATCTGCATTATAGACAGGAGCAGTGCGACATGCTCTCGCTATCGTTGACCTATTAAGTGAATGGCAGTTCAAGTAAATAGATTCGGGAACTAAACCTTTATTTTACCGGTGAGAATTTACCAAATTTTATTGTCCAGTTGAACGTGAATGACAGACTCCCCACTGCCACCTACAGGGAGAATCAATAACATGCAGTTCCACTTTGTGCTTTTATTCGTGCATCCCTTTGCACTAGGATTCAATCTCATACGCCGTAAGTATCTCCGATAGGTAAGAATTATGACAGGCATTTAGAAGGACAATGACTCTCTGAGATGCAGGCTCAGTGATAAATGCTGGCCTTGTAAAACCAATATGAATATTACCTGTTTAAGACTGGGCCGTCCGTAGCTTCTTCATCATCTGTTCTTTAGACATTGTCACGCCTCGTTTTTGCGGGTAGGTTTCCATTACTTTGGAGACAAGAGCGAATGCAACGATTTTTTTCGCCATCAATGAAGCATCGAAGCGTAGCAAGATGCATCTTCTCGCAATCCAAGTTCACCGAACGAAATTCGAGTGAGGGGGCCAGGCGACGAAGGGGACGGGGGGAAACAAGATATCCGAGACGCCCGTTTGCTTCTTAATCTTATCGTGGAGCATTGGTACAATTCATGCCGCACATCATGATACATATATGAACGTACAGACAATTAGGGTGGGGTGGAGGGGTATATGGTTCAGCTTTAATAACGAATGTTCATGCCCCCTACGTAGTCCGAAAAAAATATGTCAGAATCAACAAAGAACCAAGCAGCGTAAGTAAATGGCATCGGCTGATAGATAGTGATATAAAATCCTGCTTTGACGATACGTCCATTATTGCGTTATAGTAGTATCATCCGCAGTTGTGGATGTTGTGGCAGGGACAGATATAACCCCAGTGGTTGATGCCGAAATAACTGTTGATGCGGCGGCGGCGGTAGAGGTGGTGACAACGCCGCCTCCGCACACCGTGGCAGGAACTGTCGCGCTAATCGCATCCCAGGCATTCGGATAGGAGCAACCCGCGATTGCTGTAGCGGCACTCGTAGTATCCGATGAGTCAAACCATCCATTTCCTTCGCTTATGCTTTTAGTTGTGGCGGTTAGTGTCGGAGGTGGGAGCGTGGCGACAGAGCCAGTAGGTGTATAAGTAGGCACAAAGGCCATTTGATCCACTGCAACGCCGGAAATTTGAGCAGGTGGCCATACCCCAAATTCAGCGGTAGCAGTAGCAGCAATGGTCCCTGCGCCCACACCCCCTGTTTGCCAGGATTGGAACGTTTGGTTCCACGGCTGGCTGACACCTTGAGCAGCACAAGCTCCTACGGCTTCCCGAGGATCAGTGGGTATCCACCCACCCTCAAGTCCCAGCTGATACGACCAGAGGGGGGACTCAACACGGTTGTTGGCAGTGGAGTTCCCTATCTTCCATGTCCAGAAAAACCAGTTCTGAGTGGCGTCCATGCTAGCGAGAGCAAACGCTTTCACACCATCTATCACGGTGTCATTCCACGTCGACGCATCTTGCCAGAGGTTACAGTCTCCACCATAAGAGGGGGTGTATGAAGAAGTTCCCTTTAGAAAAAGACCACAGTCATTATATCCGTTGGAGAATTCTCCCGCGATGGTGACACCAAAGTCGCTGCGACTGTCGGACAAAATATGGATTAAAATTGTTGTTAATTTTCCGTCGAAGACTTTACCTAGAGTTAATGTCGGGTCCCCAAGCATTGCAAGCCTGAGCAGGCCAAATACCTCCTGCATCTGATCCAAGTCCAGTAGCAATAGGCGAATCGTTAGGTTCGTTATCAAAGGCAAAATATGCTAATATTGTGGTTCAGGCGATATCGCGATGATCAGAATCAACCGACTTACGGTGAGTGTCAATGTTGATACGGTCGGAACCAGGAAGGAATCCAGCCCAACTATCGAGACCAACAAAGCCGTCATGAATCGATATGAAAGGACCATTGCCAGCCCCAAGACCAGTAATCCCACGGATCATGTTGTGTGCCTCAAGGTAACTACAGACACACCCGTGTAAGCAACAGTCGTTGAAAATAAACTGGTATAACGCAATGCCGATGTAGCATGAACAGTCAATTTACTCACAAGTCAGTCAACTGGTCCTTGCCGATAGTCGACAGCAATGCTTCGTTCACGATTCCGAACATAGGAACAACATCGAGATATTCTTGCTGTGCGATGAACTCGGTGATGATCCTGATGTAGTTTAACGTTCGCTGAGCATTGGCTATACCCATGACACCATTGAGGAAGTTGACCTGACCAAGTTTACCAGAATGATTGTAACCTACAGGCAAATCAGAATCAGAAAAGCGATCGCGAAGGTTGTGAAGATTCTCACCATTTTGGGATCCTGGAATGGTATGCAAATCTAGATTGACACGAAGACCATACTTTCGCGCCCAACCTAGGACGCGAAGGATATACCTGTGGAAAAGATTCTTAATTTGGACCCAGGTATCGACCGCACTATTTGAGCTCACTTCCAGCTAGTCTTAGCCAGAAAAGGTTCACCTGGCCAAGTTTCAATTGCCCAGTAGGGGATAGGGAGTCGAATCCAATTCAAGCCAGCGCCTGCGATTTCGGCAATGTCCTGTTCCGTCTGTGAAGGAAATGTCAACGAAATCAATCTGAAGTTTTTTAAGACTAAGATATGGGATAGATACTCACGATGAACGTGTTGTAATGATCCTCCAGCTGGCTGAGACCTCCACCTGTGCCCGTATCCGCAGCCATTGCTTCGCTCAGTGTCCACTCATCGACGGCAGTTGTGTACTTTTCGAAAAAAGAAGGCGTAATGAATGGTTCAATGACAAAAAGACCGCCAAGGTTCACACTGATGTGAAGGTGTAAAGGATATCAGCAATCATACTCGTACGAAGACATGTGGCGCAGCAAACCCATAAATCCTATCAGTAGTCCAGTCCCAGCTTGTGTTGAGCGGAGGGGTCCAGGAGTTTGGTCGAGCGTTGTTATTGAACGGGTCGTTAGGATCATAAACCCCTTAGCCATTACTGTCAGGTCGAAGAAAAAGTGATAGAAATTCCAGGAAACTCACAGTATCCCCCAAATGGATTTTTATAGGTGAAGTTTGCACCACCATCCACGATAATCTCAGAGCCATCGCCACCCGACGTAGCGCCGCTAGGACTCGCAGGATTTCCAGATCCACTACCGACTGAACCACTACCCGCAGACGATCCACTTGCAGACGACCCACTTGTCAGATTGTCCTGATTCTGGCGAGGTTTTATGACCTTAAAGTACACCGGAAGTACGACCGCAAGGACTATAACCGCAAGGACACCTAACCCGACAAGAGTTAGAATTACTAATCTGCCCCTCTTTGTCCCCGAGCCTGGTTTCGCCTGTTGAAGTTCATGATCAGTTTCGTGTTTATTAGCAACCAAAAGCGGTGAGGAGTTGTTCGGTGTGGATTGTACTGAGTTTCCAGTATTTGATTCGAGAAAAGAAGCCCTAGGTTGCTCCAGAAATCTGTCGGCTTCACCAGGTGGGAGTGGCGTGCCAGGTGCCGATCCATCCACTGAAAAATCAGGGTATCTCTCCATATCTTCACTAAGTCAGGAAAAGTAGGAGGTGGAAGTCGACGAAAACAACGAAACGTGGGAGTAATGCGTTGAACACTGGCAGAACCAACGTCGACGGTTAGAGACCCGCGATTTAGAATTCTTTCTCATGGTCAATGTTCCCACATTATTTTTTACGATTCGTACTATCAACGAAACTACTGTCCCAGCGAAGAATTATTGTCGCTCTCCAGATCCTCTGGCAGTACGCACCTCTTTATGTCTATCTATGTGTCTCTCTGATTTCTGATTCTCTCAGGTCCGCTGGCAACAACTAAAATTTTCCCGCGTGGTTCCCACCAGCTAACATGAACCTTCACATGTGGCACAGTGTATTTTCAGTCAGCTCTCGATGTCCGCATTTGCTATTTCAAAAATAGATACCTGCGGCGTCACCATATATCTATCATAAGCATTCCATGGCCAGATGCTAACTTTTTTCTTCACGTAGAGAATTCGACGTATGTGAGCCATATCATATAGAGTATGTATACGGAGCACCTACATGCGCCAGACCTAGATTCAATATTCCTATTTCGGAACGTCCAAAGCAAATGATGGAATCAGCTATGATATTTGAGCTAGGTCAAACGATGGAATCAGTCCATTGCCATCAGCGTCTATCAGCCTATTCGTTCAATACGGTAGACGCTTGGAAGGGCCGTGCACCTGCGACGAAGATTACATGCGACGGAATATGACCGGCACCTTGCATGGAGATCGACTGATACTTTCTTTCACCAGTCAAACGGCACGAGCAGATCATTTAGCTACTTCAGGCTGGGGTGATTGATTCAACATATGATTCATATTGATCAATCGTCCGGCTACACTCTGCTACACTGCAGAGTGTACGTAGGACCGAAAAAGTACCGGTGAGGTTTCTATGAACAGGCATTGCTTTGATTTATGACGTTATTTGACAGGGGGTCATCCAACGAAGGAGGACCTTGGGGCAGTTCTATGTCATTGATGTTGAATGAATGAGAAAGAATTTTTTGTTGGTATCTTCGACCTCACCGGATCAAGAACCCTCGGAGGTGAGAAGCAGGCGCTTTCGTATCTACCTGCGCTCCCCTCCGACCGGGTGGCGCGCCACTAGGTTAACTTCAACGTCCACTGCAATGTGTACTTGGCGTATATTGATAGTTCATAATTGCATCCTCTACCAACATGGTCCGTCATAGGCGGGATGTGCCTCATGTTCTACTAGAGTGGGTTCAGGGTATTGTTCGTCTTCATTTTCTTCTTCGTTCTGAGTCACGAAGGGTCACTGGTATCATGATTATCTAGGGGAGTGATGGATGGTGGAAGATATTTCGATTTATGTATCATTTTTCTCTTCAAGCATGGCAGAATTTGACGGCGTTTTACTTCAAGACATGATTCGAGTATGAACCTAACATTCAAGGACTATATGGTTTGCCAATGGAATAGATCAGAGTACTCACAACCGAGCGAGCGTAAACATAAGTTGTCCGCCATTGAGTTCCTCGCACAAACTATACTTATCTATGGGCCCTATCCTAGTAAGACTGCAGACGCAATACACATAACGAATGCAGGTGGATGAACGTCGTTGTTCTCATGCAAATCTTTTCTCGAGTGCAGAAATAATAAAACAATCCTCATGTCCAAAGCATTGAAAAATTGTGATGAAATGAGTCACTTTCCCTGCTTCCATTCCTTTCTCAATAGGTGATAGTCCGATGGATGGGGTCGTTGCCAGAGGTGACTCCGTTGTCAGAGGAATCCCACGGAAGGGCTGGGAAAGAGAGCAGTCCAAAGGCAAGTATAATACTATGCATTTGTGCATAGAAGGGGGTTTCCAGGTTCCACATAAATTTTTTTGGCAAGAAAACACAAGTATGACATCGGAGGATCAGACCTGAGTATGCTAATTTGTCAGGCTAGCACTGAGTAAGGGGACGTAGTAGCATTACCAGTAGTAGCTCGGAGATTGGGATCTAAAGAATGTAAGAGAAGCTCGTGCACAGAAGCGCAAAACCGTGACTTGATTTGTGAGCCACAACGAATCGTGAGCAGGAAATAGAAGGAAACAGAGTGAGAACGGGAAGGATTGTGATCAAACTTCAATCGACTCAGGAGGTATATAACGTGTAAGCGAACCGAATTTTCATTGCAGACTCGACGTAGATCCAATTTTCGGAAACCGAGTCTCGAAAGTCGTAATTTAGGTCCCAGGACGAAAGAGGTTTGGAACAAGTTGTAACTTGATTAGCATAGCGAGAAAAATTCATCAGCCATTGGATATCTAGTGTCAGTGTAAGATAGACCGTCGTAGTCTGCAGAGCCTGGAGAAACTTGAAGTCAACGACAACGACCTTGACAATTTGCATGGAGCATTCAAGTTCTAACTGTAAAATGAGATCCTGTAAATAAAAAGTGAGCGCTGCATCGACCACAGTGATGAGCTCGTAACAGCTCGTAGCACAAATTATGGAGAGTCATGGCGTATGCTTGCTTCACTGCCCGCAACTCCCGCGACACGAAGAGGAGTCTCGAACAACTGCCGACTTCATTCTAGACGCCCAAAGGGAAAGTCATCAATACGTGCAAAACATTTGGATTCCGAGGACCCATACTGATCTTCTATCAGAATCAGAATACCGTATATCCTATCCTATCCGTAACGCTGATACCACAACGAACCTCAGAAAACTGCTCAGAGAATGCTGTAACTTAGGCATTCGACAAAGATAGTAGCAACGGGAGACGAGATTCTCCCGCGTATATCAAAAACATTCATGACGTAAGTATGTAGTCGTACGATTTCAAGTCGTAGCTCACCTACTCAAAGTCCCAGAATCAGAACAGTCTTGAATAGCTTGACTCCTGTTCTGGCATATCGCGGTGACTCGGCTTCCTGGCTTTCTTATACCGTGCTAATATTGTTGTTCAAAAACTGGATATCTACTCAGTATAAAACTTATTGCAAGTACAGGTTAAACTAAACTTTGAACATCGAGACGCACAGTCAAAGTGATTGAATTAAGTTCGCATCAGATACGTAGCGGTCCGAGACTTCGAGAGATTCTGACTGTCCGCCGGATATGATGTTATCGTTTTCCTTTCCTTTCCTATACAATTTCATCGCTTACAGACACTAGGATTCATCAAGCGGTCTGGAACTGGAATCTTCCGGCCCAGCACCGCTATTCACGAAGTCCAGGGCAGCGCAGTGAGAGTGACGCTTTGTTTCGAACGGTGTACCTGCGGTGTACCATGAATATCTGTCGGATTTCTCCCAAGATTTGATTGGAGATCTGTTCGTGCGTCAACCTTCGAGGTCGGATCGGAGGAAGATTTACGCCTCGAGAATTTCTCCACTAGTTGTTTGACAATCTTTTGAACATCCTAAAGTCAAATTAGTTGTAGATATTGATATTGATGATGGAAATACACTGATTCTGAGTAGGTTTGTGTCATCATTCCACAAAGTCAATCGAAAGATATACCCGAAGCCTATATCTTGTCAATCCCTAGAAATGATGCTCGATGAAGACTGCAGTTAATGATGGAGGGAGGCTAAGAACGTTTGTCGTAGAAATGATCGGTGTCTCCAAGAGAGGTGCAGGAAATCTGGATCTCTTCCTTCTCCCGCTTTTCGGACTACTGTTTCCTTTCAATTTTCCCGAATGCTTGGACTTGCATCTTCGAGACTGGTTCTTTTGCAAATTATTTTGTTCTGGGGAAGATCTACCTGTCATTGGGACGCAGAGCAATGCGCTGTACCTATCCCAACCCTGTTTCTCATGAGCTGTGTATCCAACTTTATCCCACATGTACATCGTCCTCCCAAGTTCCTAGGCCGAAAAAGAAAAAAGTTGCGATGTGAGGTGCATGAAGTCCTCGGCGCCAAATAAGTGGAAAAGGGGGCGAACTATGCAACCTCATGAGCATTATCATCAGAGATAAGGAGCACAGACAAGGTGCTTTGAGCTAGTGGATAGGTTTTGCCTGGGGCATAGCCCCGCCCGGGTGGGAAACACACGAAACGCGGTTTGGTGAGCCTGGAACGTCTTTGTCAGAAGACGGGACACCAGAATGTCCCAGGGAAGGGATCGTGGGGATTACAAAAAATGAGCTTAGACGAATTTCGACGATGAGAGCGTAGTTCCAAAGCGATAAGCGCCCGCTCTGCAGCCTTCTCTCGGGTGTTAAGAAAGAAATCAGATTTAGGCGCTTATTTACAGTCAACTAGTAGCCGGAAGCGAAATAATCCTCCATCCAACAACTAGTATTCTAAGAACGCCTTCATTTCCTTCATATACCTTTCCCTTTCCTCGAAGTGGGGCATATGACTCTGATAGATCATTAGAATTCTTCTGAAACTTTGGATCCATTGTCCAACGAAACTTTGACTGCTAAGACTCACAGAGTTTTCGAATCTCACCCATTTAACGCGGGGAATCGCCTTGAAAAATGGTACTACTACTTCATCTTGAGCTTCATCGAGGCGTCCGTTGGTTAACAAAGTCGGAGCATTGATCTTATGCGCATCTTCGACGACAGTCCAGTTCTTCAAAGAGCCCGTAGTATGAAACTCGGAAGGACCGTTCCTAATCAAAGGAAATAGACGGTCAGCCACAGGCCAGGCTTGAGCCGAGGAAGCTCACATAGTCATATAGACCGTAGGATCCTTCTCCAACTCGCCCAAACTGTGCAGGATCGAATCAGGCAAAGGCCACACAGTGCACAAAAATCGTTTATAATAAGCTTTCATAGCTCCCTGATACTCTTCTGACTCCGTAGTCTCCTCTTTCTCATGCTTCTCCATTATATCCTGCACCTCCTGCGGCAATAACTTCCGTAGTCGATCCTGAGCTTTCGCCCACAACTTCATATCTGCCGGGGCACTCATCAGAATTAGACGCTTCAATCCCTTGGGTTGAAGAATCGCATGGTTAGCTGCAAGCATCCCGCCCCACGAATGACCTGCCAGGTTATAATTATCTTGTACCCCCAAGTATCGTAGTACAGTGCTGAGCTCATCAAGGAAGAGCTCCACAGTCCAAAACGAAGCATCGCCTATCTTCTCGGGATAATGCGTAGACTTGCCGCAGCCTATCTGATCGTACAAAATCAAGGGTACTCCCAGATCGGCGAGGATAAGAAGATACTCGTGCCCAGTTCCTGGCCCACCATGGAGCGCTACAAGTGGTGTCGTGTCCTTGTTTAACGTACCAATCACTTTGTAGTACGTCTGACAGGGCTTTTCCGGGAGGGACAAGACAGAGAATGGGATGAATCCCTCTGTGATTTTGACAGTGCTGGACGAGACAGGCATGGGAGGGCTGTAGGCGGATGAGAAAAGCAGTTTATTTTAAGAATGTATAGACTGTGGGCGGCTACCGGCGGATGGCATTGCAAGTTTAACCGTAATACAACATCCACAGGAGATAATCCAAAGTATTTTGGTCATGGGACAGTACAACAACTTGCCTTGGAAGCTTTGTCTTTGCACACTCAGGGCAAGCATTGTCGACTCTAATGACTGTCGATGCTTTCAGAAACACCCGGCTGAAAGTTGATATCGAGCAGCGCAGAGGAAGCAATTATTGACGAAATCTCACTTCCAGAATTCACCCATTGGGCTCGGACAATAGTACTCTTGCATTCTGCGGTCCAGCACGATGATAATCAACTACTTCTTCTTTCGACCCTTCCCTCCGCTAGCACTTCCACTTCCAGTACCACCACCATATGTACCCGATGGCACCGGCGCCTCAGTCGTGAACCCTTGAGTAGCTCCTGAAGCTCGACTTTTGGCCTTCTTTCCGTGCATAGGCCTGTTACTTCTCTGACTCTGTAAAGAAGAAGAATGAATTTTCATCACGCTCAATGATAGCATGAACACTGTTACCTTCTTGATCCATCTCTCTGGATCGGGAGGGGGCGTAACACCTGGGACGACACCTTTCGGTAATCGTTTGACCCTGACTTTCGTCTTTCCTTCATGCGCAGCAGGTCCTTTTGCAGACGCCGAAGTCGATGGAATAGAAAAGGTAACAGCATTAGAGGGTACTGTGGGTGGGGGAAAGTTTTCAATGTCCTTTAGACCAGTCGCCGTACTGGGACTAGAGGCCAATGTATGATCTATGGCTTGCAAATATCCCGAATTTAGGAAGTCAAGATATGTTTGTGCGGCTTGGAGGTTTATCTGCACGTCGCGGTGTTCTTCTGAAGACGGATCGGTTGTGTCAAGGAGTTGTTGATAGAGGTCGTATGCAGCTTGATATTTTCCTTGTCGATAATTCTAAATAGCAAAAACCAATGAGAAGGACTGGAAACGAGAAATAAGCAATCCACGGAACCAGCTGCGCCTCGAGATGCATGACACCCCGTTCTTCTTCTTCATCCGCCTCTATCTCTTCGTGACTCTTAATCTCGACTAGAATCGCTTCGGCATCCGCCTCTCGCTTCAATCGATACAAAGCATAAGCTTTCTCGAAAAGTTTTGGCTTTGATTCTGCATTCGATGGGGGCCCTTCGTCGATAAGTTCTAGAGCCTTTCGATATTCCTCCTTCTGGAGATAGATGAAGAGTTTCGTTTGTCTTGCATCAGCGTCGATTGGGTCGATACGGAGGACTGATAGATAAAATTAATATGGGGTGTGAAGGCTCTCACTGACAGACACTGAACTGACTCTTATCACAAGTCTTCTCTGCGCCCTTCCAGTGACCGCCGTCAATTTGAGCAACGAGGGAGGCGTATAGGCGTTTGATACGATCTGCGGGAGGTAATGGGTCCACGTTCTTCTTGCCTGTGGCCATCACGAGTCGGGTAGTTTATGAATACGGCGGAAGGCGAAATGGGCATGAGAAGCAAAATACAGCGTTTGATATCACACAACATACTCGTTCCACGAAAAGCTTTCCCTGGGTGGGTGGTGTTTTTGGGTTTCTTCGTTTTGGGATTCGTACTCGTCATGGTATTGAGAGAAGAAAGATGTTTACGACCACGTGAAAATGCGTGTATTATGATAAATATTATTCAATGGCGAAAAATGTATGCAAGATTGAGAATGATGCTAATTAATGAAGACGAAATAGATCCATCCATGTAAGTATGCAATTTGCCGCCGAAAGTTCACTCAGAGTCCCAGACCCACTAAACTGGAGAGAAGACGTTGACGGTCGTTCAAACATTCAAACCCGACGAATCTTTTCATCAGGCAACAGTTGAGCAGACGAGGCGTCGACGTTAAGGATCTGTTAAAAAGAGAACTAAGTTCAAGGTATCTGATTGATTTAGAGTCACCAACTCACTTCTTCACCCTCGAGACGCACTTTCTTAGGTCGCAGGTTCTTGATTTTCTCACCAGTCGCTTTCACAACACGTACAAAAACACTGCGAAGAACGAACAGGCTAAGGAAGGTCACGAACGCAAAAGCAACAGTGTAGAGGGTTTGATGAGTAGCCGCATAAGTGATCTGGTCGACGAATCCTAATTCCGAGTTGATGAAAGAACTCCCACCGCAAACTTGCGCCCATTGTTTGTTGCTGGAGATGACTCCGCCCTATTGCAGGTACAGTGTGAGCGATGCCTAACGCAATATAACAGGATATAAAGTTACCTTGGCCTTGTAGATGAATTCAGTCAATGGGATGTCTGCGTGTCTACCATATACATAGACGGTCTTGAAACCACCTCCAGTTCCGTTCTTGAACCTGAATCGGAGGAAGTCACGGACGTCAGGTGGAGAGCCTCGTCTGAGCTCGATAGCGAAGGCGGATGCAAAGTCGGCTGCAAGGAAAGTCAGAACCATGAAATTGAGTTGTATGCAGGAAATACAAAAGGAAAAGTACTGGGAATTGTGTGTTGATGGGGCACCGCAGTGTAAGGATCATGTTAACGAGAGAGGACTCACGGATGGCCTGAAGCTCAGGGTGTTCCTTAACAATCTCGAGCTCGTGGAACAAAGAGATGAATGGTTGGTATCCGGTCTCAACGAGCATAAACTGAAGGGGGTCGTCGTTGAAGGCAACGCGCTCCAGGGCCTTGAGGACTGTGTGAAGCATGGTGCGACCGGCAACTGAAAATTTCGATGATCAGGTTGAGCAGATCCTCATGACAAAGAAGTATTGAGTGAAATAGTCTGGAATGATACGTACTGTTTCCAATGCCTCCGCTCTGCTTGTCAGAGAACACTCCGTTTTCGTGGAAGTCAGCCAATCCACGGGCAGTCTCAACGAGTGTGGGAGGGAGACGGTAAGCGTAGGTCTTGTTGTGCGTGAGTTCCGAGTTGATGTAGTCGTACAGCTAACAACATAGACCATGATCAGCATAATACAGAGGTGGGAGCGACGTTCGAGGTCTTACATTCCACTACCAAAAAGTCATTAGATTGCATTAAAACAAAACAAAAAGAAAAGGACGTACTGCGTTCTCCAAAGTGGTGGGACGTCCAAAGACGAAGTCCTTAACCGAGTTGAAGAAGGGCTGAGCATCTTTTTCCTTTGCTTTGAACTCGTCTGAAGCATAGAATTCACTGATATGTTTTTCGAATGCCTTTTGAACCCTTCGTCAGCCACACGTCACAGGCAGGGACCATGAGATTTCTACTTACCGGGCAATCAGTCCAGCTCTCCAAGCTCCTGTCATTGCTTGGCTCGACGGTCTCAACTGGAACGTATTGATAACCACCTAGTGGCGCGGTGACCACCGAATCGTTGGCCAAGACAATCTTGTTTTTGGGATTCGGCGGGTAGAGACCTTGGAGGAGAGCAATAGCAGAGTCGAAGATAACAGTGCCTTCACCTCCGTTCTTGACGCGAACTTTGATTTCGCTGTTGTCCACGAGGTCTGAGCGCATGCCGTCGATGTAGGACGGAGATGTTGGCGAGAGGTATTCCGAACGAAGGACAGAGCCGAGTTGGTGGGATTCGACCTTGGATAGACGTTAGGGCCCGTTCAACGACAATGGTATCAACAAAACTTACTTCACCCAATGCAGTGGTCTCGGTTACACCACCTTCGTATGTCTTCGGGTCCTGGTAGTACTCCACGCGGTCGCCGTTCCTCGCAATAACAATAACACCAAGCACCTGTGAGTCGGCTACGGCCGCTGCATCAAGGTCACTAGCGTCTGCCATATTGACGGGCGAGCTGCGCATGACCGAAGCGCAGAAAGACAAGATGAAGAGGGATATTATTGAGAGATGAGAGAAGAAAAGCGGGTTGTTCAACTGAGCACGCATCTTGAAAGATGATGGTGATGAATTTTCTGTCAACCCTGCCATCGTCGTTGCAGGTTTTATACGTGGGGGTGGTGGGGAAGTGTAAGGGCGAGCTAGCTAATGGAGGCGTGGAGTTGATAGTGATTGCGGAGTGTGGTCGAAAAACGTGAAGCTGGGCCACCAAGAACTCAATGAAAAGTCAAGGTAGTGAAATTGAACCCAATCTTACACATTGCTTCTGCACCTTGGGTTTAAGTACATTACGGTGGATATTGTGAAACGCATGTCCCACGCGTGGTTGATGGCCGTTCAAGGGTCCCGACAGGCTAACACCGTGCAAGACGTTGTATTGTCTTGGATGGCGAGCACTAAGTTAAGGCTGCGGGTGATTCACGATCGCGATATAGACGTGATGAATGAAGATTGCCCTGGTGGTGGCAAAAGGAACCCTTTTCATTAGAGGATACGCCAAGGACATCGAGGAACCTTCCTCCAATGACAAGGAAGCTTGACTTCAAGTTTAGTTTGACCTTGCTTCGAAGAGCTTGATGAGTACAGTATATCAACGTGTCTGGAGCGGGGCAGCCTACCAGTCATACGCAAAATGCCTTCTGGAGCCGGAATATGTATACTCTTTCACCTCCTGACTGTAGGTAGGGTGACAGCAGGGTAAGGACTGATAGGGAGTTACTAAAACAAATATTTGTCGATGTCAGCCTCAAAGATCTATCACCAATCTATCACCGAGCCCAGAAAAATCGGATGTACATGTAAGTACTGAGGCAAGTTGTGAATGGTTGTAATAGCAGGACATTCCAGTCAATGGATGAAGTGGAATGAAGAACACACCTTGACTTGATTAGATCATGAGCTCAAACGAAAGCAATGCGAAGGTCTGTTCAATTAAAGCCACCGGGTAGCCAGCTTCTGCAGAGAATGCGATTGACAGCGCTCCAAATTCGAACCTGGGATTGCAATTATTTTAGTCTCAATCTATGGCCGCCTGTTCGAGATTGGGCATTTATTTCGGGGCAAGTTTGGGGATTACTGACCGGTGAAATACAATTACTAGTATGCATTAATTGTGAACACAACGTTATCCAAACTTCAACCATGCCGCGCAAGTAATTATCTTTTCCTTTCCTTTTCCTGTTCGATAGAACGTGGATGGATACATAGATTGTTAATGTAGAACGAGCTAGAGACGCTGGATGACACAGCCTCCATAATCGAACTCGAATCACTCATCCCGAAACCACCATGTCGATATATGATAACATCCTCGATCGTCTGTCCGCAGAATATCACTGGACGCAACAAAATGAAGCTGTTAGAATCTCTTCTTTCTAAGCCTTTATCTTCATGTTTCCTCTTTCGCAATTACGAACACGACTCGAATAGGCTGTTCTGGAGCCATTCACATTCGTTACCTCAAATCCAGGAAAGGACATGCGAGGAAGACTTATCGAAGCCTTCAATCTATGGCTCAATGTCCCCCTAGACAAGATTGCCACAATAGCAAAGATCGTGAACATGTTACACGCTGCGAGTCTGATGTACGTCTCAATTTAAAATATCTTCTCCTCAATTCAATTTTGTCTTTTTGTCAGGGTGGACGACATAGAAGATGATTCGCAACTACGGAGAGGAAGACCAGGTCGGTGTCTATCTGCGGCAGCAATTATCATTTCATCAGAAGTCCGCTAAGATACACTTCCTCAGTTGCCCACAAAGTCTACGGGATCCCACAAACTATTAACACCGCAAACTATGTCTATTTCCTGGCTTTCCAAGAATTATTCACCTTGAACAACTCGCTCACTCGCTCTGAGGAACATGATCTGCACGCGATTGTCAACGGTATGTGATATACGTCCCTCTATTGCAGCCGACGTTAACATTACCTTCCCAGCTGAACTACTATCGCTTCACAGAGGACAAGGGCTGGAAATCCTATGGCGTGATTCATTGTCGTGTCCTAGTGAGGAGGAGTATATCGACATGGTGAATAATAGTCAGTCAGTTCGTGTTGCTTACAACCATCTCTATCCTCAAAATCTTCAGAAACTGGTGGTCTACTTCGCATTGGAATTAAGCTCATGATGGCGTGTTCTACAACTACATCTCATGTGTCTGTCTATCGAAACTGCATCGCCCTCCCTCTCAGTCCTGATTCGTTGCTCCCAGAGACTATGTCCCACTGGTTAATCTCATTGGCGTCTATTTTCAAATCCGAGACGACCTGATGAATCTTCAGAGCCCTGAGGTTCGTCTTTCACGAAACCCCTTCACTTCCTGATCTAAACATATGCCTCAGTACGCCACCAACAAAGGCTTCGCCGAAGACCTAACCGAAGGAAAATTCTCCTTCCCCGTCGTCCACAGCATCCACGCCGACACGTCTAACAGGCAAATCCTCAATGTCTTACAGAAAAGACCTACCACGCCGACGCTCAAAACATACGCTATTTCGTACCTCAAATATAAGACGAAATCGTTCGATTATACGTTAGGCGTTTTGGAAAAGCTCCATAAACAAGCGTTAGCGGAGATTAGTAGGTTGGGAGGAAATAAAGCTCTCGTAACGTTAATGGAGAGTTTCGTCGTTGATCGAGCAAGGGTGTTGGGTGTAGAAGACTGAGGTGGAGGTCGGATGATGTCAATCGAAGGAAGGGGAACCTATGTGATCTATGTGCCGTTAAATTATCAATTGAACTTCCGAACTTGGCATCGTGTATTTGTCTATTCTTCCCAACTTTTTGCTTTCTGATTCGTCCCCAGAGCTTCGTCACAAGGTGATGTTCCTCGTTGCAGCCTTGCGGGTGGCGCAAAGGGAAAAGTATGGCATGTGATGCGTTGACAGTTCGGGTTCAAAATCTGCAAAAATGCTGTGGTGAATAATGCGAACACAATAAATAGGGTTTGCCTTTACTATAAATCACTTCCAGCAGTGTATTTTGTCCTCCCAACAAGCAAGCGTAAACCCCAGTCATAGGCAATGAATATCCGAAACTCATTCAAACTTCGAAGGTCGTTACAAGCAACTCAACGTCATGTGCGATGGGCACTAACAACGCTTCCTATGCGCACATCGCCAGACACTACTAAGTCAAGATTGAAATCTAGCAAAGAAGACTTTTGGAGGGAGACGTAAACGGCCAGGATCATTTGTGTACTCTGTATATATGATATTCGCGGTCGAGCCATGAAAGCTAGTGCTCTTTCAATTGTGACCCAGTGTGCACCCGGAAAACATTATCATAATAACAATATGTAAGCCAGATGTAAGCAGCTAATAGTAAAAAGTGTTGCCATTATGCACAGAAGCGCTGCCTGAAACGTTCAAGGAGCCAATATGGTTTACGTAACGATGAGTGGCCGGAGAGGTGGCAGAATCAGAATGAGAATAAGGATGCGGTGCACCAGGGGATTGCGCTGAAGCAGAGGTGGCAGAATCAGAATGAGAATCAGGATGCGGTGGACCAGGGGAAGGCGGTGAATCAGAATCAGTGGTATACCATGAATCTGAGGAGTGTGCTGGGGAATGCGGTGGACCAGGGGAATGTTGTGAAGCAGGGCAATGCGGTGAATTAGAGGCAGGGGATGCAGGCCTGGACGGAGGTTTAGCGTGAGGGTCAAGACCATCGGGAAGCCGCGGAACCCCGTTGATAAAGTGATCCTTGCATCGAGTTTCCCTGAAGGTTGATGTGGCCTGTGCTCCTGCTCCTCCTTGTTGTGGTTCCACAACTACATCCACAGTGCATGGACAGACCAGTTCGAACACTTGAATAGGGGTGAGAATTTTGAACGAAAACTGTCGGGGATCACCCGTAAAGGGAACGCTCGTAATCCGTTGGCTTTTACGATCGAGAATTCTGTGAACTACGTCATCTGTGTAACCGGCATATTTGTTGTCCTGTTGATGTTCTTTGGTTGAAGGAGGTATATAATGGTATTCCAAATCTATCGGTGGTCCATCAAAGGAATCCCAGTAAGGAATCGTCGCCTATATAAAGTGCAGTCAGTCACAGGGGTAGGAGACTTTGACAAAAAGTAGGAATGTGCCACGTACTCTTTTCGTCACCGGTTCCGTAGACACCGAAACCATATGCCTCACCGGAACTGCACACACAACGGAGGCAAGACCGAGCGAAAGGTGAATAATATTAAAGCGCATGTTGAAGTTGAATGATTGTTCTAGCGGACAACTTTTAATAACGGTGAGCAAACATCCATTGATCATAGACTGAATGTACAAGGAACAAGAAACGGATATCAATGATGACCGAGGATAGAAAGAGAGTAGACAAAATGTAGGGTGATGCCTTCCTCGCAGATTGACGATTGAGAAGGCATCGAAGGTGAAATTTTGTAACCCGACGCACGAGAAATAGCGAACAGTGACGAAAGAAAAAAATTCGACGTACACGGGAACAACGATGGGGGAATGATTCTGGGAGAAAAGACGAAGAGATAGTAGGACCGAGTCTTCTGTGGCCAGCAGAGAAGACTTTATTTTTCTTTGGAGGCGTGAGCAACAATGACCAGCAGTGAAGGAGCTTGAAGGAGGTATTACCTTTCCGACACTTTATAAACGGATTCAAACTCGCCTATCACATGTATATATCAGGAAACCACCTAGAATCGCCTCTCATCGCCTCCAATCAGTCCCTATCAATCCTCCAATCTTCCCAAATCTCACCAATCCACCAATTGCTCCCTATCATCGCATGAAGTAGGGTAAACAACTACAAGACTACCCTGCTACTACATACAAACAAGTTGGGAAGACCCCGGATAATTAGGCGTTCTCAAAATTCACGACTTTTGGCTGAAATGTCCAAACCAGAACCAAGAATTTCCGAGAATTTCCGTCAGACCAGGCCCCGGCGCCTAAGTAACTTAGTCCGAGATAAGTCGCTAGAGGAGGCTTATCAGAGGATAAGTCAGCCAGGTGGTGTGAGTCGGTCAGCGCTGGTTTGGCGCCTATCTTCTCACATCCGACTCCCACCGCCAATTGGAGTTTTCACATAATTTTCGCTATTTTCGCGTAAATTTATTCATTTGCTTTTCTATAATCATGCAAATCACACGTCAGGGTCCTCTTCCCAACGACCCTTCGATAATCTCGGCGAACCGTACAAGGAAAACTCACAAGGACGCCGAAACCATCTCCAGAATATCAAAACTCCCTATCGAATCCAAACTTCGTATTAATTTCAACAAACAAACTCGCAACGCCAGCCGTCGTGAACGCGTCTTCGAAGGCAATGATGATGTCTCCAATGTGTCGTCCTACCTGTCTATCCCTGAGGTAGAATATGATAAGATGTTGAAGGACCAAGATTACTTTGACAAAGTTAAAGCCTGGCTCTCTGCCCATACAATTAGCTGGTTAGTTGACAGGCGTAAATCTTTGAGATTAAGGCCAAGGGAAGGAGATGACATGTCTGTCGAGGCTTCGGGCACCCAGCCTTCCAAACGCTTCAGGTCTAATGACGACCTCATCGAGATTGACCCCACTTCCCCTCCAAATGTATTCTTCGACCAAGCCTTTCTTGACCTCGGTCTTTACGGCTACCACATCTCTCTCGCCCTGTTCACCAACAAGAATGTTGAGTTCCTCAACAACAACTCAATTTCTTTTCATCGTACGAAAATCTCGCATATCGAAGGGAAACCTCAAATATTAGACCTCGCGGATGTCATAAAAAAGGTTAAGGGTAGCCGCGAGGGAGGACCTACACAAGATTTGGCCATCGAACACTTCGAGTGGCTCGAAGCCACGGCGAATTTCTTCGTTTATCAATCCTTGCTATATGCTGAAGGTGATGAGGCTAACGAACCTCAATTTTACAGGAAACACTTCGGTTTCTTCGAGAATCAAACCGACTCAGTCAAACTGTTTGACCTGTGGAAGGACATCGAGCTCGAGCTTCGTCAGAAACATCAAAACAAAAAAACTCATTTCGACCTCTTCGATTACAGAACAGAATGGAGCCGCGTTAAATCACGTCTTGACTCCCTTGAAGCCTCTTCCTCGTCTAATTCCTCCCAGCCTCAGTCTAATCGTCATTCTCACATCTCGAACTTCAGGTCCACCAAAATCATTGGGCATGATGTCCCACCCTCAACATCTTCGAATTCCTTTCCGCTTGGCAACAAGGAAAAGGCCTCCCGTGAACCTTGTTGCATCATCTGCGGAGGCGTCGGTCATACCTTCTTCACTCATACCGACTCTACCCATGGCCCAGCCAAGTGGGCACTACGCGACGGGAAGGAGCTCCTCCACCCATCCAGCAAGGTGCGACTCTGCACCTACTGGAACATTTTCTCAACCTGCTCCAAAAAATGTCCAAGTGCTTCCCACGTCTGCACTTTCTGTGGCAGTTCCCACCCCGCACTCCAATGGGATCCTAGTTGTACCATCTCCCATCCCGGAGGTTACTGATTCCTTCCAGTCAAATTCAAATTCTCTCCCTTCTCTCTCTTGGCACAATTTCTCCGCAACGAAGATTTCTTGCCTGCCTTTTCCCAATACTCCACCTCATTTCTTGGAAATATATGATCGCATCATAACGCCTTACAACGCATCTGCTTTTGCAATTGAGCTAGCCAGGCACAACATTTGGGATCGCTTCCCTTTCCTTATTGAATATCTCACCACAGGCTTCCCTCTTGGCGACATGCCTGTTCTGTATGAAACTATCATTATTCCAAACCACAGCTCGGTTCACAAACATCCTGATGTAGTCTGGGACTATATCCATGAAGAAGCAGCATCTAATCGGATGTCCGGTCCTTTTTCACAGAACGAAATTGAATCTATCATGCGAGGACCTTTCTTCTGCTCTCCCTTCATTATCATTGAACAATCTCAAGGTCCAGGAAAACCGGCAAAGCGTCGCGTTTGTCGGAATCTTTCCAAAGACGGTCGCAATTCTTCCGGAAAATTGATTCCTTGCATCAACTCTTATATTCTCAAAGAGCACTTCCCTACTTCTTTCGATTCAGCTGCTTATACAGCAAATCTGGTAAGCCATTATTATTCAATAATTACTCTCAACTCGCCACTATTATTCGCTTATTCACTGGGTTAATCCCATCCTATTCGACGGTCATATTTCCTTTATCAATCGCATTCACTCTTTTACTTCCCATTTCGCTATTCGCTATTCACATTATTAATTCTCACTCAATTCGCCCAGCTGGTATCCGCACCCCCCGGTACCAAAGTCTGCACAATGGATATTTCGAAATTTCATCGCACCATACCTCTACGTCCTCAAGACAAACCTTACATGGTGGTACGTGACCCCGATGGAGGATTTTGGGTCGAGCATTGTTACGCCTTCGGGGCCGCTTCCGCCAGTTCAAACTCAGGAATGGTATCAAATGCTGGTCAGGAAATTTGGCGAGCTCTTGGAATTGCTCCCATAGCAAAGGTCGAAGACGATCTCGCTGCTTTCATTACTCCCAACACCTTGGTTTCACTCGACCTCACCAATCGCGATGGCTTATTTGCCCTCATTTCCGAGCTAGGTTTCCCTTGGCACCCGGACAAAGGCGAACACCAATTTGTCCTCATTTTCACGTTTATCGGTTTCCTGTGGGATTTAGAACACCAACGCGTCAGTCTCCCTGAGGACAAGAGGCTAAAATACCTCTTTCGCCTACAAAATTTCCTCGAAACATCCCATCGTTGTCTCACCCCTAGGGTGAAGATCGAATACATCCACGGCACCCTCTGCCACATTGCTTTCATTTACACTGACGGCAAGACCCACCTCCCTCCAATCTCCAACTTCATGTCCTCTTACCGCAATTACGAGGTCGAAAAGGGTAAATACCCAGACAAAATCATCCCCGAAATTCAGTGGTGGATTGAACGTCTTTCAGTGCCCCATGTCTTCCGACAACTTCATGAATTAGGACCAGTGCAAGACCTCGGTCTTTTCGTCGACGCCTCTACTGACTGGGGTATTGGCATCATTATCGGAGGCAAATGGGCTGCCTTTCATCTGGCCAACAATTGGAAAATTGAGGGTCGTGACATCTGCTGGCTCGAAACAGTCGCAGTCGAGATTTTGATATATTTCCTCGAATCCATGGATTACAGAAATACTCGCCTCCTCATTCATTCCGATAACCAAGGCACAATTGGCGCTATTAAAAAATCTCGCAGTCCCAATTACTGGATAAATATGTCCATATGTCGTACATGCGCCACCATTGGCCCACTCTTTATTTTACCTGAATTGATTTACATTGAATCTGCCAACAACCCTGCTGACCCGATTTCGCGTGAAATTCTGGGTCTCCAAGACAATCGCCTCCCTTTACAATTCCAGCTCCCCGATGAGCTCATTAATATATTATCCTATCATGTTGAGTGACCCTCACATTCTTGCGGCCGAAGGTTCAGTCATGAGTGCTAATGTTCCACGCCCATTGGCCACTCAAAAAATTTGCACTCCGTACTCGTTTCTCTATGCATTCATATCATGCCAAATCACCCAAAACTTCGAACGCTATCCCTCGCGGCCTTTTGCCTTCTCTCCGACGTTGTTTCCACTCCACCCCTGCAACCCCTGCTCTGGACCTCCCTCGCTTTCTTACTTTACTGGCGCCGTTTCGAAGATATTCTACCTACTCATGTCCTTAAAGTTTATGATCCTTCACAGATATTGAGACTCAAACATTCATTAGATGACTTCCAAAGAGCTAATGGCCTTCCTAATTCTCTCATTGTTGCTTGTATTGTTGGTATTGACATTACTGAAGAGTAAATAACTTATCCATTTAAGCCAATTTACTCTTCCCACATTCAGAGCCGTACTCTGTTTGGGTCTTTATCTCCTGTGTCCACCGTTCTCCCCTCGATTGAGCCCAGGCTCTGTCTGGGTTGTCCGGTTCATCCGGCGACCACGGGCGGGAGCGCGGGGCTAAAGCAGCCAAACCTCCTCGCAAGTATTATCTATCACCACTTTTACTTATTCATTTAATTCGAACTGAACCTCAGCCTGACTTATTCCGAGATAAGTCGCTAGAGGAGGCTTATCAGAGGATAAGTCAGCCAGGTGGTGTGAGTCGGTCAGCGCTGGTTTGGCGCCTATCTTCTCACATCCGACTCCCACCGCCAATTGGAGTTTTCACATAATTTTCGCTACCCACCCACCCGCACCGATTTAGTTCTCCCAGTTGTATGCTACTGCTTTAATCCCCGCGTGTACTTTTATCTCACATATTCATCTTCTGCCCACCCGCGCGGGGCTAAAGCCCAGCCAAACCTCCTCGCAAGTATTATCTATCACCACTTTTACTTATTCATTTAATTCGAACTGAACCTCAGCCTGACTTATCGCTGGCCTAAATGAGAAAAAAAATCATCGAAGTATTTCCAAAGCCTGCCAGGAGCACCTAGCAGCGTACGGGGCAGCGAGTACTGCTTCTTTAATCCATCCCAGTCAAGACAGGTGGTCCACCTGCGAATATAACTCTCAAGTTGGGAAAAAATGCCCGAACACCACCGCCGCCGGAGGCGTTGAAACGTCCCATATTTTTACAAAAATTTCTCCCAACTCCCGAACGCCTGTTGAGGCCTTTCGAGCCGGATACAGCTGGACCCCTGCCTATTGCGTGCGAAATGCGTGGTGAAACAAGTCGAACCCTGCCACTGAGTGTAAGTAGCTGGTTGCAGAAGGTTGCAGATAGCCAGATACACATCTAATGAGTTCCGCAGTTCCAAAGGATGTAAACACCAGTATTAGGATGTAGCGAGTCAGCGTAGGTCAGCATGTGCCCTCCTGTGCCTCAAAGCTGCAGTTGCTGATGCCAACTACACATCTCATCGCAAATGTGCAATGGAGATATACAACCGAGTTAACTTGATGCTCGACCGCCTTGAGTAATGTTGAACAGCCGTCGTCAGCAGTCGCCTCCTTCGGCTTCACAAGAGTTAAGCATTGGAGCAAATTCACCGAGGTGACGAAGGGTGACGATCGCGACGCGCTCTGAATCATAGAAGAGGTGTACTATAAGATTGCGACAAAACATAGAAGCAAGCATATTGCAAAAGGGGTCATGAGAAGATATGATATCGAATAAATCAAACTGCAAATAAATGAACTCCAGGATACGTTTAAAGTATGTGCACACTGTCAGCGAAAGCAATTGGAAGAGAAGACTAGATCGACGTTGACTAACGATGAAACAAGCAACACGTCCCATATAACAACACGGAAGAGGGGGGTTAGGAGAAAATAATTATATAAAGAGTGAATCGTTGAGAATTCCGACAGATGCAGACGAGGGAAGTAGATGCTGAATCAACACATCATACCATAGAACGTAACACGCAAGTCATAATTTCATGTTCTGCCTTCCATCGATCGCGAACTTGATCTAGACTTCGACCCAGGAGAGAGATATGTGGGCGGTGGTACACTGGGGACATCCATGATCTCCACACCATTTACTCCGTCTATTGCCCACGACGGGGACACCGCATGGATCGTCGTATCACCCCCATCACCATCTTCCCGCGAATGATCGTGTCCTGACATCGACATCGACGCATCAGCAGCATAGACATCGTCCAATCCCAACTGATAATGATGCGGCTTCTTGAATCCATACCCTGCACCGTATCCGTGCGATTCGCTGCCAAGAAATGAGCTTTGCCGCTGCCAATTCTTGGTTTGGGCCCTGGTGTCATGTGTGTATGAAGTAGACGTTGGTGAATATGGATAAGAACCTCCTGGGGATATCGGGGACTCGTACACCAAAGTATTTTCACCTTCAAATCCCTCGTATGTAGTAGCAAGGGTGCTACCCCGACTCATGCGCCTTCCCCTTTTATCAACCGCTGATTCGATGGAAAGACTTGGTCGCCCATGACGCATACTGGAATTAATATCCTGACCGGTTTCACGTTCAGTGTCCAAACTCGGCCTCGTGAGATGTCCTAAACTACCGAGGTACACTGTAGACGTGGATGCATACGGATTAGAAAGCCCGAAACCAAGTGAAGAAGAGCCGCCTTTCGTGGTGATTGTGTGGGGGTAAAGGGAAGTGGCGATAGTCGATGTCGATGGGTGTGAAGCATGATTAGAGACAGCATAAGGAAAACGATCACTTCCTAGTGGACCAGGAGAGGAAAGGCCATGACCCTCGAGAGAAGTAAACGCTTCTGACATTCGATAGGGCGAGACTCCTGTAATTACTCCACCAGACACGGGAGTAGGCAGCGCTTCAGCGCCCTGAAAATTTTCTTCTTCTGCGACGTCTGCGAGATCCATCTCTGCCTCCCTCTCTTCATTTGAATCCCCTCTCACATCAATCACATCATCCAAATTCGGATGATAAGTGGTCGACCTGTTTCCGTTATTAATGGCAGTAATGTTGCGAGTGCCAACAGGCCCCGTCCCGCCCAGTAGAACAGCGGAAGCAGCTGAAGGACGTCTACCCAGTCCGGGCTCGCCGTGAAAAGAGTCATTTGAATCTTGCCTCATAGGCAGACTCAAATTAGAGGCGGAACCGAGTAGGCTTGTAGCACCAAGTGAACTTTCTTTCCTTAATCCTCTCCGCATCAGCTCGCTGTCTGCAACAGGTAAAGGTTTACCCCTGTGCTTCATGATATCCTCGTCTATATCATGGATACCTGCTGGTACAGCCGAACCGGGAGAAGAAAGAGATTGCAGGTCATAAACGGTGCCCCGAAACATGGATTGTGTCTGTGTCCGGAGAGTGAGCGCGGAAGGCCGCGTAAACGGGTAGTGTGAGGTCGTCGTAGTCGAAACGTGCGATTCGGAGGTATCTTGTCTTCGCGCAGCTCGTCCGTAGTCTGAAATCTCCTCCGAGTCGAACGGATTCTCTGCTGGAGATTCACAGCGTGTCGGAGCATAGCTATTGGCGTCAGAGAAAGGGTTGGAAAGATTCGACGTAGGAGTGAGGTACGGCGAATAAGGTAGCGACGGTGAGGAAGCTGTGTCCAGGTTTTGCGTCTGAAGGAGAAGAGATGCTTGAGAAGCTGCGGCAAGCGGGTGCATCTGTACAAAGTAGCCTATGTAAAACTGACCGGTATCATGAGAAGCCAAAAACTTACCTGTCCCAAAGCTCCTCTGACCGGCTCACTGAACTGCCACACGCCGTTGCTGAGTCTTGTCGCTATACGCATATTGGCCCCTGGAGTATGAACAAACCTCGGACCGTCTCCCTCAATGGTAGCATCTGGATTGAAAGGCGTGATTTTCGCTGCCAGTGACTTGTTTCTATTCAAATTGCTGGATTTACTTCGCCCGATATCATTACTGAGGGACCTGTTAAGCGTTAAACTCCTTCTCAAAGCATCTGCCACTCCCGATCCCGATGCAGTATGAGGACTTGGCCTTGGGACTGGCGTAGAAGGTGCTTCCTCTTCATAAGGCACTTTGGGCTTCATTCTAAGCGTCCACCACAGAATGATTCCGACGCCAATAATCCCAAAAACACCAAGTACCGCTCCTGTTATAGCTAACCGGTGAGAATTGCCGGAATCTGTGTCGAAAGACGAGCTGGAGGAAGCAGGAGCGACGCTGGAAGTGGAAGAAGTCATGGTGGTTGAACCCAAAGGTTACACGTTACACCGCGATCCTTGATTACCAACGTAGTTTTAAATAATCGTAAAGACTGTGAAGTGTTGTTTCCGAGATGATACACGTCGAGCACCACGAAAAGAATGTAAATAACAGCAAGTAACAGCGAGCAACCTGTCCAAGAACTTGTGAATTCCGCCGACAGGATCGGCATTGTGGGAATTGAAGATAAGATACCGCGGCATGAGATAAGCTTAATTAGGCTCCACTGTTGTGGACTGCACCTCGCTTGGGAAAGGATAGATTTCAGTTAAATTGATACTAGAACTGGTATGGCAGGAACTAGGGAATGATGCAGGATTTATGTATGCAAAAAGTGTAGGGTGGTCCTGGGTGGTCTAAGTATCATCTGAGTGTCTTTGTCAAGGTGTAGATTTTAGTTCAAGTATCAAGTGAAAAAAACAATGCACATAAGTTGCACTACAGGATATACACACTTCAAAAGACTTGTAGAAATTTGTTTGATTAATCTGAGTATTGAGGAAAAAGGTGCGCCGCAAGGCAAGCACAGAGCTCAGGATGTTTGTAAACATTTGGCAAAAGCATGAGGCCAAGCACAACCAAAACGTGCCTGCACAAAACAACTTAACTTCCGGAGTGCAATAGACCTTGCAAGCAAGGTGATATTATGCCCTGCGAGAGCTGTGGTGGTAATCCAAAAGGTCCTTTCAACCCTCGAGTTTCTATTAGTTCTATCCAGGACGCTTTCAAGGAATACCATGGACGAGGAACATTACACATAAACCGGTCCCAAGTTCAACAAGTTCTTTCCGAAGGGGAAAAAGATTTGAAGGATTATGACATGGAGATAGCCCGATTACAGGCCCGAGTTCTGTTTTTTGGACGGAAAAAAGATCGCTTGCAGGCTCACTTGAGCGACTGTGCCTCCCTCATTTCTTCCATCCGTCGATTACCAGACGACATTTTGCGTATCATTTTTGACTACCATGCTTGCGGGCCATTAATACCTGGCGCCGTCTGCTCTCACTGGAGGGCAATTGTTCTCTCCACTCCTTCGCTGTGGTCTCAAATCACATTTCTGTTTGACACCAGACGACCATCGGCAGTGACGACAAATGCACTACAACTATACCTGGACCGTTCTAAAGAATCCGCTTTACACATGGAGATCTTCGTGTCGCATTTCGGCACAGGTCAGCCCTTGAGCATCGACTACTTTGAACATCAAGCGTTTCAGTATCTAGCTACTCATGCTCATCGGTGGAAAACCCTCGGATTGACTATCGAAACCTCACTCGGTTTCCTTGAGCGTCATTCAGTCTTGTCCTGTCCAGAACTCGAACATCTTACTCTATACGGATCTCACCTTGAAGGTCCCTCGCCTTCATTCAACCTTACCCTCATGCCAAAGCTTCATTCTCTCACCATCGACAGTTCATATACACACTATGTTCATCCAAGCGTCCCTTGGCACCAAATCACGAGGCTCTCACTAAACAGCTTGAGCTCTGTTCCCCAATTTCTGGTTGCCTGTCCCAACCTACTGGTGTTTCACATTGAGCTCAAGCCGAACGAGTCAAACCCAATCCCAGATGACGTACAGACATTGACAACACATGACGGACTCTCCAAATTAGCATTGTCCTTTTTCCAAACGGCTCCTGACGAGGACGAGGACGATGATGATGACGACCTCGTCTCGAATCTTGATATCCTCATCTCGATTCTGGCCCGACTTGATCTCCCTAATCTCAATTCCTTCCAACTTGTGGCTAGTACACGAATAAACAGGTATCCCCTTACCGATTGGTCAGTCGAGGCACTAGCAATTTTCACGAGTTTTATGGAACGGTGTGGCGGTCATCTTACAGTCCTCAATCTCATGGACCTTTCCATGGACCTCTCTAACCTGCTCAGCATTCTACGAAAGGTTCCCTCTCTTGTCGAACTCACCCTCAGCGACAGCCCCCTTAGCAAAACGTCTGTGGGAGGACGTTCACGTTTATATTTACCTCCGCTAGTGTCTTCTGCGTTTTTGAGAAGCCTTCACGCGTTTCGTCGATTCGATGGACTCTCACCTGCAAGCCCGCTACTACCCAAATTACAAAAACTCCGCCTTCAGGTTGACAAGGAGTTCGACGAGGAAGTTTTCGTCGACACAATTTCGTCTCGCTGGATTCCTTCAGATGATTATGCACAAGAAGTTGGCGTCACCTCCCTTCAGAAAGTCGAACTTCGATTCGGTGATGAATTTTTCCACACGTTTGACTTGGACACAGTCAAGTCAATGACGAAACTTTCCTCCCTAAAAGTCCTTTGGAAGCAGGGGATGAAAGTAGACGTTATTTGTGGTGGGATATATGTCGATCTGTAAATTCACCGATCCTAGATGAGAGCAAACGCTCTCGTCGACCTGGCTACTATCCTACCTGTATTTCTTCATAAAGGTTTCATGGTCACTTTCGTAAAATTTATCGCGTTTCAGATCACGTTAACAGCGCCACATCTGCTACACATGTGACAATCCTACCATCAACCAACTTGAACTCATCGATCATCCTTGACGCCGACGTACAGAGCAGCAATTCCACCAAGTAATAAAGTCAGTCACCAATGGCGCCTGCGATACAGAAAGGTGGCCCTCAAGCTTCCTCAAGCTCGTCGGTATCCTTGAAATGTAGTCGAGATTCCCCTGAATCGATGATCATTGGGCCCCAATGTTCGGCGTCCGAGCCGCGCGGTAGTAGCATCTAATGCACCAAGAATGCACTGTACTTCGTGAAACTTGAAATCATCGGAAATATTGCATGTCCTCTCAAATCTCAAACTTGAACCTCAGGATTCTTCTGTCAAATGCTCTCTATACGCAATGCCCTGTATACCCTTGCCAAATGGTATTGGATACAGTCGCAGGAAATGCGGAAACACCGACATTCCCGCTCAAACACGCAAAATTTGTTCGAGGAGTAAATATCCCTCCGTATCCCCATCTTCTTTTGATCCTGAAGGGATTATAGAGCATTAAATGATGTCGATGAATAGCAACAGTCATGGTCTGCCGATGTACAAGATATATTTAGGATCGAGTCGCACCTTGACAATGGATTGTCTCTCGGTTACGGGCTAGTGGCAGAAGATGAACCATGCACAGAATTCGGAGGCACTGTAGATCCCGCCGACCAGTGATACGTCGCATTTAATTGACATTGGATTCTCTCCATGAATACCATCAAGTGGTATGTGCTCTCTCTCTGTGTTCTCCGATAACCATACACTGACAGTAGAAGCACTTCGCAGGTCATTTTGAAATGACGTACCGAGGACACAAAACACGGTGCCTGACTACGCATCACTCATTGGCCGCCGTTCCTTTGCCGAGATCTGCCGCCTGCTGCCGTGCGTTAAAAATAAGTTTACACCGCCATCTCTCCACCGCGCTTTTAAAATTTCAACCCCAAAACAACATCGGATGATATCCATATATAAACCCACTCAACCTTCAATACGATGCCAGCCTTTCCCCCCAAATCGTTGTTCATCTTTATTTGTATTCTCTCCGCTGGCACGGAGAAACATTCGCCTGGTACTTGCGACTTCATTGTATCTCGTCCCCTTCCGGTAAGAACCAACCAACACGCAATTGCGAACCATGTTCTTCAGAACTACTCTCCCTTCTCTACTGGCCCTATGCAACATTGGCTTTACTATTCTAGTAGGCGCTGCACCGCTCCCTGTGCGTGCGTCGATGGCGACTGGCTCAAAAAGCGCCCAGGATTTTGAAAGTCAGACTATTCCATATTCCGCGGAAGGACAGGTCCGATTATCTGCGCCATCCTCACTGACTTCTCTGCCCCCGCCCTCTCCGCCTCCGCCTCCTCCAAGCTCTAATGATTCTCTTCCCCTAACATTCATGATGCCAGTAAGTTTCTGTAGCTTCGGTCCGGCTGTCTTCCATCGAGTGATTACAATGCTTAGAAATGGGTCACAGCCCCATACCCCAAGTCACTCAAGAACGAAGATCGCGATGTCTTCAGTAAGTTCAATCAGTTCGAGTTTTTCTATCTCCAAAGCCTAGTTCCAACTTATTTTACAGGCACTACCTTACAAGGCATCACACTCGCCAAGAAACATTCTTCAATGGGTAACAATAACGCTGGGGTCTACAGTGTTGCCTCTTTCGATTCCTCTTTCGCCCGCCTGTTCCCACCTTCCATAGCCGCACAGAACATCGATTCAAGTAGGTTACTTGTCAAGGTCTTGAAACAAATCGACGACGACATGGTAGCGGAGGTCAAGGCGCTCACAATCGTTGGTCAATTCGTTGCTTCGGGTCTCCTGAGACTTCCTATTGCGAAATCGAATGACGTGGGGAGAATTAAGAGGAGTATCAAAATTAGAGAAGTTAGAGGCGTTGGGGACACCTTGCCGAACGACGATGATTTGTTCGAGCTCAAACCTGTCATCGTAATGCTCCAGATGCCTGGCAAGCCTTTAACTCATATTCCCGAATTCATGTCGGAGAAGAATTTGGAAACCAAGCGACAGATGATGGGCGATACGTTGAAGTTAATGTGCGACCGCGTCGGTGAACTAGCGCTGGAGCACAGATTCGTTCATCGGTAAGCAACTCCTACCTGAGATTATCACTTGTTCTGACTTTGTAACTAACTTTTGCCTTGATTTCCTTAGTGACAACATTATCGGAAACATCCTCGTTATTAACAAGGGCACCGAGGTTGTCGACGTCAACATCATCGATTGGGGAGGAAAATATCTTTCGTCCATAAACGACGGTGTAACATGGGATGATCTTATGGGCTGGTGTCATAATCGGTGGGCAGTCTACGTATGGGAGGCTAGGTAAGCTTATTATTGGAATTACGAGCACTCGAAGATCTGATACTTGTTTCTTTCTTCTGTTATTGGTAAGCCTTTGATTCATGTCCTTATCACCACCGTTCATTGGATAAAGCATCTTACCCGTCGTGTTTTTACCGAAAATATTCGAGATATCGTGCTTGAAATTGATTTTGAATGCTGTCACAGTGGTCGTCGTATAAGCTTGCAGCGGAGTCTGCCTTGTTTTTCAGATGTCCTCTGCCCATATGGAATCCATCCAGATGAGTAAGTAGTCCCACATGAATTCTTTAACGTAGTGGGCACTGTCAGGTCCGATTAACGTAGGGAGCAAAGAATATTTCAGTCAGAGTTTTTTCGGTAACCCGTAGTATCAGTACCAGAAATCCTTAGTACATGTCCGAACGTCGGATATGCTCAGAGGTTGCATATGTACTACTTCATTGAATCTTGTGAAAGATTCGTCAAGCTGGGTATTTCCGACAAATTTCCCAACTTAACAGGATTGTTTAGTAGATTACTTGATTTCACTGGCTAAAGGCTAGTGCGGATATTACAAAAATCGCTGCGTACAAGCTCGTACAATACTACTGGTTCACAGAATGAAAAACCTGAAGCTTTCAGTTCATCCTGCCAATCATCATCTTGAGATGCACCAATCTGGTCTTTGACTTCACGGCAGAGTGACAAATCACTCATATCTATCAAATCTCACTCGTGGCACGCCTCCGACCGTCGGGTGGAAATCATTGGTTGACTTGGTGCCTTGAACTGAAATTGTTGTGGTGAGCATCGATGATGATTCTATGTAGTCTGGAACTGTATACTCACGAACGTCACAGAGGAACATCCGTTTAGATCGAGTAATTGGTGAATGTTCCCTGGGCACGATCAAGTTCAATGAGGGTGCAATATACATCGACTGGCAGTTGAGAGGTCTTGTTCATCGTGGATAATTGCTTGGACTGTTTGCAAACAAGAAATTCATTCAGGTATGCAAAAGATGGATTCATACAAATAACGATTGCCTTGGTCGACGGCTTGAGCTTGATCAAGTTCCAATACAGCTGTTCTGGAAAAATGAGTCGTTGGGTGTGCAATTAGCAGATACTAGGCTGAAAATCAGATAGCCCTACTCACGCAGCCGAAAATCGTGCGTCCATATTCAAATCTATTTTAAAAACGTACCGATATTCAGGAACAAAGGAGAGAACTTCAGAACGAAGGTCTTCAACGATGTAAGAAGGTTTCATATGCACCAACATCCATTTCCACCATTTTTTCGGAGCCGCTCCAAATTAGTCAAAATTCTAGAGACAATTCCTAAAATGTCATTCATACAACACACACCAAGACTCGAGAATTAGTAAATGGATCAGACCATTCAAACGGGCGAAGGGCCTTGAAGCACCATACAGAATTCCAGTCGTGCCTGCGCTTAGCACTGGCATGGATCTCAGTTAATAACAAAGTGGGATCACTTCAATAGTGCATAGATTTCCCCCTGGCTAGAAAGCTTGAAGTCAACAGCTTTGAACAGGCAAATAGATTTAGAAATAGAGGCTCAGTAGAGAGCCTGGGAGGAGATATAAGCTGTTCCCGCGAAGACCTCGTGAAGCGGTCAAACCAGCACCGTTGGGACAAGATACTAGAAAATAGTAGAACTGAGGAGCTGTATGCATACTAAGCTTTCTTAATACCCCAGAGATGAGACTATCCATTATGAAGTTTGCATAGTATCGCATTGCAGGCAACCGTTGTGCTGTAGGTCAAAGCGAGTATTATCACTGTTCCCTCGCAATCATGTGATCATGATGTCATTTCACCACTATTTACCACCGCTGCCTAGCGCCGTAGTACTTCGAGTCAGCGATATCGCCTCAATACTTGACCGGATCCAATGTGCAACCGACGGCTGCTTCTGAGCTGCTTTGGGACCGTAGACTACCCAATATTGCGTTTACATGTGCAAGTCCGTTCTGTCTGACCTTCCCACATCTCTTCGACAGGTACACTCTATGTGCCTTAACTTGAAAGATGCCTTCCACCACTTTCTTGGTTCATTCCGAATACAAACCAACCAACGATAGCAGCCTTTGCGGCGGGCTATCCCCGAGCACAACCTTTTTCATGGTATAAAAGCGTGGATATTTCTCTAAAACAACCCAAGCCCACTCCTTCCTGACATCTCTCAATGAACTTTGTCACTGCTCTTCCACTCATTGCCCAGCTCATCGGGACAACTCTAGCTGCGATTGGGCCTGTGACCGATCTGCACGTCGTCAATAAATTCATTCAGCCCGATGGATTCAATCGGTCTTACATTCTTGCTGAAGGCGTTTTTCCTGGCCCTCTGATCTCGGGAAACAAGGTTTGCCTGGGCTCTGCGCGCTCATATTTGTACGCTAAGGCATATGCATGTACTTCTAGGGCGACAACTTTCAAATCAATGTGATCAATGAGCTCACTAACGATACCATGCTCTTAAGCACGTCCATTGTGGGTCTATGTCATCTCATCCGCATCTCGCGGCGTTTTCACCAACATCCGTGTAGCATTGGCACGGCCTCTTTCAAGAGGGAACTAACTGGGCGGACGGGTATGTAATTTTTATTCATTACATCTTTTTTTCGAAATGTTGACTATTGTCTCAGGCCGTAGGTTGACGCCCACTGTTAAAATGGTCTTTGTCCTAATCTACCCTCAGTGCGTTCATCAACCAATGTCCCATTGCCGCTGGAAATTCTTTCCTGTATAACTTCAATGTTCCCGACCAAGCTGGGGTAATGTACAAAAGACTTTCCCGCATGTTCTTCTTTCTAATTTCTCTGATGCTTTTCAGACCGTATGTTTCCACATCTACCTAAAACCTTCTTGTACTCAAGAAAAAATCCTCAGTTCTGGTACCACAGTCACTTAGGTATATCTATTTTTCAACAAACATGCGACCTGAGAGCTCAGCTTCCTTATAGCTACTCAGTATTGCGATGGTCTCCGAGGACCACTCGTTGTATATGATCCGCAAGATCCTTATCTTTCCCTCTATGATGTCGACGACGGTTTGTTGCGATCTTCTGTCAAGAAAACTTCAGGCTACTTACGCTCTAACTATTCACCAGATTCCACGGTCATCACTCTTTCGGACTTGTAAGCCCTTTATGCCCTTATCTATATGCTTAGCACTTACAAATTATTTTGCAGATACCGTAGGCTATAGTTTGTTCTTCACACTCTCGCTCACCAATCAAGGATTCTTCAGATGTTCCTGCACCTCTCATCGTGGGTGCCGCGTGAGTATTGATTATAAACTTTCCTAAAAAAATATGTTCACATCCATTTTAGAACCTCAGATGCGACGCTTATCAATGGCCTAGGTAAAGCACATAGGTACACTCAACATGAATTTTCTCATTGAACACAAACAGGGCGTTACACAAATGGCCCAGCCACTGCACCATTGGCCGTGATTAGTGTAACTTTAGGTAAACGGTGAGCCTTATAAGCATTTTGAATCTTGAACGGTTTGTTCAACATAATTTAGTTACCGGTTCCGTTTGGTGTCGATTTCATGCGAACGTAAGCTTTCCTGCTTGGCAATCGTAACAGCGACTGATGGGACTATCTTGGTCAGCCAACTTTGTGTTCTCCATCGACGGGCACACGTTTACTGTGGGTAGTGATGCGATGCGAAGTTCCTTCATGATTTAACCCGCTTTATTTTTATTTTCAGGTTATCGAAGTTGACGGTGTCAGCCATGACCCTGTTGTAGCAGACTCGATTCAAATCTTTGCTTCTCAACGTTATTCCTTTGTTGTGAGTCAATTTCGACTGTATTTCCTCATTGAGTTTTGACCATTCTGTTTTCCAAGCTCAATGCCAATCAGATCGTAGGCAATTATTGTGCGTAAAAGTCTTCAGATATCAAGTTAGCCCCTTCTTACGTGCTATCCATATACAGGGATACGAGCTAATCCTAGCGTTGGCACAACCGGCTTTACTGGGGGAATTAACAGTGCTATTCTTCGCTATGTCGGCGCTCCTGTCGCCGACCCCGTCACTGTTAGCACCTCGATCAACCCTTTACTCGAAACCAGTCTCCATGTAAGTGCCAATCCTTGCGTCCTTTCGTCGAGAGTGACCAAAAAGACCGTAGCCTCTTGTGAGCCCCGGAGCAGTAAGTATAGTTTTATATGAGACAAAGAGGAATTTCCAAAACTAACTTCGATTCTAGCCTGGTTCCGCCACTCTCAGCGGTGTGGACGTCGACCTCCGTCTAGTCCTAGGATTTGTATGTCCGTTACATTTTTGTGACTGTTCGACTCATTCAGGAAATTTGTAGAATGCCGGCTCCTTTCTGGTCAATGGAGTGAAGTTCGTGCCCCCCACCGTTCCTGTATTACTTCAAATCCTTAGCGGGGCCACAACAGCAGGTCGGAGCTGTTTTACTTGGGCGAGGACACAACTCATTTATAATGCACTTTGCAGCCTCTCTTCTTCCTGCTGGCTCCGTTTACACTTTACCTCTGAACTCAACGATACAATTGAGTTTCGATGCATCCGCTGTTGCTGCAATTGGAGGACCGGTGAGCGGTGTTTTTTTGAAACAAGTTTTCATTTCACCCTACTGACAGCACATCTAGCATCCTTTCCATCTTCACGGGGTACGGATCGAATTAAACACTTATGTTATGCAGAATCCTTACGCATTTTGAGATAGCACAATTTTGACGTCGTCCGACCTGCTGGAAGTACCACGTACAACTATGCAAACCCTATTCGCAGGGACACCGTCTCGACTGGTGCCGCGACAGATAATGTCACCATCCGTTTCACTACCAACAATGCTGGCCCCTGTAAGTAGTATACCTTGTCTCTTCCGACATTCTTGCTAACAATTTCACCCAGGGTTCCTACATTGGTGAAGACTGTCTGCTATATCCATGGTGAATTTGTACTGACGAGAGCATTGCTCCTCTACATGTAGTCATATTGACTGGCATCTGGAGGCGTGAGTGTACCGACTTCTTTGTTGACATCAACTGATTTGGCTCGGCCAGTGGATTTGCTATCGTGCTCGCTGAGGATGCACCTGGTGTTGCTTCCGCTAATCCGACAACTGGTGAGTTTTAACCGTACACCGTTGTCAGAGAAGCGAATTGAATGGTGTACCACAGATGCTTGGAATGACCTCTGTCCCATTTACGATGCTTTGACTTCTGCTGAGCTTGGAGGCGGAGGCGGCCCGACGTCATAAATAGCGATAGAAGCGAGCAACCTGCCAGACAGACCAGTTGTGATTATTTTTATTCTTGGTAAATTTTTTTGGATTGGTGCGACCTCTTTTATTTATGTGTGTAATATTAAACGATGATATGGATACGTGACCGTTGTTTGCAATATTCAGAATGTTTCGATGTACTGGCTGTAGATTTCACCTTGCTTGCAATGGTCATTGAACATCCATAACCTCGAGCGCCCGTGCAAAATTTCCTTTTAAAGTTGTCGTTGTCCGATCCGACGGCGGAACAGGGTTACATCTACGCCTTATAGGGCAAAAGGGATCCGGATGCAGCCCTTTTACTTTCCCTTCATCTAGCAGACTCCGACTCCACCCCTGCACTTTACCAGCTCACAACAAATTTCCTCACCTGGCTCACCATAATGCATCATCCCTAAGCTTTTCTGCTTGCTGTTTCACACCAAATTCCCTCACCGTAGCAGTGAACAGACGCAAGCAAGGTGTGTGTCCCCAACGGGGTACGTTAATAGTAGTAGGTAATCGACTTCTTTTGCATAACCCTATGTGGGCACGTAACGGGAAAAATTGTGTCAACACAGAAGTCCTCGGCGAATCTGTAGCAAATTCGGATGCGGTATTTTTATATTGGGCTCGCATCATGATGCGATGGCCATACGATTACACAGTCAAACCTTCATATAAGTACGGCTCACGAGAAAGGCACAATAATCCCATGCAACATGCGAACTGACGATCCCAAACCCGGAACGCATCGTCGTGGCCCTTTTACCGCCTGTGATTTCATGTTTCAAACATCGAGCTTCTCCCGAAACATGTACGACAAATTGCCAACTTGCTCAAAAGTCGAGTGAATACGAGTAGTAGCAGTGATACCAAAACCTAGCACGAAGGAGTAAGTCCCTCTATGCGATGCCAGTTTTAAGTAGCAGTGCTTACTTTGTGTTGCGCTCCGCTCCCGCGCTCTCATTTTGGCCTCCCTTCTTTCCCAGCTCCCCTCCTTGCCGATGTGTGATTTCAAACCCCATTGTTAGAGGTTGGCGTGCACGCTAGTAGAAAATACGCCAGGCTTTGAACTGAATGCGTGATGAATTCCGCAAAGTTGAAGGCTGTTTGTGAGGGGCATCTGGGAAAGAGGAAGCAAAGAGGGAACGATATGAAGGGAACTAAGAGGAAGCAGATGCAACGTTGGAGTGGGCTTTTGAGGGACCCGAAAAGGAAGCACTCAAGGGGGAAGACATACTTTGGGACTAGCATGAACAGCACGAGACCCGTTCTGTCACTCTTCCTCACGTATCTAACCTCATGCCGTTTCCCTCAATGAAAACAGCGATTTTATACGCCCATTTAGAAAGTTAAGTGCATGACTCTGCGATTTGACGAATATTCCCATCAGCCAACTTGTAATGATAGATCTGAGGAATCGGCTTAGTACTTCATGTCCAACAACATCATTTCACGCACACGTACCATTAGTGTTTGAAGATTTACGCTTTCTTCATCCTCCGCTGTTCGCCTTTGATGTTACCCATCTTCAATTTCTCCCGAGATTCCGTGTTATTGGATAAGGATTTTGTACAGCTGAAAGCTGTTCAGTTAAAGAAACCATGTTCACTGCTGAACGAAGGTATATCACGAAAAAGAGATGATTCCGAAACGCGCAGGGGGAAACGTTCGAAATCAGATAGTGCAAGTAATTCTGTTGCGAAGCGGGAAGTTTCGATTACCACCCTCCACCGAGGTCTGATCGTATATTTAATCTTTACCCCGCAACCTGGCCTTTTGCAAGCAGCTTTCCGGTTCATGCCCATATTGTGACCGACATCGTCTAGGTTCTTGTCTGGGAAGTTGATCGTTTCATGTGGGCGGATGTGTACAATACCAGCGACGCTTTAACTGACGAATATTAATCACCGTAGGAGGGCAAGTCGAGAAAAGCTTGAGAACGGTGACAACAACGTTCCAAGGATTGACACCGTCGACGGGCCATTGCCATTGGAAGTGCGAGAGGGAGGGCGAGAGAGAATGGACGGCTAAATGAGAGGAACCAACGACAACGGTTCAAAGACGGAAATAATGCCACTAGGTTTTCATCAGTTAGGACCGAAAGCTAAAAACTAAAACAAACACGTACGTTACGAATTTGACCACATCCGACCCACATCCGTTCCTCGAGCTCCTTCAACCTCGTCTGTGTGTTTTCCCGCAACAAGGCTATACCGCATTTTGCTTTCCTTTATTCGGAGTAGTACATCCGATGCCTGTAAGTTATGATTTGATGCACTAGCCTGCACCAGCTGGCCGTATCCGAGGAACTGAAGAATTGCTTGAAGTTGAATTTAAGACCTGGAACGTAGACGCATCGATATTATGAAAAGGTAAGCTAATCCCGACCCATACCTTTCGTGTTACGCAGAACTTGGATCAGAGGGCCTCGGAAGCGAGAACTATTCTGTTGTTCCGTTTTTCCAAAAATTGTTCCCATGATATTACAGTCCATGCTCCACCTGGACGAAAAGGTTGTGTATTTGGCGAAGTGGCATTAAGGGTGTTAGTGTCTTCGAAGGCGAGCCGATTTATAGGCGAGGTTTTTTAGAAGTTGCCGTCAAAGAAATCGCCAGCATGAACCACAGACTTATGTTGATAGAAGGATACAAAGGATCAGATTTTTACACCTGTTTTCGTCGCCAACAGTCCTATCAAGCATGCTTCGTGTTGGCTCTAGAACTAACCGAAATGAATACGGGCTACGCTTTCCTGAGGCTGAGAGCGTGCGTTCATGGTACTAGAAGGATATGTCAGAAACAAAAGCGATCAATGTGGACAATAGGGGTATGGTATTGGGACTAGGGAAGAGAAGAGCAAGTAGGAGGTGGGAATGTCAATTGAGCTGGGCTTTTATAACGCTCGGACCCGGACTATACATAGAAAGCTCGCGGACAAACACGTACTTTGGGGAAATGTAGGGAAAAGGCCACTCGTATCCGTCCTTCATTATTATAAGAGTCTCGACCTATAGTCAGACATCTAGCCCAGAACTTCAGATGAAGCTATGGCTGACACGGAGCTGACAACTTCGGGGGTCCGCAATTCGACAGATAATTCAAATTTGGTCACCGGTTCGATGAGTATCTGCTCATCTATACTAGGAGAAGGATGAGCGTTTTGCCGGATCTCTCGGCGTGGCCGGGAGGATAAGTAGATTACAATTAGAAGAGATGTTCTTGATGTAGGCGCAGTATGCATTTCTATAAACGAGAGTAAACCCGATCATGAGAACGCCAGTACAAGAACTGCACCGAGGAACTGTTTATTAGACGACGCAGAGACACGCACAATATTAAAGGATCATGAGAGTGCTCTATTTCTGTAGTATGCCCGTATACCCGTCAACCTCTTTCCTACCGTTCCATTTGAAGTTTCCAGATATGTTCACGGACTAGATAAATCGACCAAGGGGTTAGTATCGAGGCTAAAGTAAACGAAGAATTCGTAGTGTAGATCTGAGTCGAAACGTGAGGTGGAAAGAAGAAACAAAACATGACGGCGGAAAATTCCTTCTTAAATACTCATGCTGTGAATAACGCCGAAGTTTATGCGACGGCCCTCATATCTTGTGTAGCACAGTGAACAGAGAAGGATGTTGTGGATTTAGAAGCAGAACAAGGAGAAGATCGTAAAATGAACAAGAATATCAAATGACTGGAACTGCAAGGAGCGTTAGGAGATGGAAAATAGAAAAAGGAAGCTAGGACCACCCACCCAACAGTACTGCTGTATCTGTCGTTTTCCTTCCCCGGACCGTAGTAAGATCTGTGACGTTGGTATTGGAAGAAAGAACACGAGGCCTCTTGGCGTACAGGAGGGCGGTAATTTACGGGGCGGTCAAGCTACAGTAGCTCGTAGTTCAAATTATCTGCAGGAAGATTCTGTTAACTGACTGAAGTATCTCGATTTTGGGACTCATACCAGAAACGAACAATCTTCTTTCCGAGCACGACTTGTAGACAAAGAAAACCTTACTCTCGAGCATGGATGGCAGAATGACTGTAATAATCTGGGCTTGAAACTGCGGAAGCAATAGTTACTTCGATACTCTGATCAGGCTATATTTTCCGTTAGAGATGAGAGACGGACAACATGTAGATTCCTTTGACAGAAAGACAGCTGTTTATCTAGAGTTCCGAATCATTATTATGCTGAGGTAAAGTGACGGTTTTTCCATTTCGACTCGAAGGGATAAGTCCAAGAACGGTGTACAAGAATACACGCAGGATCTGTGGAAGCGCGACGAGAGGATACCAAAAATACTCGGTATTAGACTTTGCGATGTTGTTCATAGTCGCGGCGGTGAATATCTCCCGAATGAGTAGCAGGAATGAGATAATTCCGAAGATAAGGGAGACGTGTTTGGTGACGAAAGAGATGGAGGTGTATTTCAGAGAGTATTTGCCTAAAAGGTCGCATTACATAGGTGAGTTGTAGTAGTAGTAGTGACCTATGTCATTTCACAAGACGTACATGTTCCGCTTCTATGAGAACTATGGCTTGTAAGACTTGAAAGGCAGTAAGGACAAGAAACATAATGGCGCTAGCTTTTCATAGAGATGTGCTAGTGCTGCTCGTTGAGTGGCTACTTGCCAAGTTGATGCCTGCGATACCTAGGGCCATGGGGACAATCAAAGCCAAACGAAAAAGACGACGGTTGCGAAGATAGGATAGGATAGATAAGTCGTCAGAAGTTGTCAATAACAGGAACCTGAATGGATTCTTTGTTGTCGTCGCACAAATCTAACCAAATTGGGTATTGGAAAGGTTATAATAAACCAAAATGCGACAAGAATGAACCTGTCCATTATAAGACTATATGTAGCATATAAAGCCCGAAGAAACCAACAGAGAAACCAACTTCAGCTGCGATGAAAAGGTCCTGGTTGTCCCCAGCGTTGTCAATACCTGCGCAGACGCTATACACTGGCCAATATGAATCCGACGATACGAACTGAAGACATCATGAATACTAATTGTGAGAACTCAGTCAACAGACATACTCGTACTAAACAGCGTCATTGTAACAAGAACCCTTCTTCGTTCGTTCCTATTTCCTATCCTATCTTGAAAATGAATGTTCACTTAAGTAGCAATACGAGTCGAAAACTCCACAAGTCACAGGGGAGATTTCCTAAAGGGAACAGTTAAGATAGCAGAACACGGAGTGTTCCGCTAACGTCTCGCGCTTCATCATGCACACGAATCCACCCTTTGAGCCACCACTGACCTCCAGTACCAGATCGTTCATGTTCATAGCCCATTTCGTCGACATAGAAGGCCTGTAATCCTCCCATACGCTTCGCAATGTAAGAAGTGCACCATAATAAATCAGCTTCTGCGATGGCGGCGTATACTGCGCAAGGACCATTCTGATCAAGTTTGCGCACTGGTTGTAAATGACCTTTGAGTCCAAATTGTAGCTGCCGAAGAACGTTGCGAAAGTACAAGATTCGTAGCGACGATAAACTATTGAGTGCAACGACAAAATCATCCTAATGGGAAGTTGATCAGCACCAGAAACAAATGACAAAAAGGACATACAATATGATAGGTATCATCATAATAGTCAAGGTCAAGGCTCAAGACCTCAATTGAGGGGAATGAGGAAGAGATGAGGGATAAAATTTCGAATAAGCGAGTACCGCCGAATGTGGTGGTTATGAACATCCCAGTAACATGCCACTGTAGTGGGAGCTGGGTCGTTCGACTCAGACCAACACGATGAATATCAAAATGTTCACGAAGGTCTCGACGGACGGATTCCTGGATAAATGAAGAGAGGAAGAGTGGCGTATGATGATTGAAATATCGGTTTCCATTGTCTACAAGCCAAAGCTGTTTCAGGTATGGGTGAGCCGATGTAAACGTAGGAAGCCATGCGTATGATACACGATGATATCCCACCGACAAATTGAGCTCCTGAAGGCCTTTGAAAGTTCTGCGCTCAAAGTTTTTGTTGAGCTCGGATCCAACAACGTCTAATTTTGAGATACCCGAGCCTCGGTGTAAGCATCGAGTCAGTTTTGAAGTATGATCGAATTTTGCATGCTCGAGGACAAGTTTTGACAGATCTAAATTGAAAGATCCTGCAGGTAGATCGTGCAACGAGTTCAGCAGTACTGTTGAGACAGAGGGCTGCTCGAGAACTGTCCGAAGGAGAGCAATGCTTGGATGTGGGCATTTCATATGGATGAATGAGAGCTGACGTAAATGGGAAATAACTCGGCACAGAAGCAGAAGGTCTTGTCCCTCTTGTGTGCGGGTACAGAACGCGCCGAGACTAAGAGCTCTACGAATCGTTGAATTAAAAGAGGAAATATCAAGCGTTGTTAACTCGCCGTATAGTGTTTGGGATCAAAGACCCAGCGGAGCAGTGCTCCAGGAGCTTCTTCACGTCCTGGTCACTCTTCAGTTGTAGATGTGCGAAAAGAAATGGCACGCAAATGCGCCGCAAACACTTGTTGACTAGAGAAAGCGAAGATAGTTCGGCGGACGTAAATTGATAGAAGGGCTCCAGATGTCTACAGCTGGGTGGTCCTGGGACATAGGCCACAAACGTCACTATATAATGAAGGAGTTCGTTGGGTAGAATGGTTGGGTTAGACATCATGTCGCATGTGACGTTGTCAACGTGAAAAACATAGGGTACAAAGGGTGGGTAAAAATGCCCACCTTCCTTTTGGAGGTATGGCCGACAATCTGATCTGATTAGTCTTTGTTAGTGTCCGCGAGGTTCTGCAGATAAGTAGGGCCGACGGTGAATGTTAATTTTTAATGTCGCACCTCCACACATAAGCTTAGTGTTTTCGGAACCTCGTAAGGAGTCTATTTGCTGCTCCCAAAATGCCTTTCCTCATACTCTCAATCACCTCTAAAGTTTTGTCTTCCACTTCTGCGACATACGACGCGACAAGTTCTCGTTCCCAATACTTTGTTTCGATTGGTTCAGTGTAGGTCAACACAAATTCCACCATTGATGTCCATCGCGTTCTAAGAATCATTTCTCACAGACTTCTCAATAGAGCAGCCGTTCTTCAGCCTATCAACGACTTTTGCTTTCAATACTCCTAGTCTCTCGCCTGCATTTGAACCCCCATCCTCCTCATACCCGAGTCGTTCTTCTTGCAGCTTTTTTGCATTCATTACGATGCGCTTCAATGTTGTCTATGTTGTCGTTGGCCTTGTCTCTGCTGCTCATGCGGTCCCGGTTGGGAATGATCTTATGGCGAGTAGTCATTCTTTTACAGTAGATGACCTTTAGTTGACCTTGGTATCCTCTCCGCATAGGGTACACCTGAGATCGGCTTGAAATATCGTTCTCCTTGCCCCGAATCTAACGAGCAAATTATATATAAATTCCACAAACCCGATTTAAACCCCATACGATACAAGGAACATGGTCAATTCATCGAAGCAATGACTAGGAATAATCAAATAATTCCAGTAATCAGGAATCGGGTTGATGCGTTCATCAAACACGTCTTTCATGAGATGAAAAGGACTGCCGCTCTGGCAAAGGATAGTCCTCAGTTTTTGAATATGCCAAAAAATCTTAGATTCCAGATCACCAACAAGATCGTTATTCGAGGCATAGATGGGTCTTTCAAGCAAAGCCAGATTACATGCCCATGCGACGTGGAGGCAATTTTTGATACAACTGGGGATTTTCTGTACTTCTCGACCGACTCTGGCTACACGATTATCAGCTTGGATTCGAATGCACAGGTCGTGAAAGACATGACACTTCCATTTGCCGTATAATTTTACTGCTTTGATGTCTACATATCTTTTTTCTTTGCACGCATGTTTGAAGCCTGTACCATCCGCTTCGAGTCACCCCTACAGTAGAAGCGCTATGCGAACCGATGTGTATGTGACTTACCTTGTAAGGTTTACGAATCTAGAAATGCTCTCTAATGCCCTTCATCACTTGCTCACCTTCCTTCCACCCTTCCAGCATTTCCGGGACCTTGAATATCCAGGCTTCTTCACACCCTGGTTTTCTGCTGAGAACCTCGGAAAGTTAGCCGCAAGTGCCACGGGTGCGCTCAGTGATACTCCAAGCAAACTCGATTCTTCCTGGGCATCGTACTTGATGCAGATAATTTCGACCATAGTACTGTCACCGCGACGGTATAGCAAAAAAGAACAGTCAAATTCTGGGAACCATTTGTGACCTCGATGATGGGATGAAGTAGGTTGTAGACCGAAGTTGCGTTATACAATGACGGGTATATTTTATCTGACTGCTTTCAACTAGAGATTACAACAGAAAAGACCGACATCTGAGCTCGCTCTTCTCATATCCTACGGAGCAATCGATTATTGTCCTAGTCAAGGACTGGTATCTGTTTGACTGGGTCCTGGTCCGTAACTGTGATCGATTCTGGTCTTCAAAGTATCCTCAATCCGCCAAGTTCCGATTCGTCAACGGATCTGTTTCGGATATCGTTCGTGTGAACCGTATCGTTCAATGTTGAATCTTACCACCATTTGGCCTCTTTCATTTCCCAAATACCCGTCCGTTCACTTCTAACCCAACAATGTCGGTCAAACGAGGGATGACACTATATTCTGCTCCCACACCAAATGGATTCAAAGTCGCTGTGTTTCTGGAAGAGCTGAAGAGTGTCTATGACTTTGATTACGAGTCTGTCTTTCGTTGCGATCAGAGCTGATCAGAGGTGTCACAGAGTAATCTCAAAACCCACTTCCTTTAGAGTCCGGCCAGTCAATGTCGCCAAAGGCGAACAAAAGGTATGTCCAATATTTGCCAACATCATCGTTTCTTCTACATGTTCAAAAGCTATATAGGACCCCTGGTTCATCGCGATCAACCCAAACGGTCGCATTCCCGCCATTGTAGACCACAACCGGAACGATTTCGTCGTCTTTGAGACTGCGGCTATCTTGATCTACCTCCAGCAACATTACGACACAGAGAATAAGTTTGGTTGGGATCCGAAGGAGAATCCGGATAAGTATAGCGAGATGTTGCAGTGGATATTCTTTGCGGTGTGTCTTCTGTTGCTTTTTGCATGTCCTGGTATAATACTTATTCTTCTGCTCCTTCAGCACGGGGGTGTGGGACCTATGCAAGGACAACGTAGGACAGCAGTTTACCTCAAAGTATAAAACGATCTCATTGTAGATCCCTATCCTCCTAGTGAATCACTTTCGCAATGCTGCTTCTGAAGTCGTACCCTACGCACTAAATCGTCTGTCTCATATCTTCAACTCCCTGGTGACACCTTCCTCACTTTATCTAATAGGATATCTCAATGAAGTCAAACGCCTCTATAGTGTTCTCGACATTCGTCTAAACCAAGACCGGGATTATCTGGCTGGCCCCGGTCGAGGGATGTATTCTATCGCAGATATGAACGTCTTACCATGGTCGGACATCACTCTCTCACTATTTCTCACCTAGTCAAACATCATTCAGGCTGCGTATCCGCGAATACAGTGGGCTCGACAATTTGGATGAATGGCCGAATGTCAAGGTCAGCTCTGCGTTGTCATTTTCCCCTTCCTTTTCGTCACTAGTCGATTGAATGGATTTTTGTCTTTTTAGAGATGGTGCGAGAACACACTTTCTAGGGATGCTTGGGAAGTTGCGGGCAACGTTGGTCGTGTGGGGGATACAGCTTCTCTTTATAGCGTCGGGTGAGCAACTACACTAGAATTATGCTCTTTGTGGTGACGTCCCATCTCCACTATAGACACAAACAAACCACTTAGAGGGGATTCTTTTGCGCACATCGTTGAAAGAAAGCTATGTAGCTCTCTGCACGAAAAACATGCGAGGGTTGCGTCTATGTACATATTAGGCCCAGTTTTTATAAGCAGAAGCAGTACTTATGTATGCACCGTAATTGGTAGAGTAATGAGGATTCAAATGTTCAAAGTAGTGATGCACGAAACGCAAGAGAAGAAAAGAGGATGATTAAATATCAAATTATCCATGCTACGAATGTGTGTTGTGATCGAAAGAATGTGAGTCAAAGATCTGAAACCCAGGGAAGGGATGGTCCACGATGTGATGAGTAGGAGTGCGTAGGTATCGTACCAACAGTAACAGAGTATGTAACGGTGGTGCATAGATATGTCGTTCAATGTCGTATGCAATCCCGGGGATCGCATCGGTCAACCGAAGATGGATGATGTTAACCAACAAGCAATGCTCCAGCGAGGACTCCAATAGCGGCAACGAGCAAGTTGGTCAATGCCGCTTGATTGATGCCTCCCAGAATTATTCCCGAAGCAGCATTGGAGGCGCTGGCGCTGGTACTGCTACTCGACGACGCACTGGTACCAGAAGATGAAGTTACAGACGCAGATGTAGATCCATCACCCGATGCGCTGGAAGAACTAGACGAGGAGCTGGAGGAGGGTAAGGAGGTGATTGAAAAGGAGATCGAAGTGCTAGTGCTTGCGAGCGCGCAAAACTGGTTCGTCAATCCTTCTGCGGTGGCAAGTTCGCTAGCGCAGTTGGACTGCATGCAGGATATGAGAGCACTTTGATAGTCCGAGCTACATGATTACGATATGTATTAATAAAGCGAATGCGCATGAGGCAACGCTCTGAAACACACCTGTTGCAGTAACAACTCTCTGGGACGACGCTAGAGCAGTTCGCTTGTGCTATGGCGGTTTCGAAACATGTTACAACTAGGAAGAACAAGGGTAAGGAATAAAGATTAAGAGGATATAACGCTGCGGAAAAGAACAATAAACGTACCACAGGTATCATAGCCGCTTAATGAAGGTAGAGCAGCCGACGTTGTTGAGCTGGCAGAGAGACTGGATCCAGAGCCACTAATGGTTGCACTAGCAGTGATAGAGCCACTAGAGATAGAGTTGCTTGTTGAAGATGAACCTGCGACGGAGCTTGACGAGGAGGATGTCGAAGATGATTGAGCCACTACCGGTGAGAGTGCATAAAGTAGAAAGGCGCAAAGTAAGGTAGATTTTTCGAGCAAAGAGCTGTAAATCATGATGGTAGATGGAACAAAGGTGAATTTCAAACTCTTTGGCGACAAGCGGTGTAGTTTGGCAGAAGCCGTCAGAGTGAAACTTACGTAACACATTGCCGGAACTTGGTTTCACTCATCAACTCACTGCCAACGCACCGACCTTGACTTCACGTTTCCTCACTGCTGAAAGCTTGAAAGACCACAACTGATTCTAGCGCATATGGACAAATATAATTGCTCAGATTGAGCGCTGCGAAGATTTCGGCGTAAGTCCTTAACTTATTTCTGTTTAGGACGCTTTGCACGCCAATCATGTCGCCGTTAGATTGTTCCAAGGTCCGAAAAAGCCTTCAGGACTATTTGAAAGACTATCTCTCCCTCATTTCAATGGGAACTGGCTGGTGGTCTCGACCTCTTCTCTGAAATACGGAAGGACGACAAAAATTACGACCCACAGTGCCTTCGGCTTTGATAAAGAGCCTCAACACCTTCAAACCACCATTCTGAGGCCCTCATCAGAAAACGCTCCTTTCAAACTTCCTCCACTTCACTCGAAATTCTGTCACAGTTATGGAAGAGACTATGTTGACGAGATTGGTTCCATGTCTCTTCGAAATATTCATCGTTCTATTTAGGCGGAATAAAATCCCTTCAGTAGTTGTCAAATTTTGAACCGTGAACCGCGATTTTCCGTTCAATTGCGACAAGAATTGTCGTCGATGACTCAATAACTCATTCAATACCACCAATTCTATCAACTCCGAGAGCGCTGCGATATCTAAAATCCTGCTTCTATCGGTGCTGCCGCAATAAACAAGGTTATTGTCCTCGCTCTGGGTTAACAAACTGCTTCGATTGGTGGTAAAACTCGGGACGATCTCCAGGCCGGCACCAGCGGGAGTAGGTTAACAAGATAATATACAACATTTGGCGATGAAAATCAACTTCTGAACCCATAAAACCTCGGTGGCTCATTCAGATACCCCAGTTCCAAGTGATTCCTCGTCTTCGATCAAGTTTTTGTCCTCGCCACTGCCGTCGTCAACGTGGATCGGATTCGTTTGTGACCCTTCCTCAAAGTTATCGGCGGTGTCCAAAGAATCTGTAGACGAAATTGGGCTGACTGGTGAATCAGCAGAACTCGAAACAGAGCTAGTATCGGACACCATTTCGTTTGTATCCATCGTAACTACTCGGCTGGGGCCAGCTATCGACTCGTAGGGCGGGTAATCTAGCCTAGGTTCGGGCGTCAAATCGAGGGAGGGCAAGTGGTGCGAGGGTGGCCACACGGCGCCAGCGATCACACGAGAATGCTGGACGATTGCATCTGGATTGACTGGACGAGGTGCAGGCCAAGGGGCCTTCGTTTGTGCTTCAAAAAGCTGCGAGGGGGTCAATGAATCTATAGGGGGGAAAGGATGATTGCACGTACAGAGGTTGGCCAATAGCCAAACTGATCATTCAGGTAGTACCATCGACCATCGGCAGAGGTCATAGCTGAATTGGGAGTATGTTGTGAAGGCGTTATGTAGTCACAGTTCATGATCGGTTTCGAGGAAGGAGACATAAACATTGGCTCTTTAATAGGACCTCTCAAATGTCGTGGCCCGGCTCGTACAATCAACGTGTTTGTCCTTGAAAAAAACGACAATGAATCGAAAGTTTGCCAAATTCGGATGGGTAGTGGTTTAAGTGTTTGGCCCTGGTGGGCCTTCAGCTTGACTTGCCTTTTCGGGCGCACCAAAGATTGAATCAATGTCATCAAAGCGCGATCGTCTTCTGTACATGTATCGCAATCATTGTCAAGGTTTTCGACCGCTTGATCATTAGTGTCCGCTCACTGTGCTACGACATCAGCCACCCGATATATGGTGTCTACCATCATTATATTATCTCTCTGACTATACATGCGATTGTAGGCCACTGCACCACCGTGCATGGCAAAAACTCGGCTTCTTTCTTGTGGGTTATTAAATATTAATTGAATATTATGGAATCAGAAAACGGGGGCGCCTTTCAGGCGCCGACATTGATTTTTTGAGAAAAGCAGAATAAAAGTAAATTTACTTAAACTATCTATGGAGTAACAGGGAGTAACCGAATGAGACGAGAAAAAGTAAGCGTGACAGAGGGTGACAGTCCCGTGATATCCCGTGATATCCCGTGCCGGTCACATTTAAATGAATGTATTCCAACAGAATGTGACTGAGTACCATATATGGAGAAACTCCTTCCAAGTAAGCAAAGCGAAATAGCATGACGCGACCTACATAAGGACGAGTCTTCCGTAAACTACAGCCTCGTAATGTCTCGACTCTCTATTTGCGTAGGTCTATGCGTCAGAAATTGCATGCTACTACTATGTAGGTCCCCCATATTGCTTCCCAAGGGTCGGTATTTCAACGCCACCAACGCGTTTCCGATTCATTCCCTGTTTTCCAATCTGTAAGGACAAAATAGAACAAGGAATGCTGATATACAGATTACAGGAAACGTAGTACTGCACAAGGAAACCATCAATTGGCTCGAAGCTGCCTGAAAGAAGTACAAGGTAACTATGCAAAACGGTACTACTTACCACCGGTTGATACATTGTTAATACAAAGTTCAAACGTATAAATTTCAAAAAGCCAGCAGTAAACGTGATCTCCCCTGGCCACCCTCTTCCCTCATATCCTTCCCTAATATCCCAAGTTTCGCGTATAGCCAGAATCTGGCCATTGATGACTCAACTGGGATTTTCTGCCACTGCTGTGTCGCATGTTGCTCCCGCTCAAAGAAGGGCTCTCATAGAAAGAGGGGTTTAGGTGAGAAATTGAGTCGCGAGGGCTGCTATCAGGAAAACCTTGGTACACTCGATGACTGTGGTAAGTCTCCAATCGTTGCTCGTGGTGAAAATCTGACGGTGTCACTCCCCAACTAGGACCTGCGAGCGGAAAGCCTAAGCTGTGGCTATGTTGTGGAGTCTCACTAGATCGGGTGGAAGACCAGCTTGCTGCAGTGATAAAAATTTATCATGAGGAGTAAATACAATTCGAACGAGAAATACTTACGCTGCGGTAGCTGTAACATTGGCCAAGGATTTTCGAGCTCAAGAGGATGCGCACATCCAGAATGACATGGCTCAGTGCTCGAGTCAGCGGTAGAAGTTCCATTCACATTAGTAGGGTAATACGGGTGGAAGGCTTCTATCGGAGTGGGTCAGCATGGGTCTTTTACCGGGACAATGACTTATTTGGACGTACCTTGTGGATGAAGAAGTTGTGGATGAGGAATATGTGGTGATTCGTTATGTGTCGTGACAGACGACGAATGGTGCAGCCTCGAAAGGACTGAGGAACAGGTAAATTGATACCTCGTTCGGCCGAATGACTACTCACAATAATCAGGGTGGAATCTCGAGTTCTCAACTCTGAAAGCCAGGAGACAATGTCCTGTTGTGTTTTTGTCAAAAAAATTATAGCACTGTGATCTTGGACACGTACCGTTGGGACTTGATTGTCCGCCTCTCGACGTCGGTCTTTGGAGGGATGGAATGTCATTTTCCTGAGCAGTGGTCCCCACGCTGAACGTCCTCCGGATCTCACTGATTCTTCTCCACTTCTGATTTTCGCGAGCAGGTAGCCTGTTCCAGATCGCTGCGGCCTCCTCTGGAGTTCCTCGACAGTAATATTGCTTGAACGTAAGAAAGCCATTGGGTGCTTGAGACGTCGGCCTCATCGGAGGCATTCCATGAGCAATTATTTGGGCTTCCGCTTCTATTTCTGGATCTATTAGCTCTTTGCCATGATCATAAGAGATGAAAACGTCGGGTGAGGGTCGCTGAGAGCCCTGCATAATCACAAAGAGAAAAGGGATAGAGACAGAGAACGAGATCCAGAAGTTGAAGACGAAGACAGGGGTTAGATATACCGTGACAGTACATTGCCCCGGCGCAAGTTTCACGAAGCCAGCCGCGCAATGATGGCATACTGTATAGACGCGAGTCATCTCACCTGATTCGTGGAACGGCATCTAGGAACTCTTAAGTCGTCGGGTGGTGCTGGAATGCTACCCTTTGTCCTCCTTTGTCCAACATGCCCCACGCAAGCTTGAATGAAGGAAGAATGTCACAAGTCTTGAGTCGTACTTTTGGATTGAAGATATGGACCCACATCACAGTGTCAACATTGGCATGCCGTGTCTTTGGATTTCGAAGTGCGTTAATGGCTCACAGAAGCCCCAAAAGAGGAATTTCAAGCCGCGGAAATATCTTGCCCATGTACATAAAGTTTTCTCTGACACATCGCCGCGTATTTGGATAACACAGATAACTTGATGAATGTAGACGTTCTGCCGTTCGCAGCCAGCACTCAATGACTATTCTGCCATAAGCCGGTCTGGGAGGACAAATTCTGTTATTCAATGACATGAGCGAACAGATATACCTTTACTAAAAATGGAAGAAGAGTCATGCTCCTCGATAAGGCAACGGGGAATTGAAGTAGTAGATTATGACAATACCCTACGGCGGTGATTGCACATCAGTTGTACATTCCATTGCGATGGATCATTAACGCAACTGTGATTAAATGGATAACCCGAGTAAGTAGTCCATTGTCACCCTAATCGACTTGTTGAAGCTGTATCAACCAAATCAGGTACAGAAAACTTTGTAGTGGTAGTCTGAAGTCAGCGATACTTAACTTATTTATTGAAACAAAGGCCTTCCCTTCTGAATTGTTATCACTCTATGTTGAGCAGTGTTGAGCTCAGAATCGGAGAAACTCCAAGTTAGTAAGGATTTCTTTGAGGATCAACAGTTTGTACATTGCGCAAATGATTTAGGTTTTAGGATTTGCTAGTCTTGAGTACCGGACTGACGATATACACGATGTTTATATGTATAGATTCGCCAAATTATATATTATAAGTGCTCGTAAATGTTGGACTGGTACTCCGTATGCTCAGCTTTGTCCTGTGCGACCCTTCCGGCCACCGATTCTAACTTACCCCTATATTTCTCGATTACCATATAATATTCGATACATGATTTTATACTCCCTCAGTTGTTTCTCTTATCAACTGAGGTGAGATTACTTATTTCTTTTCTTAGTCCTTAGTCTTACTCAAGTACTATAGGTTATCACTCAACAGGTATATAGATATAATATTGCAGTTGTTTCTCTTATCAACTGAGGTTATCACTCAACAGATTATGAGACTCGAGCTCAACTGAACTTGATATTTCTTATCTCTTCGAAGCTATGTCCTCCACAGTTAACTCACTGTCGATCCCGCGCTTCCCCGAATCATCCCAATTATCCGGCGAGAATACCTGGCGAATCTTTAAGGACCAAGTCCTTGCACATATTGAAGTTCGGGAACTCAAAGGATATCTTGATGGTACCATAATCCGTCCTCCGATAGGTGGTTATATCTCCACATCCACTCTGTACCCTCCTGCAACCACTTCAACACCGGTGTATAGTCCGACCCCCTTCCCGCATGAATGGCGTCAACGCGACAGGATGGCCGCTAGCATAATCTATCTCAATATTGTTGATCCTGTCGGACTAGGCGTCGAACGTGAAAAGCCTGCGTACCACATCTGGGCTGAATTAAAGAAGAAGTATGAGAGACGAGATGAGATGCGGGTACATCAGGCTGATACCAAACTCCGAGCTGCTCGATTTGACCCCAGTAATACGACTATCGAAGAGCATGAAAAGACGATGAAAAACCACCTCAAGGAGCTCTGAAACTTAGGCGGTTCTTGCCTCGATTCCCAATTCCGTCTTATTGTAATCGCATCTATGCCGAAATCATGGAGAGACCTCCTAATCAACGTCAAGGGAATTTCGAGTGATGACGCATTCATTCACCTTCGTCAAGTCTATGACAACAAGAAGGAGGACGAGGAGGATATTCGACAGCGTAGCCAGGTCCATGCCCTCATTGCTCAGGAGATGGCTTCTTTCCACTCGGCAAATGCTGCATCTGCTCCTAAGAAGGATCGTCCGATGTGTACAAACCCTAACTGTCCTCCTCGTCGACGTCGTACTCATCCGATTGAGAAATGCTGGGCACCCGGTGGCGGAGATGAAGGAGGAGGCCCTAAGAAAGCCGAAACATCAGCAAACTACGCCAGCGATGGTGGGAATCATACCGTCATGGAACTCTTCGATTTGTGTACGTCGCCGTCAGCACCCATTTCGTCTATCCAACTCCCTAATGCCCATACCTGCAGAAACTGTGTATCAGTATCAACAGGGTATGGTGCAAACAAAGAGGTTATACGCAGCGTAGAAATACTAGACTCTTCTATTTCCTACTCACTTTCAACCTTCGACGAATATACCGCTTGTTCAGCTAGCAATGAGAAGACTCTTCTATATGCCGCTTCGAAACCGCGAATACCTCAAACTTTCCTTGATTCGGCTGCAAGTGACCATTTCTGGGTCCGAAGAGTTGATTTCATTGAGTATGAGAACCTATATGGAAAGGCAGGGAAGTCAGCGATTGCCGGGAAAGCAGGAGAATTTGAGATACATGGCAAAGGCACCGTGGAATTCGAGACGGTTGTGGATGGAATAAAAAGGAGATGTCGTTTGAATGGCGTCTATCATACACCATCTTTTCATCATAACCTGATTTCATTGAGAACACTGGATGCCAAAGGAATGAAAGGAGAATGGGGTAGGGGATCACTCACTGTCCGGACTGCGAATGGAAGTATCGTTATGCGGGGCGAAGGGAAGGGAACGATGTATGAGGTCCAAGCTCACTTCACGCCCCCAGTCGTAAACTTCGCTAGATCGCATAACAAACCTGTCGATATTCATACGTGGCATCGCAGACTAGGACATCCGGCTACAGATCGAATACTCCAGATGCATAGACATAATCTGGTCGATGGATTGCAAATTACTTCTAAGAAAGTGGATGGTAAATGTGAACCGTGTATCTTCGGGAAATCGACTCACCGACCGTTTGACGAAAAACTTACGCATGAAACGAAGGTCCTCGAACGTATACATCTTGATCTCTTTGGTCCGACTCGAACCCAGAGCATTGGAGGGGCGATATGGATGTTTCTTGCAACAGATGGTCGTTCTTCAGTCAAAGCTCCGAGTTTCCTGACGAATAAGCGAAAAGAGACGGTTCTGGCAGCGGTTCATGACTGGCGTACAATGGCGGAACGGCAAACAGGCCTCAAGGTATTGATTTTCCGGATAGATGGTGGTGGGGAGTTTGATAATGGATGGTTCCAGGATTACTGTCGAACGCATGGTATAGTTATCGAAATGATTCCACCTAGGTCCTCCGCAGCTAATAGAGTAGCTGAAAGAGCGAATAGAACTGTACTGGATGGAGTCAGGACCTTCCTTGTCGATGCCGGATTCCCTCCTTCGATGTGGGCTGAAGCAGCACTCACCTTCTGCTACGTGAACGCGTTCATTCCCTCTTCTCGCTTTCCAAATGAAGTCCCTATCGAAATATACACCAAGAAACGTCATGATGTTTCCCATCTCCGACCGTTTGGTTGCAAGTGCTGGGTGACTCTCGACGCAATCCAGACGGATGGAAAACTTGGAGTTAGGGCTGTCGAAGGACGTTTTGTTGGGTATATCGGCAGAAGGGGCTATCAAGTTTGGTTGCCACAGACTAAAACATTCCATGAATCTCGTAGTGTCGAATTTGAGGAAGGTGACCCTCGAAGATCTGCCCCGGCGGTACCAGATGAAGTTGATGGAGAGGTGTTTGTTGATGTCGACGTCGGTCCGGCTCCAAATGCCGTGCCTGATTCCCCGGCTAACGAAAATCAAATTGATATTCCAAACGCATCCATCCCTTCGACGCCTACTACACCTTCCACTCCTAGCTACGACGGCATTCCGGAATTATTTGCGGCTCAACCTTCATTTCAACCCTTGGCATTACCTATCCAGGAACCAGAAGCTGGCCCGAGGCGTGGTACTCGCATACGTGAGCCATCAGCACGACAACTACAATCTGAGGAATCAACACAAAGAGAACGTAGCGCTTTTGAGCGAAATCTCGCTTGGGCTCATGACTCTGGAGGTATAGACGAACTTGACGAAAACTCAAACCCCCTCGCGATGGTGGCGAACAGTCCGTTCGCTTTTGGTGCTGAATCTAGTGACAAGTGGGTCCCGAACACATACAAACAGGCTATACGTCGTCCCGAACTTTGGAAGGCGCCAATGCAAGCTGAATACGACACGCTCATGGATAAAAACTGCTGGACGCTGGTGGATCTTCCCCGAACGCAAATCTTACAGGAGGGAGGTGGGTTTATGCAATAAAATGGTCGAAGGATGGTGAGGTAGCCAAGCGAAAAGCTCGATATGTAGCTCAGGGATTCACACAGATAGAGGGGGTCGATTACGACAAGACCTACGGTGCTGTTGCACGTATGGAATCCGTTTGCATCGTCCTCGCGGTCATTGCAGTCCTCGGACTTTTCATGTTCCAGGTTGACTTCAAAGCTGCATTCCTAAACTCTCCTATCCAACACGATGTATATATTAAGCAGCCTGAAGGATTCATCAAGGAAGGTGAAGAACACAAGGTCTGTAAACTCAACAAGTCTATTTATGGGACTATGCAGGGTAGCCACGATTGGCAAGACACGTTGGGGAAAGGATATGAGGAGGATGGTTATATCGCTTCGAAGGCTGATCCCTGTGTACGTTATCGTCGAATCGACGACGAGTACACACTGTCCACCACGTACGGCGACGACGTCAATGGCGCTTCCTCAACTGAAGATGGTAGAAAGAAAGCCATTGCAGACTTGGGAAAGAGATGGGAATCAAGCGAAGTCAACTCGGGCGTTCTTCTAGGAATGACCATCTCCCAAGACCCAATCTCCAAATCCATCACTATTTCTCAAAAGTCGTACTTCGAACGGATGCTGGAACATTTTGGGATGGAAAATGTCCGTATTCGTCACACTCCTTTAGATCCCAAGGCGAAAATCGTTGAATCAACTAATCCACTACCTGAACTTGACCGAAAATTCATGTCGGATAAACCCTATCGTTCTTTCGTTGGATCCTTACTCTGGGGGGCTTGCTCGACAAGGCCCGACATCGCGTTCGCCTCAAATTTCCTCGCTCGTTTCCAACTTAATCCTGGTATTATCCATTGGGAAGCTTGCGAGTGGCTAGCTGGTTACATTCGCGGGACTATTCATTATTCTATTACCTATCGAGCTCCTAAACCTGGGGATGACCGCCTCGGTTTCGGCCTTGCACCTTTGGGTTACTCAGATAGCGATTGGGCTTCCTGTCTAGTGACTCGTCGATCTACTGCTGGCTACGTTTTTTTCATGGGTGGTGCTCCAGTGTCCTGGGCATCGAAGAGACAGGGCTCGGTTGCATTGTCTACAGTGGAGGCTGAGTATATTGGGCTCTCGAAAGCTTGTCAGCAAGCCTGCTGGCTTCGATCATTTATTCAAGAGATTGACCTTCCGCTTAGTGGTCCGACTCTCCTCCATGGCGACAACTTTGGTTCTGTGTCACTGTCAGAGGAACCGAGGAATCATTCACTTATCAAACACATTGACATGCGTGAACATTACATCAGGGAAAGAGTGAAGGATGGAAGTGTGAAGGTAATCCGTGTTCGGAGTGGAGAAAATGTTGCAGACATCACGACGAAGGCTCTTTCGGGGACTACGCATGCTCGAATCATTCAAATGCTTAATCTGGATCATACGCAGTAGGGGGGGGTGTTGGACTGGTACTCCGTATGCTCAGCTTTGTCCTGTGCGACCCTTCCGGCCACCGATTCTAACTTACCCCTATATTTCTCGATTACCATATAATATTCGATACATGATTTTATACTCCCTCAGTTGTTTCTCTTATCAACTGAGGTGAGATTACTTATTTCTTTTCTTAGTCCTTAGTCTTACTCAAGTACTATAGGTTATCACTCAACAGGTATATAGATATAATATTGCAGTTGTTTCTCTTATCAACTGAGGTTATCACTCAACAGTAAAGTGGAGGCATACTTAATGTGCATGTGATACGAAAGTCAGCGCCTTTTGTTTTTATAAGCTTGATCTCGTAGATATCCTCGCTGTTATGAAAAGTACTCGTTCGTGACGAGTACGTTTCATTGAAGCGCATAAAATAATGTATCAAAATCGCGCGCATGAAGGCACTCATTACTACTGATGCTATTATTAGGTTTTCGAATTCCTTGATTCGACAATGCGCAAATTCTAGGCTGCCCGGAGACTACATACAACAAGGGATTCACGATGGTACAGTCATGCAGTCATGATCTGAGGTATTCCTTCTAGATTTAAATTTGGCTAAAATCTCAAGGTCTCTCACCATAGGATATAATAGATGATTCCGATGGCCATTCGGATGGCTACATAAACGGCAACTGGCAGAAAGGATAATCAAAAAGGATAATCAAGGCAATGGGTGCTTCACAAATTCTCACTTTCACATTCGGTGTGGACAGTGACCCTGGATCCATCCACGCCGAGTACAAAGTTGTAGCCTTTTGTATCGAAGGCAATAGACGTTTTAAGTAGTAAGTATAAGTTTTCTCCATTTACATGGAATCTTCCAAATAATTTGACCGGTTATACTCAAAATACTGCCAGGGATACTGTTATGTCTGGCGTATAAAGCCAAAGATATTCTCTCCGAGTTCTCCAACATCTCTCGTCTTGAAGAAACGGTCCCCGGACCACGATGCACTCCTTATCGATCACCTTAGTCTTTCTTTTTTTTACATTAGTCCAAGAAGCGGTCGCCTCCGTGGCATATTGCAGCAATCATGACTTCGAATCAGGAGCGTTAGGAGAGTCACCATACCAGACCTATCATGCTGCCCCGTATTTGCCCGTGCAGCTAAATTATGCCCTTCCGTCAGACGACTGTCCCGCTAACAGTCAGGTAGAGGGCTACTTCTTCTTCGCTCCAGAAGGTACGTATCATACTTGGATGCCCTGGCTTAGTACTGACTTCGTGTATTGTAGGACCTATTGCTATGCCTGGAGGAGGGCTAATCATGAACCCCAACGGCACTATGGTCTATAGTGCCTCAGCTTTTGAACCATCCTTCCTCCGTGGGATTCAGTCATACAATGGTTCGGACCACATCACACTTTGGATAGGTGACGGATCTCCTGTTACGGGAGGACATGGGAGTGGTTATAACATTCTCCTCGACAATACTTATGCGGTTGTGGCAAACTTGTATGTGTTCTTGCTTCACCCCACACGCTGAACTGACAATTTTGCAGCACTGTGGTTAACTTGGGCGTCGGCGCAGATATACATGAGGTCGGTCATCTTCTCATAGCATCCCCAGGTATGAATTCTTAATTGTCGAACCTATTTCTAAAGCTACAAATTACATCCAACAATACTGCAGTCATGACAGCTTACCCCACTCAAGCCGCAAATTTGTCCGCATACAATGGTCCCTCCGATGGCTATGTCCTGAACTGCGCTGCACAGGAAGTGGACATCTCGACTGGTACAATTCCTTTGCGTTTCTCGGAACTCTTCGTGATTTAAGTATCTCATAGGAAAAGCTCTATTTACCTGGCAGCCATTGAACCATGTCGATCCTAGTGAGTGCTATGCGGCAATAGGAGAAGCTGGGTCTGGCACGGCTGACGATCCATGGGACTACTTCGTAAGCCTCTTCGATCTGTTGGCAAGCCATCTAATTAAAGCCTCCGTAGCATATCAACTCTATTCAAAAGATTGACGATGGCAATTATTTCATCTCATCTAGACAGCGAGTACTGTTTCGGAATATCACGGTTTTTGCACTGATTTCGCTTTTGGTCTAGCTGTCACACGCTGTACCTAGTGAACCCTGCTGGAGATATCCTTTGGAGAATGGGAGGAATGAAATCAGATTTCTCCTTTGGACAAGGCGCAAATTTCAGTTGGCAGCATCACGCAAGAATGCACGACGACTCTACCACTATCTCGTAAGTCACTGGCATGTCTCTAGGCAGGAATTGCTTGCGACACTCATCAATGTATAGGTTGTTCAATAATGGTGCTTCTGAATATGATCAGGACTTCCCATACTCACAAGGCTTGCTGATTAACTTCGACGAGGCTTCCAGGACGGTCACTTTGAACAATGCAAGAAGTCCATTTAATCGCACGGTGACGACTGCACAAGGTTCTGTGCAACTCCTTGAAAATGGGGTTTCGTTCGTTGGGTAAGTTTTTCCGTCCCCCTTCGCCATAATATCGCGATTTAACGTACCACTTCTCGAACCGTCAGCTGGGGCGCGATGCCATACTTTTCCCAACACGATGCATCTGGGAACATTATGTGGTCTGCTCAATTTGCCCCCAGCGAGAACGAGGTCTCAGCTTACCGCATATTCTTGCACGACTGGGTCGCCCGACCGATTACCCCACCCTCCATGTCTATCGCCAGTTCCTCCAACTCAACCAATGTGGTCGTCTATGCTTGGTGGAACGGCGCAACGGAAGTAACGGCCTGGAAACTTATGGGTTCAACGGATTCGATGCCTTTGGCGGCGGAGGCTTTGAACGTTGTTGATAAGGTCGATTTCGAGACCACACTGACATACACTGGTATACGCCATTACACGTTCTTCCAGGTAGCTGCTTTGAATGCGAGAGGGGAAATTCTGGAGTATTCGGGCTTCACTGCGTTGAATGGGACTTCTTTCGCAAAGGCGGATAATCAAACGGCTACTGCTTCGCCTCTAAACTAGGTAGATCATGACAGCGAGTTATAGATTCTTCGCATTAATACACCGATACATATCTAATTAACATCCACGTATGCATAGTTGTCCAGTGGCGACGCAATGTGTATTTTTTTCTATCGATACACATTCTCTAAGGTTATACAGTGCTGTATACTTATAGAAGTCATAAGTGAGGAGAAAATACTACATAGAAAGCAAAGACAGAAGACAGCAATCAAATGAAAAGGAAGAGTAGCTGTTATAGTACAGGTAGAGCTGGGCTATATAAGGAAACAAGAAACGGAATGTGAGAAGGGGAATACAAGAATACTTTTTGATCCAGTGAAGATTGTCCTGCTTTTTCTCTAATCGTATAGTCGATTCGATTCGAGTACTTATGCCATCTGAGAGTACAATGGTTTCAAACCCACTCTTGGCGCAGATTCAACGCTCCACAACCGTTGCCTGTTTTCTCCCGCTCGCACGATCTTCCCCTTCATCCAAATCGGCATCCGCTGAAGAGTTCTCGCTATCTTCCGCTGTAAGCGAAGTAGGCGGGGACTCCGCCTCCTCGGACATTTTTGCACGTTTACTCTGTATTTGATCCTCTCGTGCATCCACCCCCTCCGAGCTTCGTTTATGCAGCATTCGTTTAACAGGATCGTCCACTGATAATCCTTTGAGAATCGGCGGCCCCTCACGTCGGAGCCGTTTCGGGGGCGTCCTAGGTTGTCGATGACGTATCGGGGTGGTATCGTTTATATCGGAATGATTTCCGTCTTCGTTACCGCGTTCGTATATCCTCTCATCGTCAATCTCGTCGCAGGATCGTTTCCGTGGACTCACAGGAGTGGAAGGAGTGTACGATGGGCGGTTCAGTCTTGGTGGGGAGCGAGATCGGCTTCGGCTTTCATATCTTGATTCTACTTCGTCCGAGTCGAAGACATCATCTTCATATTCCAAATAATCGATCTCCTCCTCGCCCTCACCATCAGCTTCACCTAGCTTAATCTCGACAACATCGTCCTTGATTTCCTGAGCGGGATGTTCTTGGACATCGGCTGGAGGTTGATTTCTGTTTGCAACACCAGCGGCGACGGCGGCGGCTTCGCTTGCAGCAGCTTGAGCTCGTTCACAAATTTTACATCGACAGTGATACAAGGGAGCACAAGCCTCGCGCCACACCTACAATGAGAAGAATGTCAATCGCTGGAGGAACGAGCACAAATAAAGAACACACCATTCTGAACGCCTCGAGACTGAAATGAGGCAGATGGGCAGCCATGACAGGAACGTGGGGTATAGGATGGATCAGGCGAGGCGGATCAAGGACCGGCGAAACTGCAATGGTGACTGCTCGATATACATTTTTCGAATCAGCACCCGCGCTTTTGTCTTCTAATGGCGGCGGTGAGGGAGTAGTTTGAAGTGTAGTCGTTGAAAGGACCGGACTCGTGATAGTAAAAGACTCGTCTGAAGATTTACTGGATCCAGAGGAAGTCGAATGGTCATCGCTAGTAGCCTCTTCCCGCGCAGCAGCATCGTGGCGTGCATTCCTTCGTCTCTCCAGCCAATCCACACCATCGAACCAAGTAGCTTCATCCCGAAGCTCTTTCATGACATCCTCAAGAGTCATTCGCGCTGCGCGGATCGCAGGGTCTGCAGCATCGGCACTACTTTCGATCACGATCCTCCTGACAATATTCTTCATCGCTGGGAGAAGCAGGATCCGCATCTGCTTTTGATGGGCGTTGAAGGTCTGTTCACATAGAGGATGTGACGGGGGAATAGGCGCGTGTACAGTCGAATCCCTGGGATGTTCCTCCTCCGCTGCTTGTTCGGAATCTCCTTGCGGCGCCGAATCATCACTTTCAACCGTCCAAGGGCAGGGATGGACCGCGCGTACGTCCCAAGGTAGGTCTGGTTGTATATGATTGTACCACTGATCGGCAGGACTGATCCAAAACCCATCCAGTATTCTGTTCCGAGCCCAGTCGCCTAGAGCGAGTTCCCGGATGCCGCCATCCTCCGTTAGTTGAGCAAGTTCGAGATCATCTTCATCGTCATCCTCGTCACTGAGATCCATTTCAGTGTCTTCACCTGCGGCAGCCGCGGTCAATCGCTCTTCGCGTCCTTCGTAACGAGAAGCGGCCAATGCTTGAGACAGCATGTCCGCAAGTTTTGTGTAAGTGCGTATCCAGTACCTCTCCCTAGCTACCAGGATGACATCTGAAACTCTACCCTCGGATAGGTCGATAAACCCGTCAAGAGTGGATTTAGCCTCCCAATCATCTATACGGAACCTCCGGCCTCCAACTGCTTCACGGACGTTGGCAGAGCAGGCTTTCCGCCAAAGCCATTCAGCACGACAGCTCCTGCATGTTGCCTGAACATTCGGCCAAAGCTCATGGTCTTCATTTTCGATACAGCCAACGTGGAAGGTGGGATTTATCTGTAGTTCTGCTTCGTATGACTGGCTTTCCCGGAGGCATAGACCACAAAATGCAGCCCGTGGCTTGTCATGATCACGGCAGACGGTACAGTAGCTGAGCCAGGGAGTTGCGATCATGCGTTTTCCGGTTCCAAGACCATGTATGGTATTCGGAGTGTTGATTCGACATACGAAACAGGAAAATCGAGTTATATTCCGGTAATGTTGATACGGTGTAGGTTTAACAGGTGGTGCGGAGGAATTGTTATTACGGACCCAGACATGGGCGCCCAGTGTATCATGGGGGTCGATCAAGGTAATGACATGCATCCAGAAAAGGTGAGTTTCCACTGGAATAAGTGGTCAGCGATAAAGAGAAAAAGTGAGGTAGAGATCACGTACTGGCCGCACCCCATTGAGGGCATATGCGCATGAACCTCTCTACTTCTTGGGCATCTCGCAAAGCTGTATAAACCATTTGATTTTGCCAAAAATGTCGTGCTTGCCATTGATCAGGGCAGTAGTTCGTTACTGATATATCCCAGATAAAATAGGTAGCGATAGTCCTGTACACAATCAGAGTAGATATCAGTGCGCTGCGCTATACGCGTATTTAAGGGAACAATGGTGAAGACTTACCGGACTAATTCCTCGGGTAGTAAAGCCCAAGACCTATTGGTTAACTTCCCTTTGTATGCCGAAGCTTCTACAGGGGTTGAAGACATTGTGGCGGTTAATGTCGTTGGCCTCGTCGATGACGCCAAACTGGTCAATGCGCAGGACAAGCTCTTGCTTACAATATTACAATCAACGTCAAGGGTCGCACGGTCATGCAGTGCCGGGTTTCCACGCCACATTCAAGATCAGTCTGATCAATCTCAAGTTTTCGCGGTGTCGCTGAACCTCGCATCGGTTTACCGATTCAGAATTTGTACAGCTGGCCTAAGATTTGGCGGTATGTATGTATCAACATGGAGAGAGATATACATATGAATATAATACTGTATGTCCTAGAAAGCTTGGATTTCACCCCAGAACAAGGTGTGAATAGGTGTGAATAATGAATCAAAATACCGGACACTCGTATCTCACTCGCTTGCCACTAGAAGCCTGTGCAACGGTTTCTCCGTAAGCATATGAGGTATCAGCGCATCCTCCCTCACGACATATTTAGGCGGAAGCTCCACTACCTCTGCCGGAGTTGTCTCTTCGGGCAAAGCCCTGGGACTCGTTCCTCTGCCGCCATCTTGATGTCTGATGTAGAGCTGGGACATGTTGCTTGTCGAAGTTAAAGAGGACATGGGACTTATATCCGCTGGTTGAGGGTGATTTTGATTCACACCTAGTTGTCCGCTGTTTTCGGCTATACTTACGTTCGTCGATGAGTGTCTGTTATACTGAGTATTGAGGAAAATCACCAAAAGTGCGATCACTTAAGAAACACACCCTGAAGGATTACCGTCATACCATGGCATAATGGAAGATTTACCATCCACCGTGTTCCGGCGACGAGACCAACATCGTTGCACAATCCATGCTACTCCTGCGAGGAACAACCCACCAAATAAGCCTCCCACACCAGCTCCAGTTGCTATTGAGTGAGCTTTGGCCTTTAATCTGAGAATGCGAGAACAGAAGGTTACGCAGCATTCATAAACTTCCGTCCTAGGAATAGAGGAAGTTCACATACATCGTATCCGGAGCCAGGCAAGTATCGTCATCAGATCGTCCAACACCCATAGGCCCATTAGCCCATACTAACCCTTCAGAGCTGACGAGTGAGAGGAAGAAGGGCATAGCCCGTGACTGAACAGCACGAAGGTCAAAAATCATGCATTGTCGGCTATCGATATATTGGAAGAGTACGCACCAACGATACGGTCCAAACGATAGGGTCCATAGTAAGAGACGTTATGTTGTAGGGTGGGTGATTGGGCGGTGAGACCTACGGATGTTTTGAACAATTATCAGTACTGGATGATATCCCGGTAAAAAAAAAAGTAGTCTACAGTCAGTGTGAATGGAGGGGTCCCATTTAGAGGCTGAATAGATACGTTGTCACACTGCGAATTAATACCAGATTCCTCTCTTAAGCCGTACCACGATGGGACGAAAATGATGCAACCATACCTGATTGATGAACCCATTCTGCGACATCGGACCGCCATCCACTACGCTATTGACATCAAGCACTTGATTTGGCATTGTCATGTTTTTGCAAGTTGGATTCGTATCGGTGGAGTTTTGGATCATAGTGAACAATACTTGGCATCCTCCTGGAAGACCATTTGAATCGTACTGTCACTCAAAAGTGGTGAGTGATCTCGAAATTGGAGGCAATGGAAAAAAGGATCACACACCATACAAATTTGATACTGCAATGAAGGGTATCAATATATGAACGTAAGTGCGGTTATAGGAAAAATTGGCCTCACTTGCGTTCCAGGAGCAAACGGAACAGTGAAGTCGAAAAACAAATTCCCATCACCTGCGTCTCCCCCTTGTCCTGCATCGACGACGAACGGAAAGACGAAAGACCTGAGAATCAGTTCAGGAAAGAATAGAATTATCAACAAGCCTGTTAGACAGAGAGAGAATACGTGGACACATACGATGTGAAGACTTGAAAGAAGTAGGGAGCGACTGGATTCTGCCTGAGATCATTGTCACTAGAAATGAGCGGCGAGAGATCAAACACACTAGAGCTGGCACTCACCCGATAGCGCTCTGACGTCCCCATATCAGACGAACCGTCTCGCATTGTTCTGTTCATTTTGAATCCGAAATCAAATCCTCTCACAACTCGATATCTGGAATTCTCACCTGTAACAGGAATACTCCCATAGCTGAAGAAAAAGCCCTGCAAGTAACAAACACATGATCAGCACTGAATTTTGACGAATAGTTTAGTTTGTGACGCACCGGTTCGATGAATGGGACCACCTCCCCTACGACCAGGTTCCAGACCAAAACCTTCCAAGCCACGAAGAGAAATAAATTTAGACGGAATTGCACCATCTAGGCGTTCGGTCTATGAGAAAAACGGCAAGAATAGGAAAGAAAAGAAGAAGAGATAAAGGAAAAGCAGAAGACTGGCTTCGTAAAATTGAAAGAAAGGGGTACTAGAAGATGTTCGTTATTGACTCAATGACTCTCTTTATATCTATTTCTTTGATGTATGTTAATGTATAAGTCTCAAGATTGTAAGGAGTACTTGACCCGGAATAAACCACACGTTTAGGCACAGAAAATAGCACAGGGGATAATTGAAAGAGAAATCAAGAATCCGCTCAACAGTTGACCATTTTGTGTTCTTCTCTGGCCATTTTACATACATTGTGCGGTAACCATCTTGTTACTGATACCCGAATGTCAGAAATCCAACGGCAGTATTGACATTTGACCAGGAACTCACATAACACTGAACATCGCACAATGTTTGAACGCTTCTTTGCCTTTCCTTGCTCTTTGCATTTTCCTAGCGCAACATATTCCTTCACACCCAACTGTTGGAACGTCGGTCTGTAGAGCTGAAGACATCGAAGGTATCCATGAACCCCACTGAGACAATATCGAGAATCTATCTATCTTTGAATCCGGTTAGATCATGATCATCATAATAGAACGCGTGATGCAAGGCAGTTCAAGCCGCAGAATCCGGATTGATAGGCCTAGGATAGGATAGGAGAGAGTTCTTTCTATCCCATACTGGTATGATAAACATGCACGCACGTCGTGGACTAGGTGGCGGCTGTCGAATATTAGGTCTGAGTGTACGACAGGGATAATATCCAACTCGATAGCAGGATTATTGGGCCCAAAGTGGTTTCGGTCCGGCTTTCCCTCTACGTCGTGGCTTGCAAAACAAAGGACAGAAACGACAAAGAATGTCTCCGGCACGGCACGAAGAAAGAGATCAAAGGGAAGTGACCTCGATGATTCGGGAATGAGACATTGCACGAAACAAGAGAGATAAAGCAAGACGAATGATAAAAGGCTGGTTGAAGCGCTTGTTGAACCCCGTTCTTGTTCTTCCTCACTCTTCTATCTTTGTTTCTGTCAAGGTCATTCCCATTTATTTTACACCAGGACAGGTTTCCTTGCACAACCCGTGCCTTGACATCGTTACCGACGGCAATGATGAGATACGAAACGACGAATTTCGACGAATTAATGGAAGCGTCGAGATTTGGATTTCAAAGTGGTAGTATTCAAGGATACGACAAAGGGAATCATGTAGGTCCTGGAAAGTGAAGAGTACGTTCAGTCAACATTGAGAACGTCTTTAGCGAATATGGTCACCTAGCGAGCTCGGGGACGAATGGCTGGACCATGTCTATGTCGATACCCGGGCGGAAAACGACATCCAGTTCTCTCGAGTAGTCCCAGCTGTCTGGCCGCCAATGAAGGGGTGGCCAGCTCTCGGCTATGCATCCTCTTTCCCTTCATCCTCTTTTAACCCATTCGCCGATGATGAAGAGCTTCTTGGTCCTCTGCAAGACAATGATTCTGACAATGAAACCGATTCATTCAGCAACGCGCCGTCTACACCCGCTGCAACCATAGTCGTGCCTCGAAGCTCATATCTCAAAAGTACGTCCCCATATCAGTCCAAGTGTTCCCCACGTGTCGAGATGGAGATTACGGAGATGAGATCGACGTTCGATATTGGCGAAGATGGGAAGCTGAGTGGCGTTCGTGAGGCAAGCGTCCGTTTGAAAGCCTTGGCACCGAAGGCATTGAACCAGATAGACTTGAAGGACGACGACGACAGACTTATAGACGTTGTCGCTATCAACGACGTGGACAGGTTCCTTAGTCGGACAGCGACTCCAACGTGGAGCTGGGAGCAGGATCCTAAACGGTCGTCTTTGGAAAAACTGAAGCAGCTGGTGTATACTAGGTATAGTCACAAGAGAGAAGAAGCAGAATCATTGAGAGCATTCAAATATGGCAGCTGTTTCTGAGATTGCTGAGAGGTTGGAGAAGACGAGGGAGGGGTCCGCCAGATACTTTAATTTTTCAAATAAATGTAATCTGTCTGTTATTCCGTGGAGTGGAAGAAAACAGAAGGTCAGACATATAAGCACTTCATGAGCAGAATATACAATTCGATTCAGAATCGATGTAGTACGAGAGAACGAGGAAAGGGCGTCTAATTGCCGCTCCCCCGCCCGCGAATAATGCCGGTGGCAGAAATGCTATACCACTTACTGATCGACCAGAAGCTGGTTTTAGGACAATTTCGAGATATTTGATGCACGCAATGAAGAAGTCCTATGTAGCGCATAATTAGACCGTGAAGTTTTTGCTGGAATTCTCTCAAAGGAACCAGCTGGAACTACAAGTCGTTGTAAGTACATGCGTCGAGTAACACTCCTTTGTTGTTTAAACTTCGTTTCTTACAGGGGGCACTCAGATACCCGCCGCTCGAGAAGTTCGTACGTCCATCTTGAACGGATGGTCTTTCCCAATTTTTCTGACCACAGTCAGTGCGGGCGCCAGCTCAAACATGCTTCCCTTCCGGATATTGTGTAGCTTCGCGACTTTCATACGGAACAGCCACTATGTGGAAAATGCTCAATTGTCGTAAAGACGTTATAATTCATATCCTATCCTATCCTATCCTGGAGGTGGAGAGCGAAATCTCACTTCACGCGAGCCCCACAAGAGCCTGCAGCTTTCTGAGTCCGCTGGTCAGAACGAAAGCCCCGCTAAGAGAATTATTTGCCCACCTACACAACGCACCCACTAAATGAAGGCTGTAGAAGCTGCTTACGGGAGATGAAGGAAGCGTGACTGCGAGATGATAACCGCTTGCCCTTCAAATTCATGAACCAACGATAGCACTACCTTGTATTACATGTGTCTACTATCCTTGTTATCCCTCGATTTGCACACTGGAACAGTCACCATGCGGCGACCCCAAAATCTTAGGCGACAAAAGCTGACTTGATGATAAGGTGTAGCTCCGAACGAGTGGAGTTTGACATTTCCTTTTTGTCGACGACCTAAATTAAGAGAACGTAAAATCTTCAATGTCGAATAAGCTGAGGGTCATAGACACACCACTGAATCGGAGGAAGGGGGGCTTCAAACCGTGCCAAAAAACCCGATTGCAGTAGCGAGTCAAAAAGAACTCAAGAATTTGCGCACACACGTCTGCGTACGTAGTATGACAGGGATGAAAGGATCCGGATCATTGAAGGCATTTTCGCTGGGTTCCTCAGGTGCACAGGATGACATGCTGCATTGTGGATGGCGCGCCATCGATAATCACGAATCTACAGGAATAAGGCTGAGATAAAGACTTCAGCCAGGTATAAAAGGGCACCCAGAATAACCAAATTTTCACCAAGCCCACCGAGTTCAACCAACTTTCACAAACCTACCAACTTGATTTTTCCCCATTACCCACAATGTTCACCGTACGTTGCCCTCTTCCTACTAGTGCGACCCTGCTCTAACGAGCCATCCTGTCGTATGAAGAACACTCAGACTCCCATCTCTCAGGCCAACTGTGGCAGTAACGGCTGTGGCTGCACCGCTTCGTGAGTCCCATTCGTCGTGATACAATACATAGGTTAGCACTCACCGTATTTCCCAATAGTTGCGGATGCCAGCCAGGCGGATGCAAGTGTTGAGAGCCCCGCCAACTAGGCCGTGTACTCGTATTTCAACACTGTGCTATCGTTGTGCTGGCAAAACGGGAGAACACGCGCGCTGAAAGCATCGTCAACTACCCATCTTGTAGTACTGTACTACCGCTGTTACTGCCCTCTGTATGGATTTCTTAGAAAATGAATATGCGATTGTATTGTAAAATCCTCACCGCCGCAAGAAATAGAAGCACTAGAGAAATGCTCACAGCTTATTTTCTAGATCTTGCTCGTAGTACATTCTTTTACTCCGCGGAGCTGTTCCAAAATTCGAGGACCATCACAGGTGTGGTTTCAATGAGCGAGATAAAAGCCGTTTGTGCGCTGTTAAATTCTGGTATTATGAATGATAGCCAGTCTGTGAGTAATGTCGACGAACCTTAACGAACAGCTCGGTAGAAATGAACATCGTCCCTCCCTCCAGAAGACTCGCTATTACTGTGATTGCATGCTTAACCAGAGCAGCTTATTCCAGCAATATTTATGCTAATTTGGGCCAGACTCAGGTTCAGTGTGAAATCTAACATCATGAATAGGACGAGATTTAGCTGGATTAAGATTGGTCGCAGAGTGGGGGTCGCAGTCAATATCAGAGTCGATGAGTTAGTATGACACGTGACCGGTAGGTAGCATTTTGCGTTCCCACTGCGGGGATGAGCCGATTTTCTCGCGACCGAAAGGTTGATTTTATAGTGAGCTTTGGTACAAAATTGTTCAGATTACCGAGCGCCGAAAATTCTTAATATTTCTTCACAATCTGTTTGCATGTTATGGTACCGATATAGTACACTTTATATCAAAAACTTACCTCTAATATTGACAATCTTATCTTCACAAAATGCAAGCCGATTTATGAATGTTTTCGGGAGCCGTTTATCCAAAATTATTCCATTGAAAGCTGTTAGAGGAAATACAAAGAAAATTGAGAGCTTAGTATAGATAGTGGCCCAATATTCTACCAGAAATAATTCAGAATTTTCACATATAAACAGCCTCGCGCAAAGCATGCGCTTTTTCAAAATAAGCTCGCCCAGCTTATGGTGACCCAATGTCGGGACGTCGGGACGTTGCCGATATCGATATATCAGGACGTTTGGATGTCATGACGTGAGAGTCTACTAATTTCGGGAGTGACTTAGAGATAAAGATTTAATCTAGTTGCACAGGTAGTATGTACACTTGGATACAGTCAAGCTTTATGTCTTGATAATCAAGTCATGCGAGGGTAGGGTGGGAGGGTGGGAGGGGAGATATAAGTTATGCACATATTATTGTTAGCAGGATGATGTGTAATGATTGTACGAAAGACTTATCTTGGGGGCCATGAGTTAATGGCATTCGAGGGAATTTGGAAGCCACATCTGTTTGGCGTACTGGGTTATATATCAAAATAGGTAGAGTATATATCAAAGTATACATAGTGAAATTCATAGCTATCCAAGTCTGCGAAGTTGATCCAAGTCTGCGAAGTTGTCAGTTAGTAGATTAACGAGCGTAGAAGAAAGAAACGCACCTTTATAAAGATGCAGCGCGCACAAGCACTGGCCAAATTTTCCTTCGCCAAACGCGTCTCCAGTTTCCAAGGAAAGTGAACTTTTCGATGTGATTCCTACGACCTGATTGAGGTAGATACTGAGATAGAGTGAAAGTAGATAAGAAAAACGTCCATCGTGTGCACCAGAGGCGAGGTCTATTGAGGCACTTTAGCTCCAGTAGAATATGGGCTAGAGTTTCTGAGAACAGGTGAGTACATTAAGATTGGATATATAGGGACAAATCATCACCGGCTCTCCTTCTTCTCGGAACGCGCAACGGAGGCAGCCAAATTCTGCCAATGCTTGGGCACTGGCGGTCCCATTCAGCTCTCCGTCGCTCGTAGTTTGCGGACATCCCTATTTTCCAAAGATCACCATGATCAACGAACGCGTATAAGAAACCTGGGCCGTCGGATGATGATACGCCGCACGCTTTTCGAGAAGCGTACAAGGCACGCAATTGCCCAGCGGATCGTGGCGTCATCATTTGCCGAAGTCGCGAGGGAACGGATAGGCGAGCGGAAGCAGTGACCAGGGTTTTGTGGAGGCGGGAGTAAAATTGAGGGGGGGATAGGCGCGGGAGGACTGGAGAAGAGGCGGAACGTGAGAGTTTTGAGAGAGGCAGGACGTTAGAACGTTGAGAGACTGCGCAAGGCAAGGCGCTGGGTAAAGAGAAGTGGCGGGAGCGATGGATAGAGGCGCTGATAGCGCGGAGCTCTGATTACACGCGCTCAGTGCCAATCACCTGTCGCTTTGCGATGGTGGCAGTACTCTCTGCACTCTTCCCATCGTTTACAGCATCAGCCTTAGCAGAATTTTGAATCCCCTTGATTGCTGGTCTATCTCAATGCTCATCTTCATCCTCCTAGTCATGTCGCACATGATCCTCTGCCCTATCCATAATTTTCATTCCCGCCCGTTAAGTGGAGGCGGTACACTGACATTTACACCCCTAGGATAAGGGCATCGTACTAATACTACGCGTGCATAGCCCCATAACGGTCTGCCAACAATACCAAACCAGACAGAGACAAAGGCTCGGTGGGTGTACTAGGGAACTTCACTGTAGTAACAATGTCGAACTGAAAATTCTTCAATGCCGTAGGTGTACAGGTACTGCATGGGAGGCTTAGCAACAGCTGGAATGATGGATTCTAGTGGGACTGCGGCACATCGAGTACTGATAACTCCAGCAGAACTGATGCTTCCAGATTTTTTTCTAGAAGCTGGTCTTCCTTGCTCAGTTCGTGCCGTGGGTTGCAAGGGAACCAGAATGGGAAGGTGAAGGGGAGAAACAAGGGAGCTGACCGCGCGTTCTTGAACCCCACCTCGTATCGCGTAAGTGTTTATTTCATGACAGAACCAAGTCCAAGGTACATGAGAAAGCTCTCATATAGACGGGACGAATTCCTCAAACACCACACCTTCTTCTCGCGCATTCTGCAGAGCCAATACCTGAGTCAACGGTCCCGTCTGTTCAAAATTGCTCTGGATTAAAACGGCCAGGAAGACATGATTCGAGTAGCAATTAGTGATAGCACAGAATGAAAAGCTTGAACTACCAGGGCGACATTTGGATGAAACAAAGATAGAGGCAAAGATCCTAATTGAGACTGCAGAAACTATACATCGCTACCAGTTCCAATGGCACGAAGATGTCACCCAATACCACCCGCCTTCCTAGTGTCCATTCCAATTTAGCTGAAAATTTGGACAGCATGTAAGTTTGCGAAGTGTCTTCCAGCAGGAATATACGAGGACCTAAAAGTCCACAGTTTTTGTAGAGCTAAGGCTTTGGCCGCTACCGAGTTCGACTCCGTAGGTGGTGCCAAGATTGAGTATGATCAAGGTAACGATAGAGGGTGAGCTGAATGTCACATGACCAGTAAGTCTTTCCTTGATTACCTTACGTCATAATACACGATCCTTTTGTTCGAATTCGTCCCTAGACCGTCTTGTTTCGAGTACAACTCGGGCATAGGCGCAATAAGATCGCAGTCTGCTCTGTGCCCAAAAATCCACTACGTAGGTCCCACCGACGCCAGCTGACGCCGCCACCATTTGCACCCTCTGTGACGTCTGATACCCCACATCGCCAAATTCCTTCGAACAAATGAGTGTCTTGTAACGTGAGACGCTGGAGGAATTTCCCGGACAATGGAAGTAGACAATGTCGGCGGAAATTCTAGGGAAAACTCTGGCACTGAGACTAGGAGTTCCCTATCTTACGCGTCAGAATTCGGGGACATGAAATTTGTGATTCAGACACTGTAATAACGGCTGCATTGACAGCGCCTGCGTTTCCGATCACCCCCTCCTCTGTCATTGGTCCTTCTGACTCCAAGGCCGATAATTCTTGCTCCCGCACGCCAGGATTCAATACTCCAACCGAAACTTCATCTCTACGTTCTTGGTGCGATTGGGGAATAGGCGTATCCCGACTAAGAGATAGAGGCCTATGGACTATAGCCGTAGTTTGCATACGGATCACGCTTGGAATTAGCGCTGGAAGACAAGTTTTGTTGGGGAAAAGTAGGCCACCAACGAGCCCTTTTTCATATCTAGGTCTGTAACAGTTTAGTAAAGACAGACTGGCGTTTGGGGTAGGGCGTAGGTCTACAGCAACGGCTCCAGAGCCAGTTGCGAGCTCGTGGAAGTCCTGCCCCTCAAGTCCCTGGGACGATGATGAGGTGCCACGCCAGGATACTCCCCGGACTGTGTGGTGTTCAGATCTTGGACCAAGCCGCTCAATATCCCTTCCTTCCATTAACTTTGTCTTTTTGCTTGTACGATTCAATGACATATAACTGATCATGATCAGTGATACAAATCACGACATGTACATGTACACTGACATCGATATCGCTGGGATCCACGTGGTGGGGTAGCAGGAGTATATATATCAAACCTTCCCATATGCTTTGCATCCCAAGACTTCACACCCTCCCTCTACCTGCAATCCGCTTTCACGAGGTCAGTAGGCTCATGAAATTGTCACCCCTTGCCTACTCGTGTTCTCTCAGGAAAAAGCCAATTGCAAACAACTCACAATGGATCAGAACACGCTCAAAACTTTCACGGTCGAGGTATGAATTGGTTTTTTCAACCGACCTGCTTTTCTTATGAGCTTCGTCAGAAAACTATCGTTGCTACTGAGGTATTCCACGAAAGTTCACGTGAGGAAACTGAGAAGATTGGACGCCGAGATACCACAGTATGTTTTCTAATCCCGAAACAATAATTCAATTTTCTCATTGTTTTTGCTCCGGGATGTTTCGAAAACTGCGCAGATTGCTAAGGTTCGTTATAACTTACTTCATGATATTCTTGCCATGATGTCCTCCATTTTGGGTATGCTTTAGACCGTGCCGCTATTGAACAGTGATGTGAGACTTGACGTCAGTGATATGGAAGGTCAAATGGTCATTCATGTGTACAATAAACTATCGTGGCGGAGCCCTCATATTACTCAGTTCCTCAACAAACTGGACCGGGTGACTCAAGGAAAATGTTCATAATGAAATGTACATAGTTGTATTGTGTACTATTAATCATTGTACATGTCCGACTGTCTAAATTCAGAGCTTATAAATCGAATGTTTATAATGTTACTTATCATCCAAAAGTGCACATACTCGCAAAAGGTAATCCTCAGAACGTGCCAATGCACTTTCGCTGCTTAAGTTATGAGTATTCTCAAGTAGATGTGAGGATGTACATTTACGATCTGATTTGATACAAAACATGGATTTCTTGTACAGCTAGACCAGTGCACTAATAGAGATGTTACTCTGGATCTTGCGCCCTGGGGTATCCTCGCTCCTTCAATGTTCTTAAAAAGAATGAGATAGGATCTAAGTTCCTAACTGGTAATACGCACTTCAAAAGGTCCGCAGGAAAAATGAGTTTGATGGGCTTTTGAGGATGAACGAATTCATTAACAAAACCATTTCCGCCCTTAGCCCATCCAGCTTCTTGTTCTTCGAGCCATTGAGCATCATAAAAGTTTGCAGGTAGGCCAGAGACGTATTTCGTCTTCGAACTTCGATCGTTTCTATCAATGCGGATTCGGGGAGGAGCCCCTCGTGTATATCCGAATCTGGTTGCTTCAGTGGTGCATCGACCTTCAAGATGGCAGTAGTCCAACAACCTGAGTAAATTCATGAGTTCGACGCTTCACCATTTTGGCCCCTTGATGATGTATTGCACTTGCGGTTTCTTCATGCCAGGATCCTCATCATCAGAGGACATTCCTGCGACGCCTAGCTCATCGAAGAACGAGAGGAAGGACTCAAGCAAGTGGAAGGTGATGATGACCTCCCTTCGACGATGGAACAGCTTTTGGGGTGTGAGTTTGTGTGTTTAGGCAATAGAAAGTGACTCACGGTATTTTTCCGCTGCCACCTTTTGGAAAATAGAGAGCGAGGATTTTTGTTGTCCTTCAGCATTTTCTGTCTTTCCATCCAAGATGCATGAAGTGTTTTGAGTTGTAAAAGGAAAGCTTCGCGGATAGCATCTGTCATGCCCTGCCTAAAACCAGACCAGCCCCAGTACCCGCCACACGTTGTCACACACTCTATACACCTCCTGCACTTCCCCTACACCTCCCAAGTCACCTCCCCAAGTACCATCATGCACCTCCATCCTGCACCTTCCCACACAAGTACCACCATATACCTACCCAAACGTTCTTCACCGACACACGTACATTCCCCGGCGCGCATACAGGACCCCCTATAGCAACCCCATTAAGTATCAATCTCGATTACCGCCTCATGTTCACTAGATCCCCTGATGTTCCCTTGTCCACTTCCCGTACCTATTTAAGTAGCTCTGACACGTCCCCAAGCCCCAGCTTGGTATATTTTGAACACACACCCTTTACATAGGTCCAGTCCCTGTCCCTTTGTACCTGCTACCTATACGGAATTCTCTCTACTCTCTGTTTCTCTAACTCTGTTTCTCTCTACTACTGTCTATTGTCTCTCTGATCGTCTATACGATCAAATATACACTTTTACTTCAAGTCTAAGCCTTCCGAGTGAGTCTCCGAGCTCCCTCGAACATTACTAAAGCTCCCCAACGCCTACCCGCTTGGTGAGCTACCCTTCCCCAAACCTCCCAGAGCTCCCTAGCTACTTCGTAAGCTTCGGGACCTCGATCTAGGTAACGTCGAAGCTACCCCTCACGTCGAACTACGTATTGCTTCTCCGTTACCACCTCCCACACTCGAGGACGACCATCCTCAAACCTAGCCCCCAGGGACCTACCCTCCCTGGCGTATCCCTTCTCGGGAGCTTACACCCTCGAGACCCAGTTGCATAAACTACCTACTCGATCCTATATTGACGTTCTAGCGAGTACAACTCCTACTACGCAATATCGTACGGTCCCGCACTCTTCCTGAACCTCCCTACGCATTAGGGACCTCCCTGGACCTCCTAGGAACCCCTCAAGGGTCACCCTCTCGTCGTTCCAACCACTACTAGGTCATTCCCGTCCTCGGTCGCGGTTCTTGTAGCTCCCTTCGAGCTCCAGCCTGCTCCTAGCACGCTACAACATAAACCTCCACATACCAAAACCTACCCTAAGACCCATTTTGACCCAGGTCTTACAGCATCACGAGTGTGAACATTGGGTGTGGCAATCAACTTCCTCTTCTCAAGAATTTCTACAAAGACATATGAAGCACCCTTGTTCCACGCCGATTTGGGACCACCCGCGATCCAGTATCAAAAATTGTCGACTGAGCAAGGGCGTGCAAGCGGATTCGTTTTGAACAGCAGAGTAAATTCATCAGCCTCGTCCTGGGAGACTGTCTCCTTGAGCTGATCCTGGCCTTCCATTATTTCATTCAACCATTTCCGCATCGTTTCCTATATTGAGGACCTTTGGATAAGCTGAAACACATAATGCAAGTAAGTACATACCTTGATTTTCAGTTCTTCAGCAGGTCGATGCTTGACCCCTCCTGAGCGAGCAGGCTGCTTTTTCCTAGCATAACGGAAGAAGGGATTGTCATCTTCTCCTTCGTCGTCCCCATCCTCGCCATCGCCATTGCTGTTGTTGCGATTCATGGTGCTTCCCGCAGCTCCACCGTCACTAGGCTTTGCCGCGGCGCCACCGTCGTTAGAAGGCTGGGGTCCTTGGTTACTTCCGGATCCATGTCTCTGACTATCACTATCTCCCTCGTCCTGATGACCCGGTGACCCTTTGTGTTTGCTCTTTCCGGATAACATATCTAACGTCTCCCCAATTCGGCCGAGTATCTCTGTGTTCTGCGCTAGGTGGGTTACCACCTTATCTATCTTGTGATCTTGTTTCTGCAATACCTGGTCTTGTTTCTTAAGTATCTCTGCGGTTGAATTTTGCAAATGATGATACAGCTCCCCCATCGTCTTTGTTTGATGATTAAGCAGAGCTTGCAACTAGATAGATATAGTTTAATAGTATTATATGCACATAATTACATTGCACACTTACATAGTCTACAGGGCCCTGGCTATTAGATTGGGTATTTGACTGGGCTCCGGTGTGAGAAGTGGGCTGGGCTCCAGGAGTTTTGTCGTTGGACTGGGAGGGACCAGGCTCAGGATCATGCACTCTCCTTCTTTTGCCTTTCTGGATAGTGGGCGACGGTGGTTGCTGGCAGATGTATGAGTGATCTTGTTCCTCAGATAAAAATATGAATTTGATTACACACCTGCATTATCGGTTGGTTTCTGGGGCCTGGGGCTCTCGGAGTCATATCTGGAGGGGCTCTAGGAGTAGCACTGACATCGTTCATCTGAAAATCTTCAGACCGCGGAGGTGGGGTCTGAGGAGGTGGGGTCTGCGGAGGTGGAGTCTGCGGAGGTGGGGTCTGAGGCGGATGTGGTGATTGAGTATGGAAGTGGCCCTGTGGAACCTGGGGTGCCATTTGAGGCATTATTTGTGGGTTCAGTGGTGCAAGCGGCATCGGGTCATCCTCTCCAGAATCACTCGGGCTCTGAGGCACACTGCCTGGAGTATTGTATGAATCCATGGTCCTGGAAGAATCAGAATCGCTCGAACAGTCAATGTCCACAGTGTTGGTCGAAAGACTAAAGAGGGCGGGAACTCGCATCTCCAAGACCAAAGAAAGTGGACGATAGTTTCTGAGATTCCTGTGGGAGAATCAAGCTATCGATCAATCATTCATGCATGAAGCATAGGCACGATATGCGAGAAATTTGCTGGACATCGCTTATGATTATCGGAAAAATCAACGTAGTTTTAGGGTGCTGGATGGTGTGGTGCAAAGATCCGGGGTTGTCGTCTGTCGTACTAGTCTCTACTCACCTCGCGAAAGTCTGTAAATATAACCGCTTATGTCCAGTTTAAAACCAGGACAAGCTGGAGATGTACGTAGATCCAGGAAGATAGTTGGAGTTGAAGGGAGACAGACCACGTGAGCTCTTCGCCGTTCGGGCCGGTTATTCAAATTATTCAAAGTTACCAAAAAAGGAAACGGGGCTTTGATTTCTGACTGAGTATTATTCTACGTTTATTTACAGCACTGATTCTACAAACGCTTCCAGTATTGATGGTGGAGACAGAGTCGAGTTGTACATGGCTTGCGTAGTATACTATTTATTCCTACGGATTCCAATGCGCGCAATAGTTGCGATGAAAGAAACCTAAGCACGAATGAGTACACATGGTCCTTAATGAAGGAGTTTACATACCTCTTTCTTGAGCTTTTGTAGTATCTCTGAGATTTTTGCAGTCTGTTCGAGGAGAGGTGCAAACGCCAAGGCGTATTCCTGTTTACGACAACAATATTAGTGGGCTAGACATCCTTCATATTGAGGCGATACACACCTGTGTTTCTCGAGAGGGAGTACGCTGACGATATACCAACGCCTTGAACAACTTGGAGTTTGTCTGGTAACGAGCTTGCAAAACATGAGTGGCAAGATCCTCCAGGGCATCGAAAAGTAGGCGGCAGGTTGCATCCGCATCTGGAAGCACCAACGTAAGATTGACCAAAGGTTCTGAGTACTTGCCAATGATGATCTAAGTAGAATTCAGTGAATAGGCGATCCGATATCGTTGCGCACTACCTTTCCCAGAAGCTTCAGGAGCACTAATTGAAGAATGCGAATTTCGGGTTGCAGTGAGAATGATTGCGCCTTTGTTCAGACGGAACAGTCAGTATGAGAGGAGCAGCATTGAATGCAAGGACATACATTATTCTCGGAGCTTCCTGTGCGCACAAGGTCCATATATTCACGCTCCCGGTTCTCGATTGCAGAACTCAGCTTCGCGAAGAGAGTCTTGTACTTCTGGTCGAATGACTCTAGGGTCACTGTAGTTGTGCTCATGAGATCATCGATTAGCTCCATGTCGAAAGTCGAGGGCATAGTTCAAGCCCTAAAAACAAGAGTCAGCTTTTATAGCGAGAAAAGACGTACGGTACAACTTGAACATCAAATTCAAAGGGACCGGACAACGGAGCAGAATTGAATTAATCTTGTGCCATGAATGGAGGCTTTGAGGAGCTCAAAGATCTAGACTTATTTATTCATATTCGCCATTACCTGTGTCTAGTTTGAAACCAGGACCAGGTGGCTAGGCAGGTCAAAGGGGTGATTGAGAAAGAGCAGACCGGCGCTTATCGATGTATCATCGTCTTCGGGCCGATTTATTTTTTACGGTTTGTTGACTAATTAACTCGACAGCTTTCACTGGTCACCACCACCGAGTCAAACTCTGTGGATGGTCAATCTTCACCTCGATGGGACTGCGGATCCCTTTCACTCTTTCAAGCGCGTTCGTTTCGGTCTGTCTCAATGGGATCAAAATCCCCTTCTTCCCTTCAAGCATTTTCACCTCAATGGGCCCGCTTCCTCAAGGTGCCACTGTGTTTCGTAGTCCCTAGCTCGAAGAGCCTCATAAGGACTTGCGCTCTTATCTCTTTCCCCTCATAATGTCTTTCTCACTCGTGCGCTGTGTATCTTGTGAAGACGCCGAGATAAATCAAATGCAGCGGCGAATGGCAGCTGCTTCAGACGAGACTAACAATCTTCGACTTGAGCTTGATGCTTTGGCAGAGCGCCTTAAACTACGTGATGAGGTAGGCAATTTTTTTGCTGATTCAATGGATATATCTCTAACTTCTTGTTAGACAGAGCTTCATTCGCGTCTGGCCAAACAGAAAGCTCTGTACGTGCAAACGGTTGCTACTTTGAAGGAAACTATGGAAGATAATAGGCTGCTCCAAACGGAACTCTTGCATATGCAAAAAATTGGGAAGTGACTAGTAGTGGTATGTTGTCGAGTCTCTTTTGATTCATCGCGATACTCGGTTAATCTAAATCATCAATGGACAATAATAGGTTGCTGCAAAGGAAAATATTTGTGAAAACTGGAGTGACTAGAATTAGTATGTTGTTGACTCTCCTCTCATGCATCGTGATACTTAAATCAGACTTAGGGAATGGTGAATCATGAGCTCACGGGCTTCCTTACTGACATACGGAGAGTATGCGTCTCGGTTGTCGTCGGATACCTTTCTCGTAATCGCTGTATCTTTGTATGACGAAATTCGCTAGCGCTATACATATGTATGCCATATCTCTCAGATCCTAGCTTTCATTCAGCAGAGAATGGTTTGATTATGATCATGATCATGACCATTCTTCGAATCCCTCCATGACCCTGCAAACATGCATAGATAAGTAACAACAGCTACATTCATAACATTGAATGGTGTAGCCATCGCATAGTCCTGAATTACCCCGAAATGGATGGGCTTGAACGAGTTGGTCACAATTAGATCCGAGATTTAGAGGTCATGTTCTGGACCCTGTTTTCTTTCCTTTTGATCGAACCAGGATTGTAAACGATATTCGGTGACGCCTCGTTTTCAACACTCATGGGATGTCTGAATCCTAGGAATCCTACAGAGGCATCCTCACTCCGGATCCTCCTCAGTCCAACAATCACTTGCCTGATAAACAAAGGCTGCTGACACAGTGCTCTCGAGAGCAATGAACCCCTCCTATACCAAGATGGGTGTAATAGACTTGCCTACTGGTACTGTCAATGCATTAGCCTTTTCGATGGATGGACGTTATTTGGCCAGCACCAGCGACGACAAAACGGTGCGCGTTCACGACATGCAACGTGGGTTGTCAAAAATTTGGGAACACAAAGGCACCTACCCATACACTGCTGTCGCATGGAGAGATGACATTCTATTCGTTGGTGATGAGGGAGGGGGGATTATCTGCTCTTATCCCACCTTGGTGAGTTCTGTGTTTCCGGTAATTCAGAATTTAATATCTGAACGCGACACGTAGAGGTGGCCACGTCGACGAGCAAACGAGGTCATACATGAGGCCTCTTCACCTGTCGCAGTTATTGAATTCAACGAGAGCGGTGATCATCTTCTTATCTGCTCAGGTGCCGACGTTTTACTCTTCAAGAATTCGAAGAAGGGTATGACTTATTCCCTATTTGAATGCACGTATGCTTCTTGATACAAGTCATAGGTTCCGGAGCATGGCGATATACAGACCGCCTGTCACGTCCTGCATTTGGCGAGACTGAGAATTTCGCCCAACCTCCGATTCTAGCGACAGGCGTACATTTTCTCGAGAGTGATAATGAGTGTCTTATTGCATACTACCATCATGGTGTTTGGTGAGGGATCTATGTTCACTCGATGCAGATTTACTCTGAACATCCTGTATATTAGGAAGTGCAACATCGACGCTTGGGAGACGACTCGTATCTGGGGTCCAGACGAGAAAATGTATGTTCTCTCCGTCCTGGAGGTAGTCAATAGCTTAGGACTGTCATAAAGGAACTTCTGCTAAATCCCCAGACTCAACTTCTTTGGTGGCGACAAATATACGCAATGGTCTGGATTGGTTCAGGAACACGCCTCAAGACTTCAAGAAAATTAGTACCTCGTTTGAAGTTCAAGAACTTGGATCCAATGTTCCTCTTCTTGCTCTGTTCATCAACAAAGGTCAAGCAACAGTAATGGGTACGACGAAGGGATACACTGTGATATTCGATGCAAAACACGGGAGAAGGATCCAAACTTTGAAGCACGGAATGGGTGAGTCTGCCTAAAATACATATATCCATCGCTAATTTTTCCTGGCTTGAGACCGCTCCTGGGTGACCACCTTAGTAAGTGCTTTTGACCTGTCCCCGACTCCTTCTGCTAATCCTTGTTTTATCACACTCTAGGCATATGTTGAACTTGATGTACCAACCCGTCGTCGAATGATAGCCACTGGCAATGGTAACTGTGTGCAGCATACACAAATATTACTGTGGAATGAAGACGATGGCACTCCCGCGAAGGGAACTAGCAAGTTGTGGGTTCTACCTAGACTTGTAAGGTGCGTTTCTCATATCCATGACTCCGTTACTGAAACAATATACAGATTATGATGATTGTAACTGTTGGCCGTATGATCCTCGTGGCAATGGGTATAACCTTCGCACTCTTGCTGTTATTCCCCTCACAATGGTCAAGGGACAGTGTCTGGAAGATGCTTGGATACTCCGAGAAGATTTCATCCATGTCTTATCCGGTGACATCTTCCCCTTCCTCCGCCTCTTCCCCTTCCTTGTCTTTTCTGTCATCCGGCGGTCACTCACCCCCGAAGACGAAATTCAAAGAGATACTAGTCAATTTGGGAGAGCTCATCCTGGTATGTGTCCTTTGGTTCATTGGGATCTCAATGAACTGATTAAGTCGGAACTTTGGACAGTTCTAATACCAGTGCTTTGATATTGCTTCTAGTTCATGTGTATTTTTCGTATGCCTTGCATATTCACCGCTAGCAGCCATTATTCAAACAGAATAAATACTCAACGAGCATTGATTTCAGTATTCTTTCGAGATCACAAACCCTGATGAGCCATCGTCCTTACATTCATGACCCAGCAACAGCAATGTCTTAAGCGTTTACTGTTCAACTTTTTTGACGCTAACTCCTCGTGTGTGTACACGTACACTGTTTCTAGTTGTAAATATAATTTATAAGTGCCCTACTAATCTCACTCGCATGACGCACGAGTTACTGCTCTTCGAATTCTGGGATCCGGACATGTACATGTACATCGCAATATTATATTCGCTCGCGATCACCCACAAACAGTTCCGTCTCTACCTCCTGCTCGTCGAACCTGTCTTCAAATGTACTGGCTGTTCGGATAACATCCAACTCCGTCACCACTGCTTGCTCTCTCTTTCTGAGCTCATCACCTCTAACCCAGCGGATCACATACACGTATGTTAAATGTATCTGCATTTTGACCGATTGAGGTGTCCAGAGTATACATAATGTAACTTTAGCTCACCAGTGCGACAATAGTTTTGATGACGAGGGCCAGACAGAGGAACAAGCAAAATACGAGTCCCATTATGATAATCAACGTCCCCGCATTCTCCTCTATTTCTCTGGCGAGCTCAGGAGAAGGAGGTGGTGGATCGGTAGAGGTGCCGTCGGTGATATAGAATGCGAGGATGATTTCGCGGAAAATTACGCGTGCGAGTGAAGTATTGGTCGGACCAGTCATAGTTGAACAATCACAGAAACAGTTGATGACCCAGAGAGCGTATCTTAAATTCTGTTGAAAAGTTTCAGGGTAAAAGTAGTGGAACTAAGAACATTCTATCGATCGCGGAAGCGATAAGCCTGCGTGTTGGCGCGTGGAGAGAACAATACGAATGGGGATTTTCAGTCCGGATTTGTTAGAAAAGACGTGAAGTATGACATAAGTGAGTGACTCTTTGTATGTTTTCAAGTTTCTTTGGGGCGTACATCCGCAAGGTGAGCATTGGGCATGAGGTTGTATGACAGCATTTTTGACCTGACACACGCTCGAGTACCATCAAGTATTTTGGGCTCAGGATTAATTTTATCTGTTTTCCAGATACAAATAATAGAGGTGTTTCTACACCCAATGTTCCATAGTAAATTCATTCCCTAGAATAAATGAATACAGTGAATTCGTTTTATCATTCCTGTTAAATAGCGTTCACTGCTCCCTGGAGACTTCCTGAGTATCCAGGAGAAAATATCGTACTAAGTATTCAGTGGCACCATTCATCCATCTGACTTCCTAAAAAGGAACTAATTTAGCATTCGGATCAGCGTATTCGATCATGATCCATTGATCAATGATTGACCCTGGTTCAGTGAATTTACTTGCAATTGGTGGGGCCAGAAAGGTATACGTATCGTCTGAGATACATTGAACCTCGAAATAGATGTCTTCCCCCACCAAAATTTGAGGCTTTATATGCAGGAAGAGAGAAAGTCAAGGGTAGACGGTGAAGGGCGAAAAAGCTTCTTTCAGGGTCGAGCAGCTAGTTTCAGGACATGCTTTTTGATCCCTTTCATGATGATCCATGGCCATTGCATCGATACTGTCAAACTGTGAATGCGGTTTTCAGTCCAAGGTCAAGTCTGGCTCGAAATTAAGGCTGATTTCCTGACCTAGATAGAAAGGTGAAAATGAATCAGAGTCTGGAGCATTTTTACCAGAAACTTCCATCTATAGAGTTTGAAAATTCAAAACGAGGCGCGGGTAGAACAATACGGCGAAAGTGAAAATGGAAAAAAACTATCAAAGCTTCTTGGGTACAAACTCGTGCTTAGAACATGTCTTGTCTATAAAATGGAAGGCAATACAACTCTCTCCTCATATTGAATCCTCATTAGCTTTCGTCGAGCCTAGCCACTTCCAATGTCTTCTACTAGTCGACAAACCAGATCCTCCAGGAGTGCAAGTCGCTCCGCAAGTGCAGCTTCCATCCATTCTTCGTGGGGACCGTTGTTGAACGGCAATATAATGCCATTGTGAGATGAGGATAGGGTAGGCTTTGCAATCCGATACTGTCACACTAGTCATTGACTTGAATTTGCTAGGTCAATGGGAAGACGTTGGGATTATTCTTCGGACGTGATAATGCATTCCCTGAACGAAAATGTTTTGCTTCTGTCAACTCTCGCGAAAACAACAATCGTTTCATTGAAGTTCAGCGGGCCTTCAAATTCGATTATAATGCCAACTTCTATCAGGCGAAGGTGATCGTCGGAAAGCACAAATATTATGTTGCGGGAACCTACAACCAGCGCTCGGTCGAAACGAATACGTCTCTGGAAGCTTACGGCTACAACAAAGAGTTCGCAGGAGACGTAGCCATCTTCTTCCATTCAAAGTACGAACCAGAGAGGTTCCTCGAGGCCCTTCCACGCTACACCAATGCGAACGAAAGAGAGATCGCGATTCGTCGTGTTATTACTGCGTGAGTAGATTAAATTGCCTTCGTGTAATTGCTCTAACTCAACGACCGGTGTGATGTAGGTTTTGCAAAAACGTTAAAGACCATGTCGAGAAGAATACATCCCTCAGACGTGTTATCAGAGGGTAGATGAGTTCGTGGCCCATAGCCTTCGCTCTGTTTTCTCCTCCTCGCGTATGTCCCGGAGACCTACATCTCAATTTTCTTCATCGTGTCTATTCTCTATACTTCTTTTCCTTTGGATCGTTCATCTATCACATATTCTTCATGAATCGTGAATCTCAAATGGAGTTAAACAGTTTTTACCTTTATAACCACTGTAAAAATCCCTCTTTTCTTCCGACTCAGTTTATGCCTAACCAATGTTTCCTCTGCCTACTATGCCTACCCCGTTATATGTCTCAGTCTTTTTACCATTTCAACCGGCCAGTGTACTTAACTTTCTCCCATTCATCTTCTCAGGCATTGACGGTGTCAATGCCCTTGTAGATACATGTTTTGCGTTCTTGGACTGGTTCCGCTCCGACTAAAATTCGATACGCGTACTTCCTTGTGATCAATATCAAATTTGCCTTTTATTTGCGTTCAAGTATTGGACTAATTCCGGTTTCTAACCTGGAGCAATCCATGAATCCGTGATCATGAGTATAAGATGGTTGCAATTGCAAAGACGTAGCAGATCAAGCTGACAAATTTAAAATGACTACGTACACGTGATCATGAGGATATTTCCTTCTTAGCCACGTGCATTCCATGGTAGCTCTTGATATATACTTACAATTTGTGCATCCATCTCTCAACTAACGGCTTCCTTCTGGTTTAACTGGATACGAAGCTCGCTTACACTCTAAATCCTCATCAAACTGCCATTGGGTCGCTGTCTTTGTTAGGTGGACTGAAACCAAGGTTTCAAACTTCACTCGGACACCAGTTGAGGCTACGAATCGACACTGGTCCTGATTAGATAGGAACAGAGCTTCATTAATTCTCCTGTGCAAAATATGGATCGTGAGTACATGTCAGGCTGCTGTTCACTAGTTCCGTCTCAATTCCATCCTAGTCGTGAAATGCTGTCTTGCGACCTTTGAAGAGAGAGAAGCGACAGAAGGATTTACTTTGCATGCGGTAATTGATACAGATGTCTTTACCTGCCTGTGTCGCAAACCGTTCAATTTTCCCAAAATCCCTCCTCGACATCAACCTGTAAATCTTAGTCCTCACGCAACGACGTTGCCCAACTTTTATGTTCCCCGCTGGATTGATTCATCAATACCTTTCTTGGGATTTGCTCCGAGCAGTAATCCGTTCAAATTCCATTTCCTCAAATGTCTTGACTACGCTCTCGATAGCTTGCCTATCGTCAAGGACAACGATGGTCACTACGTTCTTAGATCGTCAGAACAAGCGAACTGGGATTCTTTGGAGAGAAATATGCGTGCGTTCCTTCGTGCATGTATGAGGGTAAACTCGTTGGCAGTCCCTGAAGATTTTCGACTTTGGCCTTATCCAAACAACTATGGGTATCGTTTACGGTGGAAGATGGAGATGGATGCGCGCTATGCAGCCATGCGATCTCGCCAAGCATTTATCCTTTAATTGCATGCATATCCTTCTTTCTTCACTTGCTGTATCACCTGGAAAGTCAATGGGTCGACCTTGTTATATCTGCCTTCGAACACAATGCGAGATTGCCTAGCATTAGTCCTTTTTTGAGTAAAAGGCAACAGGAATACGAAAAACTCCGGAGAGAACCCTTTCCAACAAAATGGCAATGGAAAGAGTGGTTGCAGCAGCAAACCTCGATCAGTTCAGAGTGGCTTGAATATTTTCATCAGATCCTGGATCTTCCGATGGTCGGAACATTTGTAGATGCCCATACTTCTGGTTGTCTTCCATGGATTCCAGTTTTTCTTAAAGCAAAAATGCCCCTGATGTTGTACTGGGGTTCTACCAATAATTGGTCAATCCCCACTACGCTAGATCATCTAATTTCTACACCTAATTCTGCCATGATAAACACTCTAATCTCGCAACAAACGCCCTATCCTCCACCCCCATCGTCCATAGAACAACGTTTCACGCGCGAGTTTCCTATCTATAAACCTCGATTGCGCTTGCCTCGTATCGATGGTGGAAGCCTTCCTCGTCCAAACGAGAGCCTTTTTGCTTTCATTCAGCGTAGAGAAGATCATAGACTCAAAGTCATTGCATCTGAGACTTCCACTGAACGTCAATCTCGTCTTCAACGTGAGGCAAATGCTGAGAAGGATCGGCCTCCTGGTAGGAAAGGTGCCCGCGTCTACTATTGGGACTTAGTCGAGGGGAACAGGGTCCGGACAGCAGTGGGGAGGAGCAATTACGAGGATATCTGGGAGAGGTATGGGTTGCGCCAGAGGCGTTATGATTCCGTCACTGATGAATGGGAGGTGTGTACCGACTTTGACCCTAATGATGCTCCTGATGATTACGGCTATGACTCCGATGATGATGATTCAGACGGTTTCATTTCTGTCGGTGCTCATATAAACGAGGAAACATACCACAATGATGGGGCCATGTCCTCTCAGGCCTATCTCACTCGCCTTCAATCTCTGAATAAGTTACCGCATTCTTCGATAGAGTTCCACGAGGCCGTCGAAGATGTTGCTTACCACAGGTTCGGGTTTCTCAAGCAACCTATTGCACAAAATCGTGACTTTGTACTCAAATTGCAAGCTTGGAAAAAAGTCTTGGGCGTTTTCGGTTGTGGACGCCGTCACGCAGCAGTTAAACTTGACGATCATCTCAAGCTACAGCTATGTGACTTCATCACACGAATACTAGATGCAGTAGATCTCCGACATGCACCCGATGCGTATGACTTATCTGCTAGGAGTCTTATACAGCCTCCGGTTCCCTTTGAAGTTGATACCCTGTCTTCATACAATGGCCGTTACTTTATAATACAAGCAAAAGATGCGACAGATAACGAAGAATATGTGATTGCACTACGCAGCGCCAGTACCGTTATGGAAATCGCACGTCGGAAATGGGGTCCTCGAACTGAGGATATTATGAAGTGTTTGATCGAAGAAGGGATTCCCTTCAACACGCTCATGGCTAGCCACCCTCCTCATAGGTCCCTTTCGATGCCCTTCCGTAAACCTGCAATGTTAGGCTTCCGCCCGGTTGGATTTGTTCCCACATTGCAAGACTATAGTTCCTACGAGCTTGTTCGCAACGATTTCTTGCGCTCTGCCAGGGGCCGTGCAGCGCTCTTAGCTGGAGGTATCATTGCCAGATTAGCCAGAGGCATTGTCGATGCGAATGATGTTTACGATGGCCCCACTGGTCATGCCCTACATGAAGGCGAGCAAGCACTGTGTGTCTGGGAAGCAGGCCAAACACATGCGTTTTGGGATGATAAGCTTACCGACGAGGAGATGGATCTGATTTGTGGATCATACGAGGTTGCAACAGGTTCATACTCTTTTTCTTTTTCTTTGAATTAAATCTAATTCTGAAGTCCTTGCATCCAGGTTTTGTTTCAAAGCAGGGTCAACAACAAACCGCGATCAAGTCTTGGTGGCCTCGTTCAGGCTCCTGGCGATCCTGTGGCCTAAATTGTGGATACTGGTCCAGAGATGCAGAAGATTGGTTCCAAAATCGTTTGGACCAAATTCTAAAGTCTCCAGTGCCAGTTGCTTTGATGACCAGTCAGGAATGGCATGGGAGATTGAAATTTCAGAGGGCCAATAGTCTTTCCAACAAAAATGACATTCTTGCTACAGAATATCTCAAGGCAAAGTGTAATTTACCATTGTAAACTTAGTTACGGTTGCACTGTGCAACTAAATCATATACAGTTTATTCTTGCGCAATCGAGAGAATCAAAGTCTTTGACTTGCCAACTCATGATCCTTCTTAAATTTCACAACTTTTCAATAGATAGTGCATTTGAACGCTACATAGATATAAACTGTAACAACTAAAATCTGATTGACTTGAGAGTATTGCACAATTCTGACTCTACAACCTGATTACAGACAATGCTACACTGGCTAAGTCTCCGATCACGCAGATCATTGACCACATAATGGAAGTGCAGATAAAAGCACCGATGAAGATGACCATGTCGATAGCAAGTCGGAGAAGCCCAGACCTCTGTTACAATGTCAATCAACCGTGCAATGAATTTATAGCGAATCTTACCTGATCTCTGCCCTGAATTTGGGGGGCATTATATTGAATGAAAACAAGCAGCCCAACACTCAAAGCCGAATGACCAAAACCAGTCAGTGGTTGATGAAGAAACATAGTTCCGATCTTCCAGAGTGCTCTAATCAGAAAAAGCAAGTAACTTAAAGAACCTATAGTGAACAAGATTTTAGTCCCTTGCCGATCAAGTAACTAAATGTGTCGATGAAGTTTGAAGTGTAACAGAGAAGAAGTCAGTATACTTACAATCAAATCTAGGAGATTCATGTGTGGTGCTGGAAGACCAGGTTTGTCTTCAGCCCTATTGCCTTGATCTACATCGTTCTCTCCTTGATTACAGACCTCCTTCGATGCCTCATTCGATGCAAGAATAGCATGTATATCTGATAGTGGAAGTGAAGTAGTGTTCTGCGAAGACCGTCACTACGTACCACTGATACCAATACTTTGGAAAAATGACCTACTTTGTCTTCTTCCAACTTACGTTGGTTCCCTCCTTGATCACAGACCTCATTTGATACAGGCGTTACAGGAATATCCAGCACTGGAGTAGTAGCATTCTGTTCAGTGGAACTCTGCGCAAAATGAGATAATGAGATCGAATGAGCCAATGATATCCGTATAATTGATGCAGGGGAGACTAAGGTGAAACTTGCATTCATAGAATACTTCGACCATTGAAAGACATCGGTATGACCGGGATGCGGGGTAGGAGAAACGTTCTGCAGACAGATGAGTTGGAAGATCTAACAATAAATTTGAACTAACCAAAAGCATTAGGTTATGTCTTTCAGCGTCGCCCTCATCACTGTCTTCCATCTCATTACTTCTATCTTCTTTATCCATCTTCAGATTGTCTTCCGTTCCGTCTTTGCTCCCAACCGATCTCGATTCTCTCGAGGAGGAGTCTATTTGATTCTACTGAAAGAGTTAAATCCAGTTCGATAGCACGGGTTGATATACGCACATTCGCGTCAAGGGCACTGGACTCTGCCTCTGTAGGCCTGTACCACCCATCGTGGTCAGGGAGGATCGGAACTTGCAGATATGCACTCGGTGTCTGATCATGAGAGGAGCTCATTGAGAGTGGTCACCGCGTGTAATTCATCCAGCCAAAAGTCTGATGGCGTGATCATGAGATCTGAACACGTTCTTAACGTCGGAAATGGTCTTCCACAATCACGTCGATATCGGGTCGAATAGATAGCATCTAAGCACGGAGTTATACTCAGGTGTTTAGACTTGGTTTGGAGTAGAATTTGGAGTATTATTAAATCAACATCTAATTCGTGATCAAGACTGATCTGAGACAAGATATCATGTGACTAATGATATGCTTGGTATGGTTTATCGGAGGTCATATGATAGATCTCTTCGAGGAATTTTCCTGTAGACACGTACTCCTTGTTCTCCTGATTCTCTATCACACACAGGCGATCCCACAGAGTCAAACTCAGTAGGAAGCCAGTGACTTCATTCTATTTCGCACTACTCACACTACCTGAGTCTTCGACTGGACGTGACCCGGATCTCTCCAGGCTTCGCGAACGATACATTGTCAAAGTGCTATTGAGGACCCAGCTTGGCTTACCCGTTGCAGTCAACTTCAATGACCGGTCCGCAATTTTGGGATGCGCCACCTGTTCATTATTCAGGTCCACGGGCTGCCATCCAAGTCCCTTCCCATCCCGATTGAACCATACCCAAATCTGATACCCTCCATCCTTGGTACTTCTATGGATGTATACCGTCCCTAGAATTCTCGGAATCGGTGTTTCGGGGAGAGGAACATCCAAGTCAACCGGTGATTGGCTGTAATACCAAGCAGTTTCCCCTTCGCTTGTATGCGACCTAAACGAAACAGTCTGTAGCTTTGTCGGTCCATAGGTGTCCCCAACAATGGAGTTTGTTCGTTTCGACTTGTCCAAGAAGTATTTCGGGGCAGCTGCGGAAAATTTGAAAGTGACGGGCGTAGCTTCTCTCACCTCGGCAGCTGCGACGGAGCCTGCTCTCAGCAAAGTTATCAGTACAGGTCTTTCGCGAAGAAGGACTGACTGACCTGGACCAGAAGTTCTTTCATCCCTTCGTTTGAGGGCTCCTTTTTGGGGTGGGGGTGTTTTTGCCTGTACTCGAGGGCTTCTACCTCGATCTCAGTATCCGTAGTTGCGACGGGAAGCCGATATAGATTGACTTACACCTCTTCAGCATTGGGAATATCGACGATTTTCTGGACAATCCCATCATCGTCCACAGCATAACGGTAATAGTCGTGGCTTTCCCTCCTGTACCAGCCCAATCGATGGGGCTGTAAACAGTCAGCGGATAGTCAGTTGTTTAGCCCAAGTTTGATTGTCCTCCTACCTTCAAATCATAGGTTCCGTCGTCTGTGACCTTGTCTGGGTCCATTATCAAGAGAGTACTTGTCCAACCCTACGTGATTATAATCAGTTAACTCTTCCTATCAATGTTGATCAATCCCCCAATTTCATGTGGAGCTGGCAGGTTGGACACCTCGTCCCTGAATCGATAACGCAATTGATAAGCAGAACACTCATCTAGTTCGTTCCAGGATTTCTCCAAACTCAAGTCGGTCCTCAAATGGCTCGCCGCCGTAGGGTTGATTCGAACGAACAGCCGTGTCGATGTCAAGAGTGTTTGAAGCACAATCCGGAAGGATTACTCCTTCCACGGTCTATCCTGAACACGCATCGACACCGGGAACGTCTCCGAGCCGCTTTATCAACCAGCGACGATCATTCAGAAGTGAATCGGACTGACGATCCAATTAATCCGGACAGTATAGCCAGTGGAAGTTTGCAGCCGGATCCCCAACCACATATCCGTGCTCCTTCTCCTCCTCCTCCTCCTATAATGGAAGTGGAGGATTACGAAGACTGGTTGCGATCAATCGTATCTGAGATAGGTATACGTCTCAAATTTCTATACGACTCAGAGACCCATCTGGAATTCGTCAACCATCCTTCTCCGAACCTATCGTTTGTCTCTCCAGATCCAGAAGCCTTACTACAGGTCAACTCTGGAGATTTCTGTCTAAAAACAACCAGCAGCTGCAACATGCGATTTTTGGAGACCGAGACAAGATTCTGTGGGCTACTACACCAAATTCAAGCCCTTCCACTGGGAGCACGTTTAAGAGGAGATTTGGATGTGGAGAATGAACTATACACGGCATTAGACAGGGTTCATCCCTTCAAAGGTAGACAGTGGAATTTGCAAGCATATCCCAATGGACTTGGGGGAGTCACCGTTAACAATAGTATGTGAATTTTCATTGTTGTTGTTAAGATCATGTACACCGTGTAACCGTGCCAAAGCTACAAGGTGTCTAAGTGCAGAAGACGAATGGGACAGTAGTGAAGTTATTAACAACACCGCCGTTACGCCGTTAGTCCCCGGAGAGCGATAGTAGAGAGAGAGGAGCTAAGTAGCAGCCAGGTCGGAGCGGCGGTATCGCCGATGACGAGGAGCGGACCAGAGAACGTTCAAGTCCTAAGGTCGAGGGGAACGTACTTCAAGGCGTTGAGCCTGAAGACTTAGAGAAGGGTTAAGTTGAGAAGGGAGATCTAAGTTGATAATTAAACTGAGGAACTACAGTAGCGTACAGGCAGTATTTATATCTACGGATCGGCGCATCGGTGCGGAGCGCCAGACTAACTACTAGGAGCTATACGAGTAGTACCTGCAGGGTAGAAGTAAAAGAACAAGAAGGAAGGACTAGAACGAAAGGGTATGTGTAGCAAGAAAGACAATAAGAGTACGATTACAATAAGAGTGGATCTTCGGAGTACCGAGCGGCGGAATGGAGGCCGTGGCATGGACTTGACAGTTGTTTCCATTAGTATCTGAACCCTATCATCAGCTCGTCATTTCACAGTGCTCGGAGCAAACCCTGATATAGCGCCAATTTCATGGCTGCCTTTAATAATCTATATCAAATTTCAGACACCTGTCCGTCAGATGCGAGTCATTCTGGCGTTATTACGCTGTATCGTCAGAGCATTGAAGAAAGAAGCGAAGCTCATCCACCGTCCCAGATTCCTTCGCGGATTCCAAAGGATATTCACACCATCGTCGATTGCTATGACCTTGATCCCACCTTGCACGCCTTCGTAGCATGCCCAAACTGTTATGCACTCTCTCCTCTGACAGACCACGAACTGAAAATCGCGGAGAGTCTCTACCAAGCAAACCAACCTCTTCCCGTGTGCGACGAGAAGTCTCATCCAGACTCAGCACCGTGCGGAACTACTCTGTGGAGAACTCGCCGCATTGATCGACGAACGTTTGTTACTCCTGTACGAAAACAGGTGTTTCAGGATTTGAAGGAATGGATTGGAAGAACCATGGCTACTCCGGGAACCGAAGATGCGATAGCTCAACATCAACAAAGTCCGTCTCCTGCAGATGGTGATCCAGAAAGAGATTTTGTGGATTCCAAAACGTTTCGTCAATTCAAGGGCTCGGATGGCCAGCCATATGCAATACCTCAGACGGGCCCTTCTGGATCGCCGGACCTGCGACTCGTGAAGAGCCTTGGCTTTGATGCTTTCAATCCGTTCCATTCCAAAACGGCACATGCTATCGTCCAATCCACAGCTCTATACATGGTAATTCTATCTTTGCCAGAACACCTTCGATATCGACCTGAGAACATGTTTCTACTCACTGTCATGACCGGAAAACCTAGCCAGCATCATATAAATTTCACTCTACGCAAGCTGGTGAAGCAACTACTTCCGTTCTGGGAAGGAGTCTTCTATGTACACACCGCGCGCTATCTTCTCGGGCGAAGAGTCTTCATAGCGCTCATTCCTGCTGTATGTGACACCGAAGGCGCACATCAGCTTTCGGGATTTGCTTCACATAGCCATACATACTTTTGTCGACGATGCCTATTACAAATTGGCGACATTCACAACCTTGTTCCCAAAACATGGCTAATGCGGGACTCTGCCCAGCATAGAGAATTAGCTCTCAAATGGAAAGAGGCTTCGACGGAAGAAGAATGCCAGAAAATTTATGACAAGTATGGTATCCGGTGGTCGGAGCTCTTAGAGCTACCGTACTGGGATCCCGTTCTTTTCACCATCATCGACGACATGCATTTTGCGCAACTCGGCCTGTTTGAAACTCATCTCCGTGACATATGGCAAATTGACCACAAAAGTGTCGGCGGTGATGGTCTTTATCCAGAAGTTAAAGACCAATGGAAATTGTGCAATGCCAGTTTGCGCAATCTCCTGAATGAAATCCGGGAAAATCGACCATCCTTACAGACTCGCTTGCAGGAACAAAAGAAAAGGACCCTTTGGTATGTTTGCTTTAAGCTCGGGTTACGTACAGGGGTTCGCAAGAAGAAATCTTTGGTAGACCAAATTTTGAGATGGGTGAGTCTCGCGTTGATTATCCTCTTCGTCTTAATCATGTTACTACCGTCTAGCGTTTGAATTTTGGACGCGACACTGTGTTGATTTCGAAATTCGACCAGCTGCTTTACGATAAAATAAAGGCAAAATTTGAAGCAGAGGAACCTTCGAGAACTACGTTATTGAACTACGAGCACAACTATCTCGAGCATTTATGTCAGGACTATAAGATCCCACCGTTTGATACTTCTGATCCGCCTCGAATGTCCAAAGATGATATGGGACGGAGATTACTACTTTGGGTGAGCCACAGTACCATCATTCAACGTAACATTGGCATGTTAATTGTTTTCAGCATCAGGAGTACCGGGACAGTCCCCTGAAACAGTCCCTACCCCGCCATGTTATTGGTAAGGACCTGCTGGAGGAGATCTGAGCGGATATGAAACGAACTATTTTGCCTACTTGGATTCAATCACCGCCTCCAAATTGGGGTACTCCTGCACAAGGCAAGCTTAGCGCTGATGAGTATAAGGTCGTATGCTCAATCTCACTGGTCATTACACTAATCCGGGTGTGGGGATACGGAACCGAAAATCTTCAGTCCCGTCGCTTCCAGATGCTGCTGAATTATCTGGACCTTGTTCATGCAATTCGCGTCCTTTTGCTCCGTGAAACATCTCGGAAGTCAAGAGACTATTACAGATCTCATATTCAGAGATATCTAGAGACTGTCCTGGTGTTATATCCCGATTTTACACTAAAACCAAACCACCATTTCTCACTCCATGTTCTCACTGACCTGGAAACCATGGGCCCAGGTCATGCTCGGAGTACCCCAGTATTTGAGCGAATCAACCATTCCTTACAAGAACTTAATGCGAACCAACACCTAGGTAAATTTTTACTGTTTATTATCAACAAATGTTGTACTGACAGTATATTTCAGGTGAAATCGAAGCTACCATGTTGACTACCTATTGCCGGCAAGCTAACCTGCAAGTGATTTTGAATCACAATGCCGATGTACGACAAGACATCGATGAAGCTATTGAAGCTCTGAAAAACATCGACCGTGAGGATCATCGCGGTATGTTTCCTGGAACGGACCACTCGGCTTGGTCAAGCACTGAGTTCAAAGCAACTGCCTTTTGGATCAAACATTCCACTCTGGATCGCATTACACATCACCTATGTAGGATACATGACCTACCCCACTCTCATTGGAGTTCCAAACTCACTCGCCAGGCTCACTCTTTGCAGGGCGTCGCAATCGGGCGGGTAATCTACTCTCATGAAGTTCGGCAGAATTCCGTCATTTTTCGCCATGAAGGAGAATTCCTTGCTGGCACGATCGACCAGGTCTTTACTCACCCCCATCCCCATCCTGTCACCCAGGCATTAATTATAATCACATATCTCGAAATATTTGTTATGGAAGCTATCGAGGAACAGGATGATTTGTATCAGAAGCTTCACTGCGGATGGTTGTGTTTGCAAACACCCACAGCTAGTTCTCTCTATATACCGTTGTCGTCTATCATCTCTCACTTCGTCCGGACAGACCTATTGCTCACTATAAGAGGAAACCCGGTTACGCACGTATATCCTGTCCCAAAGGTGAGTGGGATCCGATTTCATTGTTGATTACAAGTTCTAAATCTCAACTAGGTATTCTTCGACAACGATTCAGTAATGCCAACCCCGACCAATTGACTTCGATATAAGAGGATCTAAGCGACCAGAGAGGACAAGTTTCCGTAATATCATTTGGGATGAAAGGATCGATCTGTATCAACGTAACGAGAACAATAGATTTCCTTTAATTTTAATCGTGCCTTTCCTTTATTTCTCATCTTAGCCTCTGCTTTATGTTCAAGTTCCAAAACCTTTACAAAGGCAATAGCCGTCATATATAAGCTAGGGCAGCTAGCTTTCCCTCTGGAAACACCTTTGTCCATTATGAGCTCGGCAAGTGTCATCTCACTCACCTTTCAATCAGTCCTCTCAAACTGCTATAGAAAGTCCGCATCCTGTCATCTAAAACCCAGCACTTGCAAATTTTGGAGCAGCAGGTTGAGGCAAAGCATCGAGAGATTCTCCAGCTTCGTAGCGAGGCCCAGGATCTGCGCCGACAAGAAGAAGCTCCCCCTCGAAAGACACCAGAAGTTAACGTAAATATCGTTTCGTCTTCTATTGATTAACAAAAATATTCAAAACCTAATTAGATTGGCGTGCAACCTGAATACGAGCATGCTCTTGCTCGGTTAGAGAGAGCGACCGCATTGACACGAAGTTTCCGTACCCAGATACTGGCTTGCTTGGATTGCGATCTGAATGACATGAAATATATAGATGCAATCATGACAAAGGAGGTTTGTACGATGCTTCATTTACTGACGGGAGGACGTGTCGTAATTCATCTTCTAGTTGAAGCAATTCTGGGCTTTATTGGAGCAAATTAAACATTCGAAAGCAGAGATCATCATGCTAAAAGCTGTAAGTATTGTAATCTTGAACTCTCAAACATTAACAAATGATGCAAACGTCACCAGGAACCTTCTCGTGGTGTAGACACTAATCAAGACACCCCTACATCGGCTTTAACAGCGCTCCTGGAGGAACAATGTCTAGTCCTTTGCAATATGGCTCAGAAACTGAAAGGTTCTGGTCATGAAGATCATCTCTTTCAGGAGTGTACCGAATTATATCACAAAGCATGTATGATCGAGTAAATGTAATTTTCATTGCTAGATAATGCTTGTAGTAGGGCTGCAGGTAGAAATGATAAGTACATTTGATTTTTCGACTGAAGGAGGTCAATGAATGTAATTCAGACAAAATATGGTATAAAGGTGATATACTAGGAGCATCACTGCCACGAATTCTCCCACCACTGAGATTATCAACCATGTAATCGAAATGCAGATGAAAGCGCCAGTTAGAATCGTCATGTCTATAGCAGTTTGCAGAATAACGGAATCCTGCACAGAAGTAAGTCTATGAGCATAGAAACATAACATATTAGACATTACCATGCCTTCAGCCTCGGCTCGAACTTGAATTGGGGCATAGCGCTGGACCAGTGTGAAGATCACAACACTGGGGGGTACAAATCCGAGAGCAATCGCATGCGGTTGACTTTGAAACATCGTTGAGACCTTCCAGAGAAGCTTTATCGAGAACAGAAGGTAGCTTAAGGCACCTGCATTGAACAGGATCTTGGGAAGCTGAAGAGTATCTAACTGATGAAAATCGGGTGGGTCATGCAATGTAGTTCAAAGCAAGTTGAATATTACTCACCGCGAAAGCCCTGAAGGCAACGAAGCGAAGACCACTCAATCTTGGAATTTCAGGCATAAACTAACGAACAGACTTGAAAGCAAACATCAACACCAGGAAGTCAATGACCTACACCACGATTACTATTGTTGTCTCTGTTGTCCTGCTGAGCCTGATTGGCGTGAGTGGTCTCATTCTGATTTGAGAACGAGATTAACTACCAGAATGAGGACTCGCTCACTCGTTTTGATCCTTGATAGGTTGTCTCCGTCATGTTGTTGTTTCCTGCCGCTTTCTGGAATACTGTGAATGTTTCCTCTAAGATGGTCATCTACATGGAGCACTCACCGGTGAGTTGGTCCGCTTCATTGGGATGGCGTTCTCCTTCAAATAAAATGAGGAACAGCAAGGTTCATACAAGTACAACTCACCTTCCCAAGTGTTTTGTTGCGTTGAGAATCATCACGGTGGAGGTCGAATAATGCCTGCTGAAGGAATCATCGGACCTGTAACGATGCATATCGGATATGACAACGGACTGGTTCTGCTTCCTCCACATCCATGATTTTATACCGCCGTTCGATCTCAGTAGTGATACCTTTTAAGAGTGTATTTTGGGAAGGGTGCTCGTGGATGAGTGCGAAGGACATCCGATCCTCGTGTATGCCATGCGAGATAAGAATCATAAGATACTGCGACAGCGCATGAATTGTTGAATCGTTGTTTTCTTGCCTGTGGGGCACAGAGGATGCGCAGAGATGTCGTTGAGCTTGGTCCGGTTTGAAACCAGGACGTAGCAAAGGCCAACGAGAGAGGTCCGACTTGAGAAACCAATTGCATTAATAATTTGATCCTTGCTTCGTACAATCATGTGATACCAAACTTCCTTCCTCTCATCCACATTCCTACGGAGTCAAACTCGGTAGCAGCCAAATATTGTTGTCGCCACCTGGTCTCAGACCTCAAGAGGAATAATTGAGCTCCTCTCCCTGCCCATATGGATATACTACACTACAATACTCCACACTATACTACAGAGTGCTCTACGACTCACGAACCGATACATGAAGAGTCCGTCAAACCCTTCTTCAGTCTTTTTTGTCGCGATGAGCGCAGACACATTGCTCTAACACTCCAAAAAATTTCTCCGGAAAATCCGCCCTCAGCGTTAGATATGGAGCTTCTGTACTTGCATGCGGACTATGAATTGTAGATTTCTCATTGAAAAAGTGGAAATGTGTACGAGAGAGCACAAGCTCCCTGAACTCTGGGTGGCATAAAGCTTGTCACTGTGTCCCCGTATCTTGTATTTCACATTTCATATCTAAATCCACAATTTCTCAATGATATCGCCTTCCCAATAATGCAAGAACGGTCCCTTGGGCGTTCAATGAAGTCGATTGATCATACGATGGTTATTGAATTTTCAGGGACAAGACTGCTGTTCAAGTCGTTTACAATGGATAATGAACGGAACGCGAGAGAAGAAGCCGGCGCGCCCAAGGAATGTCATTTTTTCGCGCCGACCAGAAGCCAAAGGTTGGGGACGAACAACATCACACCAATTGTTGAAGGTGTAACCTCCTTAGCATGTCCGATGCCAGCACCACGTCGTTCACACCACCTCTGCCAGTTCCGATTCTCCAACGACCTTTGGCCTGTGATCGTAGCCCTTGTTTGCTACAAGTCCAGGAAAACAAGGCGCGAATATCGTTCTCGATTTCAGTGCCTAGCAATCGCAAAGCAACGCTAGATGGTGACTGATATTGAGAGCGTGTCATCATGGATCTGCTCTATCAGCACCTCTCGAATCCACTGCTCCCGCGCCTTTTCCTCGCGCCCTCTTCCTGTCCCGCCTCTTTCTCCAATACTCTCCCGTGTCTCTGCTTCGTGGAGGACTCTCTCTGTCGGTCCTCAGCTCCCAAATCTCACTTCCAGACTCCTCGCCTCCCAACACCGCTGCCAACGTCGCTCGGCTTTTCAGAACACAGAATGACCAGCCTACGATCCGCTGAATGACTGCGAGCTCTGTACGTTTCGCGAAGAGCGCGCGGCGTATCGTTAGCAGATGGGCCTGGATTTTTGTACGCCTTTGTCGAATACGGTCATCATTGGAAAATCGGGATGACCGATAATTACAATCGGCGGAAAGCCGAATGGGATCGTCAGTGCCCATGCGCTGACAGGGCTTGGCTGCCACCCTTGCGCGTTCCGAGGAGGAGGAGATCTGGTAATCATTTGAGCTATCTCCTCTGAACGTGCTCATCCCTCTCAAGAATCTCTAGCCCACATTCTATTAGAGTTGAAGTGCTTCAAAAGACCTCGCATTTGGTGCACACAATGTATGTATTTCTTTCTTACTATGACATTCTCTGAGTTTCTACAATAAGGTGGTAGGCGTCACATCGAAAAATTCATATTCTTTGGAAAACGGAGACGCATTTGGCGAAGGAAAATTCGCCAGTGCTTGTGCGCGCTGCATTTTTGTAAAAGTACGTATATTTATTCAACTTCTTTTGATTTGCTAACTTACAACTCTCTCTTCAGACTTCGATAGTTCTAAATATTCATTATGTATACTGATAAATACTCTACACAGCGTAGACAGCAGACGTGCTTTCCGAATTTGAGAAAAAGCCCTTGACCTGTGGTTCAGGAGTTACGTATTTCTTATATATAATCATCATCCCACTGACTGATTATGTGCATAGCTCTCAGATCGCCCGCATGGTCCACCTCACTCAATCAAGTTCATTGTTGCTCCTGTATGTATTGTAGTGGTCCAAATAAAAATTAGAGATAACCTTGCCCGATGAGACACTACGCAGTTGACGCCCGATATCAGCTTCGGCACACGTCATGACATCCCGACATCAGCGACATCCAAACGTCCCGATATATCGATGTTGGATACGTCCCGACATCGGGTCACCATAAGCTGGGCGAGCTTATTTTGAAAAAGTGCATGCTTTGCGCGAGGCTGTTTATATGTGAAAATTCTGAATTATTTCTGGTAGAATATTGGGCCACTATCTATACTAAGCTCTCAATTTTCTCTGTATTTCCTCCAACAGCTTTCAATGGAATAATTTTGGATAAACGGCCCCCGAAAAGATTGATAAATCGGCTTGCATTTTGTGAAAATAAGATTGTCAATATTAGAGGTAAGTTTTTGATATAAAGTGTACTATATCGGTACCATAACATGCAAACAGATTGTGAAGAAATATTAAGAATTTTCGGCGCTCGGTAATCTGAACAATTTTGTACCAAAGCTCACTATAAAATCAACCTTTCGGTCGCGAGAAAATCGGCTCATCCCCGCAGTGTCCGTCGCATTTCGTGCATTCATATGCATTCATATAATTATTATATTATGTACAATAATATGATTTTGAGTGTTCAATTATTAACTACTTCAATTGTACTATACTTAATGTATGCATAGACTGTACAATATGGAATAAATAGTGGAACAATAGTTACATTTGAGTCAAGACTCAAATCTTGGAACTAAGGTGATGCGATAGGATTGACGGAAGCTGTACATAGTGTATGTACAGATGTAGGAATATACATAGCTGAGCTTTCTGTTGGCTAAGCACGTTGGGAGAGGGCCGAAGGCCTTCGGGTCCCAGCGGCAATGAGATTCTGCGGACAAAGGTATGCGCGGTCAGCTGTGATTCCCAGAGGGTAGGAGTGTGCGACGCATCCAGCGACCGCGGATACCCACATCGGAGGAGGGCACTCACATCTTACTGGGGGCATTGTGTAGCGTATCAATTCTTGGTGTAATTCCGGCTGCATGTACGGTGCCATGATTTCCGCATGTTTTCGTAAGTATAGCAAGAAAGCATCGCTTTTCCACCTGCCTATCACCCGTACCGCGTCGAAAGGGACACCTCGGAGGAGGTATTCAAGGGTGGCGCCAATGTGAATACCGTGGCCTTGGAGGACAGGTAGGCCTCGGTTCTTGGCTGCCTTGCTGATTCGTTGAATAAGGGCATGCTTTGTAAGGGGTCTTCGGTCAGATTTGTGTCGGTATGAGAATAAGTGTTCTGAGGCGTTGGGTTTGTTGACTGCGAGGTGGTTCTGGAATAGTGATTCTGGGTCCGTGGAGCCTAGCTGCTTTGAGAAGTAGAGGTCTTCTCCTCCTAGCTGATTGCTCTTGGTACGTGGAACGTGTAGGACGGTGGTTTCGAAACCGTTTCGATCCGTGGCTTTCCGAACGTTAGCTCAGGTGATGTATTTCTCGGGGGCAAAATCCTTCAGGTTGGGTACCGTGAGTTCACCCACCCTTGCTGTGCAATAAAAGCTTGTTGTGAGGCATGCCCCACATGCCGCATTGAAGGGGTCGGAGATGTTGAAATCTTCCAGTAGTTTGGCAATGTAGTCTTGTGTGAATGGCATCCTCTTTTTCCGGCGTGATCGTTCTGGTTGGAGACGTTCTGCTCCATGGATCATGGTGTCAAAGGAGTCTTTGTCCGTTTTCCATTCGATGCCGTGGATGATGTGCCATGCGCGAACGCCGTGAACGTAGTTCTTGACCGAGGTGCCTGCGTAGTGACCTGCCATGGTGGAAATCCAGGCGTTGAGCAGGTCACTGCTACACGGGGCCCGTTGGGTTTCTGGAATGTTGCGTGAGTCACAGAATATGTGAAAAGAGAGCAGTCCGGAGGCATAGGTTTCAAGGGTGCTTTCTGCAAAACCATTCGTGAGTATGTGTTGGATTCGGTCTACGAATTCATCTGGAAGGTCTAGTGGGAGTCCTGTTGTGTCTTGAAAGTTGCGCTTACTGGCGGGCTTCCACCGGATTAGACATTCACGGGCGGCACAGTGGGGGCGTAGGGCAGATATTATAGGTGTTAGATTTACTGGGTAAGGACGAACAGAACGAGTAGCTACGGTATTCACAGGGAGAGAGATAGCAGTAGGATAGTTTCAGGTAGCTGGTCTGCTACCAAGAGTCCTCAAAGGCGGTGAGTAAGCGCCCTTCTTCTTCAGAGTGCCATTGGTCATAGGATGGCCGTGCGAAGGGTCGCTTCAGTTTAGGTTCGTAAGCAATGCGTTCAAGAGGGCTGTACTCGCGGCATTCAGCTGCGGTGTAAGGTTCGTCGTAGTCAATGATGAAGCTTGAGAGGTGGTGTGGGATAGCAATCTTTGGGAGGAGGTAGTCTGTTCTGCCACGGGTGCCTCGCGAGAATGGATTGGCTGGGTTGTGAGCACTGGCAACGTATCGGGTGTGGATTTTGAAATGGCAGCGTGAAGTGAGTTCATGAACATGTCGGAATATGTGGTTTGTGGCTCGGTTTCTGCTCCTTCCATTCCACCACCCCTTGACCACTCCTTCGTTGTCCCCCCATATCTTGTAATGCCACCCTGCAGTTGCTTCCCTGGCAATAATGATGATGAGGAGGTAAAAGCCAACCGCTTCGGCCCACCCGATGTCTCGTTCTCCGTCCTTTCCTCTCCATCCTGGGAGGAGACGATAGGCTCGCCAGTAGCCGCGGATGTATAAGCCGATGCCAAAGCCGCTGCTGGCGTCAGAGTAGGCATGTAGGTCTATGAGGTCGGCGGGTCCTGGGATGGGCGCGGAGATGGGAGAGGACAAGGTTGATTTCCACCAAAGGAGGTCTGCTGGCCATCTGCGTGGTGCACGGTGCTTTGTCAGCGGCGCCTCATGGCCAAGTTCCGCAGTGAACTTCTCGAGCTCGATTAAGTAGGTTCTGCCAATGGGGAGGACGAGACTGATGTGCAGAAGCTTGCCGTATAGTTTTCTTACATGTTCAATGTTGTGCGATTTCCGTTCTTCCCACTCTTTTATTCCGGCTATGTATTTGAGGCGTTTGACTGCGGGAACAGACACTGTTTTCTCTTTGAGGTTCCATTGCAAGCCGAAGTAGGTCGGGTCGTAGCAAAAGGGGATGTCTTTTTCGGCAGACCAGGTGTAGCCCAATGGGAGTGTGATTCGGTCAATGTCTTGGAAGGAGTATGCATATCTCGAGTCTTCTTGGGAGCGAGGGGATAGGCGAGAGAGGTCTTGGATAGGGAAGGTGAAGTCATCATCAAATTCTTCTAGTTGTCCATTTGGCAGAGTGTGTCCTTGATACAGAAGACGACCCTTGCAGTGGATGACTCCTGTTCTGGCTGTGTGCTCTCGTAGTTGTTCTCGTAGTGCGTTGTATTGGTCTATGTATTGGGTTAGCACTCTTAGCCAGAGATGATCGTCAACCCACTTGGTGAGGGGACCTAAGCCATAGCCTCTGCAGATGTCCATGCCGCAGTCTGCTAAGTGGCCGAAAGATCCTCCTGCTGACTTGAGACCGAACATGTCTCGGGTGTCTATGCAGTATTCCTCCTGAGATGTTCTAACAACGACTCCCGCCCATTGCGACGGATGTAAGGGAATCAATCGGTATGCCTCCGAGATGTCTCTTACTGCTCCCTGTGAATTGGGGGGCAGAGTCCATATTAGCCGACAGGTGGTGGCAAAGGTTCCCCATAGGCAAGGGTAAAGGGTGGAGTTGATGGAGGAGATGACAGCAGGAATTGATGGGATGAGTGTTGGTCGATATGGGTACGAGAGGTTTTCGAGTAATCTGAACTTGCCGGGTTTTCCGGATTTTGGAATCATTGAGATTGGTGATGTTTGGAATGGTCCGATAGTCTTTTCGATGGTTTCCTTGGAATATGGGCCAAGCCATTGCCCAGTGTCGATTTCGTTCCGCATTATTTCATGAAAAGCAGCTATTGATTCGGGATTATTAAGTTTATTAGGCAGTGAGAATGTATGTTTTATTCTGGGGATTCCGACATTGAAGCCATGTTGTATGGATTCAGCAAGGGTGGGGTATTTGTGTGTGAGGTTGAGACTAGTGATAGCAAGTTTTCATTCCTTAGCTTGTAGAGGGGTGCGTACTGCGATCTTATTCTCCGTCAGGGCAGCTGCTAGCTCCGTGTCCGCGGTTAGAGCATCCTGAGCAAAGATGCTTTTCAGGGTGGGCACGACTAGTGCATCCGTTTGGTCTCTGCCAGTCCGCACAGAGTTCCAGACCCGCGTTGGCTCCTTTAGCGATTTCGAGATATCCGTGCTTGTTCCAGTTGCAGGTGACATCGCGTTTTCCATTCCAGATTGATGTTCGGGAGCAGCGGCGTATGTCATGTTTGTCCCGTCCGAGACATCGATGACATCGTGAGAGCGGTGGTTGGTTTGAGTCCCGAAAGGAACGTTGGAAGCTAGGGGGGTCTGGTTGATGGTTATCAGCTTGTCTGCTAGCTTTGCGGGGGGATGTGGAGGGATAGGGAGCTTGGCGCGTTCTATTGGAGGATTGCCGTGCGTTCTGGAAAGGGTTTGAGGTGGCCTGAGACAATTGTTGTAGCCTGGCTGCGACCCTTGCTTCCATCTGTGCTGTGGCAGTCTGAAAGTCTGTTGGTGCATTCGATTGTTGCGATGTTGGTGATAGATTTAGATAAGCGGGTGATGTTTTAGCATTAGTGCAGCGAGCATCGGCAGCGCCGCAGCGGGATTTAGTGTTAGCATGGCCGGTGTTAGCAGCAGGGTTGATGTTAGCAATTGAATTGGAGGATGTGCCGGGAGGTTATTAGCGTTGTTGGGGGGGAATCGTTATTGTGTGGAAAGGGTTGTTTAGTTGTGGAGGAGGCGAAATGAGACCGTTAGATGTGGTGTATTCATTCCCTTGGAGGGGAGGATTGCTTACCTTTGAGACTCTTTTCCTGTTTCTGTTTGACAATCTGCTGACGACTTTCCCCGAGGACTCTGTCCGAAATTATGGAAAGGTCAAAGGGGGCTTTCCTTTCCATTGCGTTGTACCACGCCAGCCGCATTTCTGCATGATAGTGCGCCATTACCCGGTCACCGTCCTGCTCTTGTAATTCACGATGCATGTCCATGTTGCTGTAGAATCCGGCAAACATGGCAATGAAATGATCTGGCCAGGTTCCCAGACTTAACGCATTGAGGAAGGCACTTTTGGCATGCATGACTTGTGGCCAGGATAGCTGTGAGTCGGGGATGGCATTCGGTGATGCGCGGACTGAATGGGACCCGACTAAGGAGACGGTGGAGCCCGAGAGGGAGTCACCGTCCTCTACAGTGAATTGGAGGTGGTTGGTGTCTAGGGATTCCTTGCTCCGTTCCCTGGCTTCGACCGCTGCGTCAGGGAGGAAGTACCATAAGGGTACATACTTTCGTGCCATCATCATCTTTCTTGCGTATGGGTGTAGTTGTAGTGGGATGGAGTCTACGCCGAGGCCTTTCTGGAAGTCGTATATGGGGAGGCGTTTCTTTTCGGCCTCCTTTGTTAACTCCCTCTCTTTCTCCTGCCTCTCGTCTTCGGCAAGTCTCTCAGCTTCAGCTTCTTCTTGTCTCCTCTGTTCTCTCAGGGTTTCTGCTTGTTGTAACTGTACTTGGTATTGCGCTCTGAGTCTCTCGATATGCCCTTCCCACTGGTCTTTGAGGCGTTGGGCTGCCAGCTCATTCGTGGTTATTTCAGGAGTGTTTACGTCTGCGACAAGAGCCGCTCGCATAAAGGCATAGGCTTCACTTGCAAAGTCAGGGGCCGGTATCTTAGCGGGGTCAAAGTCCATCCGTTCAGCCATGAGCGAGTTAGGCAAGTAGTTTACGTGGAAAGAAGACTGAGAGAGCTACTAGACTAGTCTTATGCTGCTTCGACGGACACGTGTCGATGCGGTACTGGCAGGAGAAGAGGGTACCGCATCACGTGTCCGTTCGAAGACTCTAGTTTGTCGTGTCTCGTTACTCTTGCCTTACAAACTGCCAACATTGAAATTTAACAATATTTATGTAAACTCGGAACGCAATCAATTTATGAACGCAAATTTGATAAATTGATGTTGCGTCCATATGCGTTCAGGTGCGTTCACCTTATACTGCGTTCATTTTTAATCTTTGCGTTCACCTGCATTCCATGCGTTCAGGCGCGTTCCGGATGTGTTCCGGCTCCACTCAAGATTGGATTGCAATTTTTGAGTATTCAGTTATATATTTGAATATCAATGACTGCATTAATGTTTGTTGACCAGGTCCTTAGTGTGATTACACTCTGAGAGGAACTGGTTGCATCTTATTGATAAAACTTACTGTTCTGATATTTTTAGCTTTGTCACTGCGCTATTACTGTCAGATACTAGTCTTCAAAATATCATATTCTGTTCCTCTAAGTGGCTTTATTATCTATTTTTATGCATGATTTATGAGTCCTGTTATAAAGTACAGCATCACCACCATGGATTGGTGTGCATCTGCATATGTTAAGTTAAGTGAGAGTCTCAGTTGGCTGTGAAGCAACCCTGTTGTAGGTACCTTCTAAGTGGGGGTCTATGCTATGTTAGTACTATGAGCTCACAGTGAGTTTTATGATATCTATCTAGCTCACCTCAGTTGGCTGTAAAGAAACTGAGGGACTTGAAGACACTGCTGGCATGATCTAACTACAACTGTATAGTACTACTCATAACACTGTCTACAGAAAGGGAAATGTCCAAGTTCTTTGAATGTATGGAGTACCTTCCTTAACAGCATAATCAAGGAAAAATAAAAGGCTTATCATTCTCAATTATTAAGAGCCTTCAGAGGTGTCAGTGTGAGTTAAACTACTTGAGTTAGTATGGTGTTTGTAAGTAGTGGTCGTAGACGGGCTCACCTCAGTTGGTATTGGAACAACTGAGGGAGTTGATGCTGTCCCATGTACTCTATATACCTACTGTACAGTATCATGTAATAACACTGTTTACTTGCTAACTCTTCCTTACACGTACTCATACAGAGTATACCTCAACAAGGAGAGATCAAGTCTCAAAATCTACACCAGATACAGCATCCTGCATTTAATCAAAAATCACTGCATGTCTTCCTTGATCCTGCTTATCCATTGCATGGAGGTAGAGCAGGCTGGAGCTTGAAGGGAGCTATAGGAGCTGCAACCGAGGACTGGATGATCTAATGCAAGTGATGGGGAGAAGTGTCATCCACATTTATATAGGTGGACAACTTTGTACCCTCCATGTGATACCCAGACATTGTACTCATCAAAGGATGAACCCAAAGGAGACAACAGGGTGAGAAATATACTATCATGAACACCTATGGGGATGATGTATGTGGCAGATCAGCTATGAGGGAAGCAGGAGACAGAGCAGTGGCTGATATATCCTCAACACACTTACTTACTTGATTATATATTGTGCACAAATGCTGGGAAAGACTACACCAGGGGATGAGCTTCAACTGTATGTATGCATCAACTCAGACCACACAGTATGCCAAGATACCTACTGGTTAACTTCAGTCTATGTCCACACCCTCCCACCCTTTTACTCCTGATCCTGCCTTCAACATCTCCTCATGCCCGATGCATGTTGCCACAACACCCACAGCATTGGATCTGAGGAAAGTGACACAGTGCAGTCCAAGCTTGAGAACGTGTAAGACCTGGGTCAGAATTGGTCTTAAGGTTGGGTTTGGTATGAGGAGTTTATGTTGTAGTGTGCTAAGAGCAAGCTGGAGCTTGAAGGGAGCTACAGGAACCGCGACTGAGGACAGGAATGACCTAGTAGTGGTTGGAATTGCAAGATGTGACCCTTGAAGGGGCTCCTAGAAGGTCCAGGGAGGTCCCTAGGACATAACGAGGGAAGGTAGAAGTAACGGGGACCAGTATATATAAGAGCACTATGTAGTATGGGTTGTACTAGCTAGGAGCATCAACGTAGGACCGTTGTAGGTTGTAATTGATGTGAGTCTCAAACATGTGAGCTCCCGATAAGGTATAAACCCAGGAAGTGGGGGTAGTGGCAGGCGTCCTTGGGTGGTGGAGGTAGTAACGGAGAAGCGGTATGTAGTTCAACGTTACCTAGATCGAGGTCCCAGAGCTTGTGGAGCGTTTGGGGAGCTCGAGGATGTCAAGTCCATGCCTCGGGCCTCCATTCCGAAGATCTACCTTTTACTGTAATCTCACTTCTATTGTTCTTTCTCGCTACACATACCCTTTCGTTCTAGTCTCTCCTTATTGTCTTTTACTTTACCACGTATAGCTCCTAGTAGTTAGTCTGGCGCTCCGCCCCGCTGCGCCGTTCCGTAGATATAAATACTGCCTGTACGCTACTGTAGTTCCTCAGTTTAATTATCAACTTAGATCTCCCTTCCCAACTTAGCTCTTCTCTAAGTCTTCTGGCTCAACTCCTTGAAGCACATTCTACTCGACCTTAGGACTTAAACGTTCTTTGGTTCGCTCCTCGTCACCGGCAATACCGCTGCTCCGACTTGGCTGCTACTTAGCTCCTCCCTTCTTTACTCTCGATCTCCGGGGACTAACGGCGTAACGGTGGTGTTGTTAATAACTTCACTACTGTCCCACACTTAGACACCTTGTGGCCTCTGGCACGGTTACACGGTGTACATGATCTTAACAGAGGACTGTACAAACATAGAGATGGTGTTATTAGCAAATATACAGTTAGATATAGATCATGCTGACTGCGTGTTTCCGAGTCCCTTAGTTGCTTTACAGACAACTGAGGTGAGCTACATAGTATATTGCAACAAACTAAAGTACTAACACAATATAGTATACTCTTACATGTATGTGATGGTTTTTCATCATTGGATAGTGAATGGCCTCTGGACATTGGTTGGAAAATAAGAAGTGGAACAAGAGAGAAGTGTCTAAGACTGTGCTAACTAGCAATCTTACAATCTTACCTATGGGAAGCACTATAAGGTACACTAGAGTCTCTCTATCACTGTATACTGCACTAATTTTTGAATGATTTGGTGGAGAATTCATCTCAAGATCATGTTTTTGGGCTCAAATTTGACTGCAATAATATGGATGTACTTTCCACAAAAATTGATTAAATATTTGGGAATAGTTTAGTAAATATGATAAATTCCTTGTGAACGCAGCTGTATTGAACGTGAATGCACTTATTTGAACGCAAATCTGTCGGAACACAGAACACACCGGCAGAATGCGAAATTATACCGTCCGACACGTGACCTGATCTGCTCCCTTGCATAGTTCCCCAATACGAACTTCGCGCTAGTATACTTTTCAGCTTCTGCCACTGGTAAACCGCTATCTAGGTGTCCTTCCGTTGTGCCGTGCAAGGTTACGTTGGAGCACAAAGAAAGTTCAACCAATCAACGTGCAGAACATGTAGAAGGAGCCAAAGCAGCCACAGCAAGGTGATTTTGATGAGAATGCATGCTGGGAAGTGAAGGATTCAGTACACGCAACTTCTACAAACACTTTAGTCTTGAGCCTAAGTCATGTTTTTTGTGTCTGTATGTCATACGGTGCACTGAAATATTATGTGATAATAGTCTAGCAAGCCAGAATTCATGAGAGTAAAGAAAAATGTTCACTCATAATGTGATAGATCTCTCGAGGCCCCCGGAAACTACTACTGAACCCCACCCGGCTAGATGCTCTAAATTATGCTATGTTTTGGGCCCAAATGACGCTATTTCGGACAAGGATTGTGTCGGAAACTTGAAATGGTGCTTATAATCGGCCCGTGATTAGAATTTGATTAGATGCTGATTACACCGCAATTGTAATCACATTATGACACATCTGAAACTTGAAATGGCGCTTATGATCAGCCCGTGATTAAAATCAGATTAGATGCCGATTATATAATCGCAACAGGATGTTATGATAAGATGATAATCAGATCACTGTACAGCTTTTTGAGTGGATGCTCAATTAGGCAAGGTAGGGATTTCAAACAGGTTTGCCTTTTTTGGCCTCCATAGAAAACTCTTAAACAAAACATTGTTTCCTTTCTAAATGTCTTGCCATAGGGCTGCTCCTATGTAATACAAATAAACGTGAATGCAATATTTGCCATGGCCTATTTGCTCCACAGACCTTTGCACAGCACCAGACTGCTTGCAAATGCAAAATAGAGGAAGAAAAATCTGCTAGGTTATGCAGAATGAGGGAAGCACCTTCTGAAACATCAGGTGAGGCTCTGGAGCTCAAGGAAATATGTATATACTCAGTTCATAGCTAGCTTTTGGCGACACACACCCTGAAGCTCAAGGAGATGACCCCGGCATTGGCAATTTTGAATCAGATACAGACTTGGAACCTATCTATTTCGACAATTATCAAGAGACTTCCACAAGTATGGAATGGGATAATCGTACTCCTAGTAGGTCCTGTACTTCTATATACTTGGTCTTCTACTGACCATAAGTTACCTACTAAGTTCTCAAAGAGCTGGAATCGGAAATACAACTGGATGATATCAAAATTGAATATCATCCCAACAGTGGCTGGAAGCCTGTGATTGTACATTTTGATGACTTCGGAAGGAGCAAGGATGTGAACAAAGGATCGATTCCACCAAATTGCACGCCATGGCATCCATGGAGGAGCCGTATAGATTTTGAAGTTGCTTCATTAGCGCTTGACTGCCACATGAATAAACAAAAAACCGACAAACTTATCAATTTGATCTATCGCGCTGCCTGTGGTCTTGATGCTTTTACATTAAAAGATCACCAAGAAATCCAGAATACTTGGGACTTAGCAGCTGAACGATTAACAAAGGTTTGTTTTATTAATCCCTCAAAAACAGATATTGATATTTTAACAGTTTCGAAAGACAGAAGTTGTAGTCCGCTATTGTGATCTAGAGCCAGAATCATATGAGCTGTATTACTGACCTGTTTGGGACTGGTTGCAAGAGCTATTACTTAATCGAGATATTGTATCCAAGATGGAATGGGATGCTCGTAGACTCTTCAAATTTAATGGTGGATCTTGAACATGGAAACATTTCATTGAGGAAGCATGGTCAGCAAATTCATGGTGGTCATTTCAGGTGAGCTCATTGACTATTGCCAGTATAATACTGATCACAAGATACAGAGTAAACTTCCAGCCAGAGCGGTACCACTTTGTGTTGTGTTTTATGCTGATAAGAGCAAACTATCATTGTTTGGTACTGCAAAAGGTTATCCTGTCATTGTTCAATGCGCAAATTTACCCATGGATATCCGGAATGGCTCTGGTATTGCTGGAGGTAGGGTCGTAGGGTGGTTACCAATTGTACGCCTAGTTAATCAGCTATTTACGCAGTGTTTAACATCAATCTAGGTTTCTGAAGATGCTGCACATAGTGGTAAGGCCAATTTTTTCAATTTCAAAAATGTTGTATGGCATGAATCGGCCGCGAAGATATTCGAGTCCATGGCAGAGTATTGCCCAACTGTGTATACAATGGTTTGTGGTGATGGAGTTCATCAGTGGATGTATCCTATTGTCCTCATCAAGTCAGCTGATTATGAAGAGCAGTAATTCATATCTATTGTATCCATCGACACGATCTCATGAATATATAGGTGTGTCATCTGTCTTACTTGGGGGTTAAAAAGCTTGCACCCATGTGTAAGATGCCCAATTCCACATGACCAATTATTAGACTTTGACAATAAATACCTCAAACAGACTGCAAAGGACAGTATCGAAATACTCAATAATGCTAGACAGAAGGCATTAATCTCAAAAGCAGATGAAGAAGCAGAGCTTAAAAAGTATAGTCTGCGACCATGCTTTGTATGTATTAATTTCATCATCGTAACTTACTGGCTGACCTCATTTCATCCAGAATTCCTTCTTCAAGCTCACCCATAGTGATCCATTTGCAGGCATTTCCTTCGATGATCTCCACTTCCAAGACAGTGGGGTTTGGGGCAATCATATATTTGAACATGCAAAGATCCAAATTGATAATCGGAGTGCAGTAACCAAAATTGATAATCGGTTTGTTTTCAGTTCTTCAAATTTGTTGTATAGCAACAAACTATCTGTTAGGTTTAAAGAATTTCCTCGCTAGTCCAAACTCAACCATTTCGACACTGGTGTTATGAAGCTATCATTTAATGATGGTAGTAAACACTACAATATATCAAGGGTGAGTTAATGCTAGATTTATTTTCACCATCGCTGTTCATATTACAGATCATTTCTAGCTCTTTTTATTTGCCGCCCATGATGTTATACCAGAAAAGGAGAACAAAGCTGCCTATACGCTTCTCAAAGTCATGCGGAAGTACATCAACATGATCATGTATTCCGGACTGAATGTACAGACTTCTGATACAATAGCACTTGGCCATGGTGCTATCAAGAATTTTGTAGATATGCTCAAGGTTTGTGCTCTTTTGAGAATCTGACAAATTTAATGCTTTACCTACAAATAGGTGTACATATCGCTCTCACCTGATGTGAATAAAACATTCAATGTCATCAAGGTACATTACCACCAGCATCTCTATGATGACATTGAGAACAAAGGTGTTTTACGTGGAATGAGTACCAAACCAAATGAGAAGTTTCATGGCCCTTTATGCAAAATTTACCTTCGACAAACAAATTTCAAGGACACGGCAAAACAGGTATATATTTGTGATTTGTTTCTTATATCTTCTGTGCGTCTAAGATCACCGGATTCTCAGATTGTACGGTTTGAGCATCAGAGCATTGTTGCCACCCTTATACAGGATGAAATCCAAATACTGGATAGATATGAGCATGGCGATCCAGAGCTCCCATCAGATCTGGAGACACCAATCGACAATGTCCACTTCACATTAGGCTCAAAATTGAAGCCCATTTCCTTTGCTCAACTTGAGGGTGAAGATCTTATATTTGCATGAATACATATCCGCTTGGCAGAGTTCATGTCGACCTTACTCACAACTGCAACCAACATTGTTCACGTCACATATACAGCTCATGATACTGTAAGCTAATATTCACAAATCATGGTATTGTTAAGATCATGTACACCGTGTAACTGTGCCAGGGCCACAAGATGTCTAAGGGCAGAAGGTCGAGTGGGACAGTAGTGAAGTTATTAACAACACCGCCGTTACGCCGTTAGTCCCTGGAGATCGAGAGTATAGAAGGGAGGAGCTAAGTAGCAGCCAAGTTGGAGCGGCAGTATCGCCGGTGACGAGGAGCGAACCAAAGAACGTCTAAGTCCTAAGGTAGAGTAGAATGTACTTCAAGGAGTTGAGCCTGAAGACTTAGAGAAGGGCTAAATTGGAAAGGGAGATCTAAGTTGATAATTAAACTGAGGAACTACAGTAGCGTACAGGCAGTATTTATATCTATGGAGTGGCGCATCGGTGCGGAGTGCCAGACTAACTACTAGGAGCTATACATGTAGTGCCTGCAGGGTAAAGTAAAAGACAATAAGGAGGGACTAGAACGAAAGGGTATGTGTAGCGAGAAAGAACAATAAGGAGAGATTACAATAAGAGGTGGATCTTCGGAATACCGAGTGGCGGAATGGAGGCCCGAGGCATGGACTTGACAGGTATATTCTCATCGGAGCATACTTAAAGGTTATTCCATATCAATTCTTGAAAATCCATTATGAGTCTTTAGAGACCTGGCGGCTTGCAGTTGACATCCTGCATTGTAATCCCAACTTTCATGGCCATCCTCGATATGACTACATCATCTTTCGTGGAATTTTGGGGCCAGTCTTTGCCCGACTGCATTATTTACTCCTTTGTAATGCCTGCGACAGCCAATACCCGATAGCACTTGTGCAAGCTTACAAGATTGTTAATACCCGGTCACGTATAGACAAAGATCTTGGACTTCTTCGCATTCACAAGGCGCATAACCTAGAATTTATTTCGGTACGGTCAATTGTTTGGGGAGCAGTTGTACTACCAATATCATCTGAAACTGATGGGATCCTCTGGATGGAGACATGTTTCTTCGAGTAAAAAAATACTTTCCTGGGTTTACAGATGATAGGTAGATATATCTAGTTTACTTGCTCTCCGCAATTATTATTATGTCATAATCTTGAGATTTTCTGTGGGTCCAAGTTGCCACAAGTTCTCATTCGTCTACTTCGAGTACTCTTCGTTCAACATGTTTGAAGATGAAGGCAATATCTCAGATGCCTCTGATAATCCTGAATTTGTACTATATACACTACCTGACCTGGAGAAGGTTACGATGCATGATTTGCGACAGATGTGTCATTTATTAATCTTGCTTTGCTTTTGTCTCATTTATATTACATCAGGCTCTCGAAAAGGTTCAAGATCAGAATCAGCAGCTCCTTGGTCACAATTCAAAGCTCAAGATGCAAAATTCAGACTTGAAATCACAGCTTGCCCTAGCAAAATAACACAAGCATTTAGGGAAGACAGTGGGAAACGCAGATCCAAATATAAACCATGAACTTGTGGTGAAGCTGGCAAAGAAGTACACTGTGATGGTATATCCTTGGCCTACTTCAAATCTTTTTATGAGCTTTCCGCCAAACAATTTACCTGATCCTGAATCCCCAGAATGATTCAAGGATGAAAGTGCTTTTGAAGCTGGTCTTATAAACAAGCTCCATCTGTATTTGAATGACCGAGATCTTCACAAAAAAGCAGCAGATTATAGTCCATTCCAAAAATCTGTATGTGCTTGTTGAATCTTTTCACATTGGCACTAATATGCTTTGACTTCCAAAGTTTCTACAACAAGCAAAGCAAGGCCGGAGTTCAGCCCTGCATACAATACATGAGTGTGCTTCCATTATCATGCAAGGCATCAATGTTGAGGCTGCTGTATGGGTAACCAAAGCAAATTTGTTGCACCGGAATCCCACAACATTAAGACTTCAGCTTGAATTTCCCAGTTCTTCAGCTGTGAATGATATATTTTCCCCTATATTCTATCCCAATGGAATTCGTGATGATACAAAATTGTTCATGAATGATTTTCAACCGAAGGTGCATATAGAGCTCAAATGTATGTAGATTCTTCGCGCTATCTTTTTTAACAAACAATCTCTTACTCTTGACCAATATTCCTTCAATTATGGATCGTCACTCACTGGGATGCTTTGGGGCATGAAAAGTGTCAATGATTCATCTATTGCACTATCTGCAATTCTGGTGTGTTTATGCTGCATTTGAATAAGCTCAACATTAATTAACTTATTGTTTAGGTGCGATTTCTTCTTTCAGACGACACCGAGTTTGTTCCCATTGGCAAAAATTCACAATCAAACTATAAAAAGAACTTCTACTCGTATTGTGCATTCTTAAATGGCTCAAAAGGCACCAACTATATCAAGCAGCTCTATTCCTTTTTCAATCAGCGTGTTTTTCTGGGAATGCCATCAGCAGCAGTATGTTCCACAAATGATGACCACGAAGATGATGCGGTTACTCGGGCATTGCTGGCAATCAGACTTGCTGATTCACGGCCTGCGGATACATCATGTATGTATAGACTTATCTTCTTTAACCTTTGTCTACTTACTTTCATTTCATCTTAGCACTTCCCAGCATTCCGATTAATATTGACACAGATTTGATTCCCACTCAATTCACCACAATGGAGGTTGAACATATAGACGAAAGCTGGCCTCCTGAGGACAATTTAACTGAGATTCCTCAGAACATGAGCAATGGTAATGTTCAGGATCATGGTCAGGGTCGGGGTCGGGGCAGGAGTTGGGGTCAAGGCCAGGGTCGCAGTCACAGTGATAGTCAAATCCAAAGTCAAGAGGCATCAGTACCAGCTCCAGTCCACACCACACAGAACCAGAAACAGGTAGTATAGAACATTCATAGTTATATCGATAGGAAAGCTCACAAAGATGTATATAAGTAAAAACTGAGCAAACCGTACCTGAGTGATACACATGATATATTAACTGAAGGGTTTTTTATAACAATGTGTATTTAGTGTAGTGGTAATATTGTATTTGATAGTTTGTGATTGTATCTATGTAATGTCTTGAGTTCAATTCCCCATTATAACTGCTAATAAGTTTTCCTCTCCAGTATCAGTTTGATTATGTAATACAGTTAATACTTGTCTTCAATGAAATGAATAAAGCACAATGGAAAGAGAATGAGCACCTGAGTGCCGATATATTTATTAATATATTTTCTAAAGGGTTTATAAGCGCTTGCATTTGCACAAGGCTTAAGAGCGCTTATGCTACTTAATTAGTAAAGAATGCTTATGATTTTCTATGAAGGTTTAGGATCTGGCATAATTGGCAGTTCGATTATGGGGTTTATGAGCGCTTACTGCTGCTTACAGGCGAATTTTAATGTTTCTGACATGGTCACATGTAGTCCAAAAATTTCTCTCAGAAGTGTAAAATTTTCATTTTTTGCTATTTATTTAGGGTCTCAACTCCGAGAGTAGAAGCTTACTAGCTTATTAGCAGATATCAAATCAAATTCTCACTTTTTGAATGTTATTCCCCCATGAGTCCCAAAATTTTTGCTCAGCCAGCTTGAATGATGCTATAATGGACAAGGTCTGCCTGTTCGAGCTCTATTTGACACTATTTTCGGGCAGGGATTGAGCAAATTTTGGGTCCTAAATGACGCTATTTTGAGTGGGGTTCTGCAGTAGTTTCCGGGGGCCTATCTCTCGTTAGAGAAATGGGCTTCATCTTTATCTTTGCACCTGTGGGGCATCACTGTGATTTGGCATTGGACAATGCAGACTCAGACTTGTACATTAATCCAAGAGACCTTCTCCTATGCCTTCATTGAACTACTCTGACGGGTAGTACCCAGATGGGCAATTACTGTCTTGATCTACTGCACTGTTATGTGCGGAAGTGGGCCATTGTGCTTCACACATGGCATGTACGAGTCCTCATTGGAATTCTTCAGCTGTACTAATAAAAGATATTTACAGTACATGACTTACAATCTTGAGGGTAAAGGGCACCCTTGGGGCACCGAAGCAAAGGATCAGGTAACAGACTCACATTATAAGGTCATGTGAATTTTCCAGGAACAATCAGTCACAGCCCATAAAAGGCAGATTGCACTGCTGAAAAAGGAAAGTCATCATGTTTTCCCACATTCAAAGTCACCATAAGGATGAATCCTACATTTCATTTTGGACTCATAATATCTTTTGACTGATTTACTCATTTCCTATTGTCTTGAAGTACATAGCCCCTATCATTTTCCTTTTCTCACTGTCTCGATGCCCTTACTTGTACAATTACATCACTGTCAAATCCCATCAATTACTGATCCACCTGACCCCCATCATTGATTACTGACCCACCTGTTACCCTTCTCCTTCTGGCTTCCGCCACCTTCCTTGTTCCTAAATTGTACAGTATTACATTGTCATTTCTTGCAGATCGGATTATGTATATAAAGCCAATCCCTCACAGCCTGGTTCCTTATCTTGACCTCTCTGTCATTATCTGGGATCAGGTATGTGCTTATTATTACCTATGACTACGATACACAATATATCTCTGTTATTATCTGGGACCAGCCTGCCTCCGTTCTGCTTAGTCGCTCTGCCTTGCTGCCTCACTCAGTTGCTCCGCCTTGCCGCTCTGCTTAGTCACTCCGCTTTCCTGCTCCGTTAGTCACTCTGCCTTTGCCGCTTTGTGACATTAGGTCAAGATCCATTACTGCACTGACAGCCTACCAATAAGGTTGTCCTTGCAGGATCTGCATACATCATGTCTTCTACACCTGTAGATCCTTCCGATCTTACTGCTCCACCCTCCAACACGCACTCGATCCCAGAGATCAACACCATGTCCATCAGATTGACAACACCTGGTACGGCTGTGACTCCCAGCCTTGCCCCCACGCGCTTTCCAATTCAGTCCAGAACCCATTCACTACAGATGATATAACCTTCCTGCCAATTCCCCATCCCCGATTGCCCACTCCAATCATGTCTGACCCTGCTCAACCTGCTCAACCTACCCCTACACCACCCACTGCAAATGACCTAATGGCACAGCTTATTAAACAGGTAGCCAACCTAGCCACTGCCATGGAGGAACATTCATCTGCCAGGTCAAGCATGAACAAACCTGAGGTATTCAAGGGAAAAGATAGCGCTGAGGTGTGTCGCTTCATGGCTCAGTTCCAGAACTGGGCATCGGAACAACCTGATCTCACCAAGAGTCAGGCAAAGCTTATCAAGTCAGCCCTAGGGTTCTTTACTGAAAGTGCGGGTGACTGGGCAACCCCGCTAATAAGCTTGCCTCGTTTTTGTGTGAAAGAGAAAGGAAGGAATCAAATGTGCACTCCAACCAACCAATCTAATACACAATATGCGAGTTCACTGCTATCAAATTTATTTAATAGCAAGGGGTAGCGTTGGCAAAGGTTCCGCAAAGCTTTGAGAGCTAAGTAAGAAGCTTCGATCAATCAATTTGAATCGTTCTAAGGATTTGGTATATTCCTTTGATTAAGGTAGATTCAGCACAATTTGTGCTTTGATTGTATTGATATGGGTATATCAAGAATTAGGGGTTTGAATCAAAGTAAATTAAAAACCGAAACACACAGACCCCTACAGAGGGCTAGAACTATGTGCTGGCACAACCACACAGCGTGATTTGCCCTTAAGACCAACAGCTGATCCTAAGTTCGAAGAATACCCAACAACTGGATATACTTCTCGCAGTCACAAGGAGCAGAACACGACGTTCCTATACTCACAAGTGCCGGGCCCGAATGGCTGCTAGCGAAGAGGTTTCAGTCTGGCAGGAGTGTGTCTTTCCTTTTTACGGATTAGCACTGCAACGTCGTCCCAAAATCACTTGTATTCCAGATACATCAGATCACTATTTATACATACAGGATATAGAGTCGCACAGTACAATTAATTTCATAAAATAAACGTTCGGAACCGCAAGGAAACTTCTACAATCGGTCAGATACCATTTAATTTGAATCTTCATGTCCTTATTTGGTCCATAATGGTTCCAAGATTCTAGTATACCTCCAAACATAGGTAGGTACTTCGATATTCATTTAATTTAATTGTTTTGGAGAATGACTCGTAACTGCTACTCTGAGCCCCCCTAACCAGATTGGTCAAATAAGGGAATTACTTGATCATGCTAACACTATGTCCTCCTTGTCCTCTGGCTTTCAACAGGGTTTTTAAAGAGGGTACCCGCTTCGGCTGCACCAAGAGTACCCCGTAATCAGTTTGTTATGTTCGCTACTTCTTCGTATGACTCGCACGCATCATGTACAATATCATCAATCCGGGAATTAAACTCCACTTCCCCATGTCATGCCCTGCCTACAACCAGACCAGCCCCAGTACCCGCCACACATTTTCACACATCCTATCCACCTCCTGTACCTCCTCTGCACCTCCCCAAGTACCACCATGCACCTCCCCAAATGTCACCATTCTCCTGATATATACCCAAATGTCCCTCACCGACACGCTGTCATGCCCTGACCACCACCAGACCCATCCCAGCACCAACCAGAAGCTCCCATATGTCTTATCTAGCTCCGTAAACCCCCAAGACAGCTTCCCATTACCCAAGCGCCTGACGACTTCCCCGACATGCGTACATTCCCTGGCACGTATGCAGGACCTACAGCAACTTCATTAAGTATCAATCTTGATTACCGCCTCATGTTCACTAGATCCCCTGATGTTCCCTTGTTCACTTCCTGTACCTATTTAAGTAGTTCCGCAACATCCCCAAGCCCCAGCTTGGTATATTTTGAACACACACCCTTTTGCATAGGTCCAGTCCCTGTCCCTTTGTACCTGCTAACCATACGGATTTCCTTTACTCTCTGTTTCTTTATCTCAGTTTCTCTCTACTCTTCTCTATTGTCTCTGTGATCATCTACATGATCCAATATACGCTTTTACTTCACATCTAAGCAACCCAAGTGAGTCTCCGAGCTCCCTCGAACGATACTAAAGCTCCCCAACACCTAATGCCTTGGTGAGCTAACCTCCCCAAAACCTCCTCGAGTTCCCCAATTGCTCCACAAGCTCTGGGACCTCGATCTAGGTAATGTCAAAGCTACCCCCTACATCAAACTATGTGCCGCTTCTCTGTTACCACCTCCAACCCTTGAGGACGTCCACCTCTAAGTGTTACGATCACTTCTTTTTCATCTTATCTTTCTCCTTATCCCTTGTCTTATCTTTTATCTTTTGTCTTATCTTCTATCTCCCTTATCCTATATCTTGTCTTATCTTGTCACCTGATCTATTATTTATGCTTACTGATACAACATGCGCTCTTCATTTACTTATATTAAACACAGCAGTCTCACAACACATATACAGCATGGCGATCGAGCTTTCATTACTTACACATTGCTTTACTTATGTTCTACTCATGTTTACCACTAACCCAGGGCGTTGGGCATTACTAGGGCAGAGGGTTGTTCACTAGTATATAGACTGTAGCTACTTGCTGTATTTCCTTAGCTTCGATCTCGTCTATTCTACCTGGTTTAGTCCAGAACTTTGCTTACTTCCTTTATCGCTCCGCTGCCTGAAGTTTTCTTGAGTGTGACACCTGGTGACACCTGTTACTAGAACCAGTCGCTGACACTAAGCCCCAGTTCCCGAGACCTCCCCTCCTGGGTGTATATTTTCTCAGGAGCTTATACACTCAAGACCCATTCTCTCTATGACCTATTCGATCTTACGTTGACGTTCTAGCGAGTACAACTCCTTCTACGCAACACTACTAGGTTCCGTACCTCTACCTCCCCTACCTATGCCTTAGGGACCTCCCTTAGCCCATTTCAAACCCTCCACAATGCCCTATCCAACAGCTTTGCATGAATCTGACCATGTTTCATCTTCTCTAATCTCACTGTTGTTTGTGCAGCCTGCTGTGCACTCTCTTCAAGGAACTTGACCCTTCTACCATTATTTCAGAAGGGCAAGTAATTTTTGAGGACAATGATGTTCTAAAACAGGCCAGCACAGTATGTTCTTTGGCACCAGTAGGATTCCCCTGTGCCTGATACAATCCTCAACCACTATGCAAGGCAAACAGTAACAGTTTTGAAGTCCCTTCTCATGTTTGCTCATAAGTGCTTTAGTGCTCAGAATGCTTTGCAAACTGCAAAAGATGCCCGTCCCTTTAAGAAGGTCAGGGCAACTTGCGACCTCAAAAAGGCAGTGATCCGTTTCAGGTTAGAAACATTGGTATGTCAAAACTGTGCCTATAGTCTATATATTAACATGATACTGATATGTGTACAGAAGCTTTCTAGCAACTTGGAGATGTATTATCATTATGAACAATTCTCTCAGTGAGTAATGGAAGAGATTTTTAATGTTGTGATACAGGTGATCATCCATCCAAACCTCATTTCTAAGTGCCCTCAAAAAACTCATATGTGGTCTCAGAACAAGGATAAGAAAACTCTGAAGAAGCTCTTCCAGATTGAAGAGGGTCCCAATCTCACAGATAGCCCTATGAGCTTCAGGCCGGACTATCAAGCTTGCCCCCTTGATAATCAAAGGTCCCCTCTTTCTCAGAGCGGTAAATATCAAATGTGGTCTCAGGTGCTTGCTTGAGATGCTGCGGCATTACCCGAGTCTGGCGGGGACCACATTGCTCCATGGAATACGAATGCCAGGGACAAGCCACATGTGAGTATCTTTTGCAGTATGCAGCAAAATGAAGTCTTGCTCTTAAACTGATTCTATAATTTCGATCAGGTAAATACACCAAACGTCTTGAATGCAAAAGGTAATACTGAGGTTGCATTGGAAGGCTTCAAGGAGCTTCTAAAACAGAAGAATCTTGCTTACACAAATCTCCTTCAACACCTGGGGCAAGCCAACGCAGTAGGAGCTGCCTTAGAGAATGTGTGTTTTAGTTCTAATAGTACTTTTTTGAAATCATACTCATGAGCTCTAGCACACTGTTACTCCTCCCAACTATACATTGGCAATGGCATGTTATTCAGAATGTACCCAAAGGTACTTTAACATGAACTCATCAACTTCTCCTATATAGCTTGTGATAGGCAAGCCTACATCACCGCGCCGCACAACAACTAGTCCCCTGGTCAGGAATGTTCATACAGAGGATAACACTGATGATTCAGAGGACACAGACAAAAGCAATTCATGCTCATCTTCCATTGGTGATAACTTAAACACCATGACAGATGAATTTGCTTAAAACACACATTCAATAGTTAGCGTGGGTCACTTTGCCTATGGGTCAATTCCACTACTTGTATTACTCTCTTCTATCTTTGAGCTTTTTTCTGTACTGTATATGCACCTGAATAGCAAAAATCTCTTCTTATCCTTTGGCTATCTCTGTGCATAGTAATGTAAACAATTGAATGTTGCACTTGCAATTTCAGAGGCCCCTGCAAGCTCCCCCAGAACCCTGTTCGGAATTGCGTATTTTAGAGGCCAAAATCAGCCATTTCCTTGTCCAAATATAGCATAGATTGAAGCTCAATAGGTTGTTGGACTGGTACTCCGTATGCTCAGCTTTGTCTTCTTTGTCCTGTGCGATTTTCCTTTCCGGCCTCCGATATTGACTTACTTACTCCTATTTTCTCGATCACCATTTATACTCGATACATAATTATAAACTCCCTCAGTTGTTTCTCTTATCAACTGAGGTGAGATTACTTATTTTTTCTTCTTTATTCTTCTTACTAAAGTACTATAGATTATACTCAACAGGTACTTAGATGTACTAGTAGTTGTTTCTCTTATCAACTGAGATTATACTCAACAGATTATGAGACTGGAGCTCAACCGAGCTTAACAGAAAAACCTGATATATTTTATACAGTCAATTCTAATCTCTTCGAAGCTATGTCCTCCACAGTTAACTCACTGTCGATCCCGCGCTTCCCCGAATCATCCCAATTATCCGGCGAGAATACCTGGCGAATCTTTAAAAACCAAGTCCTCGCGCATATTGAAGTTCGGGAACTCGAAGGATATCTTGATGGTACCATTATCCGACCCCCTATGGGTGGCTATATCTCCACATCTACACTGTATCCTCCTGCAACCACATCAACACCTGTATACAGTTCGACCCCTTTCCCGCATGAATGGCGTCAACGTGACAGGATGGCCGCCAGCATAATCTATCTCAACATCATTGACCCTGTCGGACTAGGCGTCGAACGTGAAAAGCCTGCGTACCACATCTGGGCTGAATTGAAGAAGAAATATGAGAGACGAGATGAGATGCGCGTACATCAGGCTGATACCAAACTCCGGTCTGCTCAATTTGATCCCAGTAACACGACTATCAAAGAGCATGAAAAGACAATGAAAAATCACCTTAGGGAGCTTCGAAATTTAGGCGGTTCCTGCCTCGACTCCCAATTCCGTCTTATCGTAATTGCATCTATGCCCAAGTCGTGAAGAGATCTCTTAATCAACGTCAAGGGAATTTCGAGTGATGATGCATTTATTCACCTTCGTCAAGTCTATGACAACAAGAAGGAGGATGAGGAGGATACCCGACAGCGTAGTCAGGTCCGTGCCCTCATCGCTCAGGAGATGGCTTCTTTCCACTCGGCAAATGCAGCATCTACTACCAAGAAGGATCGCCCGATGTGTACAAACCCTAACTGCCCTCCTCGTCGACGTCGTACTCATGCGATTGAGAAATGTTGGGCACCCGGTGGCGGCGATGAAGGGAGAGGACCTAAGAAAGCCGAAATCTCAGTCACTCAAACTGCGAACTACGCTAGCGATGGTGGGAATCATACAATCATGGAACTCTTCGATTTGTGTACGTCGCCATCAACAACCATTCCATCTACCCAACTCCCTAATGCCCATACCTGCAGAAACTGTGTGTCAGTATCAACAGGGTATGGTGCAAAGAAAGAGGTTACGCACAACGTAGAAATATTAGATTCTTCTATTCCCGACTCAGTCTCAACCTTCGATGAATATACTGCTTGTTCAGCTCGCAATGAGAAGACTTTCCTATATGCTGCCTCAAAACCACGAATACCTCAGACTTTCCTTGACTCAGCTGCGAGTGATCATTTCTGGGTTCGAAGGGTTGATTTTATTGAATATGAGAACTTATATGGAAAGGCAGGGAAGTCAGTGATTGCCGGAAAAGCAGGTGAATTTGAGATTCATGGCAAAGGAACTGTGGAATTTGAGACAGCCGTGGATGGAATAAAAAGAAGATGCCATTTGAGTGAGGTCTATCACACACCATCCTTTCACCACAACCTAATTTCATTGAGGACACTGGATGCCAAAGGAATGAAAGGAGAGTGGGGTAGGGGATCACTCACCGTACGAACTGCAAATGGAAGTATCGTTATGCAGGGCAAAGGAAAGGGAACGATGTATGAGGTTCAAGCTCACTTCACGCCCTCAGTTGCGAATTTTGCCAGATCACATAATAAACCTGTTGACATACATACGTGGCATTGCAGACTAGGGCATCCGGCTATGGATCGAATACTCCAGATGCATAGGCACAATCTGGTCGATGGACTGCAAATTACCTCTAAGAAAGTGGATGGTAAATGTGAACCTTGCATCTTCGGGAAATCAACTCACCGACCGTTTGACGAAAAACTTACGCATGAAACCAAGGTTCTCGAACGTATACATCTTGATCTCTTTGGTCTAACTCGAACCCAGAGCATTGGAGGGGCGATGTGGATGTTTCTGGCAACGGATGGTCGTTCCTCAGTCAAGGCTCCGACTTTTCTGACTAACAAGCGGAAAGAAACAGTTTTGACCGCTATTCATGATTGGCGTACGATGGCAGAGCGGCAAACGGGTCTAAAAGTTTTGATATTCCGGATAGATGGTGGTGGAGAGTTTGATAATGGGTGGTTTAGAGACTACTGTCAAGAGCATGGTATAGTCATTGAGATGATACCACCCAGGTCTTCCTCAGCCAATGGAGTAGCTGAAAGAGCGAATAGAACAGTATTAGATGGTGTCAGGACGTTTCTCGTTGATGCCGGGTTTCCTCCTTCGATGTGGGCTGAAGCGGCACTCACCTTTTGCTACGTGAATGCTTTCATCCCATCTTCTCGGTTCCCAGACGAAATACCAATCGAGATATATACGAAGAAACGCCATGATGTCTCCCATCTCCGACCTTTTGGTTGCAAATGCTGGGCAACGCTTGACGCGATTCAAACTGATGGCAAACTTGGAGTTCGGGCTGTCGAAGGACGTTTTGTTGGATATATTGGCAGGAGGGGATATAGGATCTGGTTGCCGCAGACCAGGACTTTCCACGAATCTCGTAGTGTTGAATTCGAGGAAGGCAATCCTCGCAGATCTACACCCGCGGTACCAGATGAAGTTGATGGTGAAGTGTTTGTTGATGTCGACGTCGGTTCGGCTCCGGATGCCGTGCCTGGTCCTCCGGCTAATGAAAATCAAATTGATATTTCAGAGCCATCCATTCCCTCGACACCTACTGCACCTTCTACTCCTAGTTACGAAGGTCTTTCAGAACTATTCGCAACCCAATCTCTGCCTCAATCCTTACCATTACCTGTTCAGGAACCAGAAACTGGCCCAAGGCGTAGTACTCGTATACGTGAACCATCAGCTTGTCAAATACAATCTGAGGAATTTACTGAAAGAGAACGTAGTGCCTTTGAGCGGAACCTCGCTTGGGCCCACGACTCCGGAGGCATAGACAAAATCGACGGAAATCCTCTGGCGATGGTGGCAAACAGTCCGTTTGCTTTTGCTGCTGAATCTAGTGATAAGTGGGTCCCAAATACATATAAACAGGCCATGCGTCGCCCCGAACTTTGGAAGGCACCAATGCAAGCTGAGTATGACACTCTTATGGATAAAAACTGTTGGACATTGGTGGATCTGCCTCCGAATGCAAATCTTACTGGAGGGAGGTGGGTTTACGCCATTAAATGGCCGAAAGATGGGGAGGTAGCCAAGCGGAAAGCTCGATATGTAGCACAAGGCTTCATGCAGATAGAAGGTGTCGATTACGACAAGACCTACGGTGCTGTTGCACGTATGGAATCTGTCCGTATAGTCCTTGCGATTATTGCAGTCCTTGGACTTTTTATGTTTCAGGTCGACTTCAAGGCTGCTTTCCTGAACTCTCCTATCAATCACGACGTATATATAAAGCAGCCTGAAGGATTTGTCAAGGAAGGTGAAGAACACAAGGTGTGTAAACTCAACAAGTCGATTTATGGGACTATGCAGGGTAGCCACGACTGGCAGGACACCTTAGGGAAAGGATATGAAGAGGATGGTTATATTGCTTCAAAGGCTGATCCCTGCGTATGCTACCGTCGAATTGACGATGAGTACACTCTCTCCACCACGTATGGTGACGATGTCAATGGCGCTTCCTCGAGAGAAAATGGTAAAAAGAAGGCCATTGCAGACTTAGGAAAGAGATGGGAATCAAGTGAAGTTAATTCGGGCGTTCTCCTAGGAATGACTATTTTCCAAGACCCAATCTCCAAATCCATTACTATTTCCCAAAAGTCGTACTTCGAACGAATGCTGGAACACTTTGGGTTGGAAACTGTCCGTATCCGTCGCACCCCATTAGATCCCAAGGCAAAAATTGCTGAATCTCCAAATCCAATACCTGAACTTGACCGAAAATTCATGTCGAACAAACCCTACCGTTCGTTCATTGGATCTTTACTCTGGGGGGCTTGCTCGACGAGGCCTGACATCGCATTTGCTTCAAATTTCCTCGCTCGTTTCCAGCTTAATCCGGGTATTATTCATTGGGAAGCTTGCAAGTGGCTAGCCGGTTATATTCGCGGAACCATTCATTATTCTATCACCTATCGTGCTCCTAAACCTGGGGATGACTGCCTCGGTTTCAGGCTTTCACCTTTAGGTTACTCGGATAGTGATTGGGCATCATGTCTAGTTACTCGTCGATCTACTACTGACTATATATTCTTCATGGCTGGTGCTCCTGTTTCCTGGGCATCAAAGAGACAGGGCTCTGTGGCACTATCTACAGTCGAAGCTGAATATATCGGGCTCTCGAAAGCTTGTCAGCAAGCGTGCTGGCTTCGGTTGTTTATTCAAGAAATTGATCTTCCACTCAATGGTCCTACTCTTATTCATGGCAACAACTTTGGTTCGGTATCACTGTCAGAGGAGCCGAGGAATCACTCACTTGTGAAACACATCGATATGCGTGAACATTATATCAGGGAAAGAGTGAAAGATGGTAGTGTGAAGGTAATTCGAGTTCGTAGTGGCGAGAATGTCGCAGACATTACCACAAAAGCTCTTTTGGGGACTACACATGCTCGAATGGTTCAGATGCTCAATCTGGAGCATACGCAGTAGGGGGGATGTTGGACTGGTACTCCGTATGCTCAGCTTTGTCTTCTTTGTCCTGTGCGATTTTCCTTTCCGGCCTCCGATATTGACTTACTTACTCCTATTTTCTCGATCACCATTTATACTCGATACATAATTATAAACTCCCTCAGTTGTTTCTCTTATCAACTGAGGTGAGATTACTTATTTTTTCTTCTTTATTCTTCTTACTAAAGTACTATAGATTATACTCAACAGGTACTTAGATATACTAGTAGTTGTTTCTCTTATCAACTGAGATTATACTCAACATAGGTCAGTCCCTGCCCGGGTTTAGAAGCACCAAAAGCGAAAATTATATATTTTGAGTACTTTACACTACCATTTGTAGAAATTTCAGGGAATTTTTGGACACGTGATTAACCTTGTCCGTTATAGCATATTTTAGGCCGAAAACATTGCGTAGTTTACAGCGTTTGCCCGGACAGGGTTCTGGTAGAGCTTCCGGGGGCCTAGTTTCAGATTTTACAGCTTGAGAGCATTATTACTGCACTAAACCAGTTGCACGCTACGGTACTAGATTTGATGTTAATGCTTGGGATAGATAGAGCATTGTGGAATTGGTTAATTTTCTACACAAAAAACGAAGACAACTGAATTGTTGCAGTTGGGGATTTAGGACACGGGCAGTGCATAAGCCTGAGCACATACAAGCCACAGACTTCCTCTGTGTGGACAAGGTCGCCGTGCTATGGAGAAATTCCACAACCCACATACCCGGAATTTGAAAGGGCTTGTGCCATCAAGGTAAGTATGAGATATTGGAATTCTCCTTTAGATGAGGACCTAGTAAACTTTAATCGTCATTGGGAATTCAGTGAGATTCTATTTTTTGTGCTTACGCCCGAGAGGACCTGGAAGTAACAATGTTTATAGGAATTTAAAATCCAGATTTTAATTAAGAGCCCAAGAAGGGTATCCGCTGCCATCCGTAGATAAGTATATCGATATCGTACTGGTGAAGTAAATCATACTCGAGTATGAGCAACCACACCACAAAAATACACGTTCATGTACTCATTATACAGCTCCAATGTACCATCCGTCCGTTCATTCATAACAAAGAATAAATATCCTCCCTTGCTTGACCGAAAGAATAATTGCCCCCTGGCTCTGGTCAATATTGATCGTCTCGACGCTATGCAAATCCAATTCAGGAGGAATTTCTAGCGTCCGTACTTCTGCTCCTCCCCAGCCTCCGTGGATATCGTTGACCCGACCATCATCAGTGAACGGGGGAAAGGTAACGAATCTGAGTCGTTTATGATCTTGAAATTCTTGTTCACGGATTTCGTCTTGCTCTGCAGACGACTCTTCTCGTTCAAACCCGACTTCTTCGGGGTCCGTAGCGGTAGCAGTCTCGGAATCATCGTCTGCTTTACCGTCTTCCACATCTGTTTCTGAATTATGTGCGCTGTCCTTATCCTCATCATCGTCAACGCTCTCGTAGATGTGTCCATGTTGATGTCCAATTACTTGCATTATGACATTCCCGTCGTCGTGTTGATGCTGCTCAACATGGTGCTGGGCAGGCGCATTATGCATCCGCCTGGAACCAGCAGTGGCCATCTCACTCTGACCATCTTGATCATAATACTCTATCCAAACCGCATGTCCAAAATCAACCGCAACCAAAGGTCTCGGTCGCTCCTGCACCCCGTCCCCATCTTCGTCTTCGGGGCTCGGATCCTCGAGACATACGACCTCGAACGGAATACTAACGTACCACAGCCTCATCGCGTCGTCTTCGACGGTTGTGTTATTTTTGACGCGTGAATGAGAATCGATCGAAGGAGTGGTTTCGTCTTCGTCCTCCGCAGTGCGAGCACGGCCTTTGCCTTTTGCCTTACTCGAATTGGTGCCATCAGGAGAAGACGAATGGCAACTAGATCCGGAAGAAGAACCATTGACAGTCCAACCAATTGGTGAAACTGCGCTAGCTGTATCTACCCCCGCAGATAATACAGAAGTGGATGCTGTTGCTGCTGGCGAACCCTCGTAGAAAGGCGCAACAACTGAGCCTTCAGGAGGACCATCCAAGAAATACATCTCCATCGGCCCGAGAGACTGCTCAATCGCGCTAACACTTGCCACCGGAGTGCTACTGCTGCTACTGCTACTCCCTGCGGTAGCTGCCACGCCACTAGCGTAAGTCGCATTGCTCGTCCCATCCACTCCGTTGTTCCCAACGCCATCCGCCCCATCCTCGTCCACATCAGGATTATGCATCCCCCTCCTTCCTAATCCAGTCTTCCCTCTTTCTCCAAACCCAACCCAATCCGCACATCGCATCGGAACGCGGAAATAATGCTGCGCCAGCACAAAGCGCGTCTTGTGTGTTATTGGGTCGTGCGATGCGAGGAGAACCACTGTACAGCTGATTCTAGGGACGTTGGAGAGAGTGGGCCACCATTGACGAACGAAATGTGCGGATTCGGGGTACCAGGGAGGGAATGGGAATGGGTTGGGATTAAAGTTGGATGGCGTTGAGGTTGAAGGTTGGACTACCGGTTGAGGGAGTACCTGAATGGGGGGAGGAGTATTCAGGGAAGATGAGGAAGGGGTGGTTATCGAGGTAGAGTTGGAAGAGGACGAGGATTCTGCGGATGATGGAGGACTCGAGATAGCACTGGTAGTGCTGGTGTTTGATGATATAGTAGACGTATGAGGAGCGGCTGCTATTGAAGTAGTCACAGTGATAATTGCGCCTGTTTGGCTATCGATGACAGTGATGGGTATCACCCCAGCCACGTTTAAATTCGTAAGACGTCTGATAGAATGAAGTCTTGGTGCAGGAAACGTGAATCTTTTCACGATACTTTCAAATGGGGTAACTCTCCCAGAAAGAGTTGGCGTCTCTCGCTTTGTCTTCAACCGACGGGAATGGCTCTCGAGTAGAGTCAATGGATAAAAGTGTTGGAAAGCAGCATCGGAATCTTCGCAGTGAATAACGATATTCCGTTCGAAGAGAATACAGGACCAGTTGGACGACATGACCTGTATGATCATGAGATTGACAACGTGGTGAGAAAATATAAATGTTTGAACTTACGCATTCGATGCCGGTATCGATGAATACGTATTCATCCTTCTCCCAGTCAAGAAGAACATACAGACCGATCGTGTTGGAGTTCGAGACCCAGACGAACGCGGAAAGGAGTCTGGCGGAAGGATCGAGTAGAAATATGTTCATCACGACGCCCACACTCTTGAAAGAAGTAACAGGGGAGAATGTAGGAGAAGCCGTTTTCTTTCCCAGCGCATTCTCGTAGAATTGGAGCCGCATGAGCGAGAATTCCATAACTCTGCTATCATCATAGCTGTTTCTTGCACTAAGCTCAGAACCATGAAGCAAAAGCGTTAAGACGAGTCAGACTCACGATCCATGCAGAACCTTTGCCATTGTAAAATACACCATTTTATCCTCAAACTCAACCCTGCATTTCCATAGTTCCCACCGTTCACCTGGATTCCACTCTGCGAGACAGGTATCTGACTGTACATCCCAGCAAACGACTTTGCCGCTTTTTGTGGCACAGAGGGTGTAACTAGACGTAATCGGCGAAAGCCAGTCAACCTCTTCGCCGGGAGGCGCGCGTACGACCTTGTACCAATTTTTCGGTGTTGATATCGCACTTGATCCTGCAGGTGATTCTAGATCCAGGTAGTTATTGCGTGTCCTGACAGAGCCATGAGCTGTGTCCGCTGCTGCTGCTGCTGCAGTTGTTGAGCCAATCGGCCTGGGTGCTCGTACAAGCCAGGCATGTTCGTACTGATGGGCCTTGTTCACCGAATATATAAGCCGGTTGGTGGAAAGATCCCCTGGGCGCTGGAAGCCTTTCAGAGGTAAAGGTCGACACCGACGCAGAAGATCAGTAGCCAATTTGCGATAAACGGGGCGGGTAGTGAAGGAATAGTAGAGAGATTTACACGTCTGTGGTAAACTTAGTATGGAATCAGGAGTGGATAACGAATAAAACCCACTAATTGAAGAACATGAACATCAACATACTCCAGATATGAAGCAATGTTCAAGAGCAGATCGTAAGGCAGCAGATGAAACGACATTATTTCCGTTCCTTTCCTGTCCTGCTGTAGCTGTGGCTCTCCTAATGATTTTTCCTCTTCAAAATCGGCTTTCTGTCGCGATTGCACCTGGTTCTGGGACCAAAAATTGCTCGAGGGAGACACGGAAACACCGTCCAAGTTGACTCTGAGATTGGTTCTAGAGAAAGAGGCAACTAATGATGATCTCGGTGAACCCACGGTCATTTCTTCGGTAAAGCCGGTACGAAGCGGTTTACGGCAAGTGGCTTTGAAGGCTTATAAAGGCCACTGGACTTTGTTGTTCACGATATACGACGCCGCCCACGGTACAAGGCGAAAGAGGAACAAAGGGAAGCAGGTTGAGTACTTCCTATAACAGGTTACCGGTTAAGTTAGTGTTATCTTGGTGTCGGAGTTGGCACGTGTGGCGCTGCGCGCGACCTCTTGAACGTCCACTAAAGCAAAAACCTGAACGTAGATGATGGAAGAGAAAAAGCGTATTCGAAGGGTTGTGATAGCTGTAATTTTCAACTACAATCCTACGCGTATGTAATATCATTCGGATAGCAATTCCATCGGTAGAACATTCTCTAGAAGACAATCAGCCATTGAACGAGCAATCGTATCATTCTGTAATTCGGACCCTCGTGTAATTGTTTTGCGAGAAGATAGGCCGGGATAGGCTGGCAGATAACAACAAGGCAAAAATGCTGAATTCCGCTGAATGTATGCCAAAAACAAAAAGGATGTGGATATAGGGCTTGGATCCGCCGACGTCGGCGATGTTGCAGTAATGCATATACTTTGGGAAAGATCATCTGGCGGCCTGGGAACGGGCTCAAGGCGACGGCGGTGAGGGTGGGATAGGATAGGAAGGTCATGAAGACGAACGGGGCTGAACGTGCAAGCAACTAGGATTATCGGTGCAACTGCCTGCACCTGGACTTGCAAGGTAGTTACGACATTTTTTTAATCCAACCCCCAAGCTCATCGTCCTAAATCTGAGCTTCCGTTCAGTGTGACATATAGACAAAAGCAGTCGGTCGAGTTGTGCGATTGTGGAACATTATAACTATATTGTCAAACAAGGATCAAGTTAGGATACCAATAACAAGGCGGCGAAGAGAGGTAGCGATGTCAGTGAACACTTTGTTAGCTAGTACGCAGCGAGTCAGTAATGTGAAAGAACAAAGATCCAAGAGTTTTAGGCTATCTGTAAATGAGGAACGCGTACCTTTTCTACAAACACCCTGCAAAACAATAAATGTGAAAGAGCAAAGCATGTCAAAAGATGTATGACACAGCGAAAAAGACGATGGGATAGACCGAGATCACAGCAAATACAAAAGAATAGCACAATCAACAAACTGCGCGGTTCAGACGAACGAAAGAGCGAACAAGAAAACACAATCGACCAGTCCAGTCCTCGGAAAATTAAGGCTGTGACCGGTTTACGATACATGAGTGGGGATACTTCTTTTGCATTGCAACGACCATAAAGACAAAAAGAGGATTATCAGTGTAACATATGTGTAAGAATGTGTAAATGCAACGGAGCAAACTTTTAAACCACACGGCATCAATCATACGTCCTCCTTGCTCGTTTTTCCTCCCCTGGACGGCCACCTTAACAGCAGCCACCTACATCACAATTCTCGCCCCTTCCCACAACCTCTGCCAGAATTACATATCGCACCCGCCTCTATAAAAGACAAAGTCGCAAAACGTTGCGCCACGGCGGGGCTATATCCAAAGGAAGAGCCTTCACTCTTGGATTTTGGCGAGGATATCTGAGTCTTTGAATAAGTGGTATTCCTAGAAAGGACACAAGTATCAGTCAGGTAACCGAAAATGTATATAGGGTAAATGCCTCACCTCATCCCCAACCTTAATGGCATTTCCACCCCAGCCAGGGAGAAGCACTTTGTCACCAGCCTTCACCGTCGTAGGAATGATCTGCCCATCCTTGTTTGGTGCACCAGGGCCGACGGCAATGACGGTAGCTTCCGGTAAAGGAGTCGAGGTCGCTGAGGTGGGTAGGAAAATACCGGAGGCAGTTTTCTACTCAACAAAAGGAAATGTTTAGACGTGTAAGTGTTAGAACACTACAGTGACGAACCGTTTCAGGCTTGAACCTCTGCACAAGTACACGGTCAAGGAGAGGGACGAGGGACTTGATGGACTTAAAGGTAGCTTGAGCGGACTATTTGGTTGGACGCGTCGTGTTAAGTTTTTAGTCACAGCAAGAATGCGTAAGAATTGCAGGTAAGAAACTGGAAAGGCAGTAGTTCGAAGGCAAAAGTGTGCATACCATTACAGCAAAGAGTTATATAGAGGAGCGGAAAAAGGAAATATGGGATGTAGTCAGAGAAAGTGGACAGAAAAGGTGGAAGGATTCAAGGAGAGGAAATTTGACGCACGTGGAAATTTCCACGTCCTTCGATTAACAGACGCTCATAAGCGCTTAACACGACGCGACGACGCGATTCTATACTACTCTTTGCTCGTCTCTAATTATACTAAGCCCGAAGGCAAAATCAAAAGTGGCGACCTCGGGTGCCACATTCTTTCAAAGATGCTCAGCCTCTCACTTGAGCAACTGGATGTTTTCACCGTGTGTCTGCCTCGAAAACGCATTTGACATCGATATCGAGAAAGAGTATTATTATGATTCGTCGTGAATACGTCGCCTTAGATAAAGTAGGGTATACAGGTCGGATTTCGACCAACGAGGTCCCTAACTTTATCCACAGATATCCGGAAACATGAAGTCCGTTGGATCTTGTGGGATCCATCCATTCGCCAAACCTGCTTGGTAAGTCCACTCATCAGCATTCTCAGCTTTCCACGTCCATTGAATCCAGCCGCTTCCGCCTCTTTCATAAGCAATTACCTGGGCTTCCCAGTACTGGCGGAGAAACGTTTTGAAAGCTGAACTGAAGGTTGAAGCGGAGCCAGTGAGACCGGTGCAGCTACCAACGAAAGTAGAGCCGGAGAAGGATCCCTAAAATACCCCGAGACAGGAATGGTAAGAGCAGCGGTGCGCACGATGTAAGAATTGGCGTACGTCGTATCGAGCCCCAATACCTCTGCCGTTCAAATACTTTGCACAATCCGTTTGAGCAGGGGTCCATTCACCGACAATGAGCCACAAATCGAATGCGAGGCTGTTCTGATAGTTGCAAGCCGTTTGGATGTGTTGAGCATCAGTCTGCGATACCAGCTGAAAATTCGCGAGTTCAAGATCGAATTGCGAGTACAAGATCGAATTGCGAGTACAAGATCGAATTGCGAGTACAAGATCGAATTGGTGGTAGAGAAAGGAAGGAGGCAAGGAAGTTGCGATCAATAAAACGGAATGAAAGAATGATGCAGAAACTTACCTCCTGAGAAAACATCTGATAGATATGCGTGTCCATGGCTACGCCTTGCCATTGTGGAGGGGTTTGAAATCCACTCCAAAAACTGAGAGGCTGGAACGCGTCATGGAGGAGTACGACCGTATTGCTTTCTTGTGAAGTGCCGAAAGGAAATCTATGTAGGACCAAGGTAAGAGAATATTAATAGCACACCCACGAGGTCGATATACTTCAACAAAACCCATCAGCTCGAGAGAAAACATACCTTATATTGCCGTAGCTGTCATACCAATACTACGAAAGGCCGCCAGGTAAGGTTATGTATATCGCCACACTGAAATCTAGATAGTATCACCGACCTGTGTCACTACGTCGAGCATCTGGCTGCCATCATATCCTGCAGGTCTAAGTATGGCAAGTAAGTACAGCAAGAATAGTCAGTCGATCGATTTAGAACGAGTGGAGTCGAATCAAACAGAAAGGCTCCGCACTATATTCACTTGAACAAGTTCGGGCCCCCGTCCAGATCGCAGGGAACAATGATGGAACAACGAGGAAATCGAGAAAAAGTCGACACGTACTCGTTCAAAGGGGCAATTATAGGTACAACGTTCGTGTTATCTTTGACCATGTTGGCAATAGTCATAATGATCGCATCTGTTCGTTGAACATTCGACTCGTTCTCCTGCCATGTCCTAAAGTGATTTGTGGGATCAGAAAACACATAATACGGAAGCTGAATTTACGAACGGGAATGAAAGGCGCTCTCCAGAGTTGTCAAATCTGAGGATAGGAGTAGTTGAGTTTGAATGAGATGAACGTTACGGTGATGTATAATAGAAGAGACCACACCCGTTCTGACTGCCAGGTGCGCCTGACAAGGACATTAGAATGTGTCGTCAGCACACTGAGAAGCCAAATCGTCTCGTAATGGACGATGAAAATCGAGTTACCGCACCATGAAGATCTATAATCAGCTTCAAACCATGATTCCCCGCCCAAGTGATCGCGTTCTGGAGGTAGGGTAGTTGACCTTGAATGTAAGGTTCCCCACCAGAAACGTCGAATGCCCAAAATCCGATTGGTAAACGAACATGATTGAGGCTATGTCGTAGGGGGGGTCAAAAATATTCAAAATTGAATTGTGTGGTGTATGAGAAAATGAAGAAGAATGAGGTACATAGGTAATGAGCATAGATTATATGAGTGATATATGAGTTATGTGAAATGTTGACGAAATCAATGACGATTTTTGGACGATAGTAAAGAGATACGCACCCAGCAGCAGCGATAGCTTCAAAGTCAGATTCAGTGATCCATGTGTTCCAATGATTTTGGAGTACAGCCAATGCTGTTCCGTGATCCTGCATTTGACCAAACGTGTATTCATCGACGATGTTGGGGTTACCTCCATGAAATTGAAGGTAAGGGAAGGAGAGTGCGTAATTTGTGCATTGAAATACGTACCGGTATTGTCGAAGATTGATGGCGTTATCCACGGCTATGAAATTAGCAAGTGGCATGGTGAGCATGAATGAACGCTATCCACACGATAGACGCGTACTTACCTCGAGGACGAGCCATCCTCCAAGATTAACTCCTCTGACCTTCTCCGATCCATAAGGAAACCCTGGATTGATAGGGTTATCCGCAACGACGAGCCGGAGGAAAGTAGCGCACAATAGAACTGTGACGCTAGTGAGGATGCGTAAAGAAGAAATCATCGTGGGGGATAGTTGAAAAGAAAGACGAGACGTTTATACCGTTTTTATACTCTTATCAAATCCTAGGTTAAGAATAGAGTACATAGGATCTCATGAGGAAACCCAAGTGCCTGTTATTCGCTTGTTTTCTGCGACAGACAAGTCACAGGAGCGCAAATATTAACTGATGGTCAAAGTTGATTCGGAGAATGATCGATAGGCAATCATTTGGTCTTGTCCCTCTTAAGGTATACAGAAGCAATAGCACCGATTCAGATGAGGATACGACGCTCTTTCACCGATGATGTTCTGAGTGACGAAATTAGCGTTGCGAAGTGGATGGAAATGGTATATTCCTCACCGCATGCACAGAGTCACAACTTTTTTCGTAAGATTGTACCTTGATGTCATGCTGGTATATATATGTTGGGATCCTGTGCTGCAAGGTCATGAATTCGGTTATGACTATCTGGAGGTGTAAACGAGTTTTATGGGAAACCCTCAGGATACTGCCGTAGTAAAAATAAGCTTGTCGCAAATTTCACGGAGCAGCCTGAGTAAGCGCAGAGTCTTTCGAGTTTGTTGAGCCTCACGCGAGAGCGGGTCGAAAATCATAAGTGAAAATCAAGAGGACATCGTGGGGTCCAGCCGCCGCCGTGAAGGATGGACTCGGGGGGTTTCCGGAGTCACGTGTCAGTCGATCTCGGGAGTCGGAACTCAGCCTCCGGAGCTCCACAAATCGATATTAGTACCCTTTTTGCAGTCATCCTGTCCCGGCAACTCCTTGAAAATATTTCTCTCAGCTCTCCCTTGTGCGTATAATTCCCAGAAATGGTTGTGGTAGAGAGTTTCCGCAGATTTTTGTCCTCAAAGGGATCGTATACAACCCCTCGTACAACCCATTAAGAGTCTTGAACTCTTCAACACGCGTGAATGATAGCTTTACTATAGGGTGGCGGGCCCCAAGCGAGCAGTCGCGTACAATGTTTTTAATTTGGCTCCAAAAACGCCGTAATAATTCATCGTGTTTAGGGGACTCCACACGTGTTTGGCGACTTTCGATCGTGTATTGGACTCGCAGTATAAAAAGCCGACTTCTTTCAACCGAGAATTTCTTCGGCTACCATGGCTCCTTCTCTTTTTCGTACTGTCGTTATCGCCTGTTCTTCTTTATCTCTCGCTGTTGCTATCTCTCCCGGTTTTCCGTATGGCAATGAGAAGGTCCGAGGTGTTAATCTTGGAGGTTGGCTTGTGCTCGAAGTGTGTATCGCAGTATTTCTCGTGGTTGGCGTCTCGCTCATGTACTTCGCAAGCCATGGATAACACCCTCACTATTCGACAACACTGGTAAGTCTTACACAGCATACATCCGACTCCTTTGCTCTGATACGCATCAAAGGAAATAGCGCTATAGTCGACGAGTACACATTTTGTCAAATGCAAGATCGCGCGATAGCTCAATCCGTTCTGGAAGCGCATTGGAATAGCTGGATTACCGAGTCCGATTTCGAAGCAATCGCTGACGCGGGGTAAGTTCTCCTCCAAGATGAATCTCTGTCCACAAGCTCACCACAAAACTCGCAGGTTGAATCATGTTCGTCTTCCAATTGGTTACTGGGCGTTTGAAGTTGGTCCGGGCGAACCATACATCTCTGGACAACTGCCTTACCTTCAAAAAGCTGTCACCTGGGCGGGTAATCATGGTTTGAAAGTTATCGTAGATCTTCATGGTTTGTCCTACGTGTTGATATTTGTCGCATTATTCCAATGATCTTTTGACAGGTGCTCCTGGTAGTCAGAACGGGTACAAACTACTTACTGCCATCTAGTCCGTATACTCAATCCATTGCTGTTCCTTAGTTTCGACAATTCCGGTCAGCGCATGGACTACCCGTACGTCAAGCCCTTTTGTGTGCATATACTCGTAATTGATTTTTGTTCAGAACATGGCACTCCAATGACACGAACGTTGCCCGTACTGATGCTATCATCAAGACAATCGCTGACATGTTCAAGGACAATCCAGGTGTGGTTCCCATAATCGCTCCTTTGAACGAGTAAGTCAAATCCATGCGCTGCCTACCCCCAATGTCAATAACCTTCCCTCCAGACCTGCAGGCTTTGACGGCAGCAATGTTCTGAGCGTCGTAAGACAGTACTGGAGAGACAGTTATGGCAACATTCGGTACGTTTTCTACACCTAGCCACATGACCATGCACTCATCTCAGTTCAGCTACCCTTACGGATCCTCTCAGCAAAGCGACACCGTCGTTCTTATTCATGATGCCTTCCAACCCTTGAACTACTGGAACGGCTTCTTGACGACTGCTGACAACAACGCTCAGGGCGTGGCTATGGATACGCACATCTACCAGATGTTCAGTGATAGTGTGAGTAGCAGCATAGCCTTCACAGTTCCGACATATGAATGGATTAATCTTGCAGGGTGTCGCCATGTCGGATGATGAACACATTCAATCAGCCTGTGGTCAGAAATCCACGTTGTCCGGGTTCGACCTTTGGCTCATTGTTGGCGAGTGGACTCCTGCGATGACCGACTGCGCAACGTATCTCAACGGCCGAGGTATTGGTTCGCGTTACGACGTAAGTTTCATTTAACCTTGTTCATTCGATCGTAGTTCTCATGATATCTATTTATATCGCTGAACCTCGCCTCTGGCATGTTCTTATTTTTCATCCTACGCCGCTCAACCATAACAGGGCTCTTACTCCGGTTCTACGGCTGTGGGCAGCTGCACTGGCCTCACAGGTTCCGCGTCAAGCTTCAGCTCGTCCTACAAGACGTTTTTGAGAAAGAGCTGGGAAGCCCAGGCAATCACGTTCGAAGCTGCTGGTGCTGGATGGATCCAGTGGACTTGGAAGGCTGAAAATGCGGATGAATGGACATATCAGGCAGGCCTGATAAATGGCTGGATTCCACAGAACCCGACGAGTTATGAATATCCGAATATCTGTGATTGAGGTATTTGCACATTAGTCATTCCCCTATTCTATGGGTGACTGACGATAGCCAAAGTAATATTTGGCACCGAAGGTGACTCTCACTCAAAGCATTACACAAGGCCATTGTCTTATGAACGCCATACCCTATTTTATCCTTTCTCGAACCACGAACTTACATATGTACCATATTATTATCACTAGATGCACCCACCCAAAAGCTCGACGGTAATTTTTATACGTATACACTTACATACACTTACAGACATTTTCGGTATTACGATTCCAAATTCATTATTGGTGGACCTCATGATCAGGGTGACCATCGAAGCTCGAAGAACGAACACGACGTGATTGACTGCACCAGCGATCGAACTTCCACTTTTGCAATTCCTGAAGTACACAACTCATTCATACAGTATACTTTCTTCCCCATAAATGACAGCAAAATAATGCAACTACCAGACGCTTCCAGAGAGTACATCAGCGACACCTTCTGCCCAATAAACGTTCGCTGGACCTATTGAAGTCGATATTAATTATATTGTGAAATAAATGCGCAGTTCAAAACTTACTCGTGGTGTGTAGAGTATTGCTAGTAAGGGAAAGCATTCAAGAAACAGAGAGATTATGTTGAATGAGTATTGCGGAGAACAGGATAAAAAATATTCTAGAAAAACTCACATCCAGAAATATCCCGTGTCAGTTCCATACGAAACGGCATCGATGAAGCCATATGCTGTGGGGTCGTCGAGGATAGTTGTGAAAGCTGCGTTAGCATCCCACAAGAAGGTTGTGACCTAGAGTCCGTCGGCGGTAAGCCAAAACTCGACTTGGAGGTTGGTTGAAACTTACACCGGCGTTGCTAGTTTTGAAATCGTCGGCAAATTCAATCAGTTGGGCATTGAAATCCAAAATGTTAGCCTTGAGCATTGCCTGCGCTTGAGCATCTTGGGAAAGCATCTACAAACGTGTGGCGAGAGAGACGAAGTAAGTAGGATGAGCGGAATGCGTGTTAGGCGTAAAAGCAAGTTTCAACCAACCAATGGAGAACGATCAGTAGGTGGGACGTTTAGGAAGAGAAAGTTCCTGGCGCCGACGTCGCTGTTACAATGACATTATTATTGAATTTTATGAAACATTGAACAGACGCACTACTAAGGGAAAAAAGGACGTTAGCAGGAACATTCTTTTTGAGACGGAATAATGGAGAATTCACAAGTTTCTGCACCAATGCAAATTCAGCATTCAGGAGAGTGGTGTCGAATCTGGGGGAATTTTGTGGACTTTAAAGTATGCACTGCCCAGAGAGAGAGTTACGCACGAAGTTCGATTATCAGACAAGTAATAACTATTTCCAAGGTCATTTATCCCGATCCAGATCGAGAACAACGAATTCTCGCTTGTCCATGGTGTCTCAGCAGGCTTACTCGCTGCGGTATCCAAGAACTGGTTGACCTGGTCCGTGACTGACAGCACCGTCGGTTCAAAGGGCGCGACAAGGCTAGAGTCGATCGTCGCGCCTCCATAAGCATAGTTGTAAGTCAACACAAGACTGTTGTTGTACGTCGTCGTGTCAAAGTCGAGCCAATTCGCGCCTCCGGTTGCGGTGTATCCTGGGTACACCGGATTTCCGAGAGGGTTCCCTGGGGCGGGTAGAGTATCGTTGGTGACGAAGCCTGTTTGGGTGTACGAGTCTCCGCTGGAAGTCGCTGCTAAGAAGAGGTTTCAATGAGAAGGGAGGGATGTATTCTTACAAGCTGAACCAGTAGTTCTGAGCAGACGCCGTCCCAATAAAACCAAGAAGAGCCAGGAAAGAGGATGAAGGCATCGTTGAACCAAAGTTATTCTGGGATGAGAGTACCCAAGTAACAAGTAGGTGTCGTATTTGAAGGAATTCGGGTTATAGGGTCAAATGACATAGAGAGTAATCGTCGGGCATTTGTGAACGTTGAACAAGTCAAATCCCACCGATTATTCGCCGACTTGACTTGAGTTTAATCGTAGAATATCGTGGAAGAGGAGAACCACTGTGCAACTGTGCTGCGCTGAGTAGATCGACTCCAAACAGTAAGCGCAGCAGTTGATTGGCCTTCAAGCTTCAAGTTCCAAGAAGCCTACTGTTTGAGACCAATATACGAATCAGGAAGAGAAACTAAACCATACCGAAAGTGAACCGATATTTTTCCTCTATCAGTCCATCCGAGGCTCGAGCTTCGCCTGAAAATTGACTTCGGATATCCTTTGAGTCGGCAGCAGGTCGGCAGAGTCTTTGCAGCATGATCAGGACCAGGTCTTTCCTCTTGGTCTCAATCTGGTCTCAATTGCACTTCTTTTCACACAAAAGGGTTATCCGTCTCGGCCCGCCCTGCCCCGCCAGGAGTTTCTCGCTTTGCTTACAGTCATCTCCAAGTTCAAGTCCTTCTCAAACTCTTGGAGCCCAGCTCTTAAGTTGTGAGCAGCTACTAGGCACACACGAGTAATCCTTCTGCAAGTACTAGTTAGAGACAGCTATGAATTTTGGTACGCGTTGCCAGTGCTTACTGCTTTTCATTTTGGATCTCCGAGTCCAGGTGTATCCTTTCTATGCATTACAGGCGCAGTCTCATGGCGCCTTCGGATGTCGTTTTCCACTTGTATCTCGTAGAGTTTCAATGGCTTTCCCCATCATATCCGTCTTCGGGTCGAGCAGCGCAATGATAAGTATCTAAGGCCCTTCCATCAACCGCAGACACAAGGAATGACTGGCCACAAATTGAACACCATTAATACCACGCAAGAACGCCCTTTGGTCACAGTTGGGGGCACATAATTGTTCCTGTCTTTGTTTGATTGGTCAATTATTTCTCTCGAATCATTGAGGACATCATTCGCTAGTCTAAATCTATTCGCTCATTGGTATGTATTCCGGCATATCTTTATCCTTTCTGGCCAAAGTTTCTCTAGTTCTGTTATCTGTTATCTATGTACCCTGTCATATGCTCTTTTTCCTTAGTTACCCCATCAACCGTTTATGGTAGGTCAAAGCGAGTATTATCGATCTATTATTGGAAAAAGTAAAATGGTTGTTGAGTTGTTCATAATCTCAGACTCTCCTACATAATGCGGTCCGAGAAGGTCGAAAGCGGCATGAACTTTAGATGATACATGAATGAGACGAACGATTGAACATCACAAACATCCGCAAATTTTCCCTGAATATCAATGGGGAAGCTAGGTAGCTTTGGATTAGACTTATGTTCTTCACAAGAAGCTTTCCATACCCATAAAGGAAGATCCGTCTGTTGAATATGATATCTATCATGGAGCCGGTGTCAGCTGGCGTCAGGAAGATTCACGAAACTGTAATCTGCCTATTATTCCGCAGTAATGAATACACTGTTTGAGGGAAGTGCCGAGTGCCTGTATGATATGATTACTGGGTATTTGCTGGCTGTATGTCTTACCTCGAGAGTCTGGAATGGGAAGTTACCGTAAGTGACTTGGAGATGTTGGTGCAGGTAATACACGATGCCCGACGGAGTCTTTTCGGATCCATGCTAAATAGGCAGCTTTGTGCCCAGCGTACAGAGGCGTACAGGGCATATTAGTCTAACGTCCACGTTCTGGCTGAAGATCGAGAGAATAAATTGATTCAGTTTGCCACGGGTACAAAGCAAACTTTCATCCAGCACACCACCATTGTATCGATATGCATACGCCTCGCGTCAACGTTGAGTATAATTCCAACTTCGACAATCTAGGTATAAGATGCTTCAGTTTCTGTAGTAATGTATCCTTGGTAAAAGTTAAACTCAATCGACTTTTGTGGCTTCTCGTCTTTATTTATGTATCCTTAAAGTTAAACTTCCATCATTTTGTATACTTCCCGGCTATTAATTTTATGCACATCCTCTTCAGCATTTTAGCAAGGTTATCAAAGGCATGGAAGGATCCGGAGCTGGAAGGGGTTTTTTGCGAGTTGGCGCACGTTTGAATTGCTCGGTACACGGCAACCGATCCTGAACTGTTTTTGGCATTGGATCATTTTTCCCACCCCTTCCATTCTGTCGTACCGTGATTCTGTGAACGTCGATAGTCAAAAAACGACGGTTGCAGTTGGGGTATGCGAACAGACGGTCTCAATGAACTTCACCTCTGCCTCGCTACCTTTCGCTCACAAAAAATTCAGCAATAATCGCAGAGTTGGCTTTGAGGAAAGGAGAGGCAGGTGGTCAAGGTTCAAAGACAGTATGTCGTCCAGTTATTTATTCTATTCATCCTTCATTGAGAGATTTACTTCACATCTTTCGTAGAGGTTGTGGAACTCATTCAGACCGCCATAAGAGCTCCAACTGGATCACCTTCGGATGGACTTGGTGCAGACGGTACAGAAAGCAGCACTTCGACCTCGGTTTTCATCGCAGCCCAGAAACTGCTCAGTGCGGAAAAGGACGGCGAAGACTGGGAGATTAACGAGACAGTCATAAATGGCGAGAATCCAGAACTTCTTCGTAATGAGCGCGATTCAGGCAGCCCGTTTCGTTCGGATTCTGGTGGTGGTTCTATCAGCAGACACTCCGGTGAAAATGGGGACAGTAACTACGCCTATCACCCGCCAAGTTTACGCACCAAGTTGCACTGGCTTACCATGCAAATTAACTCATTTTTCAATCAAAAATTCGACGATCCACAAACGGAACTTGATTTTCGAAAGTTGCGTTGGTATTCTACTAAAGCATGGGCTTTGTGAGTCTTCCGATCCGCAGCGTTTTCATCAGACACTGAAAATATCTCAAGTTATGGATCCTTGTGTCAGTCCGTTTGTTATTTATCGCAATCTTTCGCTGACTCCGATGGAATGGCTAGTTCTGGTGCTCAATTGGGTTCTGTATTTGATACTCAATTTGGAAAGCACAAGTAAGACCTTGTACGGCCAAGTACGTACGCTCACTTCATTCGATTATCTATATTTGATTGGATGGTGTCTAGATTCTCTATGTAAGTTTTGTTTTCATTCCGTGTTACCTCCACTAACGTACACATAAGTATGGCGGCCTCACATTCGTTACTGTTCCCGTTCCTTTCATGGTCGCAACGGATATGCCGTTTCGTCACCGTATCATTTTCCAAGTTTGGGTTACCTTCGCTGTGTGGTACTGTGGATTGAGCGAAACCGTTGAAATGCGGGTGTGTCACTTTTTTGTGAGACCCAACACCTGTTTCAGAAAAGATTTCCTCGCAAACAGTGAGTACGCTCTCATATTTTTCTCCTGTAACTAATTTCCTGGTCAGTGTACTACACAACAGCCCTTCCGAGCATCATGATGATAGTGATGACGGATCGGTTATATAACGCCATCGTTCAAGTCATACAGCTCGTCTTGCTCTTAGCCTTCATCATACCCGTTCAAGGCATATACGCACGCAATGTTGTCAGCTTCGTAAGTGTTATTTAGCTACGTACCGAGCAGTACTCCTAAACTCTATTACTAGGTGATCTTTTCCATATTCTCACAAGGATTGCATTATAATCGTGAAATAGTTCGTTCAGTACCCATCGATTTTGTTTCTCCATTTGTTTACGCGTCGACAGACGGAACGGCGACTATATCTTCTTAATACCCAGCTGAAAATGGCATACAAAGCTCAGCAAAAAGCCCAAGCTGCCCAGTTCAAGGCAAGTCAGGCCAAACGACGGTTTGCCTCCTACATTTTTCATGAAGTCAGGGTACCGTTGCACAACGCAGGTCGGTACCTGTATCGTTACGAGCTTCTTCGTGCTGATCCACACGTTCCACAGCGATTGCCTTCAACAATATGACGACGGATGAAACGTTTCAAGACTTCGCACAAAAGGATCAGGGAATTACAGAGGATATTGCAGCATTGGACGTTAGTCTCGCTACGGTGCAGCAAGTGCGTGCTGTTCTTCATCGTTTGATGCCATCTCATCATGTCTGCGTAGGTCCTCAATGATTCTCTCGATCTCGAGAGTAAGGCCAATCTGCAACAATAAGTTCAAAAAATCACTATTGACAAATTTTTTGCAGAAATGGACGCTGGGCACTTCGACATTAATCCCCGCCCGTTCAACTTGCACCGCGTCATTCGCTCGACTCTCGGTCCCATCGCTGTCGCAGCAGCCGCCAAGAATCTTGACCTACAAATTAATTTCGATGAACGCATAGACCAATTACGACCACCGACTGATCCAACCTCGTCGACTAGCGGTAAAAACTCACAGGGAACATGGGTCGTAGGAGACGAAGTGCGCTTGCGGCAAATTTTGACGAATTTGGCTTCGAACGCGGTCAAGTTCACTCCAGAGGGTACACGGCCTGGGATTACAATTAACACGACTTTTGTGTCACATCGTAGGTCCACAAGCCGGCATACCAGTGGCGCTGTGGACCAAGAAGAAAAGGCTTTTCCAATCGATAAGGTGGTTGAGGATTTCGAAAAAGGTAATCTTAGTGATCGGGGAGGGGAAGAGAAGAAAGAGACGTTCCAGTCCCAAGACGTTCTTGTCTTCAGGTTGGACATATCTGATAATGGTCCCGGGAGTATGTTTGGTTCAATTCTACATTACACGATGATTACTCACAATTGTTCTCTGTGATTCAGTCAAACCATCGGATTTAGTCGACAATCAACTTTTTCAACCGTTTGCTCAGGTCTGTTGTTCGCTCTATCATGGTAAGAGTATAGTGGTTAACCCCTGGAACAGACTAAGGTTGGCAGACTCAGTAAGAACAGTGAGTCTTCTCCGCTTTCTTATGGTATTGATATTGATATACTTCCATTCAGGTACCGGTCTCGGTCTCGCTATCGTACGACAGATTGTCAGTCTTAGTGGAGGCAAACTGGTGCGTTTTTAAATACTTGTCACCCCAAGTCATACTCATCCCTCTCTCAGGGGGTGAATTCTCGGCGAGGCAAAGGCGCGACATTCTGGATTGAGCTTTTTTACCCCCTTGCCAAGTCATCAGAGATCCAGGCCGCAATATTACAAGAAGACCGACTTACCACTTCAGCTTTTGCCACTGCAGCCACCATACACGAGGTCCAGCGCTGGCCTGTCGTTGCCTTTGCTGAAGACGTGAAACCGCCGATGTTGAGCGGCGCTGTCAGTCATCAACCCTCTCATCCTCTTCCCCCTTCTCCTCCCCCGCCGCCTCTTCCCCCACCTCATCCCCCTTCGTTCTCATTTTCTCCGCCCTCCGACGCGTCTTTCATAGCTCCTTCGCTGTCAAGACTGGGAAGTGATGCTCCGTTGTTAGACAAGCCACGCGTCAGTGAGGGGACCAATACAGGAAACGAAAAGCTACATCAGATACAAGAAACTCCAAAGCCATCCAAAGCCGAAGTTTCTGCTGCTCCCGAAAACAAGGACATTGATGACGACGGGCCTTTGGTCGTGCTTGTCGTGGACGATAACCTAATCACCAGGTCGACTATGACTCGGTGAGTCGCTGATCTTATCTTTTTATCTGTATTTGTGAACATGTCTCCTCACCTTAATACACTTATATATGTAGGTCGCTTCAGAAAAAGGGCTGCATAGTGTATACTGCTCAAGATGGGAAAGAATGTTTAGATTTGGTTCTAGGGCCGGATGCTAGAACATATGATCTTATCTCGTTGGATAATGACATGCCAGTTATGACTGGGGAAGATGCGGTGAAAGCGATGCGGGAAGCAGGGAGACATGATGTTTTCGTTGTTGGTACGTGCAGTGCTCTTGCGTATATGTCAGCATAATACAAACACCATAAAATTCCAGGATGCACCGGGAACGCGTTAACAGATGACCAAAAACGATATTTGGACGCTGGGGCGGATGACATCCTCATCAAGCCTATCAATTTCAAGTATGCATTTCTCTCTTCTCGAATTTCAATAGTTTAACAATGGTCGGGCACCTTACAGTCGACTCCCTGAGATAATGGAAACTGCCCGACAGAGACGGCGGCAACGGCGCACAGCAAAATCAACAAAATCATGACATTCATTGGTCCCATGTCTTTTGTAAAAGGTAGAGGCAATGGGATTATACCTTTTCACCTTTTTCTTCCCTCTTGCAACACATGGACCGTGCATCGATATTTCTTCATCATATTTATATTCACGATTCTACATGCAAACACGATGATATTATTTATACACTGTAGGGTTACAAATAGGGAGGGTGAATGCGGTAACGTAGATTCTTCTTTTTCTTTTGGGGCTCTTCTCTTTGCTGGGTGTTTTCTTGCCGTCAATGATGTGCTCTTGGTTTACATATATATAACTCTTTATACGTTACTTTAATTGTTGTACACATGGTGTCTGCTTCTGACCTTGACTTGATAATCTTGCTCTGATTCATTACATAGCTGGACCACTGGTGCATAGATGGTTTGGTGCAAACATAAAAGCTCTTTTGTTCTGAGGATGCCCTTCATCGTTTCAACAGTTACAATTCAATTAGATATACAACGGGACATCCACTAGATTTTATACACCGCAGCCGGATAATCCACATATCCCTTCCTCTGCTCTTCCTCACTCCCATGGTACGTGCCATACAAGGTGGTAAAATCAATGGGATTATCCAAAGGTTTGCCGTGTTCGAGACGAGCAGCGAAATCAGGGTGGTTAATCCATCCCATTCCAAAAAAGACGCCTTCGACTTTACCGTCTGGATTAAATGTAAGGGGGAGGTATCCAATCAGATTAGGAACATCATATCGAAGGAGATAAAATCGTACCTTTGACAGCAGCAGCAGCTTCTTCACCAGTCCAGCCTGCGTTAGAAAAGATCTTGGTGTGTTTGAAGAGAGGAGAATATGTTGCTACGATGTCATGTTTCGTTGCGCGCTTCTCGCCTGAAGGAGAATTGCGGACTTATCAGTAAAGGTAAGATATTTTGACAGTATCCTGGTACATACCATCAATGACAGGATCGAGCATCTCTGAGTATCGCATAAGATCGATGTAAGCGATGCCTAATTTGTCTGCTTCGGTAATGAAGTGGGTGAACGTCGCGATGGTTTCTTCGAGTGGCATCCTGTTAATCGGCTATTCTTCAGAGTACTGAAGGAGAGAGGACGTGAACCACCCACCCCATATCATTATACCCTCCTGCTGGGCTCAATTTGATCCCTACACGATCCTTTCCGAATACCTTTATCACTCTCTCAAGAGCAAGTAAACCGAATTTGGATCGGTTGACGGCGGAGCCTCCCCAAGAGTCTGTGCGCGTGTTGGAGGTGGAGTCGAGGAATTGGTGGATGAGATAGCCATTGGCGCCGTGCACTAGAGCGATACATTAAGACTTTGGAGATGACAATAATAAACTAGAAAAAGGCGTACATTCCACACCGTCAAATCCAGCGTCCTTAGCGTTAACGGCTGCCGTCTCGAACAGATCGAGAAGGATCGTGGGGTCGTCGATCGCGGTTGGCTTGATATTGAATAGATATTCAACATCTAGTATATATTAGGAAAGTACGATACTTACTGTGACGTATCCTGGTTCACCAGGGATAAACCTGAACTTTCCTCCTCGAGCTGAAATCGCTGACGGCGCATACACCGGAAGGCCCGTGGCCTTTTGTTCTGGAGCGTCGGGGTGGCTGGTTCGTCCGACTGATGGCGAACTTAGAGGTGAGGCCTTTAAATCTTGATATGATAAGGATTAAAACTTACGATGCCACAACTATAAACATGATCTCAGTCCAGGATTCACGAGGAGATAAGGGATACCAACATACCTGAGCGTAAATAACACTTCCTTCTTGATGGACCGCGTCAGTAATCTTCTTCCATCCAGCGATTTGCTCTTTACTCCAAATACCAGGGGCATGTGGCCATTCCGATCTAGATGGCGATAGCGAGTCAGTTATCGACATCGACATCCATGGCGTTGAACTCACCCTTGAGGGGTAATCAATACACCCTCCGTGATGATCAGACCAGCGCTTTTTGCTCGTTGTTGGTAATATTCCAAATTCACTGCGTTGGGAATGTTGGTCGGCACCGAACGGTTTCGTGTCAAGGCGGACATGAAGACACGATTGCGAAGGGTGAGTGGTCCGAGTTGGAGGGGCTCAAAGAGAGCGGCAACCGAAGCTGGGGCCATTGTATCGATGGTGGTCAGATGTGAAGGAGATTGGGAGGATGAGTATGTTTCTGTTTGATGGACGAGACATTTTCTAGGCTTTTATAGTGCTAGATTGTTGCTTGAGTGTTCTGCTTAATTACCAGCTTACAAAACTACGTTTCAGTCTAAGTCAGACTTACGCAACGATTGCTGACATAATATAACATGCATTCGCATGTGAGCCTCCTTCGTCCGGCTCGGAGGGGGCCTTCGGCCCCCTCCGTTCCAAGTACGTCTCACATGTGGTGCTCGCTTCGAAATTCTAGTTTCGAGGGGTGTCGGTGCTGGCGCACCTTCGTAAAACAATTATCAAGACACTGTAAGATATACTGAGTAAGTAAGAATGTACAAGGTAGTGGAAGATAGACACTCACGACTCGCGACTGAATTCAATGACGAGGGATTTACAGGGGATTACCAAAAACGGCGGTGGCTGTGACCTCGTGGGATTTGCGAATATAGAATTGACGAAATTTTTCACCCTATGGCCAGGATTGCTTCGCTTCGCTCGCAATTATTTGTCAGTTCATATTATATATACCAAGGACGCCGGGAACTGCCGGGAACAAGTCGCGAAGGAAAAGGTTGACGAATTTGGAACCCCTGGATTCTGACAATACGATGTTAGATGAAAACTGGTAACGGACATGAAAAGGGCATAGTGAGACTCCGAGTCGTTCGGGAGTGACAACCTTTTGGTAGGAAAGATAAGATAATATATTTGGAGATAGGCGCCACACATGCGCCGCGCACCTACAACCATCAGATTTATTCCTCCTTCTAGTTCTTACTGACTCAAGGCTTGCTTGTAGGTTTCTGCATTTCGCGCACAAGCCCGCCAAACATCTCCTGATCTCCCATCTATTCAGACCTATTGAAGATCACTTACGATGAGCAACAAGACTGATCCAGCCTTGAACATCATTCTGCAAAAAATACGACTGGTCAATTTTGCTGAGCATGCTGATGCTCTCCGTCCTGGTCACAAGCCCATCATCGTCAGCATTCCAGAGGACTCCTCGAAGTTTGAACGCGGTGGTATGAATGTCCACATCCCATTAACATTCAGCGATGGTGTGAGATGGCTTGCACGTATTCGTCAAAAGTCGACACCTAGCACACGATTGATCCTAGAAAGCGAAATTCAAACGATGCAATTTTTGAACGCTGCGGGGATGCAGGTCCCGAATGCTTTCATGCCCAGAGGTAGGTAGTAATTTGTTCAGGTTCTGAATCTTACGTTGATGATGCGAGGAGAGACGTACGTCGGAGAAGACCTGCATTTCTTTTTCCTCGAATATTTCCAAGGGACCTCCTGTAATGCTCCGATCGCTCAAGGCTCACTTACTATCGAACAACAACACGACCTTATCGATTCCCTTGCTCGATTCTACATCAACCTCTCCCATATATCTTTTACTCAATCTGGTTCTCTTGTTCGTGATCCCGCTAGTGGAAACCTTGAGGTCGGTCCCTTAATCAGCCTCGACTTTTGTCAGGACCAGGAAGACCGATTGCCCGGACCGTTTTTCTTTGGTCCTTTCCAGTCGAGCGCCCATCGCTACCTTGCTCAGATTGAGCATGTTTTGCGAGAAATTGAACAGGGGAGCCGAGCATTTGCGGGAGATGAAGATGTTATCTCGGTATACGTTGCTCATCTGTGGTTGAAGGATTTAATGCAAAACTCGCCTCGATTGTGGGAAGAGGGAGAGCAGACCTTTTTGAAACACGCTGATGACAAAGGCGACCAGATTATGGTGGACAAGGATGGTAAATTTGTAGGCGTAATTGACTGGGAGTGGTGAGTGATTCAAGAACCCGAAATTTACAACCAATGAGAAGCCACTGATGTGTATTGCCATGATGTAGGGCATACACCGCGTCCAAAAGCGAAGCATTTGCCGCCCCTCTTGCACTAGTAGACGTCAACCCTTTCTTCGACGGCATCAACGATTTATCTTCCAACGAAGAACACCTAGTGAACGCATACAACAAGTACGGCTTTCCCGACTTAGCAAAATGCGTGCGTGATGGAAAGGTGTATCAGCGATTGCCTATGGTGATTGGCCAACAGTCGGACCTTGTTCAGCTTCGTGCTCTAGAGCATGCTCTCACTGGGAAGATGCTGGATTGTGCTGTGAATATAGAGACAGTAGGAGAGTGGGTTGAGGATATGGCTGGTGGGTGTTATCGCATGCAGGTTCTTGCGATGAAGAAAATCAAGAAGGTGCTCGCCGCGAAAGATTGATCTGATATACACTCAGTCATACTTGATTCAGAAAGCATCCCCCAGCTGACGCTTTGCAACTTGCATGAGGGTTTCTTGGGGGAAATATTCGAGTATAATGTACTACTCAGAACAAGTTTTGGATCAAATCATCTGAATTCACACATATACATAAACAAAGTCCGGACATGAATACTTCAGACACGGAGACATGAAGGAGTTGGATTCATGTCAGTAAAATTGAAAGTTGATAACAACGAAGATCAAGTTCACTGGGTGGGGAATGATTAGAGCAGCAAATGTTAAAACAATCTGTGATCAGTTGAAGATATTCACGTCGCCCGTTGTACTAGTGAACTGCCTTCCGCCTTGTGAGTTTGTAGATATAGAAAGATTGTCGGTATATGTGATATGCTTTCCATCCCCCATGTGGTATGTTTTCCATTTCTTTTCGTCGTCTGGGTGAGAGTCGCTCCCTGAATGAGATACCTGGGCTTTGTTATGGACAGTACTTCAAGCCACTAATGCTGTTAAACTGGACGCCGCTTCCGTTGAAAGTTTGCCCGCGGCCACCGCAATTAAATTCCCAATCTGAGTCGGGCAATCTACCAAAGTAGCTACTACCGATTGACGCTTCCGCTTCAGAGCCGGGAACATGGAAAGGAAGAGCGAGCACAGAGGAAGCGGCTCCCACAGCGACGACGGATGCTATGGCAAAATGAAGGCGAAGCATTATCGATTTCCTAGTTTCGATAGAAGGTGATAAGAAAAGTGAGGATGAGGGGTATTTACGAAGAGACCAGCTCTATAGGGGAGTCCAAGGCAATTGAGACTTCTTATACCATCTCTCGCTGATGATGATAGATGTGCAGATAGCTGGATTGGCACTCGACTCAGCTGGCTTTCGTAAAAGCTGATCTGCGCTGATAGGCTTCCATCAGGAAAAAGAGGGAAAAATCCGGGGCAGTGAGAGGGCCCATACGAGCCTATACGAACTACTTGCAGTGTTGTCCCTGACATGAAATTAGTTTATCTCTTTCGTGTTGTAAGTCATTGCAGGCATTGACATTGAGGGCTGAGCACTGAGTACCGAGGCCTTAGAAGCTTAAGAGTCAGTTTGATGTGTAGAGTCGCCCTGACTTTACTTGTATCAGATTTCTATATACAGTAATTGATCACTTACGAAAATGTGAGGTAATTGTGACAAGATGTGACAGACTGCTTGCTACGATGATGGTTCATTCCCATCACTGTTCCCCCAGCCCATCATCACCTTACCAGCTTGCTCAGAGGTGTTCAGTAGTGCTCAGTTCCTTTATGTTGACAATGTTCAGTTTTCATTATGGTGTATTTAGATAGGTGGTACAGTACTAAAAATAAAATGAGTTAAAATGACAGATTTTCAGTGTGCACATTGTGCACTGCATGGAGCGGGATGAGATCAGGATGGGAGCGGGATGGGGCGGGATGTCGGGACACAATTTGAAGAAGGGCCGAATGGGCGCTACGGGGCGCTTCAATATCTTGCCGAATAGCCGCTGACATCCATTGTCACGCAAGAGATCAATTACTGTATATAGAAATCTGACACAAGTAAAGTTGGCAATTTGTAAGTCGAGGTAAGGAGATGCGACAAATTAGAGTCTTCGAACGGACACGTGATGCGGTACTTCCTGCTCTTGCTGGTACCGCATCGACACGCGTACGTTGAAGCCTTGCAGTACTAGTCCCTAGTAGCTCCATTAGTTCTTCTTTATCTCACCACTTCATTTGCCCTTTTGACAAAACCTCACGAAATGGCCGAACGACTAGAAGTTGACCCCACCAAGATACCTGCACCCGACTTTGCGAGTGAAGCTTACACATTCATGTGAACTGCTCTAATTGCAGATGCAAACACCCCCGAAATCACCACAGAAGAGCTCGCCGCCCAACGCCTCAAAGCTCAGTGGGAGGCTCACATCGAGGGACTAAAAGTCCAGTACGAGGCACAACTGCAGGAAGCAGAGGCTTTGAGAAATCAGAGAATACAAGAGGCAGCAGATGCTGAGAAACTCGCCGCAGCGGAACAGCAGGAGAAAGAGAAAGAGTTAGTGAAAGAGTCAGAGAAGAAACGCCAACCTATATACAGTTTTCAGAAAGGAGTCGGGGTGGACTCTATCCCACTGCAGCTTCACCCATACGCCAAGAAGATGATGACTGCCAGGAAGTACGTGCCTTTATGGTACTTCCTCCCTGATGCTGCGACAGAAGCAAAGGAACGCAGCAAGGATTCCCTAGACACCAATCACCTTCAGTTTGCAGTGGAAGATGGCGACACCCTCTCAGGTTCAACCATCTCCCTAGTGGGATCTCACACCGTTCGCGCCTCACCAAATGCCATCCCCGATTCCCGGCTATCCTGGTCCCAGGTCATGCGAGCGAAAAGTGCTTTCCTCAGCGCGTTAGGATTAGGAACATGGCCAGACAACTACATATCCATGTTCGCGGCCTTCTACATCAACATGGACATGCACCGCGAGCTACAGGAGCAAGATGGAGACCGGGTAATGGCTCATTACCACGCAGAGATGCGTCAGGCGTGGTACGACGCAATGGAAAGGAAGGAGCCTTTCGACCTTTCGGTAATTTCGGACAGAGTGATTGGAGAAAGCTGCTGAGAAATTGTCAAGTGTCATAAAGTACGCAGCCCCTATCATTTTCCTTTTCTCACCGTCTCGACGCCTTTACTTGTACGATACATCATCCCATCACTGTCAAACCCCCATCGATTACTGATCCATCGATTACTGATCCACCTGACCCATCTTCTCCTTCTATTGGCTTCCGCCACCTTCCTTGTTCCTAAACTGTACAGTATTACATCTGTCACGAAGCGGCAGAGGCGGAGTGACTAACGGAGCGGGAAAGCGGAGCAACTAAGCAGAACGGTGAGGCGGAGCAACTGGACAAGGCAACAAGGCGGAGCGACTAAGCAGAACGGCGGCAGGCTGGTCCCAGATAATGACAGAGATATATTGAGTATCGTAGTCATAGGTAATAATAAGTAAGCACATACCTGGTCCCAGATAATGACAGAGAGGTCAAGATAAGAGACCAGGCTGTGGAGGGTTGGCTATATATACATAATCCGGTCTGCGAGAAACAACGATGTAATACTGTACAGTTTAGGAACAAGGAAGGTGGCGGAAGCCAATAGAAGGAGAAGATGGGTCAGGTGGATCAGTAATCGATGGATCAGTAATCGATGGGGGTTTGACAGTGATGGGATGATGTATCGTACAAGTAAAGGCGTCGAGACGGTGAGAAAAGGAAAATGATAGGGGCTGCGTACTTTATGACATTACCCCCCTCCTTATGACCATTGTCCTCGATGGTCAAGGCTTTGCCGCTGTTGGGTGTTTTTTATGAAAGGCCCGAACAATTTTTGGTGCTCGACTGAGGTTGGCTGCGGGTTCCCAAGAGTTGTGCCCTGCGTCGTAACCTTTCCACTTAACCAAAATATTCCAGCTTCTTCCATCGAACCCGGCTGTCTAAGATCTCCTCTACTTCGTATTCCGGTTCGTCTTCATCCTCTAAGTATACCGGCTCTGGTGGTGTTGGTATTTCGCCATTAATGGAGTTACCTTTCCAGGGGTATAGTTTATCGACATGGAAGACGGGATGGAGGCGATCTAGGGATAGGGGAAGGTCAAGGCGGTAGTCTAAAGGGCCAATTTTCTCCAGAATGCGATAAGGGCCAAGCTGTCGATCTCCTAACTTTTCACTGGAAAGTTGAAGGTTAATGTCCTCCGCACTGAGCCAGACTAGGTTTCCAACTTTAAATTGATGAGCTTTCCGCTTCCCGCGTTCGTATCCCTCCTTCTGTTGTTTCTTTCCTAGGTGTAAGGCAGCTCCGGCATCTTGTCGCGCTTCTCGGAGAATCCGTATACGGTCATCCACAGCTGGAATACCGCTGCGTTGGCCCACTGGGATATTGAACAGGGGAAGATAGCCGTAGGTTAGCTCGAACGGGGACATGCCTAGTGCAGAATGAGTCCGTGAGTTAATCACAAACTCCGCCATGGGAAGGTGCTCTGCCCAGTCATCTTGTCGTCGTCCTACATAGAGGCGGATGTATTTCTCTACTTCCTGATTTGCTCGTTCGGTTTGGCCATTAGACTGAGGACGGTATCCAGAGGTTAGATCTGATTTAATTCCTAGCCTAGCGAGAAGGGATCGCATGAGTTTAGCTGCAAACTGGGGTCCGCGGTCGGATTTAAAGTGAAGAGGAAGACCATGGAGACGGAAGATCTCTCGGTAGTAAATATCGGCAACGCCTTCGGCTGTGATGGAGCTGGTGCAAGGAATGGCGTGAATTTGTTTTCCATACAGGTCTGTGCAAACCAAGACAGCATCGTAGCCTTGGGAGTTAGGTAGCTGTGTTATCAGGTCAACCCCTACCTCTTCCCATAGACCGGATGGTACATCTAATGGTTGAGTTACGGCCCGTGGGTGTCGCTGGATCTTCTTACGCGCACAAACCTCGCATCCCTCAACGTATTTTTCCACAAAAGAGCGCAACGTAGGCCACCAGAAATGGGTACTGACCAAGTCGAGTGTCCCGTGTAGTCCGGGGTGTCCTGCAGTTGGATTGTCGTGGCATTGACGGAGTACCTCAGTGCGTAGGTCGTCGTTTGCTGGTACGTATACTCGACCTCGGTAGTAGACCAACCCATTGTCTTCTTCCCATTCGGCTATCCCATTGGCCAAGCGCTGTAGTCCGTGCTCTTTGACTGTTTTGAGACCCTCCAATACCTGTGCCTCCCGTTCTGAGGCTTTCCGGATACGATCCTCTAAGGGGTTCTGTAGGATCGAAGCTGCAATTTTTACGAAGTGGCCAGGTTTAAGGACTGTCTGTTGTCGGTTATCATCGCTGTCCGATACATGATGAACTGCCATGCGGGAGAGAGCATCAGCTTGAGTGTTTACTCTGCCAGGGCGGTGGATCATATGAAAGTCAAACCGTGACAGATAGAGGGCCCATCGGGCTTGTCGGCGGGTGAGGTCTTGTGCAGTGCGCCAGAATTCGAGGTTCGAATGGTCCGTAATGATGTCGAATGGTTGAGGGAGTCCTTCTAGAAAGTTCCTCCAATCCTTCAGTGCTTCAATGATAGCAAGCATTTCTCGATCGTAGATTTCGTAGTTTCGTTCCGCTGGCTGCATGGATGCCGATCTGAAGGCTACTGGATGCCATTGGCCATCGTCTTGCTTCTGCATAAGGGCGCCTCCCGTGGCAAAGCCTGATGCATCTACCTCGATTCGAGTAGGCCTGTCTGGTGTCCATAGAGCAAGGATCGGTGCGGAGATGAAGGCTTCTCGAAGGGTATCAAATGCTTTCTGTCGAGTGTCGGTCCAGGTAAAGCTGGTGTCTTTCTTCGTCAGGTCGTTCAGAGGTCGTGCTATGTTGGCAAAATTCCGGATAAAGCGTCGGTAGAAGTTTGCAAATCCCAAGAACCCTCGTAGTTCCCGAAGATTAGTAGGGACTGGCCAGTCGCGAACAGCCGCTACTTTTACCGGATCCATTCTCACCTCCCCTTCTGAGATGATGAGTCCGAGGTATTCAATCTGTTGTTGTTCAAATTCGCATTTTTCTGGTCGTAGGTAGAGGTCGTGCTTTTCTAACCGGGTTAATACTTCCCGTACCATTCGTCGGTGTTCCTCGAGATCGTTACTGAAGATAAGGATGTCATCTAGGTAGACTGCCACCTTGCCGGCTGCAATGAGATCAGCAAATATAGCATTCATAAGTGCTTGGAACGTGGCAGGGGAATTTGTGAGACCAAAGAACATGACCTTAGGCTCGAACAAGCCTCGGGTTGTTGCAAACGCGCCTTTCCATTCATGCCCCTTCTTAATCCGTATGTTATTGTAACCCCAGCGGACATCAAACTTCGTGAAGTATCTGGCTCCCTGAAGTCGGCTAATGATGTCAGCAACTAATGGGAGAGGGTATCGGTTCTTCACAGTGTACTCGTTCAGTTTCCGGTAGTCTTGTACGAAACGGAGTTTCCCATCCTTCTTCTTTACGAAGAAGACCGGTGATGAGATTGGTGATTTTGAGGGGACGATATAGCCTTTCCGTAGGTTTTCTTCTAGGAAACGATCCAACTCCTCCTGCTCGTTTAGGGACATGGGATAAATCTTGGTACGCATGGTTGCCGGTGCTCCAGGTACGAGATCAATCGCATGGTCCCAAGGTTGGTGGACAGGTAATCGTTCGGAGGCGGATTCTGAGAAAACCTTCTTGAAATCACGATACTGCTCAGGGACCATTTCTTCGAAGGTTTTAACGGGTTTGTCTTGGTTGGCTTCCTCTGCTAGCTGCTGGGAGTAAGTGAATCCTGCGGCGCACCAGACTTCCTCCGTCTGTTCCTCTAGAATTCCTGCTTTTACCCATGCCCGGCGAGTTTTATGATTGGCTCGAATTCGGTGTATTGGTGGTTCTTCCACCGCTGCTGATTCACTTGGTTCAAGGGTCGCTTCTAGTGGCACCTCAATGTGGGGGTTTTCTGCGGGAGGTTCCAGTTCCGGGAGTTCGAGGATCGGGGTTTCTGTGTGAGTGGCGGCTAGATGAGAGTACAAGATCTCCTCGTCTAGGACTTCTTCTATCGTTACTCGAGGAGGCTTTACTGAAAGTCGTCCTTTCTCCCAATCAATCTCCGGATTTACCTTCCGTAGCCAGGGGAGTCCAAGGATGATGTCTTCACCTCCTAGGCTGGTGATCAGAAAGTCCATCCATCGCTCTTGATTATCCACTGTGAGTGCTAGACGTGCAAAATGGGTTATCCGTCCAGCTCGGTTAGGTGTTCCATCGATATTAAAAACGTCGATCGGTTTATGGAGGGGTGCACATCTTACATGGTTCCGGGTGACAAAGTCTTGGTTTAAAAACAGGGCGGTAGCTCCACAGTCTACCATGGCTGCAGTTGTTATACTGTGATTCCTTCCTCTTAGTCTCGCATGAATTCGGAAATGTGGGGAAGTAGAGTTTAATTCCCGGATCGACGATATTGTACATGATGGGTGCGAGTCATACGAGGAAGTAGCGAACATAACAAACTGATTACGGGGTACTCTCGGTGCAGCCGAAGCGGGTACCCTCTTTAAAAACCCTGTTGAAAGCCAGAGGACGAGGAGGACATAGCGTTAGCACGATCAAGTAATTCCCTTATTTGACCAATCTGATTGGAAAAGTCCTGGTTAGGGGGGCTCGGGGTAGCAGCTACGGGTGCAGGAGCAGATGTTGGGGTCGAGGACGCGATTTGGACAGATTCGTTTGGGAATAGGGAGAATGGCGCGGGTCCCGTAGCGGATATCTGTTGGCGTCGAGGTTGCTGGCGTCGGCCTCGGTCTCGTCCGAGTCCCATGAATTTGTCTTGGCAGACTGCTTCCAGATGTCCTCGACGTCCACAGTAGCGGCAGGTGGTTTCTCGGTGTGGGCAGTTTTGCTTGACATGACCTTGGGCACCGCAGCCGAAGCATCGTCCTCGCATGCGAGCTAGGAATGCTTCTCTAGTATTCCCATTACTGGTGTGGGTTGCATCAATGTCCATAGCGTGGGGGTCGGCAGGGGTAGTATGAGCGGTATGCGTGGGAGGGTATCCAGAGTTCCGGCCAG